AATATTTTTAATAATTAATATTTCTATTATAGTATTTTAATTTATAAATTTTGGAAAACATCCTATGTAATATTAATTACTATCCTATATAATACTAAATTTTATTACGTGGGGAGAAAGAAAGAGAAGAAGAGAAACAGACATAAAAAATATTATGTTAACTGAATTTAAATCTTTATTAGCCAAATTCATTTTATCATCAAACAACTCTTATCATATGGATCATATCATGAATTATTTGTTGGACATTATTTTGGAAGAGACTACAGAAGTGAACGGATCTATAAAAAACAGAAAAATGAGAGATTAATAATCGTAAAAGTCTATGTCTTCTAAGAGCCATAAAGCTGCAGGCAATATTCTTCCATGGGTTCTTTCTATACCCATCGCGCTCTTTCCATCCTCTACCTTACCTCAACCATCTACAACTCCTTCAGAAACTCACCCTCCTTCCAAACCTCTCTTCCTCTCATCGTAACCTATCAAGCTTTCTATCCACCCTGTCTTGTTTCTCTTTGTATTAGGTATACATCGTTGTACATATGTCTGTGTTCTTATATATATTTGGTGCTATCTCTCTTTCTCTTCATTTTTTTCAGTATTTATCGCTTTCTTCTGATTTTATTTCTCTTCTTACTATATTATTTTTTTTTATTTACGGTGATCTTACTTTTAATTATAAATAAGAAGAGAGAAGGGAAGAAGAAAAAAAGAAAAGAAAAAGGAAGGCAAGTAGAGAAAAGAAAGGAAAAAATAGATAAAGCAAGAAAAATGTAAAAAGAGAATGAAAAAGAGAAAGAAGAAAGAAAAAGAAAGAAAAGAGCAAAAAAGTAAAACGAAAAAAATAAGAGGATGGAAAGAAGGGAAAATAAAGGGAGAAAATAAATAGAAATGTTAGGAAAAGAATAGGAAGGAGAAGAGAAGCGAAAGAGGAAAAAAGAAAAAAACAAGAAGGAGAAGAGGAAAAAAGATGCTAGAGATGGAAGAAAAAAAAGAAAACAAAAAATCGTGGATAGTAGAGACAGAAAGAGAAAAGAAAAATCAGAGAAAAAAAAAGAAAAAAAGAAACATAAGAAACGTAAGAAAAAAGGCAATATTGAGGAAGAAAGGAGAGATGAAAAGGAAAGATGAATGAGGAGGACAGAAACGAGAGACAGAAAAGAGGGAATAGGAAGAAAAGATAAAGAAAAAGAGAGAAATAAAAAGAAAGGAAAGGAGAGAAAAAGAAGAAAAATGAAAGAGAAAGGGAATAAAGGGGGGAAGTAAAAAAAATGAAAGACAAGATAAAAAGAGAGGAAAGAAAAGAGAGAAAAAGAGGAAAGAAGAAGAGAGAGAAAGAGAAAAAGTAATTGCCAGTGCTGGTTATTGCAATTTGAAGGCGTCCCGTTGTTTCCGTATTCTTCCCAGAACGCGCCGCTTCATCTCTACCCATCGCGTCCTGCTCCCATCCCACTTTAGCACCCCGTGGGGGTACCTACCCGGGGGAATCAATAACCGACGTGGAAGCGCACGGGGGGTATAGTGGCAGAGCAGAGAATCGCAGGATTGTGGGGTTGAGGGTGGCACGCGGAGCAGTGGAGCTTGGCTCCGCCTCCGGCACGCGACCAGCACGCGACCATCGTCACCATCGTCGTACCTCGTCTCGCCTCGCTTCACCTCGTCTCGTCTCGTCGCCTCACCACCGCCATTCGTGTGGCCACCACCCCTGACCCGGATCCTTTGCTTCCCTTGATGTCTCTTCCTCTCGCTTGTTCTCTAATGACGTGTCATGTTTTTCTTCTATCCTCAGATGAACGTTTCAAAGTCCTTACTATTTGCGTTCTTAGACAGCGAAGTCATCTTTCATTATTGTCATACTTTTCGGCAGAGATAGACGGATTAGACAAAATTGAAAATTTCATAAAATTTGGACGATCAATATTGGTATAGTGACAAGCAATCAAGACGAAATAAAATTTCTCACGTAAATATAAGAAGTGTTATCTCACATTATTTATGTCTAGATTGCGTCTTACGTGTAAATTTTCAAAAAAAGAGATACAATTCTTGTTACTTAACATTATCATATTTTGCCTAAAAAATGCAAGAATTATTTTTCTAATTGTTTTCAATTAGCAATTTGTTATTATTTTTTCTACGTGTAAATATTAAAAGAATATACATGGACATATTTTACATGTATATATATTTATAATAGTAATATATATTTATGTTAATATATATATATATATATATATATATATATATATATATATTGTTTTTTACGAGGTGTGTAATCTGTTATGTTACACGTAAAATTATAAATAAAATTCTGCTTTAAACTTTGTCACGATTTATATATGGATCTTCTAGATCTAATAATCATTTAAAAGATTAATATATTATACACACAAGAATGGTTGATAAAAAATTCTTATACTAATTAATTTCTTGTATTATTATGAATAATTAATTTATTATTATGATTGATTTATTGCATGTCGATGATGAAAATTTGCGTAAAAGGAATTGAACTTGTTATGAAAATTTTTTTTAATGTTTTTATATTCGCAGATAAATTAACACATTATTAAATGATGATTAGTGAGAAATCATTGAGCATCATGTACGAAGGAAATTGGTTGATGATTACGCAAAGACGAGTAATAATAACGTGTAATACTACGTTCCATTTGGCCATCACAATGTTTGCGAGTACCACCTGTCTTTGTTTAACTTTCAGTGACCAACAAAGATGATATAATCCTACAAGCGTTACGATCGCCAAGTGGAACGTAGTCTAAGCGAAGGAGGGAAGGCAAGTGGGAAAATAGGTAGCGGTGAAGAGGGGATAAGAGTGGTAGAAAGGAATCGATAACAGCATGGCACGCGATCAAACCTTCGACTTGACTAAATCGCGTTCAAACCAATTATACTTAAATCCTCGCGCATTTGCTTCTATCAATTGTTTCAATGAAAGTACTTCTGTCTGAGCAAATTTTAATTTGCGCGTTGTAATATTTTCAATTATTATTAAACAATGCGAAGATTGTTTCGATTATACTTATCGATAATGATTCATCATAATTTTTTGATGCAATAATTAATCTCACATCCGCTCACTATTCGCTCGATTTTTTTTTATTGTAATAATTTTTAATTATACGATATTATCACTTAAGATTATTATTATCACTCAAGATAAAAATTTTCGAAATTAATATACATTAAATCAATTAAAATTAATTTTAACATTTTTTTATGATGAAGACAAAAGAAGAAATATCATATATAATATACACTAATATCTGTTTTATATAAAATTTAAGATAAATAAGCAAATAGTTGGATATTCTATATCATAAAGGCATGATAAATATAAAAATGAGCATGATAAATATAAAAATGTAAGCACTAAGGAAATCAATCAATCATAGTCAACATGTATTCATAGATCGATAATAAGACGCAGTAAGCAAATAAAAAAATATCGACTCGCTTACTATCTGTGTATTTTTATATGCCTTTTATATCTTTACACTTGTTTGCAATATTCTAACTAATTATAAAATAAAGCAGAGATAAAAGAAATATGTCTAATAATACTTTCTTTCTCTCATTCACGCCTATGAAATTATTAATTATGTTTTTCCTCTCTTTTTATCTATATTTCAGGCTACATCAAGGCTCGATTTATTGATATTTTATCTGTTATCTGAGATCATTGTTAGTATAATTGATCTAAAGTTTCAAAATATAAATTCTAAAGTATGCAATTTTTAAGTATTATTATATAATGCGGAATCCAAGAAAAGAATAACATATAATTATCTTTCACTCTCGCTCCTCCTACCTCCCCGCGCGCAATCTGTCATTTCATACAAGTGGATATGCCATATTTTTCACACATATATATATATATATATATATATATATATATATATATATATATACGTTACTAAACATACGATCAGATAAACTTTTGATAGATAGGCAATATGCACACGTATCATAGAAAATTTATGAAATCTAAATTTTCCAAGTACGTGTAAGCGCATCCGCATGTTCTCCATATCGCGTGGAAAGCTTATTCACCGAGATCAACGCTGGTAATATATATTCTGAGAAAAATCTCCGTGTTCGGAATATTGTAAATAGCATCAAAATATTCAAGCATTCGACATGAAAGTGTTCGTTACATTCATACATACTTATAAGTTTCTTTTCTTCTTTCTTTCTCTGGTATATTATATTATATTATATTTTGAGATAAATAAACGAATAAACGGCTCGACAGTTGCTCTAAAATTTGTCTGATGAAAGAGCGCAAAATGATAAAGAATAATTAGCAAAATTTGTTGAAATATTGAAGGGATTATTATTGGATTAGACATGGACTTTGGTTGGCTTAGATGAAAAGCTTAGCTGATGTATAATAGCAACTATCGCATCACACGAGGCTTGAAGAGAATCGCGAGAAACTCGAAGTTGGTCTGACTCATAGTTATCAAGATAGAGTATTTTAGCTAATATGAATAAGATATGAGAATAAAAGTTTAAAATAAAAGCCATAATTGAATTAAAAAAAGACTTATAAAAGTAAATGAATTATTTAAAAAATCTTGAATTATTTTATTATTTCTTGAATTACCGAGTCAAGAATAATGAAATAATGAATAAGTTATTAGATACAGTAATAAGTAGATAAATAATTATGTAATATATATACACATACACATACATACAAATTGTAAATCTCAAGAGATGCTAAATTTTAATTGAATAATGTAAATTTCAAAAAATAAATTTATTTTCACATTTTTTGACACATGTAAAAAAAGTATCAATTAAAATTTATAAAACACTCGATTATATATATATATATATATATATATATATATATATATATATATATACATACACACATACATGCATACACACATACATACATAGACACACACACACACAGATATATATATATATATATATATATATATATATATATATATATAATTTCACCTCTCTGCTCATAAAATTTTCCCTTCTCTTCATCTTTTGTCCGCCTACGCAAACGCGAGCACAGAGAATCCGCGAGAGGAAATGTGCAAAAGAGGGGAGAGCTAGTCGAGAGTAAGTGAGTGGTTGGGTGGTTGCTTGAGTGATGGTGGCAAGGGCGAGGGAAGAAGAACAGAGGACTATTGAATCGGAAAGAAAAATACAGTCGCAAATCAAACAGAAAACACATTCTTTTTATACCTATTTTGCGTAAATATTTGTTCTGGAAATATACATTCGTTCCCTTTCTTCTATCTCCAGTACTATCTCGGCATCTCTTTTCTCATTCTGAATATGTACTGCGACGTCTATGCATATGCGCACGCATATATATTAATGCATATTTTACCATTTATCGTTAGAAAGATGTTTTGCATAAAATTATTAATTTTTTACTTTCGTTGTTTCTATGAAACACAAATGATGCCAACAAAATACAAGCTTGAATAAAATGGATTGGGCACTCGCGATGTAACGTGATAGTCATCAATAAAATACCGTAACTTGTTCTATTTTTAAAGCTCTGACAAATAAGAGTGGAAATAATTTAACTCGGAATGAAATTTCAAAAGAATGGAACAAAAATGATAAAAGAGTAATGGAAGAGGCTAAGGATGTTTCTCTTTCCAACCAGCCGGCTTTTCTTCGACTGAAAAATGTGTAATACGAGCTTGTAGTTCGCTCATACCCTCGCGAGATACCTCAGTTTCACCCCACCCCCCCACAATTCTCCCATTCCCTTTTCCTACTTCTCTTTTCCATGTACATTCCAGTTTCGCTCGGATGGCTAAGCAGACATATCGAAAATGCACGTAGACAATACTAAGTTGCTTTTATTCACGTGCATCGTTCTTGCGAATATTATATGATATCCGGTCAGAGACATTTTCAAATTTCGGAAATTCTGAAATCAGATTCATAATATGATTTAATATTTGCTATTAGCGACGTGCAACTCGCACGATGCTCTTATATCATGCTACTAAATTTCGATTACGAGTTGTGTCCCATATATATTTATTATTATATCATTATCGTAATTTTTCTGGATTATGTAACTTGATTAATCATATTTCTGATTATATCGCTCATATATTTTAATTTTTTTTACAGTATTTAAAATATAATTCCCTCTTACCATTTTTTTAAGCCGCCGATTTATATGGCAGATACAAAGACGAAGCTAAAACCCATAAATCTTCGTTTGTCCACTTATGTAAAAGATTACAGATTTGCAATTGGTCATTATTCATGTTAGAATTATAGTTAACTTCATTTTTTTCAACTTCTTTGATTTTGCCGATTAATAGCGTTCGTAACTGCGGTTGCATAAATATTAATTTATCTATCCTTTTATCAGGCGCAGCTTCCACAATATACATTGCTAAATTATATCTAGGAAATACATAATTCAATTTTTATCAAAAATAAAAATGCAGTTATTGTATAATATTGATTTAAATGTTAATTAGATGTTTTCGATTATTACTTATCAATCATTTCCTCGATGAATTCTTCTAGATCAGTTGATTGTTTCTCTTTAAAGTAAACCACTTGTAACTTTTTATTATTGATATGTAACTGAGTTTTACATATGTAAGCAAGATGAATAATGATACTTGATTCTATATTACCATCAATATGTATTGAAACGTGGTTGAAATTCTGATACAATTGTCTATGCACATTTTCATGGAAATTGTTATTCAATGTAACATTATAATATACTTAGATTTAAAATGTATATCAATTTTCTTTACCTAAGCTTTTCGAGCGATTGCTCGTAAATCGATGGACGTAAACAACTTTGAAGAAATTTATTATACTTTGTAATACAATCTATATGTGGCGTCCGGTCAAAATCTACGAAAATATCTGCAGGATTTAACTTGTAGAATCTTTGTTTTGCTTTTTGGACATTGCTTTCATTATCACTCTCTATAGTCACGAACGCTTTAAAATATCTATAATATATCTTATGTTTGTACTTCATTAATATTTCAAAATAAAAATATCTCTCACTAAGAGTTTTGTTAAAAATATACTAGCTTAAATCTATATAAAAAAATATTATATTTATTTGACACATCTATTATATTTTTTAAATTCTAAAAATTAGTCAATATATTTAATATTTCTAAAAATTAATCAATATATTCTTAATATTGAAATATAAAAATAAAATTTTAATGGCTTTATTTATAGTATAATTTTCTATCCTGTATTACCTGCAATTGTTCACAGGATAAGAACCAAAAGTAACATTGGGAAATTCTTTTACTACAGTTGATAAAGCATTTACAAATATATGTTCCCTAGCATTAATAAATAATTCCTCTTTTATGAATTTCTTACTTATTGATAGCAATTCCTAAAACAAATATAAATTAAGAAAAAATTTTTCAATAGTTTTCATTAAAACATTTACCTGATACAAGCTTTGGAAGGACTTTTCAAAAAATACAGGTGAGCCAGGAAAAACATATACATTTTCTAATACAACATATGGATAAGTATTTGGTTTGTCTGTGCTTGGATTCAAACCAAACTTTAAAGATGCTTTCTGAGGAATTTGAGCCATTTTATAAGCGAGGGATGAAGGATCATTAATCCCAAATTGATATTTTATTATATCAACTAATTTGGGATGATAATGTAATTTATCATTGAAAGCTTTAGCAAGACCTATATAAATTATGATACATTAAAATATTTGTACGTAATTGTAATACATTATTATATTTATTTAAATATAATAGTCACCTTCATATGTAACATCATCATGTGTTGGTCCAATTCCACCTGATGTTATGACATAGGTATATTTGTTGGAGATATCTCTAATCTCTTTTGAAATTTCTTCAATATTATCACCTATAACAGAGATCTACAAAAAACAGATTGCTCATATTATAAATTGCTCATATGAAAAATAAATCCTCTTCTGTATATTACAACATTTATAAAATATATCTGATAATATGTTGCAGAAGATTAAATTTGTTACCTTTTTCACTTTAATACCACATTTATATAATAGATTACACATGTAATATGAATTTGTATCTTTTACTTGTCCTTTCAATATTTCATCTCCGATAACTAGAAATGTATAAATGTCATTAGTGAATAATTGTTAAAATGTCAATATTAATGCAGTAATGTTATTATTCTTTTTATATATTCACCTATTATTCCTGCTGTAGGATGATTTACAGTTGTTGCATAAAACTTTGATGACACTTGTGCACACATTATACGTTTTACACGAATGCATAAACACTGGATACTTAACATTATAATTTATTGGCGAGTATTTAATTTGACTAAATTTCAACTTAAATTTCAACAAAAATACGCTTCATTAATATTTTTTTGCAAGAAAATAGATTTAAAAAGTAAAAATGTCGCGTGATAAAACTATACAAAAAATGTTATAAAAAATACAATACAATATGATATATATAATAATAAATAAATATATATATATATATATATATATATAATATATATATAAAATGATAAAAAATTGTATGAAAAGTTATTAAATGTTGAAAATGCTATGCTTCTAAAGGTTAGGAAATCTATTACATTAATGAAATACTGATGTTATAAGCATGCGCAGCATGTCATTCAATATTCTATACTTATATTGAATTTGAATGTACGCCAGGTGTCATTCATAGACATAAGTAGTATAGTATATCTAGACTGGGTCTTTATTGAAAGAGTAAGGATAGAGATGCACATAGAAAAGTAATTCATTTTCTATAGACAAATCGCACGCGCGAGATGTTCCTCTACTTACCGTGACTTATCGCTAGATGGCGAAACATGACAAAATTTTCCGGCATTTAAATTTGCCACCATTTTATTCTGAATAAAAAAAAAAGATATTTAAATTTTTATTATGAATGGTAAAGCCTGAATGAACAGATTCTAAGAGAAAATCCAAGATTAATAATTCTTTTCAGTTTAATTTTTAATATCAATACAATAAATAACAAGAGATTTAGGATATTAAAAATAAATTATTTAAATTGAGCGGAAATGAAAAATTGTCAAATGAGAAACTATTCACTTATATGTTCCTATTTGAGACAAAAGTAAAAATTTAACCTTTGTATAAAAATATATAACAAATATTAGATCTAGAGTTTCATGAATAAAATATAATTTGTTTTATTTATTTATCTTGTTATTTAATTACCTTGAATTAAATAATTATAGTTCTATATGAGATATAACTATGATGATTATGTTATATAATAATATTATTTGGGATATTCTTTCATAAGATCTGATGGAATGTTTTAATGGAAACTAATTTTCTGCTTATTGCATATTTTTGCTAATGTTGAAATATTTTCAATATTGCATAAATATTCATTAATGTATGTGTTTTATTTAGTACAGAAAACATATGTTTATCAACATATGTTTATCAACTTCATTATCAAATGCTAACATTTCTATGCGAGATATTGTCTTTGTTTTAATTTTTTTACGTTATATCAGAAATATCTGATGAAAACTTTACAAGAACGAATATTAAATAATATTGATTTGCAATTTTATTTCAATTTCTGTCTTATAAATAAAACTTAGATTTAAAACATATTTTAGGTTAATATAAATTCATAAGTTCATAAAATAGAATTTAAAAACGATCAAACCTATAGTGAAAATGCTATTGGACTTGTGAAGGTATAAATAAAAAAATATCAAAATTAATAAAGTCAAAAATTTAAGGATTTACTGTATAAATATATATAAAAAAACTTATTTATAATGTAAGAGACATGAACTTAGTATAGGAATAAAATAAAATAAAGATACATACAACCTTATGTGACAAAAGTTATTCATTTATATTTAATTATTTATATAACGGATCTACTGAATAATATATATCTTTAATGTTTAACTGTTTTTAACAATTTCTTATCATATTTTATATATATCATTTAATTGATATATTTTAATTGATTTTTATTGATGTATCTTTTATAGCATTAATATTATTAATTTTCAAAGTAGAAATTATAATAAATATTCTATATAAAATAGGAGGCTTGATCTGTTCGTTTACTTGGATAAATCAAAAACAACGAAAGTTGAAAACCTGATAATACACAGCCCATAAAATTTGGTATTTGTATAAATTGATCACCAAGTAAACATCCATATGCAAACCACTGACAAGACACTATCATAGAAGCTATTATGATTGGAAATGGCAAGCTCTCTGTGCTTTTTACTTTTATTACTTGTACCTATAATAAAATTATAGATTTATTACCATTTTAAAGTTTATATTCTAAATAAATATATAGTATTTAAAACAAAATGAGAATTTTGAATGAATATAAATAATAGAGTTTTATTACTTAATATATTTAATTAGAGATTTTAAAAATGTGAATAAAAAGATTTTATTCCTCTGTACTTACAAGTGAAATCATTGGAGATGCAAAAAATAATACTGTCAGACTGCAACTAAGAAATCCTATATGTTTTGCAGCCAAAACTTTATCTTCTTGATAAATACTATAGAAATATATAAGTAAAACAAAGCATATTGCTACTATAAACTGTTTTACAATAGTCGGTCCCTTTACACTGTACAAGATATAAATTATCATATAGCATATTTGTAATACTGTCCCAAAAATATTTACAGATACAATAAACAAGTCTCCAATAAGTACTCCATATCGTAGCCATAAACTACAACTGTAATAATAAATATATAATTAAAAATTTATTTTGCACACACACACACAGTTGCATAGAAAAATATATATCAATTCTTTTCATTATACATACGACATAAAGCATGTTATAAAGGCCAAACATGAGCTATCTCCAGTTGTACCATTTCTGATATACTTCTTGCACACTAAACTATAAAGAAATTTGTACTATGTTACTATAATATTTGTACTATGTTATTATATCTTAAGATCAGATAACAATAATGCTGTTAAATATTTATAATTACTAATTGAAATTTAATAAAATGCACAGTGTAAATTACATCAAGTAAAAAAAATATAAAAAATATATATAATTGTGTAAAAAACATGAAAAAATGTATAAATACACAGCTTGTTAAAAGACCATTAAATTATACAACAATCATAGATTGATAGCAATATGTAACAATATGGTTAAACACATTTTCAAGCAGAAAAAAAATAAATCATTAATAAAATAAATTCAGCAAAAGAAGCGATTGTAAATTTAATATGATGAGAATATAAATATTAAAGTTATGCATATATGTATTGTATTACTTACACGCCAGCCAGAAATTGTAAAACCGTAAAAATTGAAGCGGATAATGCAAGAACATCTTTAGTCTCCATTAAAGTCATAATTTATAATACGCATTTCACATTGGTTATCATTTGATTATCTCACTTCAAGATTTATTTTGCGCTCGGTTGTGTTCAACACCTGCATCCTGATCATAGATCATAGATTGGAATAGTGAGAGAAACTTATAGATATATTTCTCATGGACCAAATCTATGAAATGGACGAGTATTTTTCCCAGATTTGTGTATTGAATTTTGCGACACCCGGTATGATATTTTGCCAACCCAGAAAATGGCCAAGTCTGACAATGAATCTTAATTTATGTGAGACGCATTAGATACTGAAATTGAGATAATTTCATTATCATTTCAGCACTATTGCATACATACATGACACTGACAATAAGTGTAAAGAGTGCAATATATTTTAAATTATATTTTATAATACGTTATTAATTTACAATTAGTTGAAATTATTCAATACTATTCGTTATTAAATTTATGATCGCTTTTTTACTTAAGGATTTGAGTGATTTGTACTTTCTCTTTGTTTCAAAATGTATTTAATTGTGTGTTTGTTACATATTCATTGGCTATCAATCTAAATTAAATGTCATAATTTTTTTAATTTTTAAATATTAAGCTGTATGTTTATACATTTTTTATTTTTTTTTTACATAATTATATATTTTCTTTTTATTACTTGATATAATTTCGTGATTGTACACTTTATTAAATTTTCATCAGTAATTATAAATATATTTCTTAGTATCATTATCTATTATTTGACTTTTTATTTAAGTTATTGTAATAATATAGCAATAATTTTGAATATTTAAATTATTAGATTTTGAGTGTTAGATAAAATTGAAAAATTTTTTTAATACAATGTTTTATATTAATCTTTATTGCATTGCAGAAAAATTATCAAAAAATATTGTATTAATTTGCCTTATGTATAGCAGTACTAGCATTTTATAAAAAATGGAAAAATTACGTTCCTTGAATAGGGTAGTTGATATATCTGAACCGATATTGGCAGAGGATAGTACATTTTCTATACAAGCATTATCATTAAGTGCAATATTAGAACAATTGGATAAAAATGCTACACATCACGATTATCTTGTTGCCTTACTGTTTGTTTTATTAGCAGAATCTGGATTTTCCATATCATCCACTTCTAACACTTTAAAGTGGTAATATAAATTTATATAAAATACAAAATAACTCTCTTTAGCAATCTGAATTAATATGCATGTTATTTATAGGGAGAAGAATACAAGATTAGTTTATATACCTACAAATTGGAAATTGGCAGAAACAGGGATATATGAAGTATATTTCGTATTGCGTGATTTTGAAAATATTCAATCAAAATTTATTGCAGTACCTTATGGTGATAAAATAATAATTAATATATTCCCGTGCGTGGAAGAGAAAAAGACTTATAGCATGATTATTCAGACATTAAAGTATGTGAATCCATGCACAAATAATCCATGTTTCCGATATCTGAATCTCAGAGAAATATCACATAGGTATGTGTGTGTGTATAAAGAATATATAATTTTATCTATTATGTAATATTTATTTAAAAAATGTAATGTATTCAAAATTTGTTAGGTTTAAAAACAAATTAACCATACCTCTGAGGACAGATATATTAACAGCATCATGTTGGACAGGTTTTGCCAGTCTTCAGTGCTTGCCAATAGAGTTACTATGCAAAATTGTAGCTATGTTACATTCATTAGATATGCAGCATCTGGCAGCATGTTCCAAAAAGTTTTATAATGTTTGCTTAGATTTATTATCGATGGATAAAGATTGTTAAGTTGGAAAAACATTACATTTTTACTTATGAATGCCTAAAAAAAACCTTGTCAGTCTTGGATTATTAACAAAAAAATATATATATATCTATATATTTATTATATATATCTATATGTATTGCTGCCTACAATTATCCACATTTTGCTAAATTTTGTTTCTTTTAGGTTTTAAACCAAGAAATTAAGATATTTTCTAAGATGCATTTTATATATTATAAAAATCCTGCAATTTTTTCATCATTTTTGCAAATACACAATCTTTATCTTGTCATATTTGTTCAATACTACATGTGAATATGTACATCCTATATGAAAAAAGGCATGTAACGCTTGAATTGTTGCCGTTTTTCCGCGATGCCGATTGGTTCCTTTATTGCGCTCAATTCATGTTGTGAGCAGCTGTCATTTGCGATTATTACAAATTTTGACAGCTTGTGTGACAGTGAGAAATGTATATATAATAAAGGGGAATAAATGGCGCGCGCGAAGCGCGCGCTTTGCGTTGTCTAGTATATATATAATTGATTTTATATAAATATATTTATGTATATTAAATTATATGAGAATTATTAACAGACACCTTTATGACAATCTTAATCTTGACATATGTAGAAAGGAAAATACACTGATATATTTACTTAATATTTGCTTATGATAGTTTCATAATTTTAGTTTTTGAAATGTTGATGTACATATCAAAAATATATCTTGCAAGTATATGTTACTATTCAATAATATTATTAGTATTCAATAAATCTAATAAATCATCTTTATTGAAAATAATTTTTCGATTTGAGAAAAAAAACGGCTTTTTCTATTATACATACAATTTTATTCTGGTGATATAATTTTCTCATAGACAATTTTTTCATTAAAAAAAGCATTAACACATTCATAAAAATCAAGTTTTCCCTTGAACATGAATTCTGCTAATAACTTACATCTTTATTGCATATATCAAATCAGAGAGTATTCGTATTTCCTATCACGTTTATATTTACATTATATATACAATATTATTATTTATATTATATTTATATTATTTATTTTTTGTATTGTAAGAATTAAAGCTCATATCAGACTGCTATTGAAAATATTGAGATTAAAGATTTGAAAAAATTGAAATTTGACGAATCAGGACAAAGAAATTTTAGTTCCTTTTGTTCTGATGGGTCAAATCAGAATCTAATCTTTAATGTTCAATTTTCAGTATAATAGTTTGATGTAGGCTTTACGATACAGGCATTTTTATGCAGAATGTAACTAGAAGCAGCTAAAAAGACCAGAATAAACCCAACACCGAACAGATTTAACATGTCCGAATAGGTGCGAACGTTAGAGAAAGTGAAGAAAAAAAGAATAATTCGATTCATATCTACTTCATGATGCTGATTAAACGGATGCTGATGTGTTCCTCGTATAATAAATAATTCTACGATGAACCAATATCGAGGAGTGATACATTTTAATTACCGCAGAGAACATCTTAACCTGTCTTCGTCTGTATCTATCTCGAAAAAGTTCCCAGGTGAGCTTTCGTAGTATAACTTCTATTAAAGAAACTACTCATTTTGTTATTTTATAAATTTGTCTATTTATGCCGTCTCATTTCAGTTTTTATTACCTACATTAATTTTTTTTTGTACAAGAATTTAATTATGCAAGAGTTACGTAAAAACGTATGTGTTAGCGTACGTGTTAAACTAGGATACCGTTAAGTACAATATACCGGATGTATTTTCTCTTTGAATAATATATAATTAAACAATTTATCAATTGGTAATTATTTTTAATATAAAATGTATAATTTTGACAGTTAATTTATAAAGGATGTGTATTATTAATGCCAACACATTGATGATAAGATGATATCTTTTCTCGTAAGAAAAATCAATTTAAAAAAAGGAGTTAAAAAATTGTTATTATCCTTAATAACACATTGTAGCTTATATAAAATAACATTATTTCTAGTGTCGCACACAAAATATGATGTCCAATGGCATTTGGAACCCAACTAAACAAATCGAAGATAACTCTATGGCGAATAATGTACATCATTCGACATCATCAGCTTTGGATTCTCCGCTTATGAAGTTGTCTTCATATTTTCTGGCGGTTCGACCATGGTCACTGAGCGCATCGCTAATGCCAACGCTTCTCGGATCTGCGCTTGCATATCGACTGACAGGTCTAGCAAGTTTCAGTTGGATATCATTGATCGTTATTGTGTTCACGGTACTTTGTGTACATGGTGCTGGTAATGTAGTGAATACCTATTTTGACTATGAGAAAGGTGTTGATAGTCGGCAAAGCGACGATAGAATATTAGTAGATCATTTATTGTCTAAAGATGAATTGGTCTCATTGGGAGCTCTTTTATATACAGTGGGCTCTTTGGGATTTGTCTTATTGACAGCTATTTCCCCTGCCAAGATGGAACACTTGGCTCTTGTATACTTCGCAGGTTTATCTTCTTCTTTTCTCTATACAGGAAGTATAGGATTTAAATACATTGCTTTGGGCGATGTACTTGTCTTAATCATATTTGGTCCAGTCTCAGTTCTATTCGCATTTATGGCACAAACTGGTTACGGTGAATTACAGACGATTTATTACGCTGTACCGCTCGCATTAAACACTGAAGCTATTTTACATAGCAACAACACAAGAGATATGGAGAGCGACAAAAAGGCAGGAATCGTGACATTAGCGATTTTGATAGGTCATACCACGTCCCATGTTTTGTATGCTTTTCTACTATTTACACCATATATAATTCTCATAGTACTGGCATTAAAATATTCAATATGGTTTTTACTACCAGTAATCACTCTGCCGACCGCCTTTAAAATAGAAAAAGATTTCCGAAATCCGTATAAAATTCAAAATGTGCCTAAACGAACAGCCAGATTAAACATGTTTTTAGGTATTTTGTACGTTATCGCTTGCCTGCTTGTGGCTTAACTTCCTCCCTTATAAATTATTTATAAAATTGTGACATTAATCCTGGGTTACTTTTATTTAATAATTTACTAATATTTCGGCAAAATATCAAATTTGCAATTTTATTTACTAATATACAATCGACATAACACTCTCTATCATTTTATAATACTATTTGCTACTACTATCATATAATATAACTACTATTATAATTTATGTAATTTTTTTTAATCATAAAAATCCAGGATTGATGTTACTAATGATAAATCAGAATTCATTAATGTATACATCAGCAGCTAATAAATTTTGTAATTTTATTGCAAAATCTCTCTGAATCCTTGCAAATAATGCAATTATTTTCAAATTATAATTAGCCTAAAAAAATCATTATTATTAAAGATATTTTACCACAAGTACAAATCAATTTATAGGATTTTGAATACGCATATGCGTTTGTCACAAAATTAGATCTGTGTGATATCTTGAATATTATTTTATAGTATATATTGTTATATGATCTTTTGTGATATGATAAACAAAATTCGCAAATATTACAATTTTAAAAAATGGAAGATACTACTTATTTAATTTTTGTTTCCAACATTTAGATCCTCGTAAGTCAATTAATTTTTTTATAAGAATCTTCCAAAATTTAAGTTTTTTTAAAATAAATTCGTCTAAAGATTCCATTCAATTACCTCTGATAAATACGCTAAAATAAGCAAATTTTGCAAATTTTGTTACATAAGTATGTGTAAGATATGTACACATACTTTGTTATAACTTTAAATATGTTTGCATATTATTTTACATGTACTTAACATATATACGTACATACATTCATACATATATTCGCACATAGCGATTCACACATAGAAAGAAAAATTAATGTTAACAAATGATATCAGTGGCTACACTTTCACATTATGAGACAAAAAGTTCATATAAACATATATTTAATATCATATCTGCGTATATCGACATGTATGAAAATATGTGGCAATTTATTAATTCGAATATTATTTACATATTATTTACATAATGTCAAAAATAATAATTGTATTTATATTGCACTACACTCAATTCAACCAATCGATATCGAGGAGGGTTATTTAATGCAAATTATCAGTTTTTGTATCTTATGTTTTTGTAATTACATTGCAAATTAAAATTTATTACAGTAAACTTTATCTGAAATGAACTGAAGAGAGTGTAATTTTGGTATTTTTTGTTTTATCCGAAATTAATTTGTAAGAAGTCTGTTTTCAAATATTTGTATCATGAAAATTATTGACATCGTTATAAAAAAAAATCGATTTAACCAAATGATCTACTGTTAAGAGAACATACAGTGGTTTTAAAACATCCTGTATATGAGAGAAAGAGAGAGCGTGTGTATGTGTGTTGTGTGTTGCGCGCGCGCATGTATAAATGTAACAGTGATATATTACAATATCACTTATAACTATTTAACATGATATATATACATATGTTTTGTACTGACACGGTATATTATATATTTTCATGACATATATAATTTAATATTGTATGATTTAATTTATTTTTTAAACAAAAATTAAACTTTTTATTTCATAATAATTCAAACACATGTACATGTATATGTATCGATAATGCAGCATATTTTTGTGTTAAACATAGAATTATTTTATATTTATTAAATAGATTTTTCTTCCTTCTCTTTATTTCCCTTTTCACTTCCATCCTTTTTTTCTTTTCTTTTTCTAATTGTGAATGAATTAAAAATAGAGAGAAATCAAAGATTTCTAATTTATACTTTTACCTAGATCTATCTCAATTCAATTAATTGATCAAGTTTAAACATAAAATAATTAAATATAAAACATTAAATATAAAACAATTATATAAACATAAAAAAAATTTGATTTTAAAAATCTGAAGAAACACATTTATAAAAAATTGATTTAAGTACTCAGAATTTTTCATATTGCATTTAAATATGCAAAAATTGTTATACAAATTTTCTTACAGAAAATAAAAATTGTTATATATACATATATCCTGTATATAACATTATATTAGTAGATTAAATTTTATATTATATAAATTATTTGATCTCAATTTATTGAAAGTTATACAATTTTTTATTAATATATTAAATATCTCTTTGGAGTCATTTATTTCTACGAAATTAAATATTTTATCATACACCATATGCAATAAAATTGTCATATCAGGAATATCTATATAACGTGAATCAAAGATATATAAATATACGAAAAAAAAGAGTAAATTTATGAATCTAGATTAATAAAACATTTTTTTAATTTTATGCTCTTTCTCTCTTGTTTTTTCTCTACTGTCCCAGTTTCTCCTCGATTTTACCAGAATATTTATGAATTTTTTTTTCTATTTTCTCTATGAGAATTTGCGGAAGAATTTGTACAATATCAAATGACAATACTTTTCAGATTATAGAGAAGCGATGTTTTATTAAAAATATCTCCTGTAATTCTATGAATTATATATTGTATGAAATAATTAAATTATGAAAAATAAATAACCAAATATATATAACATTTATATGCGATACACAGTACTTTCCTGTTTGTTTAATAATTTAATGATATTTAAATAAAGTTATATAGTTGATTTTTTCGAACATTTTATTTACATATTTAAATATTATATATATATATACACATACACACACACACACACACACACACACACACACACACATATATATATATATATATATATATATATATATATATATATATATAAGGATATATTTAACTAGAAATTAATTACAGTTCTAATCTACAATTCTAAAATCTAGCATATAACTCATATGTAAATATAATTATTATATTGTGTATGTGTATGCACATTACGTATATAATATAAAACTTACAAAGTTAAAATACATTATAAATTATGTCACATATAATTGAATGGGAGAAAAAAAATCACATATGTTTCTTTTCCAAGTTCTCTTCATCAAATAAGGCATTCTTCAGTCTTTCTTCCAATAATGTATTCTCTAGTTGTTGTATTTGCAAGCGATTTTCTATCTCTTTAGACACAGAGTGTATTTCTATGACTTGAGCTTTGGTACTTTCACAAAATTCTGCTAATGAACCAAATTTCTCATCTAGTACATTATCATGTAAATCGTTTGCCGATTTATTGAGTTTCTTCCTTTTTACCATCGGTTCACTTGATATGCTATTATCATCAATATCTAATTCATGTGACAGAAATTTTGTTAGTACATTAGATTTAAACCACCATGGTAACGTTTGGAAATGTTTAATGTGATTTCTATTATAAATGACTATTTGATCTTCTTTTAAAAGACGTACTTTTTCTTTAATCATATATAGTAGTACGTGTACAAAATTAGATAGCTGCAAACTTCCCGAAGTGAGATATGAATTACTTAATATATCAAAAAATATAATGTTACAATTTGAATCAGATAGTACTTGTCTACAATACTTTGTAATATATCGTCGTAAGTCTTGTATATCTGTTATTGGCCATGGTGCACTGAAATAAGAAAATAAATATACAAATATTAAAATATTAAAAGAAACAATACAATGATTTTTAATGTATATGTAGATGTATTAATTAATATTACAACATAGATTTTATACTCACTTCCATGATGGTAATATAAAACTATTCATTGTAGTCTCTAGTTCTGCCCTATATTCATCTTGTTTCCAAGATTCGTCGAAATATTCATAACTGCATGGCATTATATTATTATTTTTAAGGAACTTTTTTAACTCGGGTGCAAAATTTGTATATAACATAGATTCTGGGTCTAAAACTATGTCTATCAAATGATTTACAGCTTCATTGTGCAAATCAATTATAAAATTGGGATTTGTTAATGCATTTGACAATTGTTTATTAAACATAGCATCACCCAATATCCTGTATATAAATAATAATAATTAGATAATAATGAAATACACACATGCACACAATACATATTATACAGAGTGTTTATTTAAATTTTGTAGAAAATAATTTCTGGTTTTCGAAATATTGTTATTCAAAATTCTAAATAAAGAGAATATTTAAAAAATGTTTATGATGTAATAATTTTCTAAGTTTTTTTTATTGTATACATTTTCTAATGCTTTCAATCCAGAGAATAGATACCTTATATATATATAACATGAAATATAAAAAAATTGAGAAAAAAGGAATTACCTTAACCATAACTCTTCTGACAAATAATTGTTGTACATATTAGACAAATAATCCATGTCCAATGGATTTGGTGGCGATTTGTTCATTGTCAACCATAAAATTATACTTTGTATCAAATTTAAAATAACTTTTGTAGATAGCTCTTTCTTGTACATAATCGTATATTCCAGTATATAACCAGATTCCAAGAAAGATTCCAAGACAGAGACAATATCCTCATTCTGAATTTTCAAATTTCCATCACCCAAGATTATAAAAGCGAGCGGCATAGGCATCAGCTTGTGTCTTGATAATACCGTTTTTGTTAAACGTTTAGCAACAAATTCATAATTTTCCGAAGCATCAGCAATAAATAGAAGCGCATCAGTACCGATTAAGTTATGCTCACTAATAAAACCTTCGAGGTGTCTTATGCATACATGTAAAGTTTCATAGGGATTTGGTCGATAAACTTTTAGAATAGGATCCATTGTAAAATCTTCAGGATACAAGTACTCATTTATCACTTTTTTATAATGCCATAAGACCGTTCTATTGCTCAAGTCCGGCCAGGAGATCACCAATTTCCAAAATATATTAGTCAAAGGACTAATATCCAATAATCGTAAATTCTCTTTAATACCAGCATACACGATAACTTCGATTGGCGCAAGAGTTTCCGTACTGATTGTGTCTTCCAATTGACGTTGTTTTTCGTGCATATTTTGTATCACTACTTCCTGTTCTTTGGAATATAACATTTTTGCATTTTCCTCCACAGATTGCTTCTGCAACCAGACTGGTGTGCTTTCTAATGCTTCTCTCTGTCGTTTTTTTTTCAATACATACTGTTTCCAAGCATTGAAACATTTGACAATTACTCGATTTTTAATTCTTGATAACATGGCTTGTAACTTCTGCTGATTTTTAATTTCTGCAGTTAATATTGCATCACACATTTCATAAATAACTTCGCCGGTCATATCAAAGAGAATTTTCTCGCTTAATGTATCATACATTTTTATCCTTTCAATGTTCTCCTTTGCAATGGTAGAGCAAAATTCATGTGCGATTTCCTCATATAAGCTGTTGTAAATTTCTTCCGATTGCTCTTTGATTTGTTGCATTTTTCTCGTATACTCCAACTTTTCCAGTTTTTCTTTCTCACCCTTCAACATTTGTACATCTTGGATCTTCTGTTCTTCCTTAAAAGTTTGTACCTCTATTATCTTATTCCCATCACTTGCATTTGTTGAAATTGGTGTAAGAAAATAATTATTAGTGAAAACTGAAGACGTAATATTTTCAGTAAAAATATTTTCTGATCTTATTCCCTCTGAAGCGATTTTTTTATTTATAGCTGTTGCAAAAGACACAGCAGGTTCTACATTACGCGATATTTCCAATTGCTTTGAAAATGTAGTAGAATTGTTTGTAAACATATTATTATTACTAAAAATATTGCTAACAAAAATTTCAGACTGTTTATTTTCAGTCTTAGTGTTTTCTTGATGCATTATGCCGGTTACCACATTTTCATTATTAAATTGTTTATCAAAAGCTATTTTCATTTGTGCAGTTGATTCACATGAAGATTGAGGTTTATACTCAAATATATTTGATATTTTTGGTTTAATTTCACTGGTTGTGTTTGATGTCATTTGGAAAACATTCGATGTGATTGATTCGGAAGCCGATATAAAGTTAGATGTACTTGATACATTATTCATACTAGCTGACGGTTTTTTAATTTGCATAGGATGAACGTCCTTTATGGCTTTCGGATTTTTGTCTCGGATTAATGGCATCTTTTTCGTTTTTCTCTCTGTGAATTCATATGAATGTTCATATTCGTGTTCTATAGAAGAGGTATCAATATTTTGATCCGTGGCGTTGATAGATTCAGGCATCAAATATCCGTGTGCGTCAAAGCTATCATGCGGTTTATGGTTCTTGTAAGTCTTTTCTGGCATTTTACCACCAGCAATACATTGTCCAATACTGAAATTTAAATAGAGTCTCTTAGATTCTATTAGATTATAAGCTCTACCCTGTTGTATACTCGCTGCGGGCATGCTAAAGTTCTGACGATTTAAGAGAATGTGCAACTCATCATTCGATAAGTTCAGGCCTATTCGTTCGCAGAAATATTTAACTTCATTCTCATTTTCGAAGCCAAGGATATCTATTAATTCGTACAACGGAAAAGCTGTCGAAGTACTTCTACAATACGCCTTCAACATTATCGAAAAAGCTTTCAATCTAACTTGATTGAAATATCTTAATAAGATACAAGCGTTCAAGTAAGTCGTCTCTCGAACGAGCTTAAAAAATTTGTAGTAATTATTCGAATCCAGTGCAAAGTATATATTGATTGCAAACTGAATTTCTGGTGAATTTTGCACAGATTTTGGTAATTGTTGCAGATCATATAGAAAATTACCATTGTTTAAATTTAATAAAACAATGTATGCTCTGAATTCTGATTCGTTTTCACAAGTAATACCTTTTACTCTTAAATCGTCGTACATATATTTCAAGGTCTGCAGACATTTCGTTAAATTTTCCGTATTGATTTTCTTGTCAAATACAGATGCGTCTTCTGCGCAAAGTCTCTCTGAACAGACTATGTGAAATCTAGCGCATTGTTCGATCAATTCCACGCTTTCTATGCAACACAGTTCTTGTTGTGTAATATCCTTTCTAATCCCTCTTGTTCTATCCCATAAAAAATGATACCATTCTGCCAGATTTGTGTTTTCTTGCTCACAGAGATCCATTATCTCGTGAAGCAAATAGCTCATAGTCATTTTCAATGATTTCACTGGCCTTAATTCATGGGGCATAGGTTCCTCTTGATCCGCGGAAGATCTTGAATATTGTTTTATAGCTGTCATGTGATTTATTTTGTATTCATTTCCCTCTAGCTGTTCATATGACGCGATTTGTCTCTGCGATTCGCGCATAAGACGTTCTTTTTCTGGACACATATCTGGGCAAGTTCCACTAGTTACTTTAGCTGTTGCAAGTGAAGCTGGTTTGACTCGTTTTAATCTCATGAGACGATCTCTAGCTTCTAAAATCTTGTATTTGTCTTCAGTTGTAAGAGCAACTTGATGTATGATATTTTGTAACTCTTCGATAGAAGTATTAGGTAAAGGTTTAATTATCTGACTTTCATTATCAAGTTTTTCAACCTTTCCAACAATTTTCTCAAGTTTGATTGCTGTTTTCTCATGTGATAATACTGTTTTCCCTAAAGGTGCTCTGACTTTTAATGAAAATAATGTGCCTGTATTATCAGATACTTTAGAAAGAATCTCCTTGTCAGAATGTAAATTATACTCTAAATTTGTCATGGCTTCTAATTCTGATTTAATCTCGTCGTCGGGCGCTTTAAGCAGATTTGTCACTATATTTTTATGTGGAATTTTCCTTTTAGCTGGCATTTTCGACGATTCCAATTTTGTCCATTCTACATGGAACTTCTCACCCATGTAATCGCTACTGCCATAATATGCAGCATTTGCCTCCTGTTTCGTTGTATAGATTACTATGATTGTGCATTTCTTTGGACGAATAGTTATTTTCACTATATTTCCAAATTTTATGAAATATTCTTTTGCTGCCGTTTTAGTCAGCAAAGTTTTTGGAACATTGGTACATGTTATTGAATTGTTTATATTAATTTTGGTATGTGATCTGGAATTCTTTTTCAACTGTTCAAATGCTCCTGTATCCTTAAGAGCACTAGTAAACATATTAAATGTGGGTTTATATGTGGATCTAGAAATTCTTGGTTTATATCTATTGAATTTATTGCCTTGTGGACCTTTATCATAACCTTTATCATACTGCAGTAATGTAGGTACAGCAAAGGTAAATACATTCTTCTGATTGGAATGAGTATCAGGACCATAATCTAATTCTACATCGAAATTAACAATTCTTGAAGGATGAGATATATTACTTGGTTTTGAAAATACAAAGCGATTAGAGACCGTGTTCGCTTCGGAAATGTCTTCCACATCCATTTGATCCATTTGGCCAAACATTTTACTTTATCTTAATTTTCTGCAACATATATAAATGTCATCAAATAAAATTATCTCTGTCAAAAAAAGAAATTGAGTATCTTAGAATTCAATTAAATATATATTTACCTTTAATATTTATTCATAACACGTATAGACAAACTGTTGAATATATATATATCTCAAGATAATTATAATAAATGTGCCTTTTTGTCTGTAATTAATTTAAAATATTTATATAATTAATTTAAACTTAGCAATTAAATCTATTTTTTTTTAACTGAATAATATTTATCACCTGGTAAGATAATATATCCAGTTTATTTTGCTCAGTATATAAAATCTATAACATAGACGTACTAAATACGTAGATGGACCTTTCTTGTTCTTTTTTTACGATAAGAGTGATGGTAGTATCTTTATCGTACGACGAAATAATCAATTGGTTATTAGATAGAGAATTTCTAGGGTTCCGAAAATTCCTTGCAATAACAGCCAATCAAAGCACTACAAATGAAATATCACTAGATACGTCCGAAATATTATCTCTGAAATAAAATAACCTTTTAATTACCAATCAAGATAAAAGAAGCAAAAATATTTTCGTCCTGATTGGTCAAGTCAATACTACTTGATTAATCAGTTAAAAATGTTTCATATTTTTATGTATTATTGTATTTGTAATTATTTACATTTTTAGATTCATTATATCTACAATATATAATATGCAAATTAACATATAAATTATTAATATAGAAATTCCGTATAGCTCTTTAGTCTGTTTTCTGTTTTGTTTATTTTACTATTTGAAAATAGGAGTCTCTTTGCAAATTTTATTTTCTTAATAATATATATATATTTATTGTTATAGTACATATAGTATATAATTATAGTTTTATTATATAGTATTATATAATCATAGTTTCATTATTTAGTTTTTATATTATGTAATACATAATTATAGTTTAACATTTATAATTAAATATTTTATATTATAAAATATATAAATAATAATGCACAAAAAATTAATATCATTTCAATATGTAATGTAAAGAATCTTATATATATAAATGATTTCTTGTTTCTGACATTACAATTTAATATGAAGAATTAAAAAAGCCTTATTATCAAATTATACAATTTATTAAGTAACAGAAATATTGTTTTCAATATTATAATGATTCTTTAATTCATAAACTATTAATAGATAAAATAAAAAAAATTATTCAAAATATTGTAAGATATGCATCTATTTATTTAACATATTTGATATTAGACATTAATTTTTTATGCAAAAAATTATTTATATTTTCAAAAATTTTCCATAAAAATTCTTATACAAAATTATTCTTATCACTTACGAAAATGTAAATGAAGAAAGATAACAATTCCATTTTACTATCAATTAATATATAAATGTATTTGTATATTTATAAATTCTAATATATATGTTCTGGAGTATTTTTAATATACACATATATATGATGAATGTGAAAATATGTGCGTGTATATATATATAATTTATATATGTATACATATGTATATTAGTTCAGTAAACTAAATTGGAAGTATGGATTTAAACAATTATCTAAATAAATATTGAAATAATTATCACAATTTATCTTGCAGAGTACTTTTCTTATCTACCATACATAGCATCCAAAAATAAACCCGAGAATACTATAAATGTACTTAACCATTGTCTAGGCGAAAGATTATTGCCAAAAATTAATATAGAACCTAACACGGTGAAAAATTTCCTAGTAGTGGTTATAATCGAACACGGTAACGGACCAAAGTCAACCACTGTCAGAAATATGAAATATTGTCCAAATGCACCAGCTAGAGAAAATGTCATTATATGCCATATAGTAAAGGGATATCGTTGCAGAAAATGAATGAAATCAAAGAGCTCTCCAGAAATAACAATAACTATGCCACTAAAAATAACAGACCAAAGGTTCATGTTAAGCATCATATGACCCGATTTTGACTTATATTCCGCTCTCATTCGCTCCTGTATTGCACTTGTTATTCCATCCATTGTTAGCGATAGTAGCAACAATAATTCTCCAAATAATTCTCCTGACAGGTATGATTCTGACTGCTTCTTAGAGACAGTGCCATCTTTATACATAAATAACGCAACTCCAATGACAATCAAAAAAATAAATAAGTATTTCCTAACTGGATATATCTGTAAAAGAAAAACGTGACATTTAGAGACAGCGGAAAATTTGATAAATATATAAGAAACTTTTGTATATCAAAAAAATGTCAAACGAACTCTTCTCCCTAACAGGACACCGAGTATCATCACAGGTATAGGCTTGCCAGCTTTGCCGATCACCTGCGTTGGATAACTGACAAATCGCAATGCCATATTACTGCAAACCATAGCAAGTAGATATGTCAGAGCTGACAGGACATAGTACAATGTTGATGTATCATCCTCGCCCTGTCTCATCACTGTCAGTAGAATAAATTTAGCGAATACATAGTTCACCAGGCATTGGACGAAAACCAATGCAAACATATATGTAAATTTCTCTCGGTTCTCTTTGTCGCCGTATTGCCCGCGCGTGATTTTTTCTTGCAACATGCCGAAATAGAAATAACACACAAATATACCGGCCGCGCAGAAAAGTAGCTTGGAATGCTTGTTAATGGGCATTATATTTTTTTTTATCTTCACGGATATAATATCATGCAACTAAGCCGCTTTATCGCTCGATCCACGTGTGCGATGTCCTCGTTGTTTTGACGGCGCGAACACACGACATTTAATTGTAACGTGGCGGGCAACGATAGGACGTAAGAAAAGTTAGGATGTTTATATCACATAATATATAAATTATATAGACCACAGATTTTTATATCACAGAGGCCTGTCATAGTGTCCCTAGAAGATCTTCTAGGGACACTAACCTGTCACAAAGATGCATTACCGACGATGTACTAAAGACGGCTGTGGATAAATTTTCACCGAATGGGCTCGATGGATAATTGAAAAAAACAATGACATTACCAACAGCGTTTTGATTTTACCAAAAATAAAATGGCGAAATGGAGAAAACATTTTATCATATTCTTACGAGTCTTCTTATTAGTGTGAAATAATAATAAATATTCATAATTAATGAAAATTTATGAAAATTGCGACATCAGAGAGAGAAATAAATGTAATTAAAAACAATCCACTCATTATTTTTTGAGAACAATACATCTAACAGCAAAATATCTGACATTCGCTCGAGGGATATAAATATATATACATACATATAGTATATCATTTATATTGAGAGCATTTTATATATTGCTTGTCCTTTTTTCATTTTCTCGATAACGATTCGTATCGTATCCTAATCCTATCATATCGTATCGTATTATCATTATCATATTGTATCCTAATAGGATTAAGAGCAATCGTTTTATATTGGATATAATTACCGAAAACTATTAAACATTTAGTTCCGATAAGTGACCGACGTCGTCTCTTTTGAAATGATTTATTTGTTAATTTTCGATAAAATATAATGTAATAATCGTTAAACTAATGACGGAGCAATAGGGAGCAATTAGAGAGCAATCGTTTTATATCGAATATAATTGCCGAAAACTATTAGAAATATGTTTTTCAGTGAAAATGATAAATTTTACGTTTTTTGGAAATATTAAAAAAACTATTAGTTTTAAAAGGGAGGCAATTGTAGATTCAGACGGCGCAATTAAGGAGCAATCGTTTGAGTTATAATTGTGCACATTACATGTTATCTTCTGACAACATTGGTGGATACTGATTTCATAGTTCCACGTTTTTAATGTGCATAAAGGGCGTATCGCTTTCAGGAATCATCTAAAAGTGGGCGATACCCCTCAGTCGTATCTCTGGTGTGAATAAAGCGGCCTTTTCATTGACGCTACTTTTTAGCGTCAATGAAATTGCACCTAACAGTTGGCAGCCCTACGAGATAGGCTGTGCAGCACTGCGCGTATATAAAATAAATTTGAAATCGCTTCTAGCCTAACCATCTTCATGCGATCGACTTTATTTGAATTGCACGGCATCGCATCGAATTATGATGCGGCGCCGATTTGTTCGAACGTAATTCGGGACATCGCGATGCTGTATAAGCGTCGAATGAGCACGAATTGTCACGCAAATATGATAAATCTACTCACCGTTCACCGGCTGTTCCACAGGCCGCTCCACTCGCTCGCCTCGGGACGTCCAATTCCGATCTTGATGCACACGATATCATCAACGCGAACGCGCGACACTTTATTCGACACTCCCGATATTCGCTCGCATCCGATAATCATCATCAAGGGCGCAAATAACGCGACGCAACTTCGCTCCATCTTCGCGATCGCGCTATCACTGAACTGTGAAAAACAGCTGTCGCGCACTTTCACCGACATATTATGAAAGTCGCGCGATCATCCTTGGACACTTTCGACGCTCTTTCACTCGCGATATTCGTTTAAAAACGGTTAAAAGACGCGAAAAATGCGGACGTACGACGATCCGCGTAACTGCGTATGACTCCGATTCACGTATGACGCGTATGACGTAGTAGCACGCGCTAACATGGCGGCCGAACCAGTGCGCATTCATTTCTGCGCACTGGTTCGGCCGCCATGTTAGCGCGTGACTGCTACGTCATACGCGTCACTGCTACGTCATACGCGTCATACGTGAATCGGAGTCATACGCAGTTACACGGATCGTCGTAGGTCCGCATTTTTCGCGTCTTTTAACCGTTTTTAAACGAATATCGCGAGTGAAAGAGCGTCGAAAGTGTCCAAGGATGATCGCGCGACTTTCATAATATGTCGGTGAAAGTGCGCGACAGCTATTTTTCACAGTTCAGTGATAGCGCGATCGCGAAGATGGAGCGAAGTCGCGTCGCGTTATTTGCGCCCTTGATGATGATTATCGGATGCGAGCGAATATCGGGAGTGTCGAATAAAGTGTCGCGCGTTCGCGTTGATGATATCGTGTGCATCAAGATCGGAATTGGACGTCCCGAGGCGAGCGAGTGGAGCGGCCTGTGGAACAGCCGGTGAACAGTGAGTAGATTTATCATATTTGCGTGACAATTCGTGCTCATTCGACGCTTATACAGCATCGCGATGTCCCGAATTACGTTCGAACAAATCGGCGCCGCATCATAATTCGATGCGATGTCGTGCAATTCAAATAAAGTCGATCGCATGAAGATGGTTAGGCTAGAAGCGATTTCAAATTTATTTTATATACGCCCAGTGCTGCACAGCCTATCTCGTAGGGCTGCCAACTGTTAAGGTGCAATTTCATTGACGCTAAAAAGTAGCGTCAATGAAAAGGCCGCTTTACACACTGAAAAAGTTGAAACTGTTTGAACTTTATTTTGGGTGCTTTCCATTTAGCAACACAAGTCGACACAAGTGTCATTCTATCTTTGGGTCTGTTCTTTTCAGCTGCACTGCTGCACTAGTGCAATTAGTTAGAGTGAAAGAAAACATGTTTGTCTCTTTCTAACTTATTGCACTAGTGCAGCAGTACAGCTGAAAAGAACAGACCCCTTGTTTATTGTTATTCATTGAAAAAAGATAGAATGACGCTTGTGTCGACTTATGTCGCTAAATGGAAAGCACCATTTATTGACGCCATATCTAGAGAAAGTCTAGTGATTTTAATTTGCCGCTGGTTTCTAGCGTCAATGAAATTGCACCTTAAGTTCTTTGGTGGCATTTACATAAACGTAGAAGCGTCAAATCAAACGTAGTTGAATATGTCGTAGACTTCGTTCGGTTTAATTTGTTTTAATTAATTCGCCGCTCAAACGTAAGATCGAGTAAACTTTGGCGCGTAATTAACAATCAGAGAGGAAAGTCTCCTTAGGAAAAATCTCCTTAATATAAAGGAAAAATCTCCTTAATATCATCGCCGCAAATATATATATATATATACCAAAACACATTGGAAAAATGGCGGAGCAGAGTGACAGAAGTCAATTACCGCCCGGTTGGGAATGCAGATATGACATTCGTAGTGGTCGTCCGTACGTATAACAGAATATATATACGATTTTTTATTAGCAAAAAATTCATATAAAGGTCTTAAGATCAAAATCTCGTATCGGTACCAATAATTCATGTTTTTCTAACGTAAAGTACATAGCTTGCATATACGTATATAAAGCATAGATATTTAAAAATTTTAAAAATTAGCATTTTTTTCAAAGATAGATAAATTGTTAACATATTTGTTGTAAAAATAGCGCACATTTATGAAGATGACATTTTGCCTATTAATTGACACATTTTGAGTTCAAGGAGATTTTGTCTTGCGTTAAGTACACTTATCTAAAAATATTTATCGAAAATCGATATGTATAGTATTTCTTAATGTAAGTAATTAAATATAGTTGATATGTTGATGTTTTGTAGATATTTTATAAATCATTTCAATCGCACCACAACATGGGAAGATCCAAGAGTAAGGTACTGGCAGTATTCTCAGTATATTCAATCTCAGAATTCAATGGCTCTGAGTTCAGCTACTACTACTACTTCTCAAGATATTCCTATGCAGGTCAGTTAACAACAATATTGAGAATTAATTAATGTTACTTTTAAAGCTGTTATCATTATTATAACTATTATCGTATTATTTTTTTTATAAATATATAAATTTTATATATGTAAATAGAGGACAAATAACTTTATTGCAATTTTTTTAATAAATAATATTTAAATTATTTTTTAAATTGTTTTAAATTAATTTTATCATTACTCGATATATCTCAGATATATTTAATTTATTCAATTGCCATAATTTCTAAGCAAAGAAATATACCAGTAAAAAGTGCTGAAAGTAATACTACATGTATATGAAAGCTATAAGTCTTCTTTAAAATTCCTAGTTCCTTATTGATATTGAATATTATTATTATTATTATTATTATTTATATTATTATCATTATCATATTATATAATTTTAATTTTTAAACTTATATTGTTTTTTTTGCAAAGAACTTGACTTTAAAAATCATTTAATATATAAATCATTTTTTTGTTTACTTTGAGAACTTGTTTTTTATGTCAGCAATTACAGTTTTAAAATCGAAATATTTAGATTTTTTTATTTTATGGAATATTTTCTTTTCTTTTTTGACTACTTTTCCAAGAATTGAAATGTAATTTTAATGAAGAAACTTTGATTTTTATTTACATTTTATTACATTGTTAATAATGTATCTATTTCTTCATAAGAAATATATATAATTGTGCGATATGTTTCTGCCTTAACTTGATGGAAACTATGAATGTAAATTGCCCGTCTTCGTTTGAAGCGTGCGAAATCGCGTACTTTCGTCACTGAAAAGAGCGTGAAATAAATAAATTAGGATTTCCCTGTCTAAGTGTTCTTACTAATATTAAGTTGGTGGGACTCATTGTGTTTCGGCTGATTATTCGTACATGAATGATCGTAGTTCATATCTTGGAAGGAATTCGAGTGAGGAATTCAATGCAAGGAAGAGGGAATCACAATTGTGTATTATAATTTTCGACCAATTATACATATATATCATGCGGAATATCATGCTTCTTGTATGATTGTAGAAGAACAGGCAAGAAATAGATTAAGAAATTCGCTCATCTCGCGAATCGTTCGCTAACGACCGAAATATTTTATCATGATATGACTATAAAATAATCGCATTGATTTTAAAAAATTTATTTGTATGCCAAACTATCTCCAGAAATAGTACTGTTTATAAAGCTTCAAGTTAGATCTATCAATTGTAAAAGTTTCATTATTGTATACATATCTATGAATCATAAAATATGTCGATTAAAAAATCGATAAAAATTTAATGTCATCACGAAATATTAAAAAAGTTTTTAGGATAATCGCTAATAAGATTTATCCCTTTGATTACCTGCTCATTCACTTGATTTAGCATTCTGTTTCTGTTTCTAAAAATCTTTTGAAAATTCCAGTGAAAAAAATTCATGATAACAGCATTCTAGTGATTCAAGGGATTGCAACTCCTTGAAATAATTTTAAAAGAGGACTTCTAGAAACCAATCAATAATTTGCCCTGTATCGATAAGACATATTTTGAAAAAATAAATTTGTCTTTGTTTTATACAGCTTTAATTCGGTTATTTTATAGCCACATCTCCTATGATTCGTTTTTGTTATATTATTATTCTTTGTAATTTCCATTTGCTTTTCTTTGAACATTGTGGATAACAATTTTATTTTATTAATCCTTTAAAATCATATATGGTTCATTTTGATCTTACCGTTATTTTAACAATAGTATATCACAAGTCTTAATCAATAATAAAAATTTACTTAAAATTTATTTTTTAATATGATCATTTTCTACAGATGTCAAGGAATATATATAAATTTTTGTAGATTTTTTTCAAGCACTTTCAAGCATCTTGAGACAGCTAAAATTGCGACAAGACATTGTGATCCATATGTGACCAGAAACGAAACAAAAAAAATGTGTGATATACAAGAATTAATAATATTCAAGAACTTGCATATTGTTTCCGTTCCTTGCACTTTCCTCGTTTTTTCACATTTCTATTTCCATATTATTTTTACACTACTTCCACACTGCTTTTGCATCCTTTTCGTTTCCGCACTGCTTTTACGTTTTCGCATTATCTGTGTAATATTTCCACAACGTTTCCCCCTTTGCACTGATTTCATATCATTTTTTGTATCATTTCTGTAAGTTTCTATATCATTTCCATATTTCTTTTGCACCGTTTCTGTATTGCTTTTGCAACTGCTTTCATATTTGCACATTCTGCATTTGCATATACACTTTCATCAGCTTTTCGCATTCACATCCCCGTTTCCTCCGCACATATATATGTACATAGTATTCCAGATTATTCCTAAAAGCATCGCTCAATTTTGCATAGAAAATCTTTAAAACATTTATTAGGCTTTTATTAGGCTTTTAAGTTTAATAATTTATAAGTCATTTAATAATAACTAGAAAAATATAATTTTTCGTTAATTTCTAGCAACGATATATAAATTTATGTGTGTATATGTGCGCGTGTGTATGCATATAGTATAGGTGTCGATGTGTGTAAATTTCCATTCTTACAATTAACATTATTTAGGATCAACGACATATTAGCCCGCTGTCAATATAGTGTGATGTCATATTATGCTTAGTTTTGATTTAATTTCTGTTGACATATTGTGTCAATACGCAATATTCAAATTTTATTATTTTATACCAAGGAAGTTTTATTTAATTTTTGTAAAATTTAGATTAAAAAAATATTGTTATCCACATTACAATAGATTTTTTCATTAATGTGTGATTACTCAAATAACGTCTCAAGAATTAAATTTAATGAATTAATATCAAGTAACATTTTTTGTAATGTTGTTACTTACAATATTTATTATTCAAGAAAAAATACATATAAAACATTTTTCAATTTTTATAATAAATATAAATTAATTTAATATATTAAACAAGAGGGTTTTTTTAAATATATTCGACTTTATTTTATTACTGTGAAAGCTAATTATATGAGATAGAAATATGAAACAATAACAATAAATTATTATAATGTTATTATCTAAAAAATAGAATTTTTAATACATTACCATATCTTTGATTTACATCTATGTAATTATGTTGTCTGTTTTATATGTACAAAAATTTCCTATCTCGCACTTAAATTACATCATATCTTGTCACACTTTAAATGTATGTATTCTTGTAATACACACGCTGCATTTGGATAACGCACAAAAATATACCACAAATAAATAGACTGGAGGAAGCGGAAGTGGTGGGCACTTAAGTTATGTAGGTGGTCATAGAGCTCCGCAAATTTATCCGACACCGTCCCCTTATCATAATCCACAACTAGCATTTTTACCTCCCAGTGCACAGGTAAGTAGATATTTATATTGGACCAACCTCTCATTCTCATGAATCATGCATGCATTTATCAGTAAATTATTAATCATAATTTATAATATAATCTGTAACATAATCTCTTTCAATTGTTGTATGTGCAGGAGCTGAAAACACCACTATCATTGAAATCTACCAGTGCAGTAACAACTCGGTTCGGTGATTTAACTTTAGAATCCCCGACTCCAATAAGAAATACAGAGACAAGCTTTACTCAAAACTCCGACTCTGAATCACAAGTGGCAAAAATCAACGCTGTATTTCCAACAGTTTCTGATACACATATTCGTCTTTTACTGAAAAAGTAAGTTTCTTATGCAATTATCTATTAGCAAAATTTTCCATCTGAAATTTAATACTTATATTTAGTACATTTTCATGTCCATAATAAACATTAATATCAATAGTATGAACATGGAAATATGAAATATCAAAATACTAATATTTTAACATAAAACTACCATGTATAGACGAAATTGTAAATATTTCAAGTACATTGGTTGTTTATCCAAGTCCTCAGCTACTATTTCCCTTAATTAGCACTATACAGACTTAGTGCTAAGTCGACAGCCAATGTCTTTCAGATACCATAACAGAGCAGCTTTGGTCATGAGTGCCCTTCAAGTGGAAAAGAATCCTCTTTGCGCCCCAGGACCATGTACGCCTGTAGGAGTGCATTCAAATTATACAATTCCGAGATGGCGTCTACCAGCTCATGCTATACATGCAGCACTAACATTGAGTCCGCCTCGCGGAGTTCGGCCAGCCCCTAACTCCCCAAAAATGAAACTTAGGTTTAATTACATATTCATAATTTCAGTTTCTCATCACCCAGTCTGGATGCTAAATGTTGATATCGTATCTTGTGATAATTTGAAAAAAATATCAGACAAGAAGTATTGTTTTTTTTTGCATTGTTGATATTATTGTCTAGTATATTTCATACATATATATGTGTGTATGTATATATATATATATATATATATATATATATATATATATGTGCATATATACACACGATATTACAATGGAATTTCATAATAGTGCACTTTGAAATAGCACACATTTCTTTTATATGTGCTAGATAATGAGTAATCATGAATGAAAATAACAATTCAACTGTGCAGCAATACATATATCAATAGGTTTCTCCTAGCAGTGTACTTAAAAGGACATATTCGTACAAGTTTCGTATGATTCTGAATTTTACAAAAGTGGGAATAATGTCGTTAAAATATTTCAAAGCTCCGTACAGTATGCTATTATGAAGTTCCATTGTATTAATATTATATAGTGATAGCATGTATGAAATCATAGATATCCTTGAATTATTTTTAGATATTAATTGAAATGCAAACTTTATAGTAGATTAGCCGATTTTTCAATAATTTATGTTATGCACGATAGCAAATATTAATATTAAATAATAATTTACGACAAATTATCCTTATCAATATTGCTATTTTTAATTTGTTATTATCTTACTGTTTTTAAGAAAAAAATTTGAAAAATATTTTATTATATTCATCAATATGCAATTTTAAATATATTTATTATTCTGATTTTATTTTAATTTTTAGTTATTTTTTTCTCTAACTTATATGTAGTACATAGATATTAAATTTTTGTTACTTAGAATAGTTTGATTTGTGTTTTATATTACATATTTTTATCTGTTATTTATATTTTGTTTATTATTTATTTATATTAAATATTATATTTGTCTATTATTTATTTATATTAAATATTATTGTTTTGTATTGTTACAGTTAGATATCTTATAAAAGGAATAAAAGAGTTTTTGCATGCATCTTTTTAATGTTATATCATTTATTATAATAAAATAGAATTATGCATATTTACAAATATATGCCATACACACACACACGCACACGCGCACACACACACACACACACACACACACACACATACATACATATATCTTATTTTATTTCTGAAACATCCTTTTTACGTAATATGACATTAAATAATTTATATAATATATAATAATATAATACACATATAATACATAATATTTTTAATATAATATTTTTTATATAAAATGTGTCGACTCAAAAATTATTTTATATATAGGATGAGAATTTTTTTTCTCTATAAAAATCTAAAAACATCAGTCTTAGCGGAAATTAATTTACGTAAATATTGTATAGTTTTAATAGAGATTTAATTTGAATAAAGTTGTATTGCATAATTAAATTTTTTTCATATATATAATTAAAATATTTGAATTATGCAATATATTATAAATGATCCTATTTAAACTGCAATTTATCTGAAATCATTTTCGCTAAATCAAATTAAAATCTAGAAGAAAACTAGAATAAAATAGTTACAAAGCTGTTGAAATTTAGTTGTGTGCTCCGTCCTATATATACATATATGTATAACATGCTCCAAAATTTCTTGGTTAAAATATTATAGCAAGAAAGTTATTGAAAAATAAAATAATAAAAGTATTGCTACTTTTTATTCTAAGTAACAGTTTTTGAGATATAAAAATTTAAAACTGGCCAATCGCAGATTATGATTAGATAATCTATTGCTAAGATAATAAATGTAACATAACTAAAAAAGAATCGCCTGTCTTTAAAATATTTCAATTTTGTTAATGTCATAATGAAAAGTATTTACATCCGTTTCTATTGTTTGTACGCTATAGCAACAGTATAATATTTATACAATTTGCAAGTCATTAAATATAATTAATGACATTTTATTCGTTGCGTTCTTATTTATTCGCAGTGCATTCATTAAATTACAAATCAATACTGTGCATTGTACATTATCATATGGTAATATTGCAGAAAACGCGCATATAATTTTTTACTTAACATCAATAAATGTGTAAAATGCATAACTGTTGAGTCTATCGTGTGCGTGATTCATGAAATAGTGTTTTAACATAGTCTGTGATTGAACAGCTTTAAACTCTTCCACCTGAAAAATAGCTGCTTGAAAAACAAGTATAAATACTTTTATATAACTATTTAATTTTTCTTATTTGCTATAAGATTTTAACTAATTTTTAAAATTTTTGAGATATCTTATATAAACAAAAAAACTCATTTATTCTAAAATGAGATAAAATTCAAGCATGATAGTATATGTGCATGTATATTATATCCTAAAAAAGTTTAAATAATGATAACTATAGAATAGTTAATCGTTAATTACAATAAAGACAATTTTTACTACATATTTATTTTTAGATATCAGTTGAACATATATTTCAAGTAAAATTAATTATTAATTCTTTATGTATGTTATTAATTTACTAATCTGATGTATACACAAATTATATTTAAATAAGATTATATTAAATCATCTATTTATTTAATATGATGAAAGTTATAATTTGCATATTATAAAAAAAATATATTAAATATATATGATATATACATGCATCATGTTTGTATGTTACGTACACAATGATAACATAATTATATTGAATATTTATATATGTTTGTGAAATATGTGTACAGGTACCTGAAAAGTATATTTCCAAAAGTGGACGAAACAATATTATTGGATATATTAGAACAGAGCGATAATAATGTGCAAAAGGCTTCTGAAAAACTAATTGATTTAGGATATGAAAAACGAAATACTTTTCCTGCCAAGGCTGTAGCAAAAAAGAAAGAAGAGGAAAAGGTAATAAATTTTATGTCATATATAACATATATGCTACACACTGTCTTTCTAATAAAAAAAAATAAATAAATGTTAATAAATAATATATTAACTAATGAAACTACTTCTAATGATTTTGATCTTGATATATATTGTTAAGCTTTTATTAATCTTTAAAAGCAATTGCTCGTTATTTATTAACAAATAAAAATGCATGCAACAGAATAAGCTTATAATGAAAAATTCAAGATCACAATTTATAAGGATATTACTATATTACATATTTATATCAATTTTTGAGATCTTTAAACAGCTTATATAAAGGCTTATATATCTGCCTAAATGTGTTTATATGTATGTACATACGTGTGTGTTAATAGGTAACGATATTTTTATAAACTGTATTATTTTTTATTGTCAGTTTATGTTCAAGCTATTTTTTCACATTTTTTGCATTTTGCACTTTTATTTATAATTTTTTAATAAACAATGAGTGACAATTAAAATTTATTGAAATTTAGTCAATTAGTTCTGATCTGATAATATATGTAAAATCAAGATCATTATAATTAGCTCTATTAATCAACATGATTACCAAAATAAATGAAATTTGTTTTTATAGACAACCAATGAGCAAACTGCACCTACACCACCTCCACGCATGAAAAGTTTAGAAGAAAAGAATTTATGTATGTATTCTACAATTTATATTTCTTTTTTTTACTTATTGATATAAGTATATCATATGAAAAATATATATTATAGTGAAAAAGCGCTTAATGGAAAAATATAAAATGGTACCAGATCGAGTAGTAATGCTTGCCATGGATAGTGTAGATTATGATGAAGAAAGAGCAATACATATATTAGATATAGTAGTAGCAGAGGAAGCTAATCGTCCACTATGTACTTCTAGTAGTCAAAGGTAATATTTTTACAATAATATATTCCGAACTGTATGTCTATATAGATTTCTATTTTCTTTTCTTATTCTGTTCATATGAAATATTGCAGCAGTAAAAGTAATGAACGAAAAGATAGTCCACCAGTAATGGAAGCTATAAAATTGACTGTTTCTCCGATTAAAAAACTTAATAAAGAAGCAGAGACTGAAAAGTCGAAACGGTCCAAAAATAAGACTGAAATACCAAAGTAAGGCACATTGGTTTAATTATGTCTAAAATATTACTATCTTGAGAGAGATATTTTTTCCATTGATTAATTCTGTGAAGTCGTATTCTTATGCTTCAACTTTGACAGATTGTAATTGGTCATACAATCGGGAGGAATAGTGATTTTGCATGAAAAAGATAAATTCAAAATATATAGAATAAAATTTTTTATATACAAGATTTTACTTTAAAAAACAATTTTGAATATTCTATTGCATTATAATAATATACAAGTGATTTATTTTTTATAATAATGATACACAAGTATTAAACATTGGAAAAAAATTTAATTAAACATTTGAAAAAAAATACACAACATGAAGAAAACATATACTTATACATAAAGATAACAGATATTTATAGAAATTTAATGCAAAAGATAGTTGTATTTGTAATAAAATAAGTAATATTATAATAATTTTTTTGTAAATTGATGAAACAAAATTTTTGAAAACATCTTTTCTTGTTGTATATTCTTGAATCTCTCGATATTGACAATCTTTATAAATACAAATGCTAATAGAGGTAATGTACAGTGAATCTAAAATTTTAATACATGTGTGTCTAATCAAAGTTGATTTTTTTTCTTTTTCAAAATAAAGCCTCAGATAAAAAAATTTTATTCTATATCTTCAACTTATTTTTTCATGCTTCTGCATGAATCACTTCCTTTCTGGTTCTACTACAAGTTATAAAACACCTTATAACATTTTATTAATATTATGTATAATATACTTTAGTAATAGTGTTTTTTATGTATTCTTAGAGTTTCACGTGGAACTAGTACTACAGAGGACAAAGAATATAAATCCCCATATTTAATAAAACCAATCGGATCAAACTCTGATTTAGTAAAAGGAGCAAATAATGATCTATTATTGTATGTTAAAAATATTATTTAAAATCTAGTATAACTATTTATCTTATGTAAAATATTTTTAGATATTAAAAAAACAAAAATTTTAGGCCAGATTATGCGCCATGGTCAGGGCCAGATGGAAGTTTGCTGTCCAAACAACCATTTTCAAGATCACTCGCGATAGGACATGATGCGACTTTACTTTCTACAAATAATTGCCTCGCTAAAGGTCCGCAATCTGAATTACGAAAAGGACCACTAAGAGGATTGGCTCAAGGTTCCATTTATTCACAAAGGAATGTAGCTAATACAGAGAGTCGTGGTAAATGAAATATGTGCAATTGTTTTTCTTAATATATTTTTACATCTACTAAATAGTTAAACATATTAGATTTTAATTTGGTGACAATTGTACAATTGTTTTGTTTTTGGGATTATGTATATAATTATGATTTGCATTATTGAGACATGTAATCTATTAATTTTTATGTTATAGATTTAGAATGTTTTCTTAATTTAATCATTAAGAAATCGTGCACGCGTAAGATATTTTTTATTAAATCATAATTTTGTTTAAAAAAATATTATATATGTTTAATATGTCCAAAAAATTTCAAAATATGATATTGATTTGAGATGTTATAATGTCTCACGCGCGTGATGCTGTACAAAATAGAATTTTTTCCAGATTTTTTCGAATTGTGAACGAATTAATACTTATAGATTTTTGGAACAACTAATTACGAATTTAAGATCAAAATTAGAAAATTTAAAATAGTAAATCCTGTATGACTATCCTAAATAATTTTTGTAGCCTTAATTTTACAGTAGAGTCTCATTAATTTTGATCCTAGGAGCAAAAGGAGTGGAAAATTTTTGAAAAATATACATTAAAAGATATATCTTCAGTGCAAAGCTACTCAATCGTTATGTAGATGTGTACGAATTTATTAAAACTATATATAAAATGCATGTGCCTAGTGGGCCCATTATGATATAAAAAGAATAAGATTTATGAAAGTACATATGAAGAGGGAAAATTAATGGGCTTAACTAAATTTAAGAAGACTCTACTGTATATATGTGTCGCGCGATCTGTATCAAACTTGGTATTTATAAGTTTCTAGGTATTAAATAAATTGGTATATAATTCGGCTCTATGTATTTTAAACAACATAATAATTTAGTATCGAGCACTAAGAGCCCATAAACGCGGATGGCAATGCGTAAATTTTTACGAACATTAATTGTTCGCGAAAAAATTTTTAAGACATATGCACATATGCCAGGTTATAGATTCTCTTGGTTTGAGACTTCTATAACAACCCCTTTTTACCCCCCTGGAGAGATGTAGACAGGAAAAATATCGGAGCGAAGTCGCTGAATCGGGAATCGAACCCGAGTCTTTCGCTTGCCGGGCGACTGCTCTTACCACTGAGCTATTCAGCCCCACACCGATACTTCTCCTGTACGTTTTTATTAATCGGTGGAAATAATGAGAACACGATAATTAGCTCAACGTGTAGTTCTAAATAAATTGGTATATAATTCGGCTCTATGTATTTTAAACAACATAATAATTTAGTATCGAGCACTAAGAGCCCATAAACGCGGATGGCAATGCGTAAATTTTTACGAACATTAATTGTTCGCGAAAAAATTTTTAAGACATATGCACATATGCCATGTAAAATTTTTTCGCGAACAATTAATGTTCGTAAAAATTTACGCATTGCCATCCGCGTTTATGGGCTCTTAGTGCTCGATACTAAATTATTATGTTGTTTCTAGGTATTCATAGATTTTCATTGATTATAAATCATAGATCAAAATTACAAAAAAGTAACAAATTTAATATCGGATCAACAATTTTGTAGATCTGCAATTTTTAAATTTGTAATTTTAATCTAAGATTTATAGTCAACAACTTCTATAAAACCTATAAATACCAAGTTTATTGCAGATCATTATGTCATAGACATAATAAGAATAGATAGAAGACTATAGATAGATGTTTCACATGTTTTGATGATGAAAGCAAAAAGAAAGAGATAAAAAAAGAGAAAATATATTTAATAATTTGTAGAATGATTAGCTCGCATGATTAGATATTTAATTCTAATTATTTTCTCTCTCTCTTTCTCTTCTTCCCTCCCTCTCCCTCTCTCTTTTTAATTGTTATTGAAGAGAAATGGAACATGTTTTTTTTCCTTCTTTTATATATTCTATTTCAATTACATTAATCTTCACTCTATTCTTATATGTCTATGATATGTATACAAAAATTAATGATCATTGATATTGGATCTGCCATTTTAAATCTTATAATTCAAACTTAGATATATCTAATCAATCAACAATCTTAAAAATCTCTTGCTTAATTATGCATGAGTTAAGAGAAATTTCTTTTTTTGCAATTAAAAATGTTACAATATCTTTGTGACTCTTTAAAAGTTAACAAAGATTTATTTTATTGATAATTTACACACACATACACATACATATACATATATACATACATACATACATGCATATATATATTATATATATATATATATATATATATATATATATATATATGGATAATGTACACACACACACTATATATATATATATATATATATATATATATATATATATATAGTTTAATAAATTAACATATACTTATTATGACTATAAAACCATAATAAACAAATCTACTTTTTTAACTTTTCGAAACTTAATTCATACTTTATTGCATGAATTATTTATTTCTAATATACTATAAATGAGATTTTTGTGACATTAATGATACACATGGACATATATAAACTGTAATGCATTTCGATTTTATCATTGATACGATTTATCGCATTGAAAATAAACAATTCATATATAAATGCAATCATGTTGTAACTATAGGCTTATGTCAATGTCAAATGAATGTTTATACGACATGAAATTTAAAAAAATGCGACAGTTTATACTTCAATAACAAAATATCTAATCTTTTATATCTCTCTAATCTCTTAGTATAATATCGTATTTTCAGTTAAGAATGAAAACTTTGCAAATAATGGCATGTAAGATTTTGATTCTTTATGTATAAATATTGTATAATGTGCATCTATAGATGTTAATTATTAACATTATTACTGACATATATATGTATATGTTATGTTGCGCGCGCGTGTAGTATATGTAAATTTTTTGTCATTTTATGCAAAAATAATATTTATCATAATGTATTTTCTTTGCCAGTTGATACGTGATTTCAAGAAAATGTTAAAAGACTAAAAAAATATCCTATTTTTATTCATCAATACTTTTTATATTATTAATTGTTGTTTATTAACATGAGACAATTTAAATGTTTTAATATTTGATTCCTAAAGCAAGAATAAATAGATATATTAACAGTATTAGTATAACTCATAAATAGCTGACAACAATGAACAAAAAAACAATTATTGGAATCATTTTGTTCTTTGTCCATATAATAAGATATAAGATTAGATTTTTCTTTTTAACATCTTTTAAATTTAAAAAACACAAAAAATGATTACATACTTATGCCTATTTTAGTTTCTCTATTTTAAATGCTATGATTAGAGTTAGATTCACGATACATTAAGTATTTCTACATTTATATTTCTACAATTAAAAAAAATTATAGCTATCACATAAAATAATCAATGTATATATTTATAACAAACAAACAGCAACTAATTGAAATAAATTGAGACTAAAAGAAAACCTGTAAAGAGAGATGATCGTGAACGCCCAGTTTCAATTTATATTTTGCTTATTTTATAGAGACATTTATTTTTTGCGTTTTTATGACGGATTTTACAACTTTGATTGACTAATCTTGATTGGCTTTAAATTCTTCTTTCTAATTAAGCTAATAGAAATAGATATTATATTTCTAATCTCATTAGTTACAGCTGCACTTTTATATCTATCTGTGACAGAAACTTAAATATGAAATAGATACATATAAAATAACTAGAAAAATATCGATATTACATATCTTATATGATATCGCTATAGTTCTGTTATTCCATGACAACAAATGATGTTGTATTTTCTGCTGTATTTTTATACTATTATTATGACACTATTATGAGACATTTGTTCTACTGCATTTCTACTGCATTTCTATCGTCATAATGTGCTTGCAGATAAACCCAATCTTTCATTATCTAATTTATACTCCATAATATTGTGTTATATTTATTATATGTTAGTTATTTTTATTGCCCGAGATATTATCAATGCTCAAATTCTTTTCTTATCCCAGCAAATTCTGTTCAATTTTTGTGATACTTTTCTAGTACGTTATGACATAAAGTCTGTTCATTTGCTGCATTTTTGCCAGTTTATTAAAATGGCAGATACTCGACGAGCAGAATTATTAAAAAATTCTGTTATAATATATAATATAGTATAACATAATATATAGTATATAATTCAAAATACATACTCTTAACAGATTTAATTATTTGAATAAACCATTTCGAAATCATTTTCCTTTGAATCTATAAGAATATGCAATAAATTGTGAATTGCAATTTAAAAATGTCATAGTGACTTTGATACGATTCTGATACCCATATCCAAAATCAAAGCTCATCATTTTATATCTGCATTAAAACTAAACAATTTGATCAAAAATATTTTTTATAAAAACACTTCATTTTTTAATTGTTTCTTAGCTCGAAATAAATTACCTTACAAGTGTGTATCTCTTATTATCTCTAATAGACGTGTTTTATAGAAAAAAGATAAAAGTCATTTGATTTTTTGAGTAGGATTTTGTGCATCAACATGATTTTCTTAGATGTGTGCTTCCAAAAATTTAATATTATATTTTATTATCTTTTTATATTAATATTTTTTTAAATTTGATATATTTTTGTTCTTTTTTTAATTAAATTTTCTTCGTCATTCATTATATATATAAAAATATTAAAATAGTATTTGTAAATAGTAATATTTTGTACAGTATTTACTTTCTGATCACTTTATTTTATTACTTTTCTACACCTAATAATAAATTTAATTAATTGATAAGAATGAGTAATTGTGTGTTCGTAATAATTGTTCTGAATAAACATGCATCTTGCAAATGCAATGTTACATTTGTATGAAGATAGAATAATGAATCGATTTTATTTATTATTCTGTGGAAAATTTAATAATACTTTAGTAAGAATGAATATTTTACAAGATATATTACATATATTATCTCATTGTTAAATTACAAAATATCTCAAGTTATTGGTTTTTGATGATTCTAAATAATTTTATATTTAGACAGTTAAAAAATCAGTTCATATAAAAAAATATAATTTTGAGAACTTTTTAAAAAAATAAAGAATCGAAAAATAATTCCTATATGATAGTTTTTAAAAATATATATCTTAATATTAATAAATTTCTTAATAGCACATATACATTTTTTTTAGCTATAACTATAATAAGTCATATTCAGAATGAAAATTTTTAGTAAAATTTAAAAGCAAACATATGTATTAAACTATATTTTCATGAAGTGTAGATACATGTGAAAAAAATTCCATTAAATGGATATTTATTATGATATATTTAGAAATATATATTTTATAAGCTTGAAGTATAAAAAATAAAATAAATGGAGATATAAAAAAACTGGCATATCTAAAGCAACATAAAATTTCCATAGATTAATATGCAGAACAGGCATATACATAACTAAAAAATGCAAAAGGAGAGGTTTCTAATAATAAACTATAATAAGAACATTATTTATATATGCTGTAGTAAAATTTTAAAGTAATAAAAATATTTTCATAGCTCAATTCAGGAATAATCCAGTCTCCATTAATACTTAAAAGTAAAAAGATTAATAATAGATGGGCTGTGGCTGAAATGTTAGAGCTATTTTTATAGCTTTTTGACTTTTGAAAATAAATCGCAAAATAATATATTTTGATTATATTTTAAGGATTGCTATTGGTATAGAAGACTAATATATACAAGTCTTTGGCATAGATTGCACATGTCTTTTGATAATATTAGTAATTTTTAATTATTGTAAAAGTACCTTTTGAAATATATTTGTTTATATAAATACTACTTCATAAGAAAATATTATTTAATAACATCAGAAAGATTTGCGCATTTATAAAAATTAAAAAAAAATAGTAATGATGACATTTTTATAATATATTTTAAGAGGTATCTTAATTTTTATAATTCATTTTATAAGAATTTCATAAATGTCCTATAAAAAAATTTAATTAAATGAACGGAAACTAAGTTTCTAACATTTATTTCACACATACAAATTAAATTTCATAAAAAATTCTGTGCATAAATGCCATATTTTGTGCTACTATGTATGAATCTTAAAATTAATCTCAAAAGTATATTCTTGTATTAATTAATTAATCATATTCCTTACATATTTCCTACATATAACATACAAACATAACTGTCTACTTAATAATGAAAATTTAAACTACTAATTTCAGGATAATTGTATTATATGTATAAATATTTTGATCAATACTTATGTGTATAAATATTTTTTGTGTATCAATATATTAATCTCTAATATCCAAGAATATATATTAGATATTTTATTCCACTTATATTTTAGTATATTTCACTGTAATATTACTAACATTGTTTGTGCTATGCTTTATAACTGTGAAAAAATTATTGTATCAAAATGTTACATTTGTAGAAGTTTACTCTGATAATGGAGTAGAAAATACTCGAGCAAATTATATAAGTAGCAATATAAAGATAATGTAAATGAAAGCTGTTATATGTTAAGTATAAAAAATAATATAAGTTTTATCTTATTGTCGCTAAGACATATCTGTGCAATAAAGTATCTGTAATCATATTATACATTCGATAATATAATTTAAATCTCAAATAGTATATTTGAATAATGCACTGCATGTTTGCGATTAATTTTTTCCCTCTCTTAATCTTAAGATGTAGCTAGAAATTTATTTCTCTATTTATCCTTTAAGAAAAGTTTAGATAAAATATACAATTCAATGCCAACGTTAATCTTATTTTTTGAGCGCAATACAGATTTAAAATTTCACTTTCAATTTATAATATGAAATGTATGAATAAAGAAATATGAGAAAACTAATTTATTTTAAGGTATTACACACAAATTATTAGGTAATAAATTCATATAATTTTTCATTTTTATATATATTTTATACATCATAATTCAGTTTGACTGTAATGAACTAAAAAGTTTGACAAAAAAGAATATTATACATTTATGTGATTCTTCTAGCTAAATGGTAATTATTTTGAAGTTATTCGAACTCGTAAAAACCCTTTGTATGCATATATGTAAATATATAAATTTAATATATTTATTACACACATGCACATGTACAAGATATACCTAATTTTTATCTTCAACTATTAACAATTTTATATTAATACAAAAGAGCAAATAAAAAAATTAACTATTAAAAGTATATATAATATATTTAAATAAATGTAATTTCTTAATAATTGTATTTAAAGAAAGTGACAAATAATATTATTAGAAATTATTTGGTTTTATTATTTAAATTTCATCTTCATTTAGAAGCATGTTTGGAATGCCATCATTGATAGGAAATTTTCTACCAGATTCTGGACACAATAGATCTCCATTTATAACTTCAACTTCCAACAGAACATGGTGAACTTTTTTTAGAAAGTCGTCATTCGACTCGAAGTCTTCTATTAAAATCTGAGGTAATTCCCCGACATGTCCTATCTGTAATAAAACTTATGTGAATATATTACCAAACATTTTATTCAATATTTTTTTGTGTATGCATGTGCAAATGTTTGTGAAAAAGCTGTGTGTAAATATATGAGAAGGTAAATTTACGCTCTCTGCAGCTTTCCACAGCACTGTCCAATCTAGTTTTGGGATTATCCTAGCAATATATTCTGGATTGAAATCTACTTCAGATACTCTGATGTCTTTGGCCTACAAATTAAAAATATGTTTTTATAAAACATTTATGCGGAAATGTCATGATGAAAACATACAAGTATATGACAATGGTATTGGTTATAATTAGTCAGATTAATAGACTTTATTCCTAAGTATAATTATATATACATTATATATACATTTTTAATATTAAAAGAGTTATTTTAATTATAATTAAATCATGATTATTTAATGAAAGATAGTATTTTTAAGTTAAAATAAATTTTATAATACAGATATGTATTTAATGCAGATAGAGACAAGCTTTAAAATATTTTCTTTGAGTATTATTTGCAATTTTGCACAGAAACTGATTAATCTTCCTGTGTATTTTTATTATAAATTTTGATTTTTTTGTTTTATAAAAAATTAAAAAAAGAAATGGGAATAACTTAAAAATAAATAATTTATAAAAAATATTATAATAAAAAAATAAGCTCTGTTATTGTTATTGTTGATATAAAACAAAAATATTTTTTAAGTGCAAAGATTTAATATAAATTAAAAACATTCTAACCTTGTCATTTGTAGTCAAAAATTTGTAATCAAAAATTACATTAACAATGTTTATATTCTTAAGGATAATAAATAACAATTCAATGTTATCTAAATAGTAAAATTGAAATATATATATATATATATATATATATATATATATATATATACACGTTATGTTATATATTTTTAAATTTTTAAACATTATTGTTTATAATTGAATATTTTTCTTTATTTTTTTTACACGAGTAATAGTCCATTTGAGATACAGAATTGAGATACGCAAAATTAAATTTAGGACATCAGATAAATTCATTAGTTAAAACAAGAGTTATAAGTCAGTTAAAACATTGATAAAATAATTTTTTATTTTATTTTCTTTAGATCATTATCAATATGAAGCTTATTAACTTCTTATTCACTATAATCAATAATTAAATATCTATTCTGAGACTGAAACTTTGCGAGCGTGAGTTGTAATCTTTTTTTAAATATAATTAAAAGCATAACATAACTTACGATAATTCTGAGAGGATAGCCGACTGTCACACCTCTTATAGCCCTGGACGTCAACATATTATGTGTGAGAAGCTTCATGTTTTCCTATAATAAAAAGCCTTTTCATTAAAGAAATAAAACGATAACATACAGCTCATACAATAAGCGCGTGTATATAAAGTTAGATTGGGTTACATTAGGTTAGGTTAGGTTAATTCATAGACGTATAAAGGCCATTCTACAATGGCCGCAGCATAAGGTGTAAGGCATAAAGGCTGTAGCACACACTTTCCATAAGACATAACAGTAAGCTTTCGACCAATCGCGTTGCTCAATTTGGCCGTCCTTAACCAAATTGAGCAACGCGATTGGTCGAAACCTTACTGTTATGTCTTATGGAAAGTGTGTGCTATAGCCTTAAGACTCAAAAAATTGACCAATCACAGTCGAGTATTCTCTTAATACTCGACTGTGATTGGTCAATTTCTTGAGTCTTACGCCTTACAACCTTATGCTATGGCCATGTAGAATGACCTTAAAATACATACATGGACATTCGCTGCCGATAAAAACAAGAGAGGGTGCGCATAAAATTGGTCCTCGATTTTCTTTCATCATCGTTTGTTCATTTTAGCTAGAATTTTTTGTTTTTCTCTGTCTTTCTCTTTAACGTTTAAAAATTTATGTGAATGTATACATGTATCTTTCTAAATGATTCGCTTGAGTGTGAAAACGTTTGATTGACCAATCAGACAACAAAGATTTGGATTGACCAATCAACACTTCAATTTTATACAAGCTTTAATTACACACCGTAGTACAAGAAATTCAGCTATAAGAGGAACAAATTGATACTGTGTTTGATAAGAAGTGTTTTACGTATAGGTTATGTAGAAAAATTGTCATCGGAAACGATGTTTTGAGATATTTTATTTTGTCGCGATTATTTAGTGGTCATCGCGGATTCGCCGCCGCCGACGTAAAACTATCATATCAAGAAACGTGATTACGCACGATTGTAGCTCCGATTGTTCGCTTCTTTCCAGCAATGTCAAGAAGTGTGCCCGTAAATAAACGTGAATCGTCGTGAGTGATAATCGTGTAATTGAGATAGAGATAAGAATGGCCGATGAGGTGATGGAAACGTTACGGGGCCTCACTAACGAGGACACCGAGTGCATCGTAGATGCCGAGGTCGACGACGACGACGAGGATTCCGATGGGGTCGTAGTTCCAGAACTTCAGGGTACATTATCCAAATGGACAAATTACATACATGGCTGGCAAACTAGATTTATTGTACTCAAAGATGGTACTTTGTCTTATTACAAATCTGAGCAGGACAGCGGATTTGGATGTCGTGGCTCAATTAGTCTGTATAAAGCTAATATCAAGGTAAGATAATTGCACGTGTAATAGTTTTTTCTCTCTCTTTTTATCAAATGTAATAGCATATACATTGTTGTGATATATTTAATTTATTAAATTAATGAATCTGTACTAAGTTATTTGTTTTACTAGGCACATCAATTTGATGAATGCAGATTTGATGTGTCCGTAAACGACTGCTTAGTTTGGTATTTAAGGGCAAGCAGTCCAGAGGAAAAACAGCGATGGGTAGATGTTTTAAAATCATACAAGGTAATTATTTTAAATATTACAATATGTATTTATTTACTTTATTTATTTATTGTATATTATTTTTTATTTATATTATTTATTTATATTTATTTTTAAATAATTTATAAAATATGATTTCAAATATATATATTTTTTATATATATTAATATGTGTTTCTCTAGAGATTTGAAAATTAAATTTATTAATTAAAAAAAAATAGAATTAATATATAGAATTATATAGAATTATATATAATATTTAGTATATAATTTTTTTTAATACATTTTTATTTTGAAAATAACTTGAAAAATCCCTAATAAATGATAAATCCTAATAAATATAAAGAAATCATATGGTTCCATTAGAAAAAAAAAATAATAATCATCAAATTTCAGGAAAACATCTCATATGAACAAAATTGTATAGAGCATGTTTTGATTAAGTTACTCTCTTAAAATTTTACAACTATTGTCCAAAATATTTTTCTATTTTCTATTGTTTTCTAGATACTTTGTGGGATATTTAACACAAAGCACAATGTATATATAATGCAATTAATAATATATTTTTATATTAAAAGTTAAATTAATTTTTTATATTTTTATATAAAATTTTTATATTAAAGTCGGAATCCGGTTATGGAAGTGAAAATAGCCTCAAACGACATGGTAGTGCCATTTCGCTTGTATCAAATACACAATCGACAACGAGCGCTGGTAGTTTTACTAAGCGTGGCATTAGAGGACTGAAAGAAAAGTTAGCTGAAATTGAAACTTTCAGAGACATTCTAATCAAGCAGATCGATACTCTGCAGAAATATTTTGATAACTGTGCAGAAAATGTCAAGAATACTTCCAAAAAAGGTAATAATTTTTATTTTGTATGAAAAGATCTTTTTTTTTTAATTTTATGTTCAACAAATTTATAAAGAGAAAAGAACACAGTCGATATATTTCGTTTCCGAGATTTAGTATTTTAATTTCAGAAAATTCAAAGAATAAAAATATATATTTAATTAAATTTATATTTAGATATATAAATTTGAAAAATTTATACTTGTATAGACATTTACAAATACTATTTTTATCAGATTTGTTAAAATTTGTAAAATTGATTTTTAAAATTATGTATAAATTATATAATATATTCTCATCTACACACACAAAATACCTTTCTACAGAACCATAAGATAAGAATAAGCTTATCAAGATTAAATAAACTGCAATACTCAAATAAGGAATAGATATATATTGATTTAGGAGACCTATCAATTTTTATATCTTTACAGTATTTATAGCTCTAGTATTCTTAAATATATATATGTATGAGAGATTTATGATCATATATATAATTTTAATATCTTTATCATGAAACATATAGAAAAAAGCTTTAAGATATTTTATTAAACCTTATAAAAATTCCAGAAAAGAAAATTGAGACAATGTTTAATCCAGCCGAACAGTCAGTAGATTTTAAAGGAGAAGCAATAACATTTAAAGCCACCAGTGAAGGAGTGTTAGCAACTTTACAACATTGCGTTGAATTAATGATACAGCGAGAGGATGCATGGCGTCGCAGATGGGAAAAAGAAATCGAAAAAAGACGAAAATTACAAGAACTTTATAAAGCTCTGAAAGATCAAGTTGCCATGCATCATAACGACTCTCCCAGACCCAGAGTTCTTATTCATGGAGGTCCTGACTATGAAGTAAGTTTTTTTTTTAATCATAATCTCATTTGTTATGTAGAATTTTTATTTTATAAAGTTCCTATTTTAGAATATTTATATGTACATATATGTTATATTTCAAGTTATACATATGTACATATGTAAATATGTACATATGTACATATTTAAATATGTACATATGTACATATTTAATTCCTGCTATGTTTTACTATAACTATTGTACTTTATTATCTGTTATCATTCAAACATAAGCACCAAAATATTTTTTATATTTTTTTTCTGTATATTAGAAAATCGAATATTATATCTTTTTTCTTAAATTATTTCAACTATCACATTAATTTTTTATCATTCATTCCACGAATATAGTAAATATATTTATAGTTATTTATTTATGATAAATTTTTCTGACCATGATATAGTCTAAACATAATATCCATTTAGAAATTTAGAATTAAATTTAGAAAGAATAATAAAATTGCAAAATGAAAGTTTCTGAAAAATTAAATGATAAAAGTGTCATTTTTACTACTATTTTCTATGAAATAGTTTTTGAGATATAAGAGAGTTTGAAGCCGGTTAATCATAAGCTAGATAGTCGTTTGTGCGTGAGTCTTTCTCACATATGCATTAATATTAGTAATGCATGATAGTGGCGTATATGATTCACGAACAGGCGATTATCTGAACGTATTCTCTAATTTATTTCAAATTATTATATCTAAGAAATTATTGCTAGAAATAAAAAATTGAAAATATTTTTATTGCTTAATTTTTCAAAATCTGTCTTGTTATAATATTTTGATTTATGAATTTCAAGGTATTCTATATAGATCAGAAATTTAATGGCATATTTTTTAAGTATCTCTCACTATCTCTCTCTATCAATCGATCTTTCCTTAACAAAAATTAAATTTATTTTTTTTAAATATGCAATTACTTATAAAATATTTATTTTAGCATATTGTAATACGAAATATATAATATCTTGTAAAATATTCATTTTTTAATGATTTTAATATTTTTATATATAAAATAACGAAATTAAATTTGTTTTATTAACTTTTTAAGGAAGGTCCGCATAGCGCTCTTTGCGATGAAGAATTTTATGATGCTGTCGAGACAGGTCTGGACAAAATTGAAGAAGAAAATCAATTAAGGAATCGCTTGAAACAAAAATCTGTTTCAATTTTAACATCTCCCACTATAACAGCATCTTCACACAAGCTATGGCCTGAGGTAATTACAGTATTTAAAAACGGAGACAAATATTTCTAGAAACATCATCATTATAATCATGTCTCAAAATTACATACATTTGACTTTCATCAATTTTTCTATCAATTCGAAAAACTTTAATTTTGTTGAGAAATGCAGTTACAAACTATTAATAATTACAATTATAATTACAATTATAATTAAATGACAATTATATGCAAAGTTTAAAATATAAAGTATTAAAATATAAAATAATTTTTCCTTAATAATATGAATTCTTAATATGTAATATTAATTGTTTATTATTCATACGTATGTTGCATATACTCTTTGTGACCATATTTTTCGATTTTTTACTACCAATTTATAGATAGAGAAGATTACCATGGAGCAACTCCATTATGCTCGACTCGGCGTAGGTGGAGCAGGCGGATGGCAATTATTCGCTGAAGATGGTGATATGCGAATGTATCGGCGAGAGGAAGAGGCTGACGGATTAGTCGTAGATCCTCTCAAAGCATGTCATGTCGTTAAAGGACTGACCGGTCACGAAGTTTGTAAAATATTTTTCAGTCCCGAATACAGAAGTGGATGGGAAGCCACTTTAGAGGACATGACAATCATCGAAAACATTTCCAAGGATACGCTATTATTTTTGCAAACGCACAAACGTATTTGGCCAGCGAGTCAACGAGATGCGTTGTTTTGGTCGCACATACGTCGAGTATCGGATGATCAGGATCGTGACGCTCATGATCTATGGATAGTCTGCAATCATAGTACTGAACATCCCGATTACCCGGTACATAATACGCTTAATACAAAAAGGATCTAACGAGATAAGTATGATAAAATTGCTTCAAGAAATAATCTGAATCATCTGAAAGTAAATATAATGGATAAATGTATTATACAATCTTTTAGCTCTCTAGCTTTTAGCTTATTTGATGCATTCCTTCATGTATTTTCTTATTTTATTTCATTTTGTCCAACTAATTACGAAATACAAAATAATTCAGTTTTTCAAACGAATCACTTTAATAATAAAGAACTGAAAGATTGTATAATGCATTTATCTACTACTTTAAGATGAATAATATGTTTAGATTATCCTCTGAAGTAATTTTATATCTTATTGAGATATACTTATTCCGCTAGATTGTTTTATTTCTTAAAATAAATTATTTTTAAATTTACATAGTTATTAAGTGAAATTATTATTTTAGCCAAATGCAGGTAAATGTGTGAGAGTTTATTTAACGGTTTGTCTCGTTTGTCAAACCTTTATCGATCCTCCAAAAGACGAAGAGGAAATAAAGAGAGAGAATATTACATGTAAAATAACATACTGTTCAGTTGGTAAGTATTAATTGAATCTTTTTGTAAGTTACTTATGTACATTTAATATAAAACGCTTAAATATACTTATATATCTTTGTTTCCTTATTCAAATTGTTATATAAGAATACTATCTATACTTCTGCTCATTTCTCATTCTCCTTTTCTTTCTTTCTCACTCTCTTTCTTCTTTCTTTATATGAATAAATTTTTTTATTTGAATTTTAGTAAATCCGGGTGGATGGGCCCCAGCATCTGTTTTACGGGCCGTTTACAAAAGAGAATATCCAAAGTTCCTGAAGCGGTTCACTAATTTTTGTATCGATCAGTGCAAAAACAAACCAATCACATTCTGAATGTGATTAATAAAAAATGAAAATCTTTCGTGTTTTCCATCCAATTCCTTATTCACTATCTCAAAGTGTCTTCACGTGATTACTATAAAACAGTTTGTATTTAGTATACATACTGTAAGAATTGCAGAATGATTATTATACAACGTAAGTGAAAGTTTTGTATATCACTTTTGTCTTTTTTTTTTATTATTTGCTTGAGATAATTGACTTATATATAACTTATGAATGGGAAAGATAAATTGTTATAATAAATATTGAAAGCCATTTAGAATATAAATGAGTGTATATAGCAATTGTATACACTTAATAAGCAACTTGATGAAGCGCTACAATGAAGCACGCATGATTAGCACTGTTTGCTGATTATCTTTTCCTCTTCCAATAAGCCTATTATTTGTTACACAGTATTTTATCCAACTGTGTGTACAAATTTTAATCGAGAATTAAATACACAAATCTCGTTACATATATCTAATTAAATGCTGAATTGTATATTATAGATTATATTATTATTTTTAGTTATACATAAATATGTGTGTACATTGCTATGCGATATAAAAATCACTTGGAAAAACTTATATATATAATAAAGACTGTTCTAGATTTATTGCAAAATAACAATCGTTTCCATATCATACCGGATGTTAATTAATTTCGTTTTGCTTTTTTATAATAAGAACTGTTTTAAACACACAGATAGAATATTCTTTTTGTAAAATAAACTTTTCTTTATCAATCACAAGCAAGTTCTCTAAAAAAACTTTTATATTATGTATACATGAAATATTCTCATTTTCTAATTTATACAATCAAACTTTTATTCGAGATACTTTTTCGTTTAATGCATATTTTTCAAAAATTATTTTCAAATGATATTATGTAACTCACATTATGTGTATAATAATAAAAATAATAATACATTAAAATAATGAATAATAAATTTTTAATTTTAAAAACTTATTAATATATTTTATCAATTCTAATCATTTTAATTTTTTGCCAAATCACAGTACTACTATTGTATGATTATAATTTTCATTCGTAAAAAGTACTACAAATTACAAATTGTATTTAATTAAGCTACTGTATTGTATTTAAGTTGTCCTATTGTTACTGTCTATCGAAGAGTCTCCTATTCCTCGATAATTTAACGACAAAATTCATTATTCTATCGATATTTTAATTTTTTGTCGCTTTTTAAAATCATAAAATACGACTCTTCATTACAATGTTGATATGAATATGACACGTAACGATAGTGACATCATCGTCTAAAATCTTACATATTTCATGTATGTGTGTAAGTAATAAGGATAATAAAGTATAATGATATAACAGAAATTTATAAAATTACAGACCTGTTTATATATATATGTACGTATACATAAGATGCAAAAATAAACATATACAAATATAAAAAAAATATACGAAATTTTAACTTTACGGTTTTATATATAATTATATATAATAATTTTTTATATATTATTATATATAATAAAAAATAATATATCTTAGTAGATTCCATATAGGTTCAATTAATTTCAAACATTTTGATTAACAACAGACATTCTCTTTCCTTACGTTACAGATTCATGTATAAAGAGTAACAAAATAACGACTTAAAATATAAAATCGCACATTAATTATGTTCGCAGTAACATGTGTTACCACAATAAAAAGATAGTACCTTACATTGAATATATAATTGTTTTTACAATTTTAATTATATTTACACTTTTTAAAGAAAAATTCGATAAATAAAGGAAGAGAAATAAGATCATTAGATATATTATATAAAAAAGAGAAATATATTAATCGCTATTTTGAATATTTATTCGAGAAATGCACATTAAGTGTGATGTTTTATTTGGTTGGCAAAATATTTTAATTGAATATAGTTGTTTGAGAAATTAATATAGTCCTTTGTATTAAATTAATGCTTAATATTTATATATTCAATAATTAAATTGGAATTAAAAACACATACAACAATGCAACAGTATAGAAAAAATGTTAAAAAAAGACATTATTGTGAGATAAATATGTGGATATGAATAAAAGTTCAGGAATCATTACAAGAATTAAATAAAAAAATTTATTGTGTGAAACCATAGTATATTTTATATATTTCAATTATTTTATCTATTTATTTGAAATTGCATCATATACTTAAAAAAAAAATAAAAAAGTCTGTCTTTTTAAATGCCTCGTTTTTTTTACAATTATGCAATAAATCATTTGCATAAAACTGCTCTGTAAGATCAGCTCTCACAAATAATATATATTTTAGATGTAAACATTTGATAAAAAAAAACATATGATCATGTAAAAAATTTTGTAATCTACTTTACAATGATTTTCTTCATGATTCGTAAGAGCCTAATTTTTTTAATACACTGAGACCCTTTTCTTCATATTCTTCACGCGTTATCCATACAGAATCTCGATCCTTTGTTATTTCTGCTAGTACAGCACCACCCATGAAAACCATGTCTTTACGTCGAGGTGAGTCTTCAATTTTTATTTTAAATTTCTGGGAAAAAATGCATAAAATATAAATATTCGCAATATGTACATTTATATAAATTTTTCTTAAATATGCATTTACATTCAATTTAGTTATATCATTTTTTAGCACTCTTTGAAGATAAAGTTGCTTAATTTCTCGTTCAAGCCTCGACGGAAGCCCTGGATACATTGTACTACCTCCACTCAGAACAATATGTTTGTACAGCTCGCTTCTAATATCGATATCAGCTGCTTGAATTGTGCTAAACACCAACTCAGCTATACCTTGTGCTTCGACATTAATTAAGTGCGGTTGGAAGAGTGCTTCCGGTGCCGCGAATCTCTCACCCCCTACTTTTATCACACGTCCATCAGGAAGCTGAAAATACAATGATTTGTACACCTTAATTCAATATATGTGTGTATGTATATTTATGTGAAATTAGCCACATATAGGATGGGACATTTAAATGTTACAAAGTATTTTCTCCAAAACTTGATGTCGTACAAAAAAATGTTTCAGATCAAATTTATAAAGATTTGAGAAAAAATTAATTGATAACTTTTCGATTATCTTATTTCAATATTTTTATATATAAAATAATGAAAGGAATCAATTAAAAGGAATCAAATAAAAAGAAAAGAATTGTTAAAAAAAATATGTAGCTGGTCGTTCGCAAGTTATATATTTGTGCGACGTTAAGTTTTGAAGAAGAACGCCATATAACATTTTAAATGCTCTTTCTATCCTGTATATAAAATATTAATAAAACTGTATACTGTGTATATATGTGCACACAATACATAATAATGTACCTACAGTATAGGATTCTACCAATACAGTGGTTTCAAGAGCTAGCTTTTCTTCAGTTTCTATATTGTAACCGATATAACACAATTTCTCCTTCAACATTCTAACTGTCTCAAAGTCGGCCGAGTGATTAAATGCATAACCGCGTAGCAACAGCAATTTAATTAGATACATTGTAATGTCGCGTCCGGCTATATCCAGTCGTCTGGTCAAATGTGGCAGAGCATACTCCTCAAACACAGGACAAATGTGCGTAACACCATCACCAGAATCTACGACGACACCGCTAATCAGTCCTTGAGCATATAATGTCAATACTGCCTGAATTGCAATGTATGTTCCAGCAAAACCATACTTTTCAAACATCACCTGAAATCATTGCATGAATACTAAACTTCAATCATATAAATTAATTTTTAATAATTTACAATTTTATTTTTATTAACTTTAGAATTACGATATTACCTCGATCATTTTTTCTCGATTCGTGATAGGATTCATTGGTGGTTCGGTTAATAAAATCTTACATTCTCTAGGATTAATATTCATCTTCTCCTTGCCAAATGTATAATCCCACACATGACACATATCCTCCCAATTTCTATTAATCATATATATTTCAATAATTTTCATATTAAATATGTTATAATTCATATTAAGAGAATTTAATTATATAAGAATATAATATTAAGAGTATAATTATATACCTAACAATTCCATTTTGCATAGGATAACTTATTTCTAACATAGAACGAAGTTTACTCGCTTCATCGCCAACCATCAAATCCTGTGACAATAATATATGTAATAATTAGAATTCTACATATATTATGTATTATGTCCATTGTTTATTTAAAAAAATTAGTTTTAGTGTCAACTGTCATATGATATATTGTATATTTTCTAACAAATATAGAAATTTTAAATAATTATATAAAACTGATTAGCTAAATGTTCAAAAATAATTAATAAATTTGTCTTTTTTATTAGATAATAAACTTCATATAATTTCTAATATTATATTAGACTTTATTTTATTAAATCTTGTAACAAAAAAAATAAACAAAAATATTTAGTTATTGTCCTATATCACAATTTATAGAATTTTATTTTTATAAAGTATTATGATTAATATAATAACTATAATGTATTATATAGTGTACTGAGAAAATCAAGCTACAGAATTCATATCTGAAAAATATTATTTTTAATTTTATTGTTATTAAATTAGGTCCCTCATATATGTATATTTTTAAAAAGTTGGTCTATCAGATTATTTAAGCACACTATTCCAATGTATATATATTTACAATCCAAAGCAACTTCATTAAAACATTAAAGTTATTTAAAAAACAAATAAAAAGCATAAAAATACAATAAACTTACAGGCATGTTAAGCACATCCTATGTGAGAGCAAATATAAACACACAAATACATTAGATAATTATAAAAAGCATGACACATATACAATATATATTCACATATACAAATTACATTTAATTGATAAGTATATAAGTATATATAAATTATAGATATATTGCATGTTATCAAAACATATAATATTTATGTCAATAAAGAACTTTTAAAATTCCGTATTAGAAAAACACATATATGCTGCATGGATTTCAAATGTAAAAGCAATCTATTTAAAAATATTGCAAAACAAAATAATTCCCCTATGAATTTATCTTATATTTCAAGTACTTATTTCTTTCTAGAATTTGTTAGTAAAAATTATTAGCATTTTACAAACTATTTTATTTGCATCACAGTAGACAAATATATAGATTATTTTTAATCAAATTTAAACATTCTGATGAAAGTGTGCAGAATGCAATATTATGTAATAGACTTACACGAATGCAATATTCTTGCTGAAAATATAATTGTTCTTATTAATTATATCTAAATAATAATTAAACACACTCTAATTTAAACCAGAAAATTATATTATTTTTAAAAACTGTTAGCATTAAACATTTTAATTTATAATTTGGTAATTGATAAATTTTAGTGATAAACATGGTTTTTATTTTCCATGTAATTTTATAAATTATAGTTAAAACTACAATTTATATTTATCAATCTAATTGTATAGATAAGTATTATTTATTATATTAAAAACAATGTTGATAAGAAATAATATTCATTACATCAAAAAATTATAGCTATTATAATTTTACAGCATTTATTAAGACAAAGTTGTGATTACAGCATTTATTAAGACAGAGTTGTGATTGCCTTATGTTTTTTCAATATTTTATCTAATGATATCAATGCTATAAATATAAAATAAATCAATATACCTTTACATCAATATCACCAATTTTATTGACAGCTCTGATTATGGGTCGTCCGACAATAGATGGAAATATATGAGCTGGAAAATTTGCACCGGCATATCCACATTTGACAAACTACAATTAAAAACTACATCAATGTTCAAGACATAAATTATTTCATCCAATACATGAAGGAGTTTGAAACATCTTTTGCTTATATCAGCATAAGAAACTTTTCACAAGGAAAAAAAAGAGAAGAACAAGCCTTACCCCAGTACCATTATCGCAAACAATAATCTTCCTCCCCTTGCTGTCCATCTCGATATATTATTCCTTCAAATAATATTTCTTTCCTCCTTTTAAATTGTTGTCTCATATCACCCGCTCCATCAAAGTGATTAATATCTGCGGATATTAGGGCGTTACCGACGAGTGTGACTAAACGGCAAATGCAATTTCGATAAAATTATCGTTGTTTTGTATCACAATCTGGGACTTGTGCAAAAGCACTCTGCGCGAAGCAAATTCAAGGTGCAACAAATTTTTTGTCGTTGAATTTACTTGCTACGGTTAACGACATTGAGCTCTATAACATGCTTTTTTTTATTCTTCTACTATCTTTTACGATTTGGGTTGGCACCAGTTGACACCGAAAGCAAAGCAAGGTCCAATCTCGCTGCCACTATGACATACTAAAGTGTGTTCGAAAATTTAGTCCTAGGAGTAGCTTTCGATTGACTAATCAGGATAAAAGAAACAAAAATTTCTTGCATCTGATTGGTCGATCAAATGCTACTCTACTTCAAGGAGTAAAGAGTTTTCGTAAAAAAGATACTTATATATGAATCACTATCTTTATTAATTCGCTCACTGGTTGATACTATAGTAGTTATAAGTATAGTTTCCGTATGTTCGATTTGGTTTTCAATTTGGAGTAATAAGTATGCGCTCAGTAATTATTGGTTCAACTGGAGCAATGATTGGTTACAATTTTGTACAATGGTCTTAAATACATAAATTTAATTATAAACAATTCTCATTTTCATATAATATATAGTAATAGTTTGAATATTTAAATAAAAATAATATAATACAGCACATGTTGAGCTTAATATCCATTTTATATATTACATCAAATTTTGTTTTTTTAAGTTGACCTTTAACTATGCATCAATATTAATAATATTGTACATAATAATATATATTATTTAATTTTTTTGTTAACAAAAACAATAGTAACAAATGAAAAGCAAAATTCCACAAATATAGTAAATACTACACATATAATTAAAACACAATAATTAAAAAATGTAGAAAGTAGTAATTAATATTGAAAGTAAAATAATAATATCACAATATAATAATTGTAATATTAAATTGCAGGTATTCAAATATAGCAAGATATCAAGAACAAATTTCATACTACTTTATATAGATTATTTATAATATATATTATAATAATTTGTTACATGCAGACTTATATAAAAACAGCAAATAGTGCATTTCACTTCTGTTTAAATAAGTCATACTTAGACAAAATTATTTGCATCTAGAAAATAGTTTGAACACTATAAATTTTAATCTTGAAGCATAAGAGAGAGACGTATGTGTACAAATATCAGTACTTTTTAAGTATTAATTGTCTATAAATAAAGTATTAATAAATATTCATTAATTCCTAATATAATACATATAATCTTAACTATGTCTCATCAAAAGACGAAACAACCTTAACATTAGTTTTTTGTGATTTAAAAGATTCAATACCATCCTTTGTTACAGAAGTACCAGTTACATCCAAGTATTCCAATCTCGATGCATTTAAAGCCAAATGGATAAGACTCGAATTTGTTACACGTGGATAATTTCTAAAAATAAATAAAAAATAAATATCTGTAAAATTGTTCTTTCTCTTCTTATTTTTGTTTTAAATTCTAACTTTTAGTATTTTTTATAATCAATTAGAACTTACCTAACAACTAATATTTTAAGATTTGGATTGTTAGATATTCGTCTATTTTCTTGTAATATTATCATTCCTTGTGGAGAGCTATTTATCACTTTTCTATCACAAGAATCACTTCCAAGCGCACAAATTGCTCTATCCGATATTAAACATCGTTGAAATCCATTATTGTCAAAAGCAAATACATCCTCGATTAAAAACTATAATAAAAATATATTTTTAACAATAAAAAAATATTTTTACAGCATATTAAATTCAAGAAAAAAAAATTAATTTTTGTAATTATAAATTAGCTTTCTGCAGAATACCTGTGCCAGATTATTATCTTCAAATATTGGTAATTGCAAAACTTGTCGTTGCTGCTGTTGCATTATTTCAAGATGCTCTTCATTTCTTAATGTAGAAGGACATTCCAAATAAAGATGTGTCAAAGTTTTAGTGCTGCTAAAACAACCGACCTCGCTATCCCCGAGCGCCGTATCCCGTAAATCTAAAATCTAACATAATATATAAAACATTTTATGATATTTATTTGACGAGACTAGAGATAGAAATAGTAATGAAAATAATATAAATAATCCAAGTAAAAAAATATATCATACCTCCAATGTTTTAAATCCAAATCTAGTTGCTAAACTAGCATATGCAACACATTCGCCTAGACGATGACATGAATTCAATCTAAGTTCCTTAAGTTTGGGTATTTTGCTGATAACTAGTAAGGAATGTGGCGTAAACCATTGACAATTACTTAAAATTAAACACTAAAAATAATATTTAATGTATAAGTAATAATGATTAGTATATGTAGAGAGATTGTAATAATATAAGAAAACAAACAACAAATATATATAATAATAATAATAAAAGAAATAAATGTATATCTATTATAATATGTATATCTATTCATCATTTTCTAAAGTTATATTTCATAGATAGTGTAAATCAATTAAAATTAAAAAGATAAATAATTTGTTATATATATGCTTATTATAAACATTAAATAATATATTTTACAATTATCAACATTAATATAAAATACATAGTCCTATATAATATATAGAACAATTAATTTGTACAATAATAATTCATGTGATATATATGTAAATATAAAAAGATATGAAAGATATGTAAATATAAAAAAATTAATAAACAAAAAAATTGATATCTATTAAAATATCAACTTACTGTCAAATTTGGCATGTGTAAATCCATTTTAAAAAAATAAGATTTATTACTTTGTAGATAATCCACTTGGCAACCTTCTAATGAAAGCTTTTCAATAGTACATGGAAAATCTGTTATTTGAATCTATAAAAATTGTATTATAATAGATTTATTAAATATTCTTTTACAGCATAGAGAAAAAGAGAAAAAGAAGGAAAAAGAGAAAGAGGAAAAAAAGGAAGGAAAAGATATACTATAATATGTTATATCTATATTTTTAAAATATATTTTAAAATAAAATTTACTATATATTAATATATTTAATATATTTTTAAAAATATAGATATAACATATTATAGAAACTTTTATATTAAAATGTACCTTATCTCCATTGATATAATATTCTTCAATGATCAATTCTTTAAGTTGATTGCATAGTGTCTTTACATTTTCAAAAAACCTTTGTGTAAGAGCTGAACATTTGCCATGGAAATTGCCATGTATTGCCAAACTCATTGTTATTGGTTGCAGGAACTTCATGTACCGGTTTAAATCATTTAGAAACATTGGTTTTGTTCGAAAGTCTACTTTTCTCCATAGAGTTCTATCTTGCGTTAACTGTGCAAGTCTGTGACAACATCTATATAATCAAAAGAAAAATTAATTATAGTATGAAAATACTAAGAAATATAATATACAAGTAAATATAAAACTTACAAACTGACTGCCATGAGATCTTGTGGATATAAATATTTCAATATATTGAGTAAAACATCATCTGAAAATTCAAGTATATTTGGAGATGTTACTCTATCTAAATTTGTAGTTTCTTCAAATTTTATACGTTTTGTATCCTTGCTACTGGATGGTTCAGGAGATAAAGATTTACTGCGTTTTATCTTCATTTTTCTTCTGCGCCTACAAGAAACAAGAAAAAGGAAGGAAAAGATAAATTGTCCCATAAAAAAATTCAAAAGTTTAAACACATATAAATCATTGTTATAACTAAAAAAAATTGTATTTTTTATAAATATTTTATAAATATTGATTTCTTTTTATGAAGAAGTTATACTATTTATACATGACAAATAATACTTGCACAAATTAAAAGAGTTATATTATAGAAAAATTAAGCTAATCAAAGCTACTTTTTCTTTACATAAACAAAAAACTAAACAAAAAAATTTAGTTTACTAAGCAGATTGAATTTAACTTCTAAATATTTTCTTATTTGAAATCCAGAGCTTATGTGAAAAATTTCTACCTACTATATGTACAAATAATATTTTTTTATTTTTTTCAATTACATTTTTCCATAAAAGCAATTATATCTTTATTGTCTTGTATAAGATATCTAATAAATATTATAAATAAAAATTGAGAATGTCTTTATTTTCTCTAAACTGTAATATCAATGTGAAAAGCTTTTGTAAATTTATGAAACAACAAAGTATGTGACAGATTTGTTGGCATACACCTTCTAGATCCAGAATTTTGTTATGTAAATGCAATTGCAAGTGAAACTAATTTGGTTTAAATATATATTTAAAATAAGAACTTTGTTTACAATATCTAAAATACAACATATAATATAAATGAAAATTATAGTATGCAACGAAAATATAACCACAAAGTGTTACTCGATAAATAGATTTTCACGTACACCATATATAAATTCTCATATTCTTACCTTGCGAACTTATTAATAATAATGACAAAAATGTGAATTGACGCTTACAATAAAATATCACTTACAAAATCAATTCTTATAATTCATATAACACGATTGATAAGAAAAATCATACATATACGTAGAAAAGTGTATATACTGACTGTGTATATACTAACATTTCTCATAACACAGAATATCGAGGATGAGACATGGGCATGGGGTGCTTTCATTTACTAACACAAGTCGACACAACCTGCTGCCTAGTGTCATTTCTTCCGTTGCCATCCGTGGCTGTCAGATCTTTTGAATTTTCCTTTCTTTATAAGGGGCTCTCTGAAGATAGAATATTATTTTTTTACTTAATTTTAAAAAACTAGAACGTTACAAGACGCGCCCTATATATATTTAATTCTTCCTATTATGTAATATAAGAGAAAATATATATATATATATATATATATTATATATATGCACATAACATCTATAATATATTAAATAAATAATTCTATATATATTATTTATATATATAATTACATACATATGTAGGAAAAGGACGAGTTATTATAATTGTTAAACTTGTCATATTTGATCGCTATCACCACCAGCACTATTGATTTAAAATTTAATAAACAAATTTGAAATTTTAATAGAAATTATTAAATATTATTTTTACTTAGCAAATTTTAACAAATACTATTTATTTAATAAATTTTACGAAAGCCCGTACAGAGAGAATACAGAAAAATTTTAGATATATTATAAAACAATTTCCTAGGAAGATTGCAATATGCAAATCCATTGTGAAATATTGCTGTACAAGGTTTAATGATGTCCGAGTAATAGCAGTATTTATTCAAAATTTAAGTATTATTGTATTACTGTATTACTATTATGTTTTTTTAGAAATAGTAAGTTAATAATGATATTGTTTAAAGCTCATACAGCACAGACATTGCTGCTACATTGCAGCAATATTGCAATGCAACAACACTGGTTTGCACTGTGAGAGATGATTAATGGGACAAAAGGTGTGATATTATCAACGACATGCCAATACTTAAAACAATGGTGTTTAATTCTTTATTAATTCAAAAATGAAAGAATATCACCAATGAAATGCTAAATAATGATGGAATATAAAAATGGAATAGGATTAATGGAATTACTTAGCATACATACTACACATACATTTAAGTTTCAAGTAAAATGTTCAAGATTAGAATATAAAATTTATATCCATCTTTTTCAATAAATATGAAGATGAATTATACATATTTAACAACTACAATTTATCTAAAATGAAATCCTCCTTTGTTATCAATATAACTGTATGTGCTATCTTTTTGATAAGATTCTTAGAAGAGAATAAAATAAAATTCCTTTAAAATTCAAAGAAATTTTAAATTAATACAGGCATGTTTTGCAGAAAATACCATTATTAGAAATAGTATGTTAATAAAATTTAATAAAATTTTCTTGCATCTTATCTGGACTGCGTTATATACATTATTGTACATCTATATACTTTTAACACACACCCAAGTCTAGGTGAGATATAAAGATACAGTCTTGAATTCATCATTTCTGTTTTAATACGTACAAGGACTATATTGCACAAAAAAATCTAAATAAAATTCTTCATCAGAAATATTTATGAAATTATCATCATGCTATCCGGGTTATAATCCATACAGCATAAAATATTGCACCAATATTATTAATATTGTTGTAACATTGCAATGTTGTCGCAATATTATTGTCTGCAATGTTCTGTGCTGTATGGGAACACAAAAACTATTGGTTTCGATAATTTTATAATAGAATTTATGATTCTATTTTATCTCTAGACTATACTATTAATATATTGCACTGAAGTTTTGAAACATCTTGCATACATAAAGAAATACTTAGTTTTACATAAATCATTACATTTAAATTTAAGATTCTTTTTAGTAATTCTTATTTTAACGAAATTTATAAAATTTTCTCAAATATAAAATACATATTTAAAATCTATATAAAATATATTTTTTCTACACTGTTACAGCAATAGTAAAGAGAAACCCTAACAACACGCATGTCCAAAAGATGTCCAGAGATCATCGAGAGGACATCCAGAGGACATAAAATATCCTTTGGTTGTCCTCCAGATATTCTATGGACGTCTTTTGGACATGTATGTTATTAGGGAAAGTGGGAAAGGAAAAAGGCAAGGAAGAAAAAGAGAGGAAGAATGAGAAAGGAGGGAAATAGAGGAATAGAAAAAGTGCACGTACAAATAATTAATATGTTTAATATCTATAAATTTTCCCATTTCACGATATTAATTTAAAAATATTATGGATATATATTTGCATTTCTCTCTCATATCTTTTATTAAATATAATTCCCAACTCATGAGAACATTTAATTATTCTATCAGACAATGGCAATCTTTTTTTCTTAAAATGTGTTTCCAAGAAATATGGCTCGCAAGATTCTCCAAGAACTACATATATTTTACATATATGTTTAATATATATAAATATAAAATAATTATCCAATACCAAATATTAAAAAATTTATTTCTCTAAAGAAATTTAAAAATTATGATATGTATGGATTTGACCTATTCACATAGTATTTTTAATCTTAAAAATAAATAAATGTTAAAATAAATGTTAAATAAATGTTAAAAAAGTGTTTAGAAAATAGAAATTAGAAAGGAGAGACAGTGATAGGAAAGTACAGATATTGCTTAATTATTACTTATCACATATCAACAAATATGAGAATGGGATAAAAAACACAAATTGCTCTTTTTTTACAGTAGCATACTGAAAATCTAATAAATTATGTATATTTATATTTACATATATATTTTTCCCAGAGACCATGCTATGGCACATATTTTTATTAATTAATAATTAAAGCCAAAAAAATAATATCTTGCAAATTATTAATACATACATACATACACACACACACGCGCGCGCGCGCACGCACGCACGCATGTACATTTTCTCTCTCTCTCTCTCTCTCTCTCTCTCTCTCACACACACACACACACACACACACACACACACACACACTCACACACTCACTCACTCACTCTCTCTCTCTCTCTCTCTCACACACACACATACATACACACACACACACACACACACACACACACACTCACTCACTCACTCACTCACTCACTCACTCACTCACTCACTCACTCACTCACTCACTCACTCACTCACTCACTCACTCACTCACTCACATATATATATATATATATATATATATATATGTGTGTGTGTGTGTGTGTGTGTGTGTGTGTGTGTGTGTGTGTGTGTATAATGTTCAAGATATATATATCCAATTTCTTGTTTCACAATACAATTAACTTAGAACAAGTTTTCAGTCCTATCTTATATTCTTTATATATATTTATATTTAATAATTGTTTTTCTATTTTTTATATAAATATAAATAATTTTATATAAACATAATATAAATTTCTTTGGTCTTATTTTTTGTCCTGTATTCGAGAAGTATACATAAGAAAATCATGTTTCTGTTTCTATAACATCTCAAGGCTCCTATGTCCTCATACTATATATAAGTATTATTAATTTGCAAGATGCTATATTGAATTATGTTATTGCAAATTGTATAATGTAATTTTTTTGTGAAATACATCGAAATATAAAGTTTGTTGAACGATCATTTGTATTCAATAATATAGATTAGTAAAATACGCCGAAAATTAAAATTTATTTCCACTGAAAATATAATTCAAATTTATTTCCACTGAAAATATAGTTCAAATATATTTGAGTTCAATATATTCAAATATATTTTGTGATCATCTATTAATGTAGGATAATACAAAAGAGAATTTTTAATGTATTTTACTAATCCTTACTATCAAACACGAGTGATTCAAAGAAATTTAATTATCTCGAGAAATGCACTGCACAAGAAAAAATTTATACAATTTCTCACTGCAATATCATATGATTGCAGATGTCAATATGACTGCTCTCAGGACATAAAAGCCTTAAAACATTTAAGATGGCAATTATTGGTCTAATAAATATAAATTTTATAAAGCTGTTACAATCGAGAATCTGTTACACATAATGACAGTAAGACTTTCATAACTTGGTCCTCAATATAACTCGATACTTTTCTGCACACATATTTTAATAATGCTAATGTCATGTGACGTCATGTCATTTTTGTCATAATAAATAGATCATATATGGCGCGTGTAGACGTACTTATGATTAATTTCGCATGCAAATACATATAGGTATGTAATTTAACAGTTTCATGTTGCCTTTGCGCATTACTATTTTTTTCCAGAAATTTCTAATCCTATACTCGAAAAGTTATGAAAGTCTTACTGTAATTGAGAATTGGTACATCACGAGTTGATTAAATCTTCACATATATATATATAGTCTGCATAACAAAATAACGAAATTGAATTTTTAAAACATTAGCACATCAAAATTGTAAGCTAGTTTAAATCTTACTATAGAATTATGTTTATGTCTTAAAATTAATAATTCACATTAATTTCTATTATTAGAAGTATTAAAAGTATAACTCTTTCTTTATAATTGTTGATTTGTGATAAATTCCATATTCTTTCTAAGAAGTATATCCAATATCTTATAAAAAGATAAAAATCCTTAGTCCTTAGTCTATTTATTTTAACTATATTTTGTAATTCTTTTCTTTTTTTTCTTTAAAGTTTGAGAACATGTATCGATATATTCAAAAAATACAAAAAAAATGTAAATATAAATGTAAGTTAAAATAAGCAAATTTTTATATCAATTATGATTTGTCTTTGTTTCCCATCTTCTCAAAAATGCTATCAAAAAGCTTTCGTTGAAAAGATAGAGTTTGTGTACCAGCAAAATTTCGAAACTCAAAGTAGATTATAATGTCCAATATACCATTTTAAAAAATCAATCTCATTATTTTGACAACAGGCTATATAAATATTAATAATATTAATAGTATTAATACTTTTAAAATGTTATTACAAGTGAGCATTTGTTTCAAAACTATAGCTTGCATTCTATACAACTACTATTTGTTACATGTTTTGTTGGCATGATATATTTACATCATCATATCGAGCAAGCATTCTTAAACCTTTCAACAGATCTATCTTCTGTGCAATGTGTACACACTTAAAATGTTTAATTTATCAGAATAGCCATTTTGATTCTCATTCCTGTAATATTAAACCGTTCATTCAAGAGCAAAACCATATAAGAAAATAGTTTAGCGCGTCAAAGTTTCTCTTGCTTATACAACCACGATCTTATGATTATTACCATTTGGCAAGAGAACATAATAGACACGCTTTCCCTTATCTCATTGAAACTCTTGTATATTAGTATGATACTGACTGTTAGTAAATGACCCATTAGTCTGTTCATTCCGTTCAATAACACTTTGCATTTCAACAGTTGATTCATTACTAGATTGTCCATTATTTAAATGTCCAGTATTATTAACATTATTTGTCACTACATTCACATTATTTGCAGTATCCGCTTGTTGTGATTGTTGTTGCTGATGCCCATTTAAATTATTTTGTGCAGAATTATTGTTTTTTGATCTATGTCTAAGTTTATGTGCAGTAAGATATTGTTTTACAGAGTATGCTTTGTGGCATATATCGCATTTATATGGCAATGGATCTGGACAATTTACATCGTCTGTGAGAGTTGCTGCATGAGTAGTTAAATGCATCATATAATAATGTTTTATAATGAAAGATTTGCCACAAGTTTCGCAAATATAAGGACCAGCTACACCATGCGTTTTTCGATGTTTATGGAGATTATCTTTGCGCGAAAAACTTTTGCCGCACATGTCACATTCGTGCATTTTTTGTCCGGTATGAGATACTGAATGTCTAACCAAGTGTTCTTTACGGCTAAATGCTTTTGCACACGTTGTGCACACATATGGTCGCTCACCAGTATGCAATTTCCGATGTTGAAAGAGATGTTCTTTTCGTTTGAATGGTTTACTACAAATGTCACAACTAAAAGAATTAACATTAGTTTGTAAAGAATCATCTTTGCTTCTAGCATCTGATGGTTCATTTATAAGTATTTCAACACTACAATTATGGTTGCTCATTTGAGTCAATGAGGAAAAACTTTTACCGCAATCGCGGCAGATAGTATTTTTTGTAGTCTGCGAGAGTACTTGAGGATTTACGGTGATTAAAGATGCTGGTTCTGATCCTGATCTAAGCCTCAGAAATTCTCTAATCTGATCAATTGAATTACGAGACATTCCATCATCAGATGAAGTTTTTGTAAATTCTTTAAAATCTTTTATATCATCTCGTACTGCTGTTGGTGTTGTCAGTGTATTTTCTTTAAAACCCAAGTTTAAAAATACTTCTGGCGTTGCTTGTACTGTAGTATAAGTTTGTACACCTGAGTTAGGAGATTCATCTTTTTGGACTTCAGATTGTATTTTCTGTATGACTTGCTGATTAGGTTCTATGTCCGTCTCGGTTTTGAGAACTACATTATTATTTTGATGTACAACTGGTGTCTCTTGTTTCACCGAGAATTCTTGTTGTGTTATAATTTGTGCTTGCTGCTTCTCAAGTTGCTGAAGTTGTCTGTGCTGTTTCTCAAATTCGCGTTGTTGCCTTTGTAATTGTTGAAGCTGCTGTGATATCTGTCCCTGCATTTGTTGATTAACTTGGCTTTGATTCTGAGATAATTGTCCTGCTTGGTTCAATTGCTGAGAAATTGGTCTTTGGGATTGCACTTGCTGATTTATTTGACTATGATTCTGTATTTGGTTCTGCGCTTGTTGGATCGCAGGAGATTGATTCTGCTGCTCACCAATTTGATTTTGCGCTTCATTTGATTGCTGCGATACTTGAGATGTCTGCTGTTGGTAACTATAATGAGTCTCTGCTGTAGCTTCAACAACAGCTGCTGCCATACCACCTGGTTGCATCTAAATTCAACATTATAATATTTTATTATTTCTGATACAGTAATATTTTAAAATAAATATATGAAGAATATTTTTAAAAAATGTATTACATTTAATGTTAGAATATTATTAAGATTTATTACAGACCTGCATAGCACATTTGTATTGCTGTACTCTAGCTTGAACTCCACTGATGATTTGTATATTAGAAGCATTTATATTGCTAACTACAACAGGTTGTTGATGTTGTTGTATTTGTTGATCATTTATTACTTGACTTCTCGGTGACGTTGACACCTTTTCCATTGACTTAAGAATTTCATCCTCTGGTGTTGATGATCTTTCCTTTTCGATATTTTTTACATAAACTTTTCCTTCTTTCAAAAAATCTTCGGACAAATGAAGCGAAGTAAGATAAGACTCCAACATACCCTCGGCATTGACTACAGTTTCCCGAAATTCTATAAAATTTTCCAGCTTTTTGACACATTCGTGGCATACAATTTTTGGTAATGAGTCATTCTCCATAACCTTAAACAAATGCAATCAATTAATATGTGTTTGTAAAAAGGAAAAATTACTATAAATATTTATATAATATTTATATAATTAGATTTATACATCTATATAATATATATGTGCAGATATTTTATTTTAATTTTTTCGCGATAATTAAACATATAATCAAACATTGATTTATACGTATTAATTATATATTAAATAATTTTTAAAAAGTCTTAATAATTTTAAAACTTCATGTGTGTGTATCTATAAATATATTCATGTAATTTGTTATCAAATGAATATTTTATTCATATAAATTAATTTGTTATATATTTGAATTTTCAATATTTTGCATTATTTATAACTTATATAAATAGTGGTAAAATATATTCTTTTTATATTTTAAATAAAATATGTATCACAAATACAAATAGTAAGATGACAGATAATTGAATAATTTCCATACAAGTAAGTCATATTTATACAATAAATAAAATAAAATTAATGTAGCAAATCTAAAAAGTAAAAGTTTACAACTATATATTAGTATACACACAATATAAAATTTAAATTTTATATTATTCATCATATTGATATATTAATATATAATTATTTTTACATAAAAATTTTATATCATTGATAAATAAATAAAAACCAAGATCTTATAATTTAGTAGATAATCAAGCATTGTGTATATTCTTATATTGTTAATTAAATAATATTTATTATATGATATTCAATTCTCATATATATAAATGCATATATACATCAAATATCAATTTAATTGCGAAAAACTATGTAGAATGTATTAATTGTTAGTTTTATTTCCTAAAAACAACAAATTTTAACATTATTTTCACAAATTAGTCTATTATATTGTATCACTCTGCAGATAATATATTAGATAAATCATGCTTTATTATTTTAAATCTTATCAATTTCAAGAGAGATTTTTTCTTATAATAAATAAGAGAGATAATCTTACTATAAATGTATATATATAATAATGCTGTGCATGTATTAAAATGCTACATTAAGTAGAAATTTATGGATATATTAATCATGTAATTCTTTATAATTGAATTACATTAGTCTACTGTTGTTTACTGATTTTCAGATAAATGTGATTTTCATGAACTAAACCGTGTATGGCTCTCGCTTTTTCTCTCTTTCTCTTATTCCGGTAGTATCTCCCCCCACCCCTAAAAAAAGAAAAAAACAAATCTCAAATATCTCTCGTAAATTCTTCGAATGTCTTCTCGACTCTTGCGTTACTTGCGAACACATGTCGAATTAAAAATCGAGCTCGACAGGCAGAAATCGAGAATGCCCGAAACTGTTTGACGTCAGGAGCGAGAGAATGCACGCTTACTTGTATCGCCAAATACGTCTGTATTTTCGTCTGCAATTGTCGTCTGCGTCCCTCCTCGCGAAATATATACATCTTGTTACCCTCGCTGTTGGTACACAATCGGCAAAGCTCGTAATAATTCACCTTGCGGTATCCTGACATCGTTTTTCCCGCGACAAACACACGGATCGCGGCCGCGACCGTAGAACAATCGCGAAACGAGAGGGAGAAGGCTCTTTAGCGTCGATCAGCGGCGGTAAACACACGCGCAAAACCGTCACCACCCCCGCTGCCACCGTCGCCGTCGTCGTCGCCGTCGTCGCCGTCGTCGCCGTCGTCGTCGCCGTCGCCGACGCTGTCACCGCGATCGCTACTGCCACGATATCGCTTGATATCACTGCTTTTGCATCAGCATCGCTGACCATTCTGTTCCGCGCGTCAGACAAAATGATAGCAATCACTGCTGATATTGTATACCACTCATTTCTCTCTCTCTTTCTTTCTAATGCGCGATATATATATAAGGTGTTCTTAGAGTATCCATCTATTTTGCTGAAATTATCACAATTATTTTGGAATTTACCGATACTGCTCATTCGAATTTATTATGTATATGTATATTATAGATACAGGGTGGTTCTAAAGTGATCATTTATTTCAGAAATTGTAAATTATTAAAAATTATTTTGATGAATTTACCGATATGTACACACACCGCTCATTTGTATGCGTGCATACAAGGTGTTCTTAAAAAGACCACTATCTATTTTGTTGAAATTAGAGGTGTTTAAAAAAATTATTATACTGGCATAATAATATGTCCGTAATACAGGAATGATAAAAATTACTTTATATATATAAATATTATTTCGTAAAAATAAATAGTTATCTTAGGAACACCTTGTATATATAATTTCTTTTCGATATTTAATTATATTCTAGATTTCTTTATAGCTGCACTGACATTGGCAAATTCAACACAAAATTTAATGAACGTGCAAAAATACAGTTAGAAATAAAAAATGCAGAAATAAATGGCTGAATTTGCTCATAATTTTTATAGCGAATTCGATCATTCCCGTAATATACTTCACTAGTGCATATTAAGATTGTTATACGAGAAATATTTAAACGCCTTGACACGATATATAAATTCTCTGATAATGATATAATTAATGTACTCATATATTTTATTAAAGATGACGATATATCGATCATTATTAAAATTGGATTTAACTTTAGAACGTCTATATTATCTTTTTTATGCACTAGTGCGAGCGATTCCGACGCACACAAATTTACTATTAGAATTATATGATTTTTTTGAAAAAAATCACGCTTTCATGATACATGCGTGAATATACGTTCTATAATTTTTACAATTCAAATCATTATAAGATGAAAACAAATAAAATATATAGTTTAATGTAACACCAATAAGAATAAAATTAAAATTTTAAAAGACTCGAATCTAATATTTGATTTTTTAGATTGTAGTGATCCACAAATGTATCAAATGATGGGGAAATAGAAAAATATCACATAAGATTAATTTTTTTTTATTTTTTTTTTCACTTTTAAGAAAGGCATATTAAATTATTGCTCTTATTATTGCTCCTTTTCAATATAGTAATTAATATAATAAACATTAAATGCAATTTTAATAACAAATTTCAATTGACAAAATTTCCAAGTATATAACTGATCATTTTTAATTGAATCTTTTCATGCATAAAACATCAAAAATAATCTTTCTATCCATATTAACAAAATATCATAAATTTTAATCTTTGATAAGTTAATCAACATTTTATCGAAATAACTTTTAGTAATGTATTATCAAATATGAAGCATAAAGTGTTTTAAATAAAATTAATAATTTGTGTGGTTGAAATAAAGGTGCAATTTGTATGTATAATATTGTGTGTATGCACATATACCATAGTATTACATACATAATATTGTATATACACACATACTATACTATTATATATATATATATTACATATTTTCATAATTGCTATTATATATATATATATATATACACATATATAAATATACATATATCTCTACATATATATCTATATATATATATATATATGTATATAAAATTTGTCATTCCATATATAGAAGACAATTTGACTATAAACAATCTCTAACATTATGGTTCATTTTCATCATGCAAAACGTGTTTTCTTATCATATGGTAAGCCATTCCTATTGTCAAGCAAGCTATTGCTGTTCCTTGTGCAGCAACTCGTAGTTGTATCAGATACATCTGTGTAGATATCTTCCTGTTCTTGAAAGCATAAGCACCATAGCCACAGATACCCGTCAAACCTATTAAGCCTATTTAAAAAACAATATATATATATATATATATATATATATTTATATAATTTATATTAATGATGTACATGTTATTTATATCTTTACATGTTTTATATATGCATACATACTTGCTACAAGAAATGGTGATTTCCGACCTTTTTCTAATAGTTTGTCTGACAATGTTTGATCCGTATATATATCGTCATCATTAGTGGCCATTTTTGAAAAAATTCAGTTTCCGTTAACCTGAAAAGTAATTGATTTTAAAAATCATTCACTTGATTGCAAAAATTGCATATTAGATTAAATATTTTGAGATTTGACTTCTAGCAAAGCTTATCTTTAAAAAAAAAAAAAAAAAATATATATATATATATATATATATATATATATATATATATATATACATTTACTACTTCTACTCAATTAATTAAATTATAAAAGATAATTTAATAAAATTGAGAACAAAATATAGATTTCTATTTGTATAGATTTTTCTTGTATATCAATATTAATGCACTATAAACAATTAATAACTGTGCATAAATTATCCTTTAAATAAATAAATTCAATTTTGTCATTATATCAGTATTTCATCATCTCCTTGATTACACATATCTCATTGTTAATATATTTAATTTTATTTACTTTTCTTTCTTTTTATATATATGTATAAAAATTGCACACTTATGTGTAAAATATATTATTACATTATATTATTATAGAAATTTAAAATTTATATATATATATATATATATATATATATACACCTGCTCTTATCTAATTCAAGGTCATGACAAAGATCATAGTTCTGTCTTTGTTTTTTTTTCTTTTTTCGACATACAGTGTATAATTAAAATTGATATATAATAATTATTCGCCAACAATAGGTAAAATTGATATCATTTAATTATAAAGCTATAAGTTATTCAAATTGTATTTATCTCAATATTACTGAGATATCTAACCTAAATTCAAATCTAAATTCTTTTAAAAAAAGGACCTATAAAAGTAGAAATTCTCATAACAATCAAAATCCTTCAATAATTCGCATAAATTTTCTCTTAATTTTGTCATATCGAATTTATCGCACTTTGAATCATACCAATATATTAAATATAATTATCGGCGACTACACATTCTTTCTCATTTGTTAATTTACTATATATTCTATCAATGTATTTTTGACAATTCTCTTCGTATAAATAATAAAATCTCCGACAGCTCCTATCGATCGTTAATTACATTCTGCTCACCTTCATATACTCGGTAGAACGTAGAGCATCAATAAAAATGATGTATTCAAAAATCTCAAGTATAGGCTGCGTTCTGTAAAACACATATGTGCGCAGGATGGCGTATGTATCGCGCATATATACGTATCTGTGCGCATACGTGCTTTACGAAACGCAGCTGTAATTACGAAGATTTGTTCTCTGTAACTGAATTTTCTCGTTAGTCAAGAAGAAGAACTGAACCTTTTGCATTAGTGTACATTAAAAATGTTTGCGCTAGATACATATTTGCACATGGAAAGAAAGAGAGGAAGAACAAAAAGTGCAAGTGCTTTCAGCTACAGAGAACATATACAGGAGAGATCTAAATTCTTTGTCCTGATTGGTTAAACGCCATTCTACTTGGAAATACTACCCGCGAGATAAAGATTTTAGTGGCCAATCAGGACAAAGTATTGAAGCTCTCTTTGTTCTGATTGGTCAATTCCATGCTACTATTTCTGAACGCAACTCTTCCAATAAATTTCCGAACACAATCTATGTTTTATATATTCCATGCTACGAAGCTGCCAGATCTCCGCCGCAAGCAATATGCAACACCTTGTGGAGGGGATAACGGGGATGTAGCGTAACATACGTGTGAGCTCCGAACTCACACGTACGTTACGTTCACATCCTCGTTATCCCCTCCACAAGGTGTTGTATGTTGCTTGCGGCGGAGATCTGGCAGCTTTGTGCTACGATAAAATCTGTTCAACCACAAACATTTATTGACACGTGAATTAATCATGAAGATATTTATCTCTCCCTTTATAATGTAAAAGTAACGAGAACAGCTGGTATTTGTGTTTAGACCACCATAAGATCACCGTTTTCCAGAATGATATGTGATATTAAATTAGAAAGAGTGACTTCGAATAACAAACACATCTTTGTATTCTTTCCACGTCATTTTGAGTATGAATCACTCAATGTACGTATGTATGATTACACGACAATGCCTATTGTTTGAGCATTGAAAATGATCTCGTGAGAAATCAAATTGAATCACGTGAAAAGCTTAAGCAATTAAGCCTTAGAGAATCGAGACTTCGTTTTTCAAACGATTTTCAAAAATGTGGAAACCCTTCGAAGCTGGCAGTTCTCCGGTGGACTGGTGTGAGGGAAATTACAGTATTTCACCCAGCATCGCCGAATTTATGAATACAGTTCGTATATATTTATATATTTGATATACATAACTCAAAATTACAAGTCAAATACATGTACCTATCGATGTCACATCAGATCTATTCTGTAAATTTTAATGCATGCATATAACTATAATAAATTTATTTTACATATAACTAAAATCCTATATACCTACTATATACCTTGTAATTATAATAACATATGCATTAATGTTACAGAATAAATGTCAATAATTTGTTATATTATCTCTATATATGCATTGGTATTTACAAATATTACATACATACAAGTTATTTATATCAAAAAGTAATTTATTCTTTAAAAAAATTTAAAATGTTACTTAAAAATTTCAATTTAACAGAATGTTCTACTTTTATATATTAAATATGATTCTCTCTCCCTCTCTCTCTCTTTCTCTCTTTTGTAGAACTGTGTAGATGTTTTTGGAGAAAACCAAAATTTATATTATTATTAAATGGCAATTATAATTGAATTAGATATAAATAAATATTATAGAAGTATGAAAAGATCATGTTTTTACTCTTATTGAGGATTGTCATAATAAAAGAAGCATGGTTTCATTGGTTGTAAGATCAAATTGTCATAAAAGAAGCATGATGTCACTGGTTGTAAGATCAAATTGGTTGTTCACCATTTAACTTTTTATTTTTTAGTTCAGTAATGTGGTCTTCCTGTTACTTCCACCTGTGCTCATGCACTTATTTAGAGATTATGGTCGCTTTGTGAATCCTGGGATTCATATAATTTGGTTCTTATTAATGATAGTGGGACTTAGTAGTGCATATTTTCATGCTACTTTGTCCTTAATTGGTAAGAATCATGAATATATTGATTAATAATTAAGAAATAATGATCCATACTGTAGTTACTATTAAAATAATGTTGGGTTAATTATTGTTGGAAAAATTTATATATAATAGGTCAACTTTTGGACGAATTAGCTATTTTGTGGGTATATATGGCAGGATTTTGCATGTTCTTTCCAAGAAGATATTTTCCAAATATCTTTCGTAACGATAGAAAGCTTTTTTCTATATGTGCAACATTACCGACTTTGATTGCTACTGGTTTGGGTATACTACATCCAGCTGTAAATGCTTTCGCGTTGATGAGTTTGGGTATACCGGCGTTCGGATTTCTGATCATAGAACTAAAAAGGTAATTTAAATAGAAATTTATTAACATAAATATCAATATAGAAATAAATATGTTAGATTATATATATATATATATATATATATATATATATATATATATATAGAATTATACAAATTTTAACAGTCTTATAAATTTTAAAGGACTACATCGATAAGAGTATACAGGCTGGGGCTGCGATGTGGTGCCATGTGGATATTATCGGTGACTTGTTGGTTAAACGATCGTTTATTTTGTGATACATGGCTAAATCTTAATTTTCCTTATCTCCATGCGCTGTGGCATCTGTTTATCTTTATTGCAAGTTACACTGCGGCGGGGCTATTTGCATATTTTGCCGTACAGGATGAAAAGCCGCAACAATTGCCAGTACTTAAATATTGGCCCAGAGATGATTTCGAACTCGGTATACCGTACGTGACTATTCGAAGTTATATGAAATTAAACTACAATTCGAATATATAGCTCTTTTTGTAAAGGCTTTTAGACTAGGCAACTAAAACTATAATGCATTATTATTACAATGAGTTTTTGAGTTTTATACGGTATGAAATATACATATATATGGTTTTGCAATTTATATAAATGTTTATTTTTTAAAAATTAAAGTTAATTTTTTTAAAATATTTTGTAAAAGTAAGTTCTCTCGTTTTACAGAATCACATAAGAATGATGCTAGGGATTAAATACATTATGAAAAATTTTAAAAATAAACATGTACAAAAATACAGTGATATTAAACATTTAAAAAAAGCTTAAAAGTAATAATATTATGATTCATTAAATAAGTATGTGATATTTAATTTGAAAATATATGAGATATAATTTGAAATGAATTTATAATGTAGAATTAAAAAATTATTTATTACATTATTTATTATAATACTTTGAATCTATTTCTTATTGATTTAACAAATCAATTTCTTATTGATTTAACATGTTGAATGAGTGAGTCTCAGAAACTAATAAGTAAATTATTTTTTTTGTAATATTCTAATGAATATTTCTATTTAGAAGTTAATTTTTTCTCTTAGTGATATTATATGTATACAGATGGTAAGATAAGATATCCCTCTTACAAAACAGATCTTATAAAAAAAGCAAATCTAAACCAGATCTTATAAAAAATTTATAAAATATGACATTTATATATTATAACAGATTGTTTTAAGTTGTAGGCAATGTCATTATGTATTTCTGCATATAGATATTGACACTCACAAACAAAATTTCTTCACATGATTTTTAAATGTTAAAAAAATCGATTTTTATTATACGATTATGTATATTAGCAAATTAAAAATAATAGATTGATTATATTGTGATATGTGTAGTCTTGTTAAACTTTTTTACAAAGGACTATTTTTATATGTTGTCTAATCGTTACTTAAAAATGCAGTGTGCAATTTATATTTTAAATACCTATAATGTGAAAATATATAGCATAGATATATTCAACTTACACATGTAATAAATTATATATATGTATGTGTTAAAATTCCTGAATGTATAATAATGTGTGTGTATGTGTGTGCATATATATACACATAGAAAGAGAGCGTGTATATACACATACATATAAATAATATACTCATGATTTTATAGTTATCTACAATTTGAGACTGTATTTATATATGTGCAATAATAAAAAGATATTACGAATAAATAGTTTTCTAGTCATATTGTATATGATATATATGTATATTTATATACTAACTGAGTGAAATTACAATAAAATAGGGATGTGTATATTAACATCTGTATGTTTTACAGCATATAATTTATATATGTACAATAATTTTATTTTATTTTTTTTTGTATCTTATTAAATAAAAATTTAAAAATTTAAAAATATATAAACTTGTATAAATGATATAATTAAAAATCGGAAGATTTTTTATCACATTCGCATTTAAAATATATAACATTTTATTCATTTTCATCATACTCGCCTCTGAAGTACATAACATTTTTGTCAGTTTCGTGGACCTTGACTTCATAAAGTAATTTTGGGTTGGACATATGTTTCTTCAACTGCTCAAAAATGTAAACAGCAATATTTTCAGTGGTAGATATTGTGTTGTTTGTAAAATGTTCTACTTGTTTATCTATATTTTTATGATCCATTTCATCTATCACCACTTTCTGCATGCATTCTTTTAAATCTGATAAATTAAGAACCATGCCTGTTGATGGATCTATGGGTCCGCGGACGGTTACTTCCACTGTAAATGAAACTTAATTAAGTTTCTCAAGAAATCTCAATTTGATATCTAAATGTTAAAATTTATTTAATATAAGAAAGAAGAAAAGGGGAGTTAAGAAAAGAATTCAAAAACTATAATATCTAATCACATTCCACATCATAAGTATTTGCTATCCTTTTCTTGCAAATTTCATATTTATGTATTAAATAATAATGTACTTAAATTTTATTTTAAAGTTATATAACAATTTAATTTATACTTAATGGGAGTATTACTATATGTTTTTCTTAAATACCTTATATAATAAGTTAATAAGTGAAATGTACCTGTATAATTATGTCCATGTCCATAAATGTTATTGCATTTCCCATACACTCTAGCATTATCGTATTCATTTAAAAATGGGCTAAAATATGTTAGAATATTTGAAATTAGTTTAAAGTCCCTCATAGAAAACAATATTTTCTATTTATAAATTCTTCAATCAATTTCAAGTCATTTTATTTTAGGAATAGTTTGAACTTTAACTATATGAATTTTAGTAGAAATTTAACATGTTCTGTGATAGTTAATTAGCAAATCAAGATTATTTATTAAACAAAATATTTCTTATATGTGAAATAGATATGAAATATACAAGCATCATCTTTAATTCTGTTATTATATATTACACTGTATATGTATATATTATATTATTAAATATATTTTCTAATAATACTATTGCACTTATATATTATACCTAGAGCTGTGTGTGTTAGACGTCTAATATAATATATAAAAATCCATTTATTTATTTACTTTCATACCTATTCAAACGATGACAGCAAGATATGTGTTCTTTTCGCGTTAAATAAGCGATTGGTTTTTTCTTAGAGGAAGAATCCATTTTACAACAAGAATATGGAATGTAGATATTATTAAAGGAATGACAGATAAATTAACTTTGGAGATTGGAGAATTGATATTGGAGTCCTCGCGCGGTGACAATACAAAGCTTCAGTTTTAGAATTACCAACAGAGAAAGAATAAAATTTATAGAAATTTAATTTAAAAAAATAAAAAATATAATATAAATTAAAGAAATAAATTTTATTCATAAATGTCTACATATCAAATCTCTAACATATCAGACATTTTGTCTGAAACATTTTTACCTTTTGTACTCGATCTTCGATTTTTGGATAGTATTTTAAAGAGAAGAGGGAAGATTTGGTCTTGAATTTTAAAGTAATTCCTCAGGATCATATAAAGTAGCTGATATTTTTTAAATATTTAGATATATTTTTTATAGATATACTTTATATCTCGTATAAATGTAGAACTCTATGCATATATATATATGCGTATATATATATTTTGTTATAAAAAATAAATTTTCTAGTTTTTATAATTTTGTAGTTCTAAAATAAGCAAAAACAAATTTAAAATTTCGGAAATGCTTATTTAAGTGCTTCGTAATTTATTTGAAACAAAAGTGTATAGATAGTAAAATAAAAAGATATTTTTTTCAAAATCAAGTAATCTGAAATATTTTTTTTTGTAAAATGTATATTTTACACTTAGGGAAACAAATTACTATAATTTTATTAATATACTAGTTTTATATATAAAGCACAAGAATTTTTTTTATATTAGAATTACATTTATATATAAATTATACATATTTTGCTTACATGTGCAACGTTATCTATTTAATTATAGAAGTTATCTATTTAATTATAGAAAAAATCGACAGATTAAATATTAATATATCCAAGTATTAATACATAACAAAAAATGTGTTATCAAAATATTAAATATGTATGTGATATATTACTGATTAAATTCTTTGATAATCTATATTATGTGGAATAATGAATCATGCAAGTGTAATTGTTTGCAAAAACTAAACTGATGTTTCAGCTTTTTAACATTATATTATTTTAATAACAACCCAACAAATTTTAAACAATATATGTGTTTTTCTAATAAATATCGTAATGGCTTATTATATATTGTTTGATTCAGAATGTAAGTATAGAGAAAGTGGAAACAATTAATATTAATGTGCTGATTGTGCTAAGTAAACATATTCCTTGAGATTCGACCAGACTTATTCGCTCCAGAATGAAAAATTCAATGATACTTAAAACGTAAAACAAAGGTACGATATATAAGCAAATTTACAAGATAGAAGCATTATTAACTGTACAAGGTATAACTAGATAAATTTCGATGTATACGATAATCAATCTTCAATTTTTTGTTATTTACAAAAGCGTGCTTACTTAGCGCAAATTACATTAATGCATATAATGGTGCATTGATATTATTAAATCCTGAATAAAGCAACATATAATGTTAAGCAAAGCATGTAAACTATAAATGTAAAATGCATTAGCGATTATAAACTAGTAAATTTTTTTAGCAATAACAATGCATGCATATATATATATATATATATATATATATATATATATATATATATATACCTATATTACATTTTAATTAAAGTATCACCTATCTCATATAAGTTCTTACATTAAAACTACACAAAGATTTTTCATATATTGCTTCCATCTTGTTTCTTTCAGAAAATAATGTACACTATGTGTGTAGAGTTTGAAATTTTTATTATATGTAGCCCCCTTTTATCTCTTGATAAGTATACATATGTTTTGTATGCTAATGCATGTTTCATTATTCATATACATGTAAATAGTTCTACCTATTTCTAATTAACAGCAGAAATTTATTATATATCCTTGAAATATGTATATTGTATTAATATATGATGTGTCTACATAAAATGCAAGATTTTCAATGCAACAATTGTTAAACCAATTTTGGGTGTTATGTTTTCGAGCGTTCCACTAAATAATACATATGCTTGTGTGTACTTTGAAACTACTTTGACAATAATATCGAAGCTTTTATAACATTATGTCAATGTTCTATACTTTTTATAAATATCGTAATAAAATCAATGAATTTTATCATAGCTTGTTGTAAAATTATTGATTATATTATAAAAATGGAAATATCAAAAAAATTATAAAAATATTAAATAATGTAAAAAGATATAAAGAAAAATCTACATTCAAATCTATATCAAATTGTTGCAGTATTCCAACTATAAATATATTTCATATTTTCTATCGATTTCCCTTTTGCTAGATATTTATCTCTATAAGCAAAAAATAGATTAGATTGGATAACACTATATTATTACAGAAAAGTATACACTTTTCGTATCATTGGAAAAAAATATATATCATATCTGCTAATAATATGGCCAATTCAAATTATGTACAAGTTGTAAATTTAGATATATATATAATAGAAAATTTATATATATATATATATATATATATATATAATATATATAAAAGCATTCAAAGTAAAATAAATATAAAACAAAAAATCAGAGGAAAAGAAATAAATAAGTATAAAAAAGGAAAAAATAGAAAAAATAAAATATGCAGTTAGATATATATTAAACATGTTACTTTGATACTTTGGCAGTGCAAGAGTGACAAATAATATCATGTTTTATCATACTTCCTTCACTCTAAAATATGTGAAAAAAACATAACAGTTTTTATAAAGAAACAGAAATAGTTATTTTTTTAATAAATATAATTATATACATTCAAAGTAACATATACAATACTTGCTCTTTGCTATTAAATAAAGAAAAAATATATAATTTGAGAAACTTTTCGTTGTAAAATTATCTAAAAGCTGAAAAAAGTAAATAAGAAATTTATTAATATTTATTGATCTAATATATATATATATGTTATTTATAGTTGCACACTGTAATTTTAAATTTAAAAGACAATAACCTGCTATATATATAATGCTGATTAAAGTAATAAAAATATCAATTTAAAGAGAAATAAAGTGTGTGTGTGTGTGTGTGTGTATGTGTGTGTATATATATGTATATACACATATAATTATAACATTAATTATATAGATAAGCCTCGGGGTGTTTACGACAATTAATCGGATCTTTGATCAGACTGAACAGTGGTACTCAGCGATAGATAGCTTTCTAAATTTCCCTAGACTAATCCGGATGATGTGTCTCTGAAGTAATCGAATTAGATTAACAACTTAGTCTTATTTTATAGAAAACATCTTATTCCAGTAAAATACATTTGTTTATTAATATATATTTGATAAATAAAGATATATTAATTAAAAGAATAATAAAGTATCTTCTATAATTTCTTATGATGTTTTTCACAATTTTTTCGATCAGCTCGACCGCAATTTCTTTCGATGACTGTTAATCTAGTTCGATTACTTCAGAGACACATCATTGATCCGGATTAGTCTAGGGAAATTTAGGAAGTCTATCGCTGAGTACTACTGCTCAGTCCGATCAGAGATCCGATTAATTGTCGTAAACACCCTGTATATTGAAAACAAAAGATTGAAACATACATACACACACATACAATACTGATCAAAAATATTGTATCACTTATAAAAACAGAGAAGTTGTTATTTTAATTAATAAACACATATTGTAGCATGAACTTGGAAGAGAATCCGATAAATCAGATCTATTAATAAAAAATTATAGCATTTACAAATACGCTGGAATCAAATATCACAACGTTAAAATAACTTATCAAGAATGTGTGGTAATATTGAAAGCAAAGGAAGGCTATTTATAAAAATAAAAAATTTTATATTTGTTATATGTTTTAATTTTTTGTCACAATTAAAAGAAGCATAAAATAACAGTAATAAAATCTAATTTGGCAATATTTATATAATGGTAATGTGTTTTTATGATGGATGTAATATTTTTGACCAGTATGTATACACACATATGTATAAAGATATTGGGATGTTCAAAATAATTATCCCCTATATTCTTGTAGACTATAATATTCCACAATTTCGTGGATGGACATAAAGATTTAAAAAAATGTTTACATAAATAATGAAAATTGTCGAGAATGATTATAGCCCAAAAAGATGATATAATGTGTGAGCCATTATATAAAAATGATACTATAGTTTTCATTGAAAGCAGGACGCGACTCAAAAACAAATCTATGTTGAAGTAATATTGTTGCCAGAAAATAACAAATATAAGAAACAACTGATCAGCGTAGATCCGGATTATCGTGAATTTGCTTTTTTATACGTAATAATACTGTTGTATACCACTGATCCAATCTTGAAATTGAATCATATTCCTTAACAGCTTCTGTATAACCTTCAAGATTTTGATCTTCCAAATGTTCTATCAATGTCTGCAAATATACAATAATCATAAATTATTAAGTAAAATATAAATATAAATAAATAAATAAATGTGTGTGTGTACACACACACACACACACACACAAAATATCAATTGATAATTCAGAGACACAAAAGATTACCTTTATTAATTTATATTCTCTAGAATCTTGGAAAGCTGGGTACTGTTCTTGATAACGCTCAATTGCATGTTGGGCATTTAATGAGTCGACGCACAAATGACACAATGCAGCACGGAAGAAATATTCCTTAGCACTATATTTGAGTAAAGAACTTTCTAATGATGCAGATGCAACCTGTTAAATAAATAAGCTTTAAACATTTAAAGTTTATATCAAGTTTACTAAAACTAGAATATTTTCACTAATTTTTTACTACTATAAATATCTCAGGTTTTTACCTGCTCATAGATCTGAATAGCTTTATCATAATTTTCAAGTTGAGCGGCGTATTGTGCAACTTTAAGAAGACACTTATTTGCTGAGGAATTACTTTCTTCACCACGGAAATAATCTGCAGCTTGCTCGTAATGATGTACTGCACGTTCCAAATCGACTGCATCACTTTCGTAAATTTCAGCTATACTTTGATGATGCTTTGCTGCCATTGTGAAACGGCCCATGTCGGTATAAATTTCAATGGCTTTTAACAAACAACTGATCGCTTCTGTAAAGACAGAAACACAAGGATATAAACTTATTATCTTGTTTATTATATACAATATATCTTAAAACATTATTTATACTAAACTTCTTACTAATTAAAAATATTCCTATAAAAAAATTATCATTATACCATTTGTATCCGATTTTTTGAAACAATTGGCAGCATCTACATAATTATTAGCTGCATCATGACGGCCACCTGCTTTTGCATGTAAATCTCCCGCACTGTAAAATGCCTTTCCCGCCGAATTCCATTTTTTTGCCATCTTGAACATATTCGCTGCTCGTTGGTAACATTCTACTGCCTCTTCAACTTTTGATGAGCTTCTGTAAAAGTTTTTAAACGTTGATTTATCAATCTCTTAGGCCTGGTTGCACCAATGTTATTTTAGCTTTAAGCGAGACTTAAATATATGTCTACTTTTATCTTTCTTTCTAAATAAATAAAGACACATATATTTATATATTAAGTTTCTCTTAAAGCTAAAATAATATTGGTGCAACTGGGCCTTAGGGCCATTCTACAATGAGTTATTAATCGATTATTTTTTAAATAATCGATTATGATTAGTCAAGCTGCTTATGACTAGTGATTAATGACTCATTGTAGAATGGACCTTATAACAAAAAGGGTCCTTGTTTCCTATGCAGAACAAAAATATCGTTTATAGATATATACATGTGATACGTATTGACATATACATATATATAATACATACATGTACAGAAATCACATTATAAGAGGTGATCGAAATTTAAATAGTAATATATAATTATTCGTTGAAATAAGAAATTTCTCGCGACTTGCGATAGAATAATGCGCTAGAATAACGTAAAATCGTGAGAAAGCGAGATTTATACGCTCCCAATGAAATGAGTATGAGTGATAAATCGATCAGCTTACCCGAACAGTGCGCCAAAGAAGCCTTTCGACGATGACAGCTTTTTCTCGGCCTCTGCCACCAATTGCAATGCCTTCTGCTCACTATCGGCCATGACGACGTCGCCGAATTCTCGTGGGTTTTTTCAGAAGTCTCGGCTCATCAACTGTGCACTTGCTAAATCTCAACTCCGAATCTCTCTTTATCGCGAGACGTCACTAAAACCGAAAATACGACGAATCGTCAGTGCATCGAGCATCATCACCGTCAGGGTCGCCAATCTGCCAACGAAAATACTTACCTACGTCGAACCTCTCTGGTCGAACAGCGCATTCAAGATTGACACTGCGCATTGAAATCACTGTGTGACCGGAGCTCTATAGTCTTTGATTATATGAATCAGAGAGAAGACTGAGAGGTGTCATGGCCTACTTTTAGGTGATCCCTGAAAGCGATACTCCCTCTATGGATATTGAAAGTGGGCATGAACTATAAAACTAGTGCCCATGAATATTCTCAGAGGATAATATATAATGAGCACAATTTCTGGTTTTGTTCCGTGCTATGTGCACGAAATGCCGGTAGCACCAGTGCTATATAACAAGATATTTATGTATGTAAATTGATAGCAAATAAATTATTCAATCGCGAAAGATACTGTAATATTCAAAAATGAAATAAATATTTTTCTATATTCATTGTCATATTTATATCTTTTTATTTATAAAACACAAAATGCCTGCTGTGAGATAAAAACATTTTTCGTATTTCTAAATCTTCTTAATTAGCAGTAAACTGATCTTTGATATTTATCAATAATTTTTTTAATTTTTTAAAAATTATTGATAAATATCAAAGATCAGTTTACTGCTAATTAAGATGATTTAGAAATACGATTAAAAATATTTTTATCCCACAGCAGGCATTTTGTGTTTTATAAATAAAAAGATATAAATATGGCAATGAATATAGAAAAATATTTATTTCATCTTTGAATATTACAGTATCTTTAGCGATTGAATAATTTATTTGCTATCAATTTACATACATAAATATCTTGTTACTGATGGTGCTACCGGCATTTCGTGCACATAGCACGGAACAAAACCAGAAATTGTGCTCATTATATATTATCCTCTGAGAATATTCATGGAACTAATTTTGTAGTTCATGCCCACTTTCAATATCCATAGAGGGAGTATCGCTTTCAGGGATCACCTAAAAGTAGACCATGACACCTCTCAGTCTTCTCTTTGTATGATATTTAAAAAGGATCTATTCAAAGATATATCAATAATAATATTTCTGTAATGAAATTCAGCAGTTGGTAACATTAGAAGCAATTTAATTTTGTATGCTTTGAGTCACGCGCACAAAAATTTTTCATTTAACGAATTTTTTACTTTATTTCGAATCGATAAGGTTGTTGATCGCGTGACGATGTCTTTTTTATACAGGCAGGAAATAAAATCGCTACAGGAAGGAATGCCAAATACGTTTATAATCGGCATAATTATACATAGTGCAAATGTAAAAACGTTTATTGCCACTCAAGCAAAATGTATGTATTCACATATATACAGTTTTTTCCTATTTTATTTAGATTAACTTATGATCGATATGATAAAAAATTATAAAAATAATGCATTCAATTTACAGAAATATCAAATATTAAAGAGAATTCACGTAATTATCTTCGAAAAATAGAAAACATTTTTTTTTATATTAAATTATTACTATTTATCTATTTATCTTATTTTGATGAATTGAATAAATTGCATGTTTATCGAATTTCTTTTTAAATGAAAAGTTTTATTTTTTAGATAAAATAAAAAATAAGAGAGGTTTTATTCCTTACAAGAATAAAGGATTATATCTATAATGTATATATTAATATATAAAATATATCTATATTATATTTTTTCTGTATATTCTTTATATATGTACAAGAAAAATATTAATGAGAATAATTGAAAAATAATTAGAAGAATAACTTCTGTCTTGTTTTTTTTAAAGTAAAATTTGAAGATTAAAATTTGAAGAAAGTAAAAGAAAAATAGTTTATATGTATATAATCATATACAAATTTTATTTCTTATTTCTTCAAATTTTACTTTAAAAAAACGATATGAAAATTCTTTTCCTAATTGTTTCTTAATTATTCTTATTTTTTTCTTGCCTATACGGACATAAATTATATAGAAGCAAGAAAAAATTTTATATATATGTATATATTTATATTTGATTATATGAACTTTATTTTCGAACTTTTATTTTACCGATTCTTGCAGTTAACAGAGGTGAACGTAGCGTGTGGACATTTACTTTACGGGATACAGAAGAAGATTTTATTAATGTCACAGTATGGGGTAGTACAGAATTTGTAAAAAAAATATCGTCCACATTTAATATCGGATCTGTAGGTACGTAAATATATATATATATTACAAAGTTTACTTTAAAAAAATACTATTTTTCTAAATACTATTTTATTATTTTTTCTCTATATATAGATACAGATTGTATAAGAAAAAAAAACATATATAATCATATTTTATATATAATTATATATACCCTAACAGGTATCCCGATCTCCTATGGATATCCTTTGGATATCTTTCGGACATGTGTGCTGTTAGGGTATATATATATATATATATATATATATATATGTGGTCCTTTTTTCTAAGTTTATATAATATTATACATTTTAAATATTTTCGGAAATTTATTTAAAATATAAATTGTATTTAATTATCATGTAAATTATTATCATAATAATAATTTTAATATGGCTATATTAATTTTTATAATTAAAATAGAATTGTGATATTTTTTTAATATAAACAAATCTTATGTTAATAAGATTATTTGTTTTACAGTGGAAGTGATAAGTGCAAAAATCATGAAACGCCAGCCTAATGATAAAAATGAATTATTCGTACCATCGGTAACCAGTCCTTTCACTCTAATCGTAAACGAAGGTACAGCTCTGATACATAATCACGATGCGCCTACTCGTGAACAATATAAAAACTTGCTAATGCGACCTGTCAAAAGTGTGACTTTCGCGAAAAACTTGAAAGATGTTTTGGATAATATCGATGCTTTATGTAATCGCTCAGTTGATCTTCTCGTCGTCGTCACGTTTGTAAGTTTTATAAATAATATTAATTATTAAATTGTATTATATTTCTTAAACTAATAACAAATAATTTATTTAATGACGATTATTAATAAATAAATAAATAAATAAGTGTATTTGTAATATGAAAACTGTAAGTATTTTTTATTAAAATAATATTAATGTTAAAGTTTCACTTTATCAATAAAACCATTGTCTTTATACTCATATAAATATTAATTTGTATCTATTAATTAAATTATATTGTAGATCGGCGATACACGTAATATAATAACTCGGATTGGACGAGCTTTAACATGTCGCAGTTTCGAAGTCACAGATGGATCGACGGATAATACAGTATCGTTGATATTATGGGACAAGGATTGGGTGGAGAGATCCGCTTTATGGGAACCGAAACAAACGATATTATTCTTGGTTGACGTTCGCATTGCATACGATGAATATAAAAAGAAAATGGCATTAAGTATTTGTATGTTGAAGATCTAACATTTTTTTAACTCAAATTTTATACAATCTTTTAAAATTCTATATGAATATGTATATTATTAGATATATATATATTAATAATATATATATATATATATATATATTATAATATATATATTATTAGACATTTATAGTGATATATATATATATATATATATATATATATATATACATATGTATATATATCACATTAGATATATCACAACACATTAAAATTATTTATAAATAGATAATTTTAAAAATATTTAGATAAAATTTAACATAACTAAATATATATTTGTACAATAGTATGCATCGCTAATCAATGTATAAACGAAAGAAATTATTATTATATTTGCTACATTATTTTTATTGTACATACAGCAAGAAGAACGCTAATTACAGAATGTCCGGATGTACCTCAAGCCGCAAGCATTATAAGTGCGATACAGCATTATGATCCTGATTCCATATGCAGTGACTCGTTCACTATTCCAAATCGTAAGAACAGCAATCAATTTATATTGAGTTTAATATATTTTTAATGTAAAAATAACTTTACAATGTATTTATATAGACTTATATATCATTTAAATTTTAATATGTTTGCTACTGTATTTTTAAAATGCACATGAAAACCATCTGCTCCATACAGAGATATATTTTAAGTTTTATTTGATAAAACAAATATTTTTAATAATATATAAAAAATTAATTATTAAAAAATTATTGTTGTCACACATATGTAACATATAATAGTGTTTGTGATTACTTATAAACATTTATACTAATCTGATTTTTAGTAATTAAATGATTATAAGTATTAAAACTATTTAAAATATATTATATATAAACGGTTACGCTGATGCTATAATATTGGCGTAAATTAGCTTATACGATTTTAAGTTAATATTATAGTTAATTATATAGCTATGCTATTAAATCATTAATGGAAGCCTGCAAATGTAAAGCATCTCAATTTTATGTATATTTGCATAAATTATTTTATATTGTATAATAAGTATGGTAATGATAAAAATGTGTCTTTTTCTTTAATTATGAACATAAAATTTGCGCAATTAATTTTTGTGTAATTTTGTTATTATTAATTTATATTATTAATTGTATATTAATAGCAAACACTATCACGACTGTAATGACAATACAACAAATCACGGAGAAGTTACAGAAAAATTCGAATATGGAAGGTGAGAGATTTCAATTCGCAACAATTGTGAAAGCTTCGGTGACTGAAATGAATTTGGATGGTTTACTTAAAGATTTGATATCTATAAAATGGTATTTTAATATATCATAAGATTCCATTCATAAGATAACAGTAATTTAAAAAATCGACAATACTATCACATTTACTACTATATTTTTAGCGCTCTATGTAAAAAGATTGTTCCGGATGTGAAAGAGTCTTGTATGAATTTGAATTGCCCATCAGGCAACGGAATCCAGGCACCACTAAATACCGTAAAATTTAACATAAAAATCAATTTGAAGGATGACACTGGATATCTCATCGGATGTCGTTTGACTGGTGATATTGCAGAGCGAGTTGTTGGATGTACAGTTGATGAATTTAAGGTAATCAATTTAAATTAATTAATGTTAAAAACAGTTGTTTCCAACTATATTCATACAAAATGTGATAATTCTTAATTTTTTTTATTAATTAAAGGACAGTAAAAGAAATAAATTGAATTAAAATTAAAGCATATATAAAATAATTATGTATGATTTCTAAATATTTTAATTTTTTGTATTCGTCTTAGCTTTAAAATTGTTTTAATACAGTATAAAAAAAGAAATTATTATTATTATAGGCAATGACAGTAGAAGAACGCGCTAAATTGAAATGGTCATATTTATTAGAAGAGTGCAACATTCGTCTGCATATTATCGGGTCGACATCTGCCTTTCCATATGTTTTATATAACATTTTATCTATTCAACATTGTCTCGACGAGGCAACTGAACAACTTATGCTTGAAGTTTAAACATTAATATATCTTCTTTTAGTTGCTCCGATTTGATATAAATAATTCGTCATAATTTGTGATAAAGATTACACACATTACTGTGTATAACTCTTCATTTTATATACTTAAGATTATTAATATGATTTCATTTAATATGATTTTATTTATTTGTTATAATATTTGTTCATTTGTTTATTACTTATTTAATACATGTATAAAATTTATTCGTACAATTGTTTTATCTACATTTATCATTTAAATAATAAGTTAAATTTATGTGTCAAGTATATATAAATGCATACGCATATATATATATATATATATATATATATATATATATATATATGTATATATAAAGATAAAAGAAAATTACAAATAAATTCCAATTTAAAAAATATATTTTGTTTATATTTTTATTATATATAGTTTCAACGTAATAGTATAAATTTAATGTTATATGTCACAAAAAATTGACAAAGAAGTCAACAAATTGAATTTTATAATGATAAAAAAAGGAAATAAATACATTATAATATTATACAAATATTATACTTTATAGTTTATAATATAATTACTGTTTCTTGCATTCTAAAATTTAATTTTTAATAGTTTATGTGAAAAAAGTTCATGTAAACATTATATAGATACGTAAACAAATTATGTAATTTTGAAGCTAAGTGAACTACGAAAAAAACTCATCCTATTGTAGGTAAATAAATCTTTGCATATGATAAAACAGTAATTTGATGTAAACAAAGCGTTTATTTTATTATTTTTAACAGCTATAAGATCTATAAATTTTCAATAATAAAATTGGATAAGCTCAAATATTGAGATGATTAAAATAATTGATGTAATTATAATATATTTAATGCAGTCAAAACGGTCGATAATGTCGATCTTCAATTATCCTCGGATCAATTATCATTGAATCATATGATGGTGACGCAAATTTTAATGACTTCATTCACTGCACCACTGATATACCAGTTCAGTGACTGCAGCACCTTGCATTGCATCTTGTCCTTGACGTTATCTTGTTGATAATTTAATCAAAAGTTTTATCGTTACTGCCAGCTGCTTACGTTTTTTCCTAATGAAAAGAAATCCATAAAAAAAGAAAGAAAAACAAAAGTCTATTGAATCAAAAGTGCAATATCTCGTCTTCCAAAAAAATGACACTCTTTTATTATGTTTACAAAATACAAATAATAATCGGATATTATTACTTATGTGTAAATGCTTTAAAAAATAACAGTGGCTGTCAATGCGGAAACAGATTGAATCGTCAGGCAATTTTCAATCCGCAAGCAGGATATTGTGTCATAGATAATTCTAAATTTGATGCGATTGACATAAACGAGGAGAAAACGAAAAAAATGATTAAGATAAATGCTGGGACATATTTTATAGGAACGAATAATCCAGTTATTGTAGCTGATGGGGAAGGACCAAAACGTGAAGTGATATTAGATAGTTTTTATATAGACAAATTCGAAGTAAGTAATGAAGAGTTTGCAACTTTTGTAAAAAACACTGGATATGTAACGGAAGCAGAAAATTTTGGAGATTCTTTTGTCTTTGAAGATCTTTTAACACAAGATATGAAAAACAAAATCACCAAAACAGTTGCACAAGCTCCTTGGTGGATGCCTGTGAAACAAGCTTCATGGCAACATCCAGAAGGACCTGATTCAAATATCACTTGTAAGTATAAAAGAAAGAAAAATTTGAACATTTTGTTTATTGAATTTTTATAGGATTCATAATACTGTCTTTATTAATCTAATTATTAATTAGAAAATATTTAGACAGAATGGACCATCCTGTTATTCATGTCTCCTGGAATGATGCAATTGCTTATTGTAACTGGATGAAAAAGAGATTGCCAACTGAAGCAGAATGGGAAGTCGCATGTCGTGGTGGACTTACAGATAGGCTATACCCTTGGGGAAATAAATTTATGCCAAACAATCAGCACAAGTAAACTTTTTAAATTTCTATTTACAAATATTATATTATTCACATATATCATTGTGTATATGGATCTTTTATTCTAATAATACATAATAAAAAATTTGTTTTATTCTTATCTTGTAGAGCCAATATTTGGCAAGGCAATTTTCCTACAAAAAACACTGAAAAAGATGGGTACAAAGGTACATCGCCAGTTACAATGTTTCCACAAAATAAATATGGTTTACATAATATTGTTGGAAATGTTTGGGAATGGACAGCTGATTGGTGGATAACAAGGCATTCAAGTGATCAACAAACAAATCCTGTAAATAATATGATATAATAAAAAAATTTATAAGTGTGATATGATATATAAAGATTTATTAAGTTTATGTAATAAGTTTTTTTATAATGAAGTATACATATGTATATGATATGTATATGATATGCAGGATTTGTATTGTGAAATAGTTTTTATATGTATTGTGTTTTATTTATTATATTTTTAGGTTGGTCCATCTAGTGGTAATGATAAAGTAAAAAAAGGTGGCTCTTATCTTTGTCACAAGAGTTATTGCTATAGATATAGATGTGCTGCACGTAGTCAAAATACACCTGATACATCAGCTGGGAACTTAGGCTTTAGATGTGCTACATCAGCATAACTAAAATAAGGAACTTTCTGTAATTATTGTTTTTTCCTTTTTTAAAAACCTGTAATTTATTTAATTTTCACATAATTAATATGTATTTCTTGTATTTCTCTTTCTTATATTTTTAAGAAGAAACTTCTAGATAGTGGGCAAATTGTTTTTGAAGCTTGGAAAATTCTAAGGCATAAGTGACATTTGCCTGATAACTTTCCATCTGAAATTATATATCCATAAATTTATCTGATAATGATTATTTACTTATCACATGATATTTTTATGTTTTTTCTCTTATACTTTCGAATGATAACTTGTAATTTAATCTTCTTCCCGCCTAAACACTTAAAGCTGTCAAACTGATAGACATGAAATAACGTTATTGGTTCTTTCGTGAATTAGTAAGTTCATTTAGTGACTTATACTCGATGTTCATTGGTCCAAATTGGGTTTTGTTATGCACGCATGTACAGCATGTCAATTTATGTGCGATAGCCTTTATGTTGACTGTACAAAGCAAAAGATTCTTAACCTCATATCAAGCATGTTAAAAATTGAATTTTTATAATTTTTATTTAAGAATACGGTAAATAATCAAACATTTTTTAATGTTTATTTTTTATATATAATTATCTTTTTACTGCTCAATTACTTTTTATAAGAATGTTAAACATGATTTGAATGCTAAAATAGAAAATAGATATTTAATATATTAGTTTAATGTTATTTTTTTATATTTGCAGATATTAAAATTATTATTCATAATTTATAAAGAAGAGTTTCATATATTATTTTCAATCTTTAAAAAATATTAAAATACATGAAACATGAGTTGTCAAAAAGGAAATACTAGTCGATCAAGGTCTCAGAAATATCAGAATCATACAGCTTTCAAAAATAATTTGCATGATAACTCTAAGAAAATAAAGTTTATTAATAATATTGAAGTCGCCAATGTTTGTGAACGCTGTAAAAAGATAATAGAATGGAAGATCAAGTATAAGAAATACAAAGCACTTAAAGCTCCAGTAAAATGCATAAAGTGTGAACAAAAAGCTGTGAAACACTCTTATCATAATATCTGCTTACCTTGTGCCAAGCAGAACGAAATTTGCCCAAAATGTGGAAAGAAGAAAGAAATTGTAGAAGGAAAACCTAGTAAAGAAGAACAAATTAAATTGGATGAAGAATTTAAAATAATTTTAAAAACAATGTCAGAGAGAAAACGAAGAACATTTTTACGTTACATGAATCAACAATTGAGTATGTATTTTATATCTTGAGTGTTAAATTATTTAATAGAAAATCTAATTTTTACATAAATAATAATATATGAAAATAATATAGTTCCAAACATATAATTTTTATCCCATTTTATTTTTAGCAAAAAACACAAAAAATAATAATAAACAACATATGTCTGGATTAGATATAGATACAAATGGAGATGATAGAGAAAATAAAAGTGAGGATAAAATAGATCTCAAAAGAAGAGAAGATTTACTAACAAAACTGAAATCATTAGCTTTTACAGAAGAGGAAAATGATTTTGATAGTGATAGTGATATTGAAAGTGAAGATAATAGTTCTAATAATGATATCGATTGATTATGTAATAAAAATTTTATTACAATTTTTTAATAAAAAACAATTTTTTGAATTTTTATTGAAATTTAATCATATTAAAAAGGAATTAAATGAATAATATTTCAATATATGATATAGTATTATTTCAATATGATTTCATTATAATTTCCATCAGAGATGTTATATATAGTTATAATATACATTAAAAAATATCTTTCTTTAAAAAACAACTTTAAAAAAAGTAAATTTCTCAAAATTGTAATATAATGCAGCAATTTGGAAATCAAAATCTTATTTAGCATCAAAAACTATACAAAGACTACTTTTTTTCTTTTTTTGTCTCATGTTAGTTGTTCAAACAATATTATTCTCAGACAACAATTTGTGTGCAGTCGTATATATTTTCTGCAAGAAACAGGCTAAATATAAATATTTATACTTAATATGTAATCTTTATTTAACGGGATTCATGTATTCAGACACACGAATATATATACACACATCACACTTTAGTATAAAATTAAATTTTCTCTTAAGGTTCTTCACTGTAGCCATATTAACTTATGATATCAAAAGCAAAAACTATTTTTCCTGCAAGATTTATCAAAATTAACTTTTTAAAGCTTATAATTCTTAATAGCTATTTATATTTGAGAATATGGATTAGAAAAATATGTCAAAGATCTCTTTTCCTTTTTAATTCATAAATTAATAAATAATTATAAAATAACTGTATCTTGAACAACCATTATAAGGTCAATTTAACTAAAAATATAGAATACAGACAATTCATTATTTATTTATTACGCAGGATAATAAAAAAGAGCTTTCAATGTATCTTATTAAATTATCAAACATGAATGATAACATTAAAAAAAATTTATTTATTTTGAAATATTTTGGAAAAAAAAATTCATGTAATTTATCGCTTTTAATATAATCACATTCAATATTTAATATTCGATGTTAATAAGAAATCAGGGGTCTTAATAAATAATAAATAAAATTATAAATTCAATAAATTTTGTTTGGATTTATATGTGATTATTATTATTAATATTAATTTACAAACATTTTAATATTCTTATACAATAGTGATTACTTCCCATTGCACATTTGAGAAGTTATACATATAAAGAGAGACAAATATTTGTGAGACTGTTTTCTCATTCAATTGTCTTCTGATTCTCGAAAATCATCTTATCATCACATTATTCTACTTTGTGCAGCAACTTTTTTAGTTGCATGCAATTTCAATTTCTTTAAAAAGTTTTCATTTTTCTTATTGTGACAAACATAATTATCTTATAATATTCCAGAATCTGTAGAATTTTAATATTCTGGCTTTTGGATAATCATCTATTTCTTTGCATTTATAATGGGGTAAAAGTTATAATAGTACAGTAAATCCTATTTCCCTTTTTTTAAATAGCTTAAAAAATGTAAGTTCAATTACAGCTAGATGTGTCACAGATATCTTTGATCGTTGCACATGTATTCCTTAAAATCTAATTTAATAAAAAACATGTCGCATCCCTCTTTATTTATCTTCACATACACATTTACTTTTATCATTATGTACACAGCAAATTGGTACCATCATTTCTTGGCACCGGAGTACTTAAATTAGGCGTTTCTTTTTTAATCATTGGGCACATGAACATACTTTAAATATTAACAATACTTTGAATAAAATTTGGAAAAAGGCAAACAGCAGTGAAGACATATGATTTTCTGATTGATTGATACTTTCTATGATTTTTTTTCAATGATTTTTATCAAAGTGCATTATTAGCATTAAATGTATTTTACTACTACTGAATATGAAATCAGAAAAGAAAGAGAACATTTTAAAAAAGTTGTTTTTTGTTTTGGAAGATATTTTTAAATCCACATTGTAAAAAAAAAATACACATCAAAATATTGATAACTCAATGATATGATTAATATTTTCCTCATTGATTTTACCTATGTGAAATAATATTATTAGAATTTAAGTGAAGATGTAATATCTTGTAGTAATCTTAATTATGATTAATTATTTTAGTGAAACCCGAAAACATTTTTTGACAAATCAATGCTAATATACAATGACATTTTTGATAATTCTTAGATTTTCATAATTTTTCTATTTAAATTATGATGTAAAGCACGTGACATCATTTTCTATATCGATCTAAGAGAAAAAAAATCACACTTTTTTAATAATCGTTATAGTTATACTTCACATTGTCTTATTATAAATATAAAACAAAAATATTCTCATAACTATGATCCATAATTATGATCATTTTTTATTTATGTATGATGTAACAAATTTTTTTTATATTGTAGAAATATTTTATATTAAACAATTCTACACAATTTAAAATTTTGTGGCACTGTGCGTATATAGAGTGTAAGATAGGATCTGTAATATAAAGTGTGCATATGTAAGCGCACAGGTATGTTTTGCACCTTGCAATCAGATAGATAGATAGCACTTGAAATAAAAAAGATCACTGTAATCCAATTTTGTTAGATTTTATAGATTGAGACTGGAAACAAAATTAGTATTCAGATAATTATACCTCGAGGAAATCCTTCAGTAAAGTAACACGACGCTTTTCCGCAATATCCATTTGATTTTCTAGATCTCCCCGATCTGTTGTTTCGGCTCGTTCAATTTTCCACGAAAGATTCTCTATTTCTGCCTCTAATTGAGCTTGTTGATACTCGAACTATTATTAGGATAATTCAGCTCTCAGTTTTTATCATAATCGTATCATATCATTTATTGAGAGTTCTTACCAATTCTTTCCGTGGACTGGATTCCATATAATAAGCGTATGGATATGTATATTGCAAAGTGTAACGGCAACGCGCTAAGAGTGATGCTGCCTCGAAAAGATGTTGCCAATCTATCCATGTGCCACTTGCATTCATCACTTTATTATTGATTCTCATCTTTATACCCTCTAATGTTTGCTCCTCCAATTTTAACGATTTGCTGTGATTCTCCCACTGACCAAACATAAACACAACATTTATAAAATATCAAGATGAAATAAAGTTTGAGAGAGAACGCTCGTTATGTGAAATTTACTCGCTCATAATAATGAAGATATTTCTTGAGAGCTTCCCTCGCTTGCGCATGAACGCTTTCATGTGCGATGTTTGGATTTTCTTTGTATCGTGAACACTCGTAATATTCGCTACCATGTGCTTTCCAATCTCCAAGGCACATCCAGCAGAAATCATGTTTACAGTTGTAACATTGCATGTGGTTGCAGCCACCATTTTTTTCTATACAGATATGACATTTTGGACACTGAAAAATAATTTTACAATTGAGTGTTTTCTACATTTCTACATTTTTTGACATTGTAAAATCATTTGTTTGAATACTCACATCTTTGGTATGAGCACTAATATAATTAGCTGTCTCGGAATCATCTGCACATTTTGTCAACCATTTTTTAATTGTATTGCAATCGGTTGGTGCATGGTAATCCATACCACATCGGAAGCTAAAATTATGACGCGTTTTTATTGCTCAATATGATAAATTATGCATATAATATATCTATTTATTTACCAAAATATAGTTTTGCATGATGAACACATGACTCGTTTTGCTCGTTGTTCCTTTGAACGCAAAACTATTTGGCAATTTGGACCAGGACAAAATCGTAATTGTGGATGAGATTTGACATAATCACAAAAGGCAAATTGCTGATATCTTTCCCTCATGTTAGGCTTAGCGAGTAAAGAAAGAACAAAGTCTTCTGGAGCTAAAACATCGCAATCTTGTGCCATGCAACTTATACCTATACAAGAAAAGAAAATCGATAAATCTTGACAAAAATTAGAATTTGACTTGCATAATATAAATGACAATAAATTGTGATATTACTTACTGGTAGATATACCTTGAGTTATTTGTACTTCAAAATGCATACACCAACAGTCTTTGCAAAATGAATGTCCACATGTAAGTGTAGAAAACCTATCTGCAGGAGAAATCGTAACACAAACAGAACACAGACCACCTTTCTGACTTTTTGATCCTGGCACTTGTTCCAGAGTAGGTTTAATTTTTGAATTAATCAATAAACTGGAAGCATTGCTACGGTACTTTGTGACAATATCTTGTAACGCCCAATTATGTGCATGTAACAATACTTTGGCTAGGGATGGCGTTATATGAAGGCTATTACTTAATACTTCTACACTCTCATTCAACAGTCGCTCTACCTCTTCGACTCGCAAACAGTCACAAACTGCATATTCTGGATCTCTTCTATTTTGTTCAGGATCCACATCGTTATCCACTTCTCCACCCCATGGCTGAATATTGTAATAATCTTCATAACCCGGATCACCACAATCGGAGTCCGAACAATCCATTTCACTGTCATTTTCACTCGACATCTGTATGGAAAATATTTTGCTCGTAGTGAAACTTGGTAAATCTTATCATATAATTAAACATTAAACATCGCTATGCTAATATCTTAAATATTACACAAAAATAAATATTGACAGGGTCATCTTTAAGCTAAATTCAACTTGGATAAAATGATATTATGAAAATTTATCAAGAAGTTAAAAGGAACGATTGGATGTTACAAAAAAAAATACAAGAGAGTAATTATTCATATATGATAATATATACGATATTGCGTTATAATGCTTATAAGCAAAACTAAAATACAATGTGTTGCTCTAAACGTATCCCTGGCATTTCGCTCATAAGGAAAAAGTTTTTGGGGATTTGTGCACATGATTGGCCCACCATTTACACGTCTTAGCGGGCCTAGGAAGCAATTCCTCGAAAGTTTTTTCTCGCTAAACCCTTTAACTTTGACAAACAATGCCACGATGCGGTACAAAATATGAAACGATCGCGTGGTAACAATTGCAGACAGTTCGTCAGACAGGGATCGTTTCGCAAGCGACCCACCTTTGGTCGGCTAGGCCTTCCCGATTATCAAGAGGAATGCATTTATGCGCGTATCTCGATTCTGCGAGACGTTCGTGTGCGCGGCTGTCAAAAGAGCTCTTTCGAGTCTCTTTTTATATCCTTCTTTTCGTAAAATTGGACTTGCACCGGGTTAATGGTATATCGAGGGCCTACCCACACGACCATAAACAAGTGAAACAGCATATGGTGCTGCGTACACACACAACACACACACACACATCATATATACATACATTGACGCAGCCTATTTTTCGACGAGTGGAGGACGCGGAGGATTTACGTTAAGATAGGGGGATATGATGAGAGGGGGGAGAGAGGATACCAACACTTTGATGTGCGTCGACGCACTCGGAACACTATCCACCAATCACAAATCCAACCGAGCTTATCCGAAAATGATTCCTTCCCTCTTCGATTTGAAAATGGAATCTACTTCATTATAATTTTTCCATAGTTTTGACTGTAATTTTTTATTTTCTAAGGAGATTTAATCATCAGCAACGTTGATTAATTTATTCATAATTGTATATGGTCATCTGTTTAACACATCTTTCCTAAACGCTGCCTAATTTTCTGCTGCTACACATTTATATATACATATGAAGGTTAAAAAAAAAAATTTATGAAATGCAAATTAATGTATATCTACTAATAAACATATTTTTCTCCATTTTTTTTCTTATTTCTATCTATAATACACACTGATACAATTTGTAAAATCTGGAATTCTAATATCTTAAACTTTATACCATACATACAAGTATTTAATATAGTTTGCAATGCAAATAAAATTAAAAATTTGTGATATTTTGTTTCTAATGCTGACAAATTCACATGTTTTGCATTACCATTAACCATTCTGATATTCTGTATTTTTTAGTACACAATTTTAGTATATTATATAAATACTTTTTTAATTAGGTTGTAAGAAATAAATTGTAATTATAAATTTTTCATGCAAAAATCTGAGGAATAAATAAAAGTATATCTTTAAATATCATAATTATTTTTTATTTATATGATCTTTATATTCAGCATCCATTGTAACTGTTTGATTAAGGGTATTCTTATTGTTTAATTTCAAATCTACTGGCTTATCATATCCCATTATTCGTATATAATGAGTAGAATCATAGAAAAATTTTTGTTCTAAAAATAAAGGAATACCTTTTATAATACAACTTGTGAACATGCCAGTTACACTTGGTACTACTACATCATTTGGTGTAAATACAAGCTGAAATATAATTTATATTATATTATCCAAGATATTATAGATTATATCATATATATAATTTATAAATACCTCTTTTGTTTGAACAAATAAATTATAAGTGTTTGCAATATATTTATCTTCTTTTGCATCGTAATACAAGTGTGTCACATATTTTTTTGTTATTATATGTATTAATAAAGGAGTAGTTATAGTCAAGAATCCAATAAAAGCAAATATTCCTAAAACAGCTCCAGTATTACCACTTTCTATAGCTTTTGAATAAAGAAATGGCTGAGCCAATAAACCACCAGTGGATGTCAATAATGAAAAAATTTTTAGAGTTTTAATTTGTCCTGTTAAAGTTCCATAATAAATTTCAGTTTTTCCGACAGAATTTTCCTGGTAATTGTTTGTTGACAAATATTTCACATTATATGCTGCAGAAAACTTCTATAAAATCATAAATTTAGATTAATATGAGAAAATCATTTCCATTATAATAACTACTTCATTTTTATAAAATTTGATAAAAAATCTTAGAAATAAATACACACATTTTAATTTATTAAATATACATGTATATTTACGGATTTACTAATTTCTAACCTCAACGGTGCAATCATTATACATAATATAGATTAGAGCACGTCTCAAATTACCAAAATTTTCAAAGAAAAATCTTTTTTGAGCACAAACACTTAAAATTAATGCCATATTCAAAAAATATAAAGCAACGTATTTATATATTATATTTTACAACTTTTATATGTACATTATATCTATCAACGAACTCTTATTTTACTGGATCACAACAATAAATCTGTTCGAGTGCACGCTCCCTAAAAGTTTCTGCATTTAAAACGAGATAAATATATATTTGAGTGTGAAAAAGAAAGAGAAAGGAGGAGCTTTGAGTGTAGAAAGTGCAAATAACGCGAACAAACCTTATTAGGCTATGGTAAATATTGTACAGTAGTGACACTTCATTGTTTTCGATAGAATATTTTAATGCGCATGCGTTAGTTTAGCTGAATATACGCGGCCTATTCAAACAAGTTTGGCATAGACGCATGAAGCTCGTCTCAAATTATATATTAAAAATGAAAATTGAAATTAAAAGTTGATATCAGGACAAAGAAATAAAGATCATAATTTAAAATTAATTCATCATAATGTCTATCATATCTATATGACAGATCTGAGCACGCGAATTTTAGGCAATATCATTGAACTTTGATTACTTATAATTAAAAAACTATTGATAATATATTTCGATAATATATATCGTATTAGGTTTTTTTATTCTATCTTCAAAATACATGATTAAAGTATTATACAGTAATTTTTGAGACATCTTGTTTTCAAATAGCTAAATCTGCTAGATGTATCAAAAAATGTGCTCTACATATTATGTTAGCAGAGTTCTGGCAACAATCAAGCATGGTTGTCTGTTATTCAATTTATCATAAAAAAAAATAATAATCGTATCTTCGGTTGCTTGCAATCTCTATCAGCTAAATGATTATATTTTGCAGACTGCTTACAGATTGCTTATTAACTCCACCATAATAACAGCAATTTCTTAATATTGCCATTACACTAATAATAGTACATTAAAAATAGTACACTAATAATTTCTGTTAAAGTACTAATATTTAAAAAAACTTATCAGCTTATCAAGAGGCTTATATTTTACATATGCTTTTAGTAAAAAAAATTTAACAAGTATCTTGTTTGAAAACACATTCAAATTATAGAATTTTATTTATCTTTTTTATATCATACCAAAGTCGCACATGTCACACTGGTCTATTTTGACGCGATAACTGAGAAAGCAATACTAGTTTTCAAGCCTAATGGGCACCTGTACTTTATCAATGTTTGAATACATATTTTTCAATCTGTTATATTTATCTATTCATATTTATTATAAATCAATATTAAAACACAATTTTTAGTTACAATTCATATATATGTATAAATGAGCATATACAAATATAATATTTATAAAAAATGAATATTTACTAGACTTGTTGTACTGCTTTCTATTACAAGAGACTTAAAAACTCTTCGAATTAAATAGAATAACACACTTCGACTGATTGTTATTGATGTTTCATTGGCGCAATAAAAAGAGAGATACATCATTCTTATTCTTTCTTATTTAACATTAGCTTCCAGCGATTACAATTCTATATGTATAGTATATTGATTTGTACTTGCACAAATGCTACATTTACATACACTGTGCAAGAGATGAGTGATAAAAGATATTGTAATTATTTTTTTTCGTCAAGCAATTAATATAAAACTACGGGAATCTTCGAATGATTTGTATTTAATTAGTTGCACATTATTACAGATCTAATAACATATTTAACATTTTTTTATTTTCAGAAAAATTAAATTTTCTGATTTTGAAACTTTTTTGATATTTTTTTTACATAGAAGTGTGGTATAAAATTGAATTTTATAATTTAGCTCTTGTAATAAATAAAATGAGTTTTTAATCAAGTGCACTTTGATCTGCGGCCAGCTATACGTCGTTTACCAATTAGCGAATTATTTTGATCTCTTTAAAAAAAAAATTTATGCACATGTAATATATGTACACTATGCTGATTATAAATATCACACAATTATAATACAGTTCTCTCTTTTAATTGTAAAATAAAAATGATATTTCATAATTTATAGCTATTATATAGTCTCAGATTTTCAGTCTTCATAGTTGACCTTTAAAAACATATGTAGCAAAGCCGCATCGTCAAAGATAGTATATATGATCACTACAAATTTATTAATATTTTGACTACTCCTAATTTAATGAAAAATTCAAGGCACATGAATATTTTTTTTCCATACAAGTAAATTGATGTTATTCTATTTTAATTGTCTCAACTATATAAAATGAAAGAGTATTCTTCTAAATTTTTGGCATAGTGTAGTCTAATCTCACTGATATTGTCAAAAGTTAAACTGCAAATATAAAGCTATATGTCTATTTAAAAAAAATCTTACTAATTCCAATTTTAGCCTCTTTTAATTCTTCTTTCTGTTTAAAATCAAAATCTTGATTTAAGTGCAATGATTTATTAATTTACCCATCTTTTGAAGGAATTTGTTTCAATCACAATATTGTAGAATTACATATGTGTTCGCATTTCTGTTGTGTCATGAAAATTAGTTTACAGTGCATACATTAATAGAGATCACAGATTAAAATTATCTTTGAAGTTGTTTCAAAGACATGAAAAATGAATAGCTCAAATACCAGTTTAAATTGTATGGATATTGTACACTAAGCTGGTAACAAATCGAAATCGTCTGAAACATGTACCATTGGAACATGAACATCTTCTATTTGAGGAGTCACTTTGGATTCACAGAGCCCCACTTCTTTCAATTTCCATTCCCAATGCATTTGTTGAACAGCATGTAATGATTCTGCTTCATTATGATGTCTCAGCAACATACCTTCCTAAAATTAACTATTGATTACAAACAAAAATAAAAGCAAAAATAAAATACATATACTAAAATTTGATTTCTGTTTTGGGGTAGCAAAGGATAGAAGGCAAAAGAAAATATAAAATGGCCTTCTGGAATGTGATAAGGCTTGGAAAGGGCTAAAGAAAGGGATTTTTAAAGAGAAGCGAAGAATTAAGATATAATGATAATGTGTGGTTAGTGAAAATATGATTAGAAGAGAAAAAGTAAAACCAGATTGTTCAAACCAAAGAGAGAGGAAGAGATGGAATTAAAAGGAGTGAACATATGTGGCGAAGTAGACTCGAGAGAGCTCCTGAAGTCCATGCTATCCGAGTTGTGCTTATTTTATTGAGATATTTATCTTATATTCAAGTTTTTATCATGGATAGATATAAATATTGCATAGCTACTGAAATTAAAAGTGGAAAATTTGATTTTATTAATTTAATTTTTGTTAAAAAATTTTATTAGAGGAATCAGAAGTTAGTTTTAGTGAAATCGTAATGAAAAGGGATCAATTTATTGATATATAATTCATTACTATTTTAAAATAGATGTGATTTCATTATAATTTCTGTAAACTATTTCCATCAGGATATTTCATTCTTTACCTTAATTTTTTCCCATTTGTCATCTACATCTTGAAGCCAGCTTAAGAATAATCTACCATTGTATCTACTCCTTGCATTTCTATCTTTTTCTTCCTGTTCGGGAGTGATGACGTTATAAACTTCTTCGTCTTTGAGAATTGTACAAACAGAAAAGGGAAGAGACTGATTAGCAAGCGCTCTAGCTGCTCTACCGTGAACTCTAAGGATTTCCTGTTCCACTGACAAAACTAATTTCTCTTTTTCAACCACATGTTGCATTCTAAGACGATATCGCTCTTTTTCTTGTTCAATGTATAAATCTTTCATAGCTCCATGCAAACCAGCTGGTGGGTTAACATTTGGCTCTTTTGCATTACTAGCTAATACATATGTACAGCGATTCATCAAATAATCCTTAAAACCCTGAGGAGGTTTTGGTTGAACAGGAAATAAGCTCTTTCGTCTTCTTTCAATCTGTAATAAATATTAAAAATTTGTGTACTGAACTCTATAATTTTTTACATATCAGGAGCAATTTTTTCATTTTTTCTTTTTTTAGCTATTCACATTCTAATACATATATTTGGAATGAAAATCTATGTGCAATCAAATGAAGAAGTGAATGAAAGATAAATCATATGTAAATATTTTCATTTTATGATGTATAGGCAAATGACAAATGTGCAGAAGTAATAAAAAAGCAAAAAGAAATAAATTTACAAAAGTTTAATTAGTAAAGAATAAGAAGTAATGATATAAAAAAATATGAAAGTATTTTTTAAGCCAATATAAATATAATTAATTATAATTAACTTTAAAAAAAACATAATAAGATAAAAATATTAAATGAGCTCGATAAAAGTTTACATTAAAAATTTGAGCAATTTTTTACCTGCTTTCTAATATTAAGGTATAATTGATAACAATTAGTAATTGGTTGATCATGTGGATGAATTTCTGGTCCCGTATTAATTGCTTCAGCTGCTTCACTGGCAGCAGCTGTAGCCGCAGCTTGTTGTGCTTCTTTGTTAGGTTTCATTTTTCTCTTTCTAGGATGAAGTTCTACAGTTGGTGCCGGTGTACCGGCATTAGACATCGTAGAGGAGGTAGTTACCGAGATATTCTCCAAATTTTCTGTACTATTATCTTTTTGATTTTTTCCTGTACCATCCATATTTTTATCCAACTTCTCCACGGTTGTATTAGATTTTGAGACAGTCCCTACATTTGTCGATTCCGACGAAGTAGCTTTATTAACATCAGATCCAATTATTTCAGGTGTTGGAGAATGATGTCTTTGTTGCGGTGAGGAATTATTCGAACGATCCATGGAAGTATTAATTGGTAATGGCGACGAATTGGAATAATTTCCATTACCTGACGAAGGAGCGGTTTCTTTTGACGCTGTGGAACCATTACTACCATTTCCAGTTCTGCAATAATATGATTTGTGAGAATTGTTTATAACTAAATAACCAATTATAACTTTTTTTTATTATGTACTGATTACATATATATCTATTTTGTTCCAGTCAATATAATTTGTTTCATAATATTTAAACCAAAGTTGATAATAAATTTAATCAAAGTTGCATAAATAAAAAGATATAAGTTATTTTATTAAGAAAAATATATGAAAATTTAATATTTAATATAGAAGAATTTAGTATTAATTTATATTTATTTATTTATTTATATTATTAAATTTATACTGATAAATTTAATAGTATAAATAAATTTATAAATAAATTATAAATATATTTATAACAAATAATTATATTTAAAATTACAATAAAGAATTTTATTTTATACGATTAAAAAATAGCATATTACAATGATTTAACTACGTTTAGTAACTATGCACATTGCACTTATTTCATTTTATTGATAGTCAAATTTTTATCAAGTTTGACATTTAATTATTACTATAAAATCAAATCAATGTGTTGATTTATTTTGTGTTCTTTAAAAAATATAACAATTAAATAATATAATGTTTCAATGAATTATTTGGAATGTATGTTTTCCATTAACACCTATTTACACAAAATATTTCGCGAAAAAAAGATAATATATACAAAAGCTAATATAAGATAAGATAGATAAAATAGATAAGATAAAATCTATATCTTAGAATAAAAGATAATATAGATATGTGTATGTGCGCGTATTTTTATATAAATTAATTTAAAATTAAAATAAAATTATTTTTATATAAATACATATATACATACATACGTATATACATATATATACATATACATAAGCGCTTCCTTCTATGGCTGCGTTCCAAAATTCACTGCTAGTACTGAAAATCTATAGTTTACGTGACGTACACTATAGATTTTCAGTACTGGCAGTGAATTTTGGAACACAGCCTATATTTAAAAATATATAAATTAGCAATATTCCTACCTATGTGAACTTCTCAATACTCTTTGATGATGTGTTGATCTTTCCTCTCCATGTAAAGTTGTAGCAAAATCCTTCTTATCTTCCCCTTTTGTATTAGTGCCACTTTCTGTAGGACTAGTTGTTCCACTAGCTGACTGATTTTGGTCTTTTTCAGTTGAATCGTTGCTGTTCGAGCTAGCAACTACATAAGGTAATTGATGACTTCTATTTGCAATATTTTTACCGTTTCTATTGCCTTGCTCTTGTTCTGATGCCGTACTTTGTGGAATAACTATCTTCAGAGGTGGTACTTTAGGAGCAATATTAGAATCGGAACACTTTGATCGATCTTCTTCGCCATCAGATTCAAGTGCTGGGATACTAGTTTTCACATTCGTCGAATTAGAAGTATTCAAAGGTTTTGGGCTACTGGCCATTGAAGAAGTACTAGGACTCTTTCTATCTGCATTGATAGAACTCGTATTTTGACTTCCTTTGCCGGACGTCACTCCAGATCCTTGTTTACCTGATTTAACACACTGTAAATAAATTATATATTATTATATGATTATCATTTATATACATATCATATATATATATATATATATATATATATATATATATATATATATATCGCCATAAAAAGTATGTGATCAAATAATACCAATTACCTTTTCTCCAGCACTAACAGCATTCCTATTGATATTTTGCCTTCCTAATGTGTTATTCTTTGCGGTCTCTTTCACGTTCTCGGAATCTTTTCGTTTCTTCCGACGATTTTCCTCATCTTGCTCTTCCGCATTATCGCTCTCAAAGGTACGCTTCGATGATGGCGACATTGAAGCAGTCGAGACTTCATCAGAAGTTAATGGCGTCGTTATTGCTTCATTTGCAGATATTGATGAACCACTGGCAGTGGATGCATTATTATCACTACTGTGGTTATTCTGACCATTTGAAGATTTACCGCCACCATCCTTATCTTTGTCTGGATTAGGATTCGGAGATGAGCTTGCGCCTCTCACCGGTGTCGGTTCTTTCGAGCTCTTAAACTCGTATATGTCACCGCTATCAGTAGATGGTGCATTGCCGGATGTGCTAGTACCTGAAACTGCATTTGCGCTTGTTGACGATGTATTGGCTGGTGTCTTCGCCGAAGTCTCCATGGAGCTTTGACCCTGCATTATTTATTAATAAAATTTTTTATTAGAATTAATATACAAATAAAATTTAAAAATTATGATTGTTAAATCTGTTATTTTTTAACGAATATTTCTTTTATAAATTTTTAATATTAAGACGCTGATAAATAAACTGCAGATTAAAATTGGCTTAATATAACATTCATTTTATATTACATAAAAAATATAATTTGATGTATATTTGTATTTTTAAAGATAATCCTAGAAAAAAGTATTTAGACATTTAGTTATTTATTATTCTTATATTAGAATTAATAATATTAAATAGTAGACACAAAAGCTACAGTTTAAAAAATTATATGAAGCCAATATAATATTTTATACTTTTAAACAGCTCTTCTATTTAATTAATAGCTGAAGCTATATAAAATTCCATCGTTTCAACAACACTTCTAATAAATAAATAAATAAATATATATATGTATATATATATATATATATTTATTTATTTATTTATTTATTATGCAAAAAAATATCAATGAATGTGCTGATTAAATATTAGACAATAATTAACGATTAATATGAATATTGCAAGATTATATTATCTTTCTTGAAATTAATTTTTTTTATATTATCTATCAATCAATTTATATCAATATCAATCAATTTATACAATCGTTAGTATATATACCTGTGTACTCATGATGCCCTGACGGGAATTTGATGCCCCTTTCTTTTCATCCCTCGCTCCTCGCACCTGGTTAAGTCGAAGCGTCACCCTCGGCGAGCTTCCAGACTGCCCAGTTCCCGATCTATCGACTGCAAAAAGAACAAAATATTAATTATCAAGCAAATAATAATTATATATCATAAAACAAATTTTCGCATAAATAATACAAACATAACATTTTCACAATGTTATATAAAAAAGAAATACGAGAAAAAAGAGAGACATAGATGTGAAAAAAAAAGGGAAAAGAGAATAGAAAAAAATTCAGAGGAAAATATTCTATAGTTACAATTATTAACAGAGAACTATTATGTTTTAATCTCTTCATTTTAAGCAATTCATGTGAATTTAGAATATAAATGTATGAATAAAATGTTATATACAAAAAATATGATATAACTGAAATTATGATAATTTCCATATGTTTGCACAGCTTTAGCAATAATTAATTTAAAAATCCATATATTAGAAATAAAATATCAAAAATATTAAGTTCTCAGCACAGGATTTGAAAATTGTAGCAATACTATTTTTATTATATTATATAAGAAAAATATATCAAAAGTTTAATAATTTATCTTCTCTAAATTATATATTATAATATTGCTTTTTTAAATTATCATCTTTCTTAAAATTTATTCTTTTATTTATAAGAACTCTACGTGCAAGTTTTTTAAGTGTTACTAAAGTAATTATAATTATATATTAATTAATAGGTCGAAAAATAATGTAAACATAATAAAATAATATAAAAATTATCCAAAATGTCTTATTTTATTTTATATTTCTTGTTTCAAATGCAAATTGTTCTATTATTTATGAAACAATAATGATGTGATAATAACCATATTGTTCAAATCTTTATGAAACTTTATATAATTACAGAATATTTTTATGTGTATGATATTGTAATTATTACTGAATAAATATAGTCTTTTATATTAATGCAGCGATTGTGAGATTGTCTGAGAGCATAAACAAGCACAGTTAACAAGACATTATCAAAATCAAAGTAATCGAGTTTTTTTTATCAATATAGTTTTTACCGATAGCAGCAAAATAAATATATATATCGCTAAAAGTACATAGCATCGTTATATAAATCATTAATCAGCGTATGATAAAATGCGTTATAATAAGAATTAAAGCTGAATGAGATATCTCTTTGTAAAAAGCTATGCTACTTTCTCTTACAATATTATCGACATGAGAATCACAAGAAATTAACATATCATTTAAACTAAAGCTATTAAAGATACCGTCCAGAGGATATATGTCACGGATAAGTTTCTTTCGTATGCTAAAGGCGTCAAATTGCGCTGCTGCGTCTAACACGTGTACAATTAATTCCTGGAATAATGCCGAGATTATTCTGAATACTACAATCACAAAAAAATGTCTTATTGCCAATTGTGTTGTTTTAATTAAATAGACATAACAATTATTTTAATATAATTAATTTTTTTGTAACAAAAAATGTAAAATATATATAAAATAAAAAATATAAAAAATATAAAATAAACAATTTTGGAAGAATAAAACACAATTTTTTTAAATTTTGAATATTGAATAATTTGAATATGTATATAAAATTAATATTATATATATGTGTGTGATATAAAATTAAATTATTAATTATTTAAGTGTGTATATAAAATTAATATTATTTATATGTATAAGTGTATATGTATGTGCATAACCATTACAGAACTCACTAAACAGCACTCTTAATCGTTGATGAAAGTTGTAAATCCTATCCGCAATCTGGATCATTTATCTAATTATCTTATTATTATCTTATATGATTCGTGAGAAAATTTATATTCACTTTTCACATAATTGCTCGTCCATATTCGTGCGAGTATCACTCTAAGTCACATAATATTCATTTACATTGAGCTCCGAAAACATACACGTGACTGAGTGTCAAAAGATTGATGGATATCGCATACAATAGTTTAAATCGATGAATCAATGCTCGATCGTAGCGCGGATTTCGCAACGATACGCGATAAGACGATCGTTAGGTACCAAGCATATTCGTACACTTGCCAATGCAAGACGTGTTATTTCACTATCGTTGAGTTTAGACCTCTTCTGGAGGTACGATCACCCTACTGGTGTCGATGGACGCAACCAAACGGGTCCCACGTACTTGCCAGTCAGCATTCTCCCTCTCCCTGATTCTTCCTCCTCTACCTATCCTTCCTCCTTCCTCGATTCGTGTGTTTTCTTTCTCTTCTTATCCAATGCTACTCTTCTTCTTACATGCTATTTGCATCTTTGTATTATCTCATTTCTTCTTGTCCTCGCCACTTAAGGCTAGAAAGTAGGCTTCTCCAAACTTTACCTTCAATTTAAGTATTGAGGCTAACGTAACAGCGACACACGATGATTGTGAAATAAATCGAAGATATATACCAAGCCACATGATCGATTTATTGTCGAGAATCGTGGTTGTTTCCTTTTTCGTAATTATTATGGGAGCACCCAGAAAAAGAATACCTCAGATCTTGGTCAACGATTCAATCAAATTCTTAGTATGTTTAATCGATAGCTTAGGCCTCTCAATTACAGAATTAGAAAAAAATATATTATTGCTCTATGTATATTGAGAACAAAGATATTAAAATGTTTATTAACAAAGATATTAGAGTGCTAATGTCTCATATTAAAATGTCTCATATTAAAATATTAATTTAAAATATTCATTTAAAATATATACCTTGGAAGGAGAAACATTGTAAAAATAGTCTCTAAATCGGTCTCTAACGGATGATGCAGTTTCTATCTCTATAATATGTTCTGTCTCTTTAAATATCTATTTCTTTATCTCTCCAATGTAGAAATAGAAACAGCATCGCCTCCTAGCAACAATCTTTCTCGAGGTCAGTGGATGAAATTCTTACTTATGCGCCTTCTAATATATTATATATGTGTACTGCAATATCTTTAATTAATCATCGCTCGTTTCTGTATCGTATGCTATTATTATCGATTTGTACATCGATTGTTCGTATACTCTTACTAAATGTATTAATCCTATTATTTTTATTAACGTCAGAGAAAAGAGGATATTGCGATATTCAAGTAGCATAAAATCTAATCAAATATTTCGTATATCGATTTTTTGATACAGAATATCAGTTGATATCACAACAACATATTAATATTTTTATATATAAATATGTATGTAATATTAAGAAGACATCAATACTAAATATTTCCAGTAATATCTAAGTAATGTCGTTAATTAATTGTGATTCTATTGATAAAACTAGTTAATAGATAATAAAAACTCCGAACTCTTTCCATATCCCGAACGTCAAGGTAACACATCTTGCTAAAAATAATCGGGATATATTTTACACTTTTTAATATAAATATATAATTTGTTAATACACACTTTAGAAAAAAAGTTCATATATATAATTATATATAAAATATGCACATACATATATCTTGTCTTTTTCTTGGACAGTTTTTGTCCGTATATAACAAACAAAAAAAATTCTATTATTACATAACATGTGTACAAATTTAAAATTATCTTTTTGTCTCTAATAGTCACTTACTTCTCTACATGTGTAGTTTTTATGATATATGTATGCTCAAGTCATTGTTTAGTAATCAACGTTTTTATTTGTGGAGTTAAATTGCTGATCTGTGGTCTTAGGTCAAGTATTATAAAGTAATATGATAATAATTGTTGGAGTCATTTTCTCGAAATTAATAAACGTCATTGAATTTAATTCTATATATAGAAAAAATCAAATAAAGAACAATATTCAAAGAAATATTTGTAGACAAAATTTTCTTAAATTTTAGTTTGAAGTTTTTCTTAATTTTTAGTATATTAAACTTGGAATTATACATAAAACCTTAATTTTATTATCATTGAACATCTTATTCAATATATAATATTTAAAATAAATAAATAATTAATTGAATTGAATAAATTAATTTTAACATTGATTAATTTATTAACAAATATTGAAATAAATTTATTAATTCAACATTTACTTTCGAACATTATATTATGTTTAGAATTAGAAAAGATCTATCATTGGATAAATTAGATCTTTAATTATATAATTTTTGCAATATAAACCCATGTATGTTTTTCTTGTAAATTATATAATATTAACTCTATTGAACTATTTGAATTATATTTGAATTATATTGAGACTCTTCATTAGAGAACATATCTTATTTGTTCTATACAATTATATTAATATATATACAAATACTTAAATAAAATACATAATCATGCATTTTATTTAATAAAATAATTTTAATGTTATATAAATAATAAAAAATATAATAATTAAGAAAAATTTAAATTTTATAACCTGTATAATTTTCCCACACAGTTAGTTTATATAAATATTTATGATTTTTATTTGTCACATATGCTTTAATATATACATTTAAATATTAGTGAGATTATGTATTTGGTCGAAATTAGTTAGTTTCCTTAATTAAAAAAGAAACATTATTGAGTTTCTTAATTAGGAAATTATATTTTGTAAATTGTCTTCATAGAATTTTAAATGTTAGTGTATATTACATAAAATAATTTTAACATCAATTATAAACAATCCATAAGTAACTCTAATGCTCTAATGAAATAAATTCCACATGTTTATTGCATAAAGATTAACCATTAAAACATTAAAATTGAGATGTTAAATTATATACATACACATACATACATGCATATATATATATATATATATATATATATATATATATATATATAGAGAGAGAGAGAGAGAGAGAGAGAGAGAATAAAAATTATTATTTATTTTTATTTATTGATATTTTATATCTTTCTTACTCTCTTGATTTTGCCAATCTTAATCCCTTATCTTTATAACTTTACTCGTATCTATAATCATGTTAATAACAAGATTATATAGGAACTTTCGTCATTTTTGCAAAGATATGAAGAAAAGGAAAAAGCTCCGGAACAAAGGTCTGTATTAATCGCAATTTGTATATTTTCCTTTCATTTTGTTGTTCTAAAAATTTCCTTTTTCTCATACAGACAGTACGAACAAAATGAAAAAATCTTTAGTTTTTGGAAAAAGAGGGAGAAATTTTTTTACCTTTATTTTGTGGTGGTGTCCTCCGCATCTCACAGGAGGCTCCACTATCGTCAGCAACGTGCGATGCAGCGGCTGCGGTATTTCCGGCTGCGCGTTGCTGCTGTTGCTGTTGGTACTGCGTGTGGTATTGATAAGAGAGCGGTTGCTGCTCCTCTTGTTCGCTCGACGGCGCTGCTGCTGCTGCTGTCGCTGTTGTTGCCCCTGGTGTGCTCGTCTCGGAAGGAGAGCACGGTTTGTCGAGAGTAGTCGTTGCACTCTTGTCGGGTAAACCAGCGGTGCCTGCAACGTCTGTTCCTATGAATGAATTCGAAAAAGGGCCTCCGCGTAGCGAGTTTCTCCGGGGAGGGGGTCTCTCCCACGGAATAGCCGAGCGTCGTTGACGTTTACGAGCGCTTACGATATGGCGGATCTATCGGGTGCCCTTTAACGTGGCACAATGGCGTATCGGCATAAGGTTAGGACACCGTTTCTCATTGATCGATTCGCTTAACGGCATCGACACGATATAAATGTCGAGCAAATGTCGATTTCTGACAATTTCAACGATTTTCTTCTCGACAATTCGACGAAGAGGTTTGTTCTCAGTGCGAATCCATAGCTCCGACGAAGGCTGAATCACTTTGCGCTATCATCGCAGCCATCAATCCCGTCCGTGGAATTGCACGGGTTCCACGTGTGCGCTTCGATCTGTCATTTTCCGGAGGAGTCTTACGATTGTCAATCGATTGACGATTTAATTGGCGGAAGTCGATCGAATGACACGAACACCGTGGAAATATCGCGATATTCGATGATGATAGATCGTCGTGTCGATAAATGCATATAATGTATATATCAAAATTCGGGGCCAGTGATACGGCTCCTTCGTTCCACGCGCATTCGATCGATGTCACAATCACTCTTCCCCCCCTCCCCCCTAAAGGCTACCCCTTTCCCCCTACCCCCGGCCACGCTAGTGGCCGTATGTCATCGACGTTACGGCGAATCGAATCTTCCTCTTGACTCTTGCGAAAACTAACGAGAAAATCGCCATGCGACGCGGGGGAAAATTCAACGCGGGTTACAGGACGTACGGCGACATTTGACGATTCGTCGATTCGGGATAAGTCCGTGACATGAAACGCGTCGCGATTCCGATACGCACGCGAACGCGGCCTCTCGCAAACTGATGGCCATGTTGCTCGTGCGGTGCACGATGACGCTCGATTCGGGCAGCAGACACTGCCTTTTTCCGCCTCCCCTCCTCACCGCGAATCGCGATGCTGCTGTGTCGCACGCGCACGTCGAGGCACAGCAGGTTTCTGTCGCGAAACGTGCGCCGTCTAATCAATTTTATCTTGTTATTAGTGCAGGATTATTAATATAGGATTACGCAAAAAAATTTGATCAATATTATTCGAATATATAATAATTATATAATTTATATATATTTATAAATATTTATAAAATATATATTTTTTTCTTTTAACAAAAATAATATATAAATATATATTATATAAATATTATTAAAAAATATAAAAGTAATATATAAATATATATTAATTATATTAATTACATAAATATTATTAATCGAATATATAATAATATATATTCGAATAATATATATATTATTCGAATTTTTTTGCATAATCCTATATTAATCAGAAAAAAAAAACATTTTTTTCTTTAATTAATTTATGCAGTATTTTCTTATAAAATATATAGTTATTAATAATAAAATTACATGCCAGGTGAGTTATTATTATAATCGAGACTAGCTCCAAGTGCTACGGAACAATAATATTATTAGAACTTCATTTAAAAAGTATGCAAATTTTAAAAATGCTCTACTGTAAAATTTACACAAAGTAACTTGTACGTTTTTTCCGTGGAATTTTCGCACGTCAATAGCGTAGCTTTAACATTTGTTTCCTCTCTTTCAAGGTTGGACATTTACTCGTAAATACTTTCTACGCTACGCGTAAACTATATAAACCCTAATTAACATGACATTTATATCAACATTGAAATCATTCACGAAATATAGCTTATCAAAGATGTTTTGTTTACGTTATGCACGGCTTAAACACAACAATGAGAAGAATTTAGATATTTTATGACGTCGCGCGAAAAAATCAACAAAGCATTTAAAGAACTGGACTTCATACTATAATAAAAGAAAATAAATATATATTATATTACATAAATATATTACATATATTATACATTGTTTCCTTGCGTTTTAAATTGACGTTTAATTTGCAATAGCTTACACAGCTTACGTGAAAAAAGTCCACGTAAATAAACATGACGCAGACGATACAAACAATTGGTGTAACCGTAATTTTGAAATCTATCTTCGCTCGCGCACAACCCCGCTCCCTTCCCTTCTCGCTCTCATTCTCATTCATCTATTCCTTACCTGACACCATTTCCTGAGATGTCATTTGCAAAAGTAGCGCGAGCTGCTGCCGTTCGGACATCCGCGCTGGGTAACCGCGGAAACGACTGTTACCGCCTGCGGGCATTCCGTCCTCATAATTCATATAACACGCAGCACGGAAAACGTGGACGTAAAGCGCGAGGGACGGGCATGGAACGCGCGCACTTGCACCAGAGGATGCACGGACAGGACTACGAACGTAGGCTACGGATGCATTCGCGTTGTACGCGCTGGGAAACCGCCACGAGCGAGGATAACCTTAAAAGTGCGCGGTCGGTTCACTATTTTCCCTATCTTGACCCACCGAGTTCGCGTGAACGCGCACGGAATCATCACAACAACGGCACGGCTACGACGAGCGCGATGATAATGACGCAGTCGCGAATGCCGCGGCAATCGTGGCCGTTAATCGTGCACATCGCGCCCGAGACGAGATCGCTCGCGTAGCGCGCACTTCCGTAACTGTCACTCGTCGGGCCGATGCTTTGATCTCGCGATGCGACATGTGCGCGGGCTCTCGGCTTTGAAAACGAGATTCGCAACACTGACTCTAGGACACGGTGCACAATATGACGCAACACACGCGTTAACGTATATTTTGCTTCCGTGCGTTGGCATGACTGCGTCGCGTCAGAAAAATTCAACATGGCGGGACATTCGAATGCGTCATGTCGATCGGTGCAAGAAATTTTATTTGTTAAAATTTATTTCACTCTTTTACTTATTTATTTATTTATTTATTCATAAATTTCATTTTATTATTAATATAGGATTATTAACATAGGATTACGCAAAAAAATTTGAATAATATTATTCGAATATATATTATTATATATAATAATGTAAAATTATTATATAATTATTATATAATTGTATATAATAATTATATAATAATTTATATATATTTAAAAATATTTATAAAATATATTTTTATTTATTTTTCATTGATTTATTATTATATATAATATTTATCTATTTTTTCATTAAAATTTATTATTTATTTTTCGTTTATTTATTAAAACTTATTTTTTTATTTATTTATTAAAATTTACTGCTTATATTTATGTGAGATTGACGAGTATGATTTGTATACATATATATGTTTGCTTATTGATTCTTGCAATATGACATATTTGAAGCCAAAAGAATCAATATAATACGTCACTATCAATTGCGCATTCGACATAATTGCTATTGTATTAATTTGTTCATTTGCATTATCGTATATTAAATAAATTCAATGTAGTATAAATATAGTATTTAAATTGCGTAGACATTTATTGTACATATATTTGTTTTCTGTGATCAGTTACATGAACTTGCGGTGTAAAAAAAATTTCACATTCGGGGAATATTATTTACATATAAAACAATAACAGTAAGAACCAAAATTATTTATTGTTTATGTCTTTTTAAAATATTTCAAAACATTAGTAACAATATTAAAAATGTACATATATAACAAAACATTATTTTGTTTATTATTTCGAAATATCAACAAATAAGGTACCAATTCTAACATATTACATATGATTTATAATCACTATAAAAAAATAATTATTATTCCAGAGTTTTACATGTATGTGTGAGGACTTATTTTACATAAAGATCTGTTTTGTGAGATTAACTCATTTGTAGACGATATATGTCATTATAAGTATAATTTATGAAGAAGTTTATAGTAATTAAATGATTATATTATATACGAGGACTATACAAAAGAAAAATCAGTCCAATATTATTACGTTCACCTAAATAAAGAAAAATATAGATGTTCGAAGTGACATCCAAAAAGATGTTTACATTATTTATTACATATTATACTCATACGACAAGCATGGCTATATAATAATATTATAAATATAAATTACAATGAGATTTCATTATAATGCATGTCAATAAAACGCTATTTTCAACATAATAAAATTCAATTGAATCCTAATCAAGTTCCTGTATGATAGCTCGATAATTCAGTATAACGAAATTTCACAATTTGGATCTTATTATTACATTTCATTATTCTTTTACATTTCTCTGGAAATACAATCACAATTTTGAAAATTGTATACGATACGTAGTATTTGAAAATCGGAAGAGGAAAAATATGTTTTTTTCGAAGATCTTTTGTTTGTCTATTCATTTTTCTCAAAAACATCAATTATTAAGCCTTAGTAGAGCAATGAGGTAATTCGACAAAAGGGAACATGTATGTTATTCTACAGGTGCAATAAATTTTTCAAAAAGTGTTTGGACAGCGTGGTCATGTATAGAAATATTGAGAAGTTGTGTTTGTTCCAGGTAAGCTTAAGTCAATTATAATTTTCACAAAAAGTTTCTTGTTTAGTCCCATTTGCTTGGTCTATTTGATAAAGATAAGTTCCTTAAGAAGTTATATATTAAATTAATTTGTGAATTAAATTTCCTTGTTTTTTCTTGTTTTAATATTTGTAATGATGTATAGCGCATATGTGTATACCTTTTTTTATAAAATCAAAAAAGTAGGAAATTTTATGCTAATCTATTAACGTTTTATAATGTTTATTATCACGCAAGTATCACGTGTCCTGTAATAGATTGTAAAAACATAATTATTCATTTTGGATGTTCCAGCCATAGGAAATATCGATATATATTCATCATATGTGCATTATTAAAAAGATGTGACATCGTAAAATAAGTTAGTTCTAATAAAAAAAAAAAAAAATAAAATATATACAAAGTGTTGTTTGCTTGAATTACTGGATCGAGATTTTAGAAAATCAACAAGAAAAAGATTCTGCTAGTGTTCGCAAATATTCTTTGAAAATCTATAAAGTCGACATAGATATCGATAATTATTTTTGATTAATTGTAAAACTTATATTTGATATTTTTTATCCTTCCTACGAATTCCTATAAGACTTATTGTTAGTAATATATTATTTACTTTACTTTCGGGGATTATCTGACATGAGTACGACAGATTATAACAGTACGTGAAGTATTAATAAACTGCGAACGAGATGAAAGTCTAATTCGCTCTTTGTGCTTTTGAATGTAAATAACAATATCAAAATTCGGTGCAGATAATAATTCCAATAACGTACAAATATCATTAAAAATTCTGAATTCACATTAGCTATCGTATTTAAGGACAAAGGCAGTTTAATAATATTTATATTGAAAATATGTTCACGCATTAATACAATTTTTGTTATACATTATACGCATCTTGTAGCTTTTGATTTATTTTAATTCACGTACTATAAATCTACGTATGGCAACTGTCAATAATAAATAATAATTATATAATTAAACAACATTTTGCTAACTAATTAACTCGAAGATAAACCGCACATAGCGTATATGTATATCATTATAATTGCTATCTAATCGTAAAAACGTCTACTTATTTGAACATTGTTATAATTATAACAACGACGACAATGATAATGATGATAACAATGCTGATGATTACGGAATTATGAATGATAATAAAAGTAGTAATAGTATAACAACTTTATTGTTGCTATTATGGTTGTTATTTTTAGCATTATTACTATTTTATTATTGTTTTATTATTATTATTATTATTATTATTATTATTATTATTATTATTATTATTATTATTATTATTTGTCAGGTTTTTGCTCGTCAGGTCCATCCTGTGACTTCTGAATTCACAGAATAGACGTAAGCAATATCCTGTAATAGAATCTCGCACCATAAAAATTATTCACCTTGATGGAAATATTCTGTTGAAATTATAATAAATCACTTGAAGATGCAAATAAAAATGACTAAATTAATTTAAACATTATATTGTTGTAAAATTGTAAAATTTTATTAAAGATTGCGAAATTTTCAAAGAATATTTAATTGAAATTTATTAAAACACCATGAAAATTAATAAAGTTATTGGATAACTTTTAGAATAAAACTAAAGAGAACAAAAAAATATATAAAAAAACTTTACAATACAATAACAACAAATTTGTAATATATTATAAATTAGTGTATAAAATTTAATATATAATATTACATATTAATATTACAATCTAATATATATTAATATTTTGATTTCTACTGAACTGTTATAACTATTGTAATATATATAACTGTTAGAACTATTATACTAGTTTTTAAATGTAAGAAGCAATAAAAATCTTTAAAGCAAAATTAAATTAATGTATTATGTTAAAATGTAGTTCTGTACTGCATTAAAAATAAAATGTAATAAAATATATACATTTATAGTTTTTATTAACTTTTAAAATTAATTTTAATTAATTTTTAAAATAATTAGCAGAAATTATTAGTATCAGTAATTAATCATATCATAAACTATAATATAATATTATTTTTATTTATTGTTAATCATTTTTAATAGGAAGCAAAATGTTTCTAATTGCTTTTATAATATTTGATTGTAAGATTGTAATAGAATATAATTGATTGTAATTAATTTATAAAATCGAAGTTTAACCAAATCTTATTTGTCATAAATTTAAATTATATTCTTTTTTTTGTGCAGAAATTATATATAATCAGAGTTGGGAAATAATGTTGTTATCGTTATAGTTACTTTTTGGATAATTATAATTTCTAAAGTAAAATATTTCCATCAAGAAGCCTACGTAGAAATTTAAAAACAGTCCAACATCGAATGAATATCATGCCAATAATGTTATTAAAATCAGACAAGTAGAAATTCTTTATAATAGTGCATTCACAATAATTATTTTCTGATTAATTGCGTAAAATTAATAAAAAAATTTATAAAATTATTTTAATATTCTGAGTACCTTCTATATAGAGTTTAAGTCAAATATTAAGATATGATAAATATAGAATAATTATATTTTTTATCTTCGTTATTCATGCTTTCTTCACGGATTTTATTTAACATATTAGAAGCTTGAATACGAGATAGTAGTGATATGCCATATAAATGAAAAAAACTATTAATACTATTGGCATAGCACTGCAATATTATCTTGCATTGGAAATTGTTTTTTAAATTGAAATATTATAAACCCGATTGTTAATCGATATTTTAGTTAATAAATATCGAGAACAAAATTGAATACAAATAGCTTAAAGCAACGTGCTTTATGATGTATCAAATCAAGGTTGGACCCATTTAACTCAACAATTTCTACATAGAAAATCTTCTCGTGCAATTATTATTATTATTATTATTATTTAACTAATTTTTATTTTACATTATATATTACTGTTCTCTCGTGGAATGCTTGTTTATTTTTATAATTGATTTTTATAATTGATAAGATATTAAAGAAAACCACTTTTTCGAATATATTTATTTTAGATTCAACTAAATAGTCTCTGCTTTTGGTATTTTAAATTATTATTCTCGATTTAAAAATAAAATAATAATAATAATCTTTGATTAATTTTCGTATATATACGTTCAATGTAAATATATGTAATATATATGATTATTAAATTATGAAAAGATCAATGTCAAAGATTAATTTATAAATTTAACATTAAAACATGTATCGCGAGTCATTAATTAATGGCCTGATGTTATTCTGCTGTAAATCTCTCGAAAATCGTAATTTTTGCCTAGCTGTGAGCAAATGTTATTTCGTTTTTTTTCAATCTACGTCTCTTTCAGCATATAAGTATATAGCGGCGAATGTCCTCTACCAGTCTTTTTTCCTTCTCCATTCATAAGCATTTTATTATTAAAAAATCGTCATATTATAAATTCTATGCATATGACCATATTTTTCCCTCTCTCTTTTTATCTTTTAGTGAGCTTGATTACTAAATTTAATATGAACCATGGTTAAATATATTTTGTTTTCTGAATATCGCATTCTGAATAACTTTCATGTATGTGGCACAAATAGAGAAATGTAAAGTTTACCTTGGTGGGTTTTTTACTTCTCCCACACGGACACATGAATTGCAAGGAAGACATTAGCATATAATTCTTATACAGTATATAATGCTTATATAATATCTCAATATATGAGATACATTTCATGAGAGTTTTTAACATAAAAAGAATAAACGATTTATATAAATATATGATCTATGTTACTTTGTTTCTAAATTATAGTTAATTTTATGTTTTAATAAATTCATGAAATATTTTATTTTGTGAATTATATTAAATGACTTCATTAAAATGTTTACAATGCTTTATATTTTATATACAACTTTGAATGATGGAAAGTATTTACCTTTACATAATCAGATTTAAAAATCTTCCAACTGACATATATACATATATATATATATATATATATATATATATATATATATATATATATATTGTCAAAGTTATGTCTTTGAATAAGATCTCCGCAAAAGTCATTGTTTATTGTTTATTATAAAATTTTAAATAAATGGAAATCATGCAAAAGGAGACTTAAACATAAATTGATAATGAAAAAATTGCAAATCTATGAAACCATGAAATTATACATATATTTTATAAGTTTATAAGTTTTTATTTTTTATTCATTAAAAAATACTTTAATAATCAACTTTTATTTTTTTAATAATTTTTTTAACAACAATATATGAGCAATAGCTAAAATCGTATCAATATTAATTCTTAAGATTATGGTTTAGACAACATATGTCAATCGGAAATTTTTCGGACTTGTGTGATTATGTAAAGGTAAATATTCATTGGAAAAGCATCCCAGATAGTAAAATGCTAGCAGTGTCAACAGTCAATTATGATTTCTTAATATGTTGTGTCCTTATTAAATTGAGTTTCTGACAACATGGCTTGCTGATAAAGTATAATAAATGTAAGAAAAATCAACCGTTGTGCCTATTATTATATTATAACAGCAAAGTCTGTCGACAAAGAGGCAGGAAAAATCAAGCAGAAATCGACATGCTAGCATAATGATGTGAATAAAACTGCGACGACCTGTCAAACACAAATAACAGAAATGCATCAGAAATTGAAGAAAGTGTACGTCGTGATATAACGGTAAAAAAAATTAACAAAAAATTAAAACATCTAATACTATTAACAAGAAATTAAAACATCTAATACTATTAAATTCATATAACATATAGATATAACAAAATTGAATATTACAAATATTTTTATATAATTTTTATCAAAATTTTTAAAAAATCATTAATTATTTATAATTTTCCATTCATAAATATAACTTGTAATAAAACATATGATTATGTCGTAATTTTATCTTATATAGTACAAATATTGACCTAAATTAAATAAGGTCAAATAAAAATAATTAAATATTTAAACAATTAATTTATTTAATTCTAAAAATCAGGATTTTACTTATATAAAACCTTAATTCTTATTTCTTAAATAGGCAGAGAATTTTTCATTGATCCACATTCGGCTTTTAATAAATTCCCAGATAACATTCCTTGCGCGCAAAGTTTGCGCGTCTTATGTATATAAACTGTGTACGCGGTTTGCGTGAGTTTTGCCCGCAAGTTGGTTAAGCTCATGTACACCAGCGAATCACATGCAAATGGATACCATATGCTAGCGTTTTGCGTACATATCGCTTATTGAGTTCACGCGCAAAATGTGCTAGCGTTTTACTACCGCTATGACGACGCACTGGGATAGGGTTTTGCTTGCGCGATATGAACCATATTTGTGCGCGACTTGCTAGATATTTACGCGCAAAATGTTTTCTGGGTTAATATTCTAAAGTGTGATTTCTAATTATATTCTATCAGCATGCCATAATATTATGTCATACTTATAATTAATTTTGGTTTATTTTTTGTTGAAATATTGTGTGCCACAATGAATGTGCAATGCTCAAATTATTTTTATACTAGCAAGTTCCATTCAGCTTTTTTTTACATAATGCACAGTACATTATATATCATGATAATAGGATTTGCTCATATTCTGTTTCATTTCTACCGATATCAGCTAAAACAGCAGAATATACTTGACTATTGTTAGAATTTTGTCAATATAATATAAACAAATTTGTAATATGCGCTTAGCAAATTTAACTATCTGGAATAATTTATTGAAGTACCGAATACTTTTCTATCATTTTTTTTAATTTTTGAAATAATATATAGTAAAAATTTCCAACAAATATTTAAGATTTACGAATAAATAAAATCATAGATGAAATGTTTGCAGGCTCTAAATCAAATACATACAAGACATTCATTTTGAGCATTTATAAACATAAATAAAATATAAATTATTTTGAATATAACAAATAATTATAATTTGGAAACGAAATAAATCAGACTATATGTTTATCTGAGATTCTTTTCTTGTTTTTCAATGAATCTATTCTTAAAGTATGTCTTATATATTAAGATATACTTCATATATTTCTTCATTGATTTATATTGACTACATGATTTAATATCTTGATGTTCTGCAAAGTAGAGTCTCCTTAAATTTGACCCCTTTAATTTTGGTACTCCTCCGCGAATATTTTCGCGAATATTAATATTACGTCCGTTTATAGACGAATTACACATGCAGATAAAAGTTCGCAATTTCTTTCGCAATTGCAAATACACATCGATTGAATAGATTATATAGTGGAAGTAATATTTATTTTTCAAGAATTTTTTGTCTCTATTTCGTCAAAGGGCCAAAATTAACGAGATTTTACTATATATTAATATAAGTTTGCAACATTTCCTCGATTAATAATAAAAAGTAAAACTGATTAATTTCGATTTGTATAGTATAGGCAAGAATATGCTGTTGCAATTATATAAATCCTCTTAACCAGAGGTTTGAGATTCAAATTAGTTTATCGTCATCGTAATGTATCTAACAATTAAAACCATCGAAAATATAATTACAATATTTATTCGTTTATGTTCACAATCGATGAAAAAATCTTCAATATCGATAATCTTGAAATTCAGTCATCAATCGTCACTGATATTATCCCTGATAACTCAAGGAAAAATTGTTGTCAATGTTTACTAGTATCATGGACGGTCCTCATGTTTCTACAGAATGCTAAAGCCGCCACAGGCTAGATCTATGTGGTGCCGATGTTGATCCTATAGCAAACAAGCAAAAATTTTATCAGATCGATTTTAAAAATAATATTCTGCTATTATCACAATCCTTATACATACAGGATTTGTTTAATATATATACATTACGATTTTATTGTCATTCTAATGATGAAAGTAGATAAAAAAATGCGGCATGTATAAATACATTTAGATAATACAACGTACAATTAAAAATTTTGAAAGTTACATTTTTGTAATTTTTCAGTTAAATTTTTATTTCTCTCACAAGGAAAGAATCGGAATTGTCCCAGTTTTAATGAGCTTTGTATATATTATAAATAAATATCTATTAATGAAGTCAGGTTCCCATGAGATTTTGATCTTGATATATATCAAAATCATGATTCTAAGTAATTTCCAAAAAATTTTTGTTTATTTTTATTAAAAAATTATAAATAAGTAAAACTTGTAAAAATAAAGTTTAAACGTAAATTGTTAATAAAACACAGTTTATAAGCAGTCACTGCTATTCATAAACATATGCATTTTATAAACATATGCACGTACGTGTAAAGTTATTCAAAATCAAGACCTTGACAACATATATCATGATCAAAATTATTGAAATTGCTTTCATTCCGACATATCAAGAATTTATAGAAACATAATCTTTTCATTTGCTGGAATATCAAATATGTCCAAAATAGTCGAAATTGTTCAAAAAAATTGTTCATTGATCACTTTGACTCCTTAACAAGGCTACCAGATTGCATACGCTGCGTCCAGCGGCGACACGATATGTATCCCCATCACTTTCACGGACACAAAAGCATAAGCGCTCGTTAAACGTTAGATACTTTTGTATTCGAAAGTAGTGGGGATACAAATCGTGCCGCCGGTGGACACAGCGTGTGCAATCTGGTAGCCTTGACCCTTAATGAGTATTTATTTATATTAAAATTATGTTTCTCGAATATAGTTATTTTTTATGAAACAGAAAAAAATAATACAATAAAAAATGACGTGTATTTTTGGAAAACGTATTTGTACCCGTTCATATTACGATATCCTCCTTTATCTATGGTTGTACCGACCAGCATGTGAAACAGCCACCATTTCTATGGGTAGAGATCCTCTTCGTTTGACAAGCGTTTCGGGGACAGGATCGCGCTTTCCTGTTTCTCTCTTCCACTTGAGCCATGTGCCATTATCGTTTCCGTCAGTGGATTCCCCGGTGAACATTTCTGGACCCCCACTACTTCGTCTTTTCAAAATCTTCTTGCGGCTTCGTGATTTGTTATTTACGCTATTTCTACTGAACATATCGTGGCGTAACTCGGATATGTCTGCTGGTACTGACCCTCGTCTCGGGGAAAACATTCCAGAAACGCTGCTGTCAAATAATTTACTAATGCCATTGTTGTTGCTGTTATTAGTATTATTGTTGTTATTATTATTGTTGTTGATTGAAAAGCTTTCACGATCGCCTAAAATAATTCAATGTAAAATTATATTTTTGTTTTATGATATTATTAAAAGATATACTTACTAGTTAAAGTCAAGACATTTCCAAAAAGATTTCCCAATGCGATCTCTTGCGGAAGACTAGCTCTTCTTAGGGCCAAAAAATTGTTTTCTCGAGGTCCTAAAGCGAGCCGATTACAACCTCCGACTAACATATAAAGAAAAATATATTTATGTACCATATTCTATATAAGTATAGAAATATTACAAATTTATATTACAAATTTAGGTTTGATTTCTCTCTTCAATTAAAGTAGTTATAAACTGAATAAATGATCATATTTGTCTTTAGATACACCAAATATAACGAGCAAAAAAAAAAAAAAAAAAATATATATATATATATATATATATATATATATATATATATATATATACCTTGATGTCTAGTCATGTCTGACGGGACAGATCCACGTCTACAATTATGATCAATTTTGGTAGGTACAGAAGTTGGAGTAGAATCCTCGAATTTCGATAGAAGACCGACCGGAGCTGATCCGCGCCTTCTTGCCCATCCCTGAGAAAATGTTATTACAATATAAATATTAATAATATAAAATGGATATTGATAATATAAAAGACAAAAATATTGAAGGAGAGAATAGAAAAAAATATAACTATTAATCTTAGCTATACTATATCAGCACAATATTTTAAAATCGTAAATCAGATAGTTTGATTGAGAGAAGTAGTTAATGTAAAGGTATGATGGCAGATTGACAGTAGAAACTGAATAATCTTAGCTATTTAATCGATAATAATAACTCTTGTAACAAATTTGTAATGATATTTGTCTTTCTAATGATAATTTGTAGGAGATACTTGACAAGATCTATTCAAACAATCTTGGCTATGTATATTCGATAAATTAAACATAAATATACATATCTATGAAAAAACTATATTTAACTATATATTTATATATTGAATATTCCTTTTTTGACTTATCGATTAATAAATGGTACAAATTTTAGTCAATTATAATCAATTTCTACATAAAATAGATAGAATAGGTAGAATAGATTGAATTTAACGATAAACAATTAAGAAACGAATATATGTTAAATAAACGTGTACATGTATTAATTAATGAATAATAATTAAGAAGACAATATTCGACATATTTTACAAATCTATACTATTGAATATAAATGACACATTTAAAAAATATAAAGCATGTAAAGAATATAAAATATATATGAAACTATGTGATTTATTTCAATAAAAAATTTACATTTTTTAGCAATATAACTATATAGTGTAGTCAGAAATCTTTGAAAATAAATCATTTTTATATTACCTGACTTCCTCTACGGGACAACGCTAGTGTTTTGATGAAATCGTCATTTGTACGAGGATCAACATTTTCCTTCATCTGCGCATCAGAATTCAATTTCACGATCTTCGAATTCTTTTCTTTCGTGCAATCCAATTCCCTTTTACTGCCAATAATAACAGCTTCGTTATTTGAATCATCAATATTTTTCTTTGGCTCACTACTACTATCACTCGATGAAGACACACTATGATTACGAGGCGGTGAATCGGGAGGACTACCGATAAAGAACACTTTATGAGTGCTAAACTCAGAAGACACTGGTATTGTGGTGTATCGTCTACCTGCATGGTCGATCATTGTTCTATACTCTGTGATAGGGGTTGAATATCTTCGTGGCTCTTGATCAAATGCACTTTTAGCCGATGAAGTACATTGATCTAATTTTTTAGATGATAATGTAGTCCGTAGTTCTTGAACCATTAATTTTGCACTATGACGATTAAGTTTGACATTGCAATCCGAATTCAGTTTAGGTTTCACAATAGACATATCAGAAACATTGTTCTTATCACCGTGTGAGCCCGTTAACGTAGCATAGAACACCTGCGTGGAATCAGAATCTTGAGCAGAAGAAGATCTTTTGCGTCGATGTTTAGAAAAAGAATCATCGGTGCGTATAGTTTGCATAGAATGACGGCGCTCTGAGCTGAGAGCATGCTTTTGTTTAATCGTATTCGACAAAGTAGAGCCTCTTCTTTTGGTATCTACCGTTAGTAATTTTTGGGAGACTTTCAAGGTATCGGATTTCTTTTGGTAGCATGTATCAGGATCATGCAAAGATGGTGGTGAACAACATTGGCCGCTTGAACACGATTTACTCTTCGTAGGAGTTGAACAACTGGAAGAACTGTCGGCTTCTATTAAAATTTGAGTGTAACATTGTGACATCTCCGCGGTTGCAGACATATATCTTGTTCTTGTATATGGTTGCAACGGAGGGAAGGTCTGTTGCCGTGTGAGTTGCTTAATTTGTGCATTGGGTTGTTCATCCGATTGCAAAACTGTATTTAATTTTGATGCCTCGGTACTGCTGGTAATACTGGCTATACTCGTCTCTGGTAAGAGATCCTCCGCACTAACTGGTCTTTCACTAGCGCTAACATTCGATGATCCAGCTATGCTGCTTTTGGAGGATAACAAAGAGAACGAGCTTGGCTCCAACAGACTTTGATTTTCTAATTTCTGGAAGGAACTCTTTACTTTGATTTGTTCAGTCGGTAGACTCTCTCTCCTAGAGGTCTGACGTAAAGGTATACTCAATGGTTTCGATATACTTAGAGGTACAGAATGACGTCTACCAACGCGATCGAGTCCAATTCGTCCTGGCAGCGTTGGCATTCGCGTTGTTTGTGCGTAAGCGGCTGGTATTAATAAATCGATACTGCCTGAATCATCATTGGCAGCTGTTTCATCGTCTGAACTTATAGCGCCTTCAGGTTCATCCAGTTCAGAAATTTCGATTTCTGTTTGTTCACGGTCCACTGTCTCTTGATTGATTAATGCCTCCCATTTTTTTTGATTCGTCTTCAAGTATTCCATTAATGATACACTTAGGCCATCGCCAAGAAAACGGTGCCATTCCATATAAAGAGGAGTGACGACGTGCTTAAAGAAACCAGCCTGAATCTTTGGAATACTAGTGGTGTGTCGATCGCACAATGGTGTTACCGGGAGATTTAGACGACGCTCGTAATCGCCCTGTCTGAAGAATTCCTCGCAAACTTTGTAAGACCATTTTCTTGATATATCCCACGGTCTACAAGGGTTGGAAATATCGGCGCACTTTAGAGCAATTTGCAAAATAAAATGACGATCTTCCGCGCGTTTCATCTCGAGTGAATTATTGCTTAAATAATCCTGTAACATGCAACAAGATGATTAATTCAGTTAATCAAAATGGAAACTGATTTAATGGATCTTACCCTAAAACGTGTAAGAAACTCCTGTTGTCTCGTAATATCTGTTGCTAAAATCAATGAACTGATATGCCGTTGAAGTTCCGGTCTCACGTCGGCCGGTAATTCTGCCGAAACTCCGCTGTCTAAGAGACATCCTATAGCTGATCTCCAGTGATGATTTTCGAGAACAGAAGTATTCTGAAAATAGTCAAGCTTTTATTTATACTAGTAAAAACTTCAAGATTGGGCAAAACATGATCATTTTATCTCTCTCTTTGTTTCTTTTTCTTTTCCTTATTCTCCTTTTCCCCTTTCCCTCTTTTTATCTCTATCGAGGACGGTATTTGCGTTTTATTATATAAGATTATATATAATAATATAATTATAACCTTATAATCTTGTTTTTTTCCTTATTTTTTTATTTTTTAAACAAATATATAATAAAATGAAAATATATATATTCTAAATAATATTAGCAATATCATTTTGTAAATATAATATATAAATATAATATATAATTCTCACATCTGAGATAAATAATAGAATTAATTTTGTTCAATAGGATGGATATAATATTCGGTATATTTAGTATATCAAATAGAAAGAATATATCTTAGCTAAACAAGATATAGTTATTTGATTGTTATTTTTAAATCTTTAATTATTTATGTAATAATTTATTGAAAATACTTCTACCTGATAGAGTGCAGCTAAATGATTACTCGTTGCAACCAAAAATGGCTGATTGACACCAGGATGATCTAAGTCATGTGTTACAGCCGCTATCAAGGAAGCCATAATTTCTAAACTGGTTAGATGAGGTTTAATCTGCAAATTTATAACTTTCAGTTACATTCTATTTCATTGAAGAATAAAATTATCAAATGTCTAAATAATATCCGTTTACACTTGTCTGTGAATCTACAAATATAAGTAATTACCTTTTCTTCTTGGAGAAAACAATGCATTGCTTGAGTGACATCTGTGGCATGTATACTGTTGTGGTAAGGATTTGTACTGTGATAACCCTCCTCGATAAAAGCTTCAATTAAATAATTGCATAAATTATTTTAACAGAACAATCAATATTTTCAAAGAACTTCACTTATTTTTGTTTTATTTTTATATTTTATCTTTTTAATTTTTCTCTTAATTATATCTTATCTCTCTTAATCTATTCTTAAAAAAGACTTAAAATTATTGTATAATTGAAAATATTAAAGATAATTTCGAAAATATCGAAAATTATTATTTTCAGTGTCGAATAGTTTTTTTGCTATGATGATTTCATGAATTGTTATCGAGTATTTTAAAGAGAAGAGTTTAATATATTTTTGAAGAATAAAAGAAATTATAATATATTTTTTAAAAATATACAATAATATGTTCAATATTATTATATATTTTAACAGTTCAAAATTGTTCACTCTGCAGTAAATAATTTTACTGCAGAGTGATTTTGTTAGGTATAAATTTTATATCAAATCTTCATAACATGAAAAAGATCATAACATATTTATTTTAAATGATATTGTCTTAAATTATCCAGTTAGAATTATCCAGTCAAAATCTATTTGAACATTTTACCATTTGTCTGTTCAAATTATTGTCATTCAAGAAGGTTACAAATTTGGTGCACTATTATTATCATTAGTCAGTAGATTGGCGGCGGAAATCAAACAGATTTGTTAATTTGACTTGATGCCAATTGATGGTAGAAATCGGACAGGATGACTGTTACGATATGTTTAGGCTGTACCTCCTTTTACTATATATATCGCTGTTTATTATTTGAAGCTTTCATAAATACTGATTTACTATTCTATTTAAATGACTAGAAACAGCAAATCCTGTTCGGTTCTACCATCAGATTATATTTATTAAATTTTTAATCAAATTTGCATAATTATTTTTAAAACAAATAACTTATATTTAAAATATGTTATATTCTTGTATTTGTATGTTGATAGTATATGTTTGTTTCAGTAGTTACTTTTGTTTCAATATTCGTATTTCGATTAACTTCGTTATCCTCGTCGCTTATCAAGAATATACTTACCTATTTTGAGAAATCTATTAATAAATATTAAATCATTTATTCTATTTTTCCACTTATTATTAAATAAAAATAAGAAAAAGGGGGATGCTGATATGAATCTAATGTTAAACTTAATAAAAAATAAATTATAAATTTAAAATCTAATTTACTTATTCTTATTTGTGTATTTCGAAAAATAATTCTTTTTCAAATGAAAATATTTGATAGAAGAAAATTGAAATATATCTTATCGGCATTGGTCACACATTTTTTAACTTTAAATGTTTTTTGCTTTTTCTTTGGTTTAATTGAAAAGACAATATAGGAAAATAACAAAGTGCAAACTCTGTCGTAAATTTTTATTTTTTATAAATAAAAATATAAAAAAACAATAATAAATGAAAAATATAATAATAACTAAAAATATCTAACTAGTAATATATTTATAAAATAAGCCATGTTTGTATCCATTATACAAATATAGTGCTTCGTGCAAAGCTAAAATTAGATAAATTGTATTTATGACATTGCGTGCGTTGTATATTATTGATTGTGCAATACAATTGATAGCATAACTTCATTTTAATAATAAATGATCTTGTTTACAACACGAAGTGAACACAATATTTCTTGCCAATATTGAAAAAAAAAATTAAATAGACTTATATAGACTTATTATATATTATATAATAATATATATCGTATATTGTGTATTAAATAATCTTTTTGAGTACAAGAGAGTCAAAATTGAATACAAATTTGAACAAAAAAGCCTTATGTTAATATTTATATTCTGCATATATTTAATATCCATTTGTATTGAACATTCAATATTGAAACTAACATAAATAATACGAAATTGTTGAAGAATATTGCATATTATACTATATTTTATATTCATTTAGATATTTGAATATTTTAAGAATGTCAAAGTATCAAACTTTACCATTAAAATTACAGTAAAAATCGATAAGTATATATTGCAACATATGATATATAACATTATGGTACATTTATAATCTTATATCACTTTATAAACACTTTGTGTAATACATTTCTGGATATTTTTCGTTCATATTAATGCTTCAGATTTGATTAATACGTAAATTATTAAAATTTTATAATTTTAAAATAATTATAATCCCTATACTTACCGAATAATTTCCACACTGTTACAACATCTAAGCTGAAATATTGTAAAAGCCCATACCAATGAAAGAGATGGACACATAATACTGGCAACGAACGACCTGGAAATCAAATTAAAATAAAAAATTATGACGAATATAGATACAAATAAAATAATATACAAATAAAATAATTCATTTGTATTCATGTACATGTTTTCACACTTTATTTTATCATATCTTATAGTATATTTATAGTTAATACTAATTATCGTATTTTACTTTGACTAATTTGTTTTAATTTATTTTTTATCACATTGAACATAATATTCCTATAAAAGGGTAATTTCTCGTAGATAAAAGCTATAATAATTCCATAGTAAGTTTCCATAATAAGTTTCCATACAATTTTAGATTATTTTTGACATATTAAGAAGATTTAAAATAGATCGAAAATAATTCTCTATTATTATATTTGCCCGTAATAGAAATTTGGCCACGAGATAGATGCGTTGTAGCGGTAAATGAAAAAGTTATATAACCCGATTACTATATATATTTTATATAATGTCGGTGTGTTTCTGCCATTTCATGATAACAAACCATATTGCGTTTCTACTGTTTTTGTTATCTTTTAAAACAGCAGTTCAATTTTTTTAAATGTGGTCGACCTATTCTTATTTTAACATACATATAATATATTAACAATAGAAATATATCTTTTATTATTTCTGTAATATTCTACATTTACTTTTAAGAAATTCTAGATTATTTTTGAATGAAATTTCTATGAACTATATTTATATAATATTTTTTTCTTAAGTCTATTCATATAGAATATACTAATATATAGTTTTGTTATTATTGAGTAATTTTTCGAAAAAAAACGTTCTATAATAATTATGCATATTTATAAATGCAGATTAATTTTAATTTATTCTTATCTAAGATTAAATTTATAGATTTTTCCACGAATGCATTCCTAGGAATGCATAAAAATATATCGCAGAAATTAAACAAATGCACAGAAAAATATTTCAAGTGTGTATCATTATTGTAAAATATTTATCGTTTATTTTAAACAAAGTCAAATAAGAAAAAGTAAAAAATATAATTTTACAATCTAAAATAATATAAATTAAATGTTTCATGTATCGTTAGGAAGAAATTTGCACACAATAAATGATTCTCATAATACTTACCACCTGTTACTGTTTCTAATGTGAAAGCGTTAAATCGCCAATTTCCAGCCCTTTGTAAGACGCACTGTAACACACATTACAAATTCGAATGTAATAAATCGAGTATAATGGATGTAACATTGTCTGAAGATAATATTTAATAAGTATTTATTTTATATAATTATATTTTAATAAGTTACTAAGTAACTTATTAAAATATAATTATATAGTAATAAGTATAATTATATAGTAAGTAATAAGTATATTATACTTAATAAATAAAAAAATATGAAAAATAGATATTTAATAAAATTATATTAAGAAATAAAAGAATGTTTCGTTTTTTTTATGTTTGAATATTTCTCTCTCTTTCTCTTTTTCATCCTTTCTCTAAAAAAAAGAATTTTACAGAATGCAGCGAAATTTTGAGCAAATGACTTTGAATAGCTCTGAATTTAGTGACCGACTAAGTTCTTTATGTGCGAGTTTACAGTTAATTTTAATAGATTTAAGGTAAAAATTTTGTGCGAGGTCACTGTGAATACACTGAAATTCACTTCTTTTCAGTATCATATGATAAGAATGCGAATAAATGTGATTTTTTGCGGGCAACCAGAGAGCCTCAGGTATATAAAGCACTCAGGTCATCTAATTATGCACTCAAAATTAAAAATTATCTCTAATACGTGTTATGTCTTGCTGACTCCTTTATTCTGCAGAATATTGCAACATTGATCGTCCATTAGTAATAAAACATAAAAAAAGTTATTAATAAATTCTCTTGCAACATGATAGTTCTCTAACTCATTTTACAATCCATCGATAAAGAATTCAATACTTTAAGTTCGACCAATTTAATTTCGTTACAGGCCATATCTTATTTTTTTTTTAACTTTAAAATTTTAAATGGACATCTATTTTGAATAGGATATTCTTGTAGCTAATATCAAAATCTTTCTAAATTAACTATAAAATTGATTATGAAATTAACACTATAATAAAGATCTTGTTCCATGAAGTATTTTTTGAGTTATAAGATTTGAAAATTATAGTATGGCTTATTACAATAGTATTATTCAAGGTGTACCAAAAATTATTCGGTCAGATTTATCTCTTGTATGTGTGTATGTATGATAGAAAAGAAATCAGGACCCATCACTCGTACAATATTTAATAATTTTAAACTCCTTTTCTATTTACATGTGAATATGACGGACAGGTCCAGAAAGAATTTAAATATTGCTAATTATTTTATCAGATTGATGTCCTTCTACTGTTTGACAGTGCGCTAAGCGAATGAAAATGCATATTTAAAAACTTCCGATATATAATATAATTTGAAACATCACTGTAAATATCCTGTCTTTCAATTTCAAATCTTTCATTCATCGAAGTTTTCAGGTTTTCTCTCTTAGATTTTTTCAATTCTTCAAATATTCCCAGTAGAAAAAGAAAGTTCTAGAGAGTTCATGTCAGGAAATTTCGTCATTCAATCGTACCTCTTTTATAGATCCATTATCTTTTTCAGTTAAACCATTTTTAACCCGTTTTGAATTTAAAAAAATAAATATCAACATAAGAATTAATAAAATCTTTGAATCTTCAAATCGGATAAGAAAGATTGAAAACTGTTTCTACTTATAATGAAATAATGGATAATACATAAATTTTTATGATTATTTTATATCTTACAGATATTAGCGGGTCACTCATATATGTGTATATATATATATATTTACATATATGTATATGTGTGTATGCATGCGTGCACATATATGTGTACAAGTTATTCCATTTTACTTTACTCAGACGAATTATACAAAGCTTCAAAAAAATACGAAAATAATTTTTTAAATCAAAATTGTTTGGTTTTAAAAGAAAAAAGAAATAGTGAACTTGATTTGATCCAAAATTAAATCAAGTTCACTCTCTCTTTTTTTTTAACCAAACGACAAATTGATTATTGAGGTCAATTTTATTTTCTTAAATAGAAAATTTTTTTCTACTTTTTCTTGTTAATTAGTTAAATGAATATTTATTGTCTCTTAACATTTTTATCTTAAAAGTAAATATTTTATTTTAAAAACTAATGACTTAATTAGGCACTGTACATAAGTTTAACGACTACCGTAAAATACTTATCGCATTTCGATAGTTTCCGTAAACTGAATAATTTTCAAAACTTATAAAAGGATAAATCAAATCAAGCATTTTTTATAAAAGATTTAATTTTAAGTTTTTATCTTTCTTTTTTTTTTGGTTTTCATATATTTTCATCAATTTGAACAATTTTTTTATTATCCTAGCATTAATAATGTCAGGTACTGATTATATTTCACAAAAGATTATAGATATATATTAATTTGCATTGCTGATAAATATTTGGTAATTACCAATTGACAGCACGACAGCACTTTATGCATAGCGATATCCCGAAAAAAGACATACAGATCATAAAATTATTATAAAATGTATTCAAAAAACAAGATCTGTACATCTAAAACAACGTCCTTCATAAATTTCTAAAACAACATCCTTTGTCAAATTTCTTCTATTTAGGGAATCGAATTAAGAGATATTGCAATGAATTCTCATCAAAGTGTTAGATAAATTAAACTTTATAATATACTACATACAACTATATCACGATATTTGAGAAGCCTCAAATTTCATCTAAAACACATTACTTTGCATCAAAAATTAAATAATGATGATTATCTTCATAAAATGCGTGTTTGTTTATGGGCTCGTCGAAAAATGAATCAGGACCTAAATTCTTTTTCTAAATGAAATTTCTTAATTTTTATTGCATATTTTTATAGATGACATCAAAATGTTTTTATTATAAGTCATTTTCTTTATGAAATATTTATGAGTCCGAGACAAAGTTCAAAACTTTCAAACTCTTACATATAATGGTTCTGTAGTAATAAATAACTTAAAAGTTTCAAGATTAACGAAATAAAAAAATATTTAGAAAATGTGCACACAAATATAAAGAAAATGACAATAAAAAAATATTTAAAATGTATATTTAAAATATACATATTTGATTAAAATAATTATCTAAAAAAATTAAAAAAAAAACATGTTTGATATTAATGATTATAATATTTTTGTAACCTTGAGAGAAACAATAAATACATATGTATACATATGTATATATACAAATATATATGTATACATATATAATAGATAAAAACATATGTTTTAAAAAAACATTTTTATTTGATTTTAATATAAATCACCTGTACTAGTCCGTGGAAAATATCGTCTAGCATGCCAGGTTCTTGACTTAAGGATCTAGTGGTAAGCTTCTTACGCCGTCTCTTGTGTACTGTCAAAAATCGACCAGTTTGCCTAGGTCTGCATTGATTGAGGTTCAAGTTTTCCAGCAGAATTCGGTCCGAATCAGATAAATGCCTGAATATAGCTTCCCTTGTAGATCCATCACGGATTTTTGATAATGTGACCGATGTGCCAGAATCACTGCATAAGCTGCTATCTATAAAATAATAAACATTTTCGATATCTTCGCAAACAAAAAATTATTTTTTCAAACAATATAAGGATTTGAATAAAAATTTCTTTCGTACATATATATATATATATATCCCGATCTTTTAAATTATTTTACTATTTTTAAGAAATATAAATTATACATGTATATAATTACAAGTATAAAATAAAAATATATAATTATAAAAATAATAAATAACTATAAATTAATATGTCATTAAAAGTATATATTTATGAATAAAAAAATTTAACACTATATGCTTCTATATTTTTTTATTTTCACTGAATGATTATAATTTTATAAGTTTTTAGTAATTTATTAGAAATTGAAAAATGCTATAGCATTAAATCTTTGTATACAAATAAAGTAAAATAAAATAAAATGTGATATAAAAACAAATATAAATAATATCTATTAAATTAATATATAAAAAATATAATATAAAAAATATAATATAAAATAATATAATACAATATAATATAAAAAATTAATATATAAAAATTAATATATAAAAAATTTAAAACAGATAAATAATTGCTCACCAAAGATACGCACGAACATCACATTTTGCTGCTCGTTGTCTATCGCTATTTCAGCAGTCCGTCCCTATAATAATGATAAGCAAAGAATTAGCTTTCATTGTAATTATTATAAGTGCAAATTGTTAATAAGAATATACACTGTTATATTACATTATATAATTTATTATTCATTATATTATTACTGTGTATAGATTACAAAATAAGTAAAGTGAAATGACACTTTATAATTAAATTTTTGTTTACTCAAATGAAACATTACAAATATTAGATTAAATGACATATTTTTTATTGATTTATTTATTATATGAAACAAGAAATATTTTTAGAACTAAAATTGAGAAAAAAAGTAAATTGAAATGGAATAATTGGAAATTAAATCGAAATAGGTAATTATATTAAATGGAATAACAAGACTTGCATGTATGAAAACTATCATGTATACGAGAAAAAATGCAATTACTTACAGATATACATAAAAATTGCGATTAAGAAACAGTGACTTTTTTCAGTAAAAATTTTTTTATTATTATATGTCCTATTAAATAGTATTTGAATATATATTTTTTTCACGGAAACAATATATATAGAACATATATACGGAAACTACTTATTTCAAATAAAATAAAAAAATATTAATTAAAATATTTTTAAAAAACTGAAAAAATTATTATTTTAAATAATATTTGATAATATTTTAGATAGTGTTATTTTCAATCTTGCATAACTATTTTAAAAATATTATATTAAATAAATAATAACTAATAAAGAAAATGAAAAAATAGCAAGAGAGAAATTCGTATTTATTTATAAAAAATAACTCTTGTTTATAAATTATATTACAAAAACAATTAATATATAAATTCAGATTATATGTATGTAAAATCTGAACAAGAATGGATTTGCATATATTATTATTACTTTTATTTAATTATTGTTTTCACTTCAATTACTCGTTAAACAAATTATAAGATCATGAAATATAGAATTTTCCTTTTTTGGTAATTTTTACACATTATGTGAAACGAGTTCTATTTTACATCATTCAGTGCTTTTGCTGCAAAGTAAAATTTATAATTGTATAGTTTTATATGAATTTCTGGTATAGTTTTATATGAATTACAAATAAGATCCTTCATATAATATAATTGCTATCGGTGTGAAACATATCTATAATTGTATACAATTTGATATAAATTTACAACTTTCCAGACAAAACAAATATATTGTATGTCTTCGAATATAATTGCCAATTTCGATTTAATTTCCAATTATTCCATTTAAATTTACTTTTCTTCGCGCATGAAACTGTAAAGACATGATAAACAATTATAAATTTATTATACAATTCTAAATTTTTTTTACGCGCACAGAAAGCAATAGGGCAATATGGAAGATGAACCTCGTATAAATTTATGGACTGTATACTTATAGATTTCATTATACAACATGAGGTATTGCAATGTTCAATTGTAATGTGATGAACATGGATAATCACAACAGGTCACCATTGGTCAAATAGTAATGTATTCAAGTGTAAACAATTGCAACATGGCCAATCGCAATGTGATCAATTATAACGTGGGTAATAACAATGCAACCGCAAAGTGGCCAATTGCAACGAATGGGCAATAACAATGTGATCAAATGCAACGCAATTATAATGTGACCAATCGCAACATGATCATTATTAACATGATTAATCGAAAATTGTAATGCATCACGAATTTTTCTGTAACGACGTTTTCTGGTACTACATCTGTTAAAGATTCCAACATCGCATTGTATATTATATTATTGTGTTATAATTCGCATAAAGTGTAAAGTGTGAATAACTCAGTGATAAAATTATACATAATTGGCCTATAAAGCAAAGCACTCAACTCGACTCCTACCACTCGCATATTTCTTTAGTTTATAAATATTTTCTAGTGATTATTTAAATTGAAAAGGAGATGCAAATACCTATATAGATACGTCAGTAACGTTTATGGATAATTGTTACGAGTGTGCTTGGGCTCGTGCCATTCTTCATTACATATATTTCTATTTATTACTTGAGTTCGAGTATCATCAGTTCAGCCACGATTTATCTTACACGTAAGAGTAGTTATATATATATATATATATATATATATATGTGTGTGTGTGTGTGTGTGTGTGTGTGTGTGTGTGTGTGTGTGTGTGTGTGTGTACATGTGTATATGTATATATGTATATGTGTATTTATTATGATTCTCTTTCCAAGTTATAGAAATTACACGTACTTTTTAAGTTTTCTCTTTCTGCTTATATTAATTCAAGAAAATTATACCTTTTTTTTACTTAAAATATGTTATTTCTCGGAATTTTTTTAACGAAATTATAAACTCTATTCTAAACTCTATTAACTCTATTAACTCTTTCTAAACTTCATATATATTTTTACTGCACTTTTAATTAATTTTAAAAAAATTTATTATTCCATATCGCGTCTATTGTAAGCCGCAATTCGAGATAAAACATGATATGCCTTGGCTGTTGGTTAGTATATCTTCAGTCCAAATAATCTGAAATAAGAAATCACAAACGATGTTTTATTTCAAATAAACGTAGTTATTATTCGATGAAAATTTGAAAAAAATTAAAATTCATATAATGATGATATTTTTTTAAGTGCAAAATATATAATTTTTTGTTAAAATATAATATTATTGTACCAACAATGACATTTTTTTCAAAAAAGAAAAAAAAACATCAAAAGTCATATCGCATTTTCCGTTCATCAAAAGGGATATTTATTTTATAAAGAATAAAACTTTTTGAAGCAAATCAATATATTAGTTTTCGAAATATCATGCATCAATAACAAAAAAACACATTAATAATAAGAAAAATATTTACAAAAACACATTTAAAATTTGAAGTATAATTTAAAAAGATGTATGAAGTACTTACAATATTTAATCACTAATCAGCTACTGAAACCATACAGTTCATCTTCCTTCTCTTCATAATATTTATTTTAAGCTATTTTTTTTCTCCACGTTCCATTCAAGCTTTTTTAGAGGCATTCAGATTTCGTTTCGCCGATTTTTGTTGGTTGTGAAAGATACGAAATATTTTGTTTTACTAGCAAATGATTGTCATCGTCATTATTTCGAAAATAGTATAATCATTTATTAAAAGTGCAGCTAAGTAAGCTGAAATTTTTTGAAAATAATTTTTACACAACAATAAATATTTAGGCGCGAATCACTAGATCGCTAGTCTCTAGATTGAATTGAAATTTTTATATTGTTTAAGATTTTTCTATCCAAATATGTATCTTTTTAACAAATCTTTCGATGATAAATCCTCGTAAATGAGTTTTATAGCTTTCACAACTTCATAAAGTGGTCTATTATGTTAGAAATATTGTAGGTTTCCCTCAACTTCTCAGCACAATACCATTTACACTGGTTATCTCACCTCACAAGATAATACACTACAGGTTTCATCTGTCGAGCATTTATGATAAAACGTGATCCATATTATATTATACATATTATCAATGGAATCCATTTCTTTAGATTGCCAAACTATAGAAAAAATTCCTTTATCAATTTATCAACCTTTTTCCTCCGAGTTTTTCATTCTTCTTCATATTTCGCAACCGTGTATATCATATGTTTTTCAACATAATTTACGTACTTTTTTTGTTACAAAAATACCCCAAAAATAATATTACTATCGATGAATTAAATTATATAAAATATATGTTTTATATCCAATTGGTGCAATTTTCTGATAGCATGATTTTTGTAAGAAAGCAGATTAAGAAATAATATATACATTGAATCAATATTTCTTTATATAACTATTTTTTAAATAATAGAGTAGTTCTCTATATTAAAAAAGCACTTCTCTCTATATCAGTTTTAACGATATAGAATAATATATGATTTGAACTCTCAAATGAATAACACATCTGGTATAAATAACACATTTTCACAAGGATACTTTAATTATTCAAAATACATATCATATAAAAAAATACATATCATATAAAAAAATTTCTCTCAATATTGTTAATATTTAGTAGGTAGTATATATAATATTTAAAATGTTCTCGCTTGTAAAAAATACAAACTCTTAGGTTGGATATTTTCTAAACCCAATGATCTGAGAAACATGAGGGTAAACAGCCTACTATATCTTGTTAAGAATTGTAGACTAGGGTTGCTATCTTGACCTCAAGCCACCAATGGGAAGTCACAGAGGAACGTTTTCGATCCAGGTGACATTGAAAGCTATTCTAGCACCACCCGCCTCTCTTATTATTACTACTACTACTACTACTACTACTATTACTATTATTACTACTATAATCGCTAATATTGATTTTTAACTTGATTTGAACTTGAGTTAATATATTGATTGATTTTAACATAAATGTGATATTACAATAATCAAATTTTAATATATCGTCATATACTTTTGCGCATTGCTATTTTTCTTACATCACTATCGATTGCATAATACGCATCAAATTGACGTCAAATATATAAATCAAATTCTTTCGTTCTTTCTCTTTAAATGTTTCCAACAATGTTTCCACTGAACATTTATTTGGCGAGTTTAAGTTAAGAGTGTTAATGATGACAGCTACTATATCAGACATTAGAGGTCTAATTTTAAATATCTCAAGCAAAGTAATGCAACGTTTATATAAGTTTTTAAAAATTGTTTCCTTTTCTCATATAAAAATATTTGCATTTCTGCAATACCATTTTAAAAAAATAAAAAAAAATTACATAATATTTATATAATTAAAACGTTTATATGAAAATCTAATATTCGATATTAAATAACGAGATTATGCAATATTTTGTCTGTTTAAATTATTTATTTAATTTATAAATGAATGTATATATTGATTCTGTTATAAATATATCTATTTATTTAATATATACCTATAAAAGATGTTTATATCAATAAAATAAAGAAAGAAAAAGAGAGAAACAGAATAGAAACAGATAAGAGGGATAGAAGCAAAAGAAGAAAAAAGAAAAAGAAAAAAGGACAGATGAAGACAGAGAAAGGAGAAAATGTCAATTTTTTTTTATATTTTTTGATATAGAAGCAAAGTTCTCTTTTTTCTTCAGATATTATTATACTCAATATGTTTTATAACTGAAACGAACTTATTAATTATAATTTATTAATAAATACAAACTTTTTGTTTATAGTTTCTTATATCTATAATAGTATCATGTTAAAACAATATATAGATATTATAAATCCTTGACAAATATTTACAAAAGATTTGTCTCATGAATTAAAACTTGATTATTGCGTGTAATTTATTTAAAAATCGAACTTACTAAAAAAAAGAAATTTTATTTTATTTAGTCATTATATGTATGTATAACTATATAAAAATAATGTTAGATGTGTAGTGTTATAAATATTTAGTTCATTTTCTTCTAAAATAATATCCAAATTATATATGTGACAAGGCTTTAACATAATATTGTCTCATATTTTAACTTGCTCTCTCTTTTTCTATTTTTATCTATTTATTTCTTTTTAAATTATTATATTTTTAAAATAATAAATTTTTTTAGATAAATTTAAATTTTAAAAAAGTTACTTAGTACCGGATTTCTAAAACAATCTATCCAGCAAATGCCTTATTTTAAATACCTTTACAACCATTTTCCTAAACAAGAATAGAAAAATTTGATACACTCATTGAAAGATGAAAAGGTTATCATCTATCTTAAATAAACTGTAACTCATCTATCTACCTCTCGACTGTTTGTACTGCTGTTTAGAAATAATCACGAGAAAGATATACATCAAATCTCATATTTAGAACTCTTATTCTTGGCACTTACTTTTAGTATTCTTAACTTTTATATTCTTTTTCTGTACTACAGCTGTTTTATATTTAACTATGCAAGTGTAAAATGAAATTGTGAGCACAATCAAAATGATGTTTCTATTCTGCACATTTATACGATTGAAATAAAATAGAGATACAAGAAAAATTTAAGAATAGAAAGTTTATTTTTTTCTCCTCCGAAAAATAAAAATAAAACGTTTCATGTTGTAGTTAGAGTAATATAATTATTCTCATTTATGGCAGATATTTTTAGAAAACATGTATATGTGTGCGTGCATGTGCGTGCGCATGTGTACATGTATACAGGGTAATATCCAAGGCAGCAATCATCGTCTATTTGACGTCAATAGTTAGTCTCTTTAGGTTTTCGACGTCACATTACAGCATAAAACGTAACAATGACGTCATTTTTTAAAATCAATTAATGATATTCGTTATTTTTTTTTATTTTACGACGTACTTATAACATCGAACCTTTTATCAATTATTAACGTTAATTAACTGATCATTCGATGACGTGTTAATAAGGTTACATCAGTGATTAAACACTGACGTTAATTATAATCTGGTGCATACCTGCGCAGTAAATTGTTGCTAGAATAATGTAAGATAATAATAACAAAACAATATAATATAATATTACATAAGTTAGTTCGGACAATTAATAAAATAGCCCGTACAATTTTCAGTCTAGTCTAAATGAGATACAATCTTTAATTGAATTTAATTTTTAGTTGCTTATCTATGAAAATTGTCCTATGAAATAGGAAGAGATACAACTTTTCAAATAAAAGTCCCTGATAAAAATCACTCGATAAATCTTGAAAAGACAAATCCAATGATCTATGATGTTATGAGTCTATCTTCGATATTATAGTCGGAATAATTTAAACTTAAATAATTATAAAATTTAATTTAAAATTTGGTTTTTTCCTTAAAATCTGGTTAGAATTTTTATTTATGATTTTTATTTATTTGTTTGTGAAAAACTTATTTGTTTGTACAGCTAGCATTAATGTTGTCCAATATGTAGCACGTGTAAATTATCGGTTCGATTTACAGTGCATGTGCGCACACATACACGAGGTACCTCCAAATGACGCCATTTGACGTCAAAATGACGTGCGCTTGCTACCTGGATTCATATATAACAATCTTTAGTATGCATTAATGCGGTGCAATGCGGGTGACCGAGTTCGTTGTAAAATATAGCATTTAAAACCGATATATTTTGATTTGAATTTTTGACATCTGTATTTCAGATTCGAGACTCTCGAATCAAGCCTATCCATCTTATCCAGATTAATTGATTGAAAGTCGATCGGTTATATTATCAGTTATATTATAAAAATTGTTATGTTAGATTTTTATAATTATTTACATTAGAGTTCTTAATATATTTTATATAAAATAAAATTGTAAATATAAAATATGATAAAGAAAAATAGTAACGATAGTAGACAAAAATATGATGTTAGACATGATTTCACTGCCTGCCATTACTTTTCTATATTTTTGATATTGAGACTGTTTCTTGACTTATACATATCTCTTTTTTAAAGTAGTCAACACTATTGTATGGCTAAGTTTAAAATTGCACTCCACACTTGTAAACACCTTTTGAATGTTGATTTATTTTTAAAGCATAAATAAAAAGATAATATTTTTAGATATATTTAGATGCACAATTACGATGCATATTATATACACATAGTGTAGCCAAGTTTCGAAAAATCTGAAAAATAAGAAATAAAGAGATTCGCTAATCTCTCATCCTTCCTCTCCTTAATTTTCTTGAGCACGAAACAAACGAACGGCTTGAAAACAACTAATCTCTCACCTCTTCCATCTGAATGACATTTTTCACTCTCTCCGCGATCTCGCTCGCTTTCATGAGTTCGGTCTCCACGTGCTCCGTCTGCGAGTGTCGTCTCTCTTGCACGTCCATGGCCAGCTCCTGATAACAGGACTCCCCGGAACCGCGACGGCTACCTGCGATGCACATGGCCCGGCGAAACAGGCCGGCGACGACAGCACATAAGCCGCACTGCATCCCCGTAGCGGTATCGCGACTGGAAAGTGACCCACCATTGGCCCTGCAGCGGGTCCGAGACCCACGAGAGCCGCTGTCACGTGCGTGGGTCGCCAGCTTCGCGTATCCGTCTCTATGCACACTTTTCCTATTTAAATCTTCGTCTCCGTCTTCGTCTTGGAATCCACTTTTTCTTCTCTTTTCGTCTTCCTCTCACATCGTTACATCGTTATCTTCGATGTGCATTTTCATGTTCCTAACTTTCGTCGAGCTCGCGAATGCTTATTATCGCGCCTTTTTATTTCGATAATTCGCACTCTCAATGACACTACATCAATATTGTATATCACCTGGATGACAGCGTTAATCGAGAGATCGTTGAAAGGTAAACGAGAAATTGAATAATTGCAAATGCATAGGAAGCGAGAATTGAAAAGAGAAAAGAGAGCAAAGTACAATATACTTCACGCTAGAAGTCGAAAATTCGTTTTAGAATATTGCATAAAATTCGAAAATAAACATATATAAGTAGTAACTAGTTAGTGTAATATTGATTAATACCATAAATTTTTAAAACAATATATGTAGAGATAAGAGAGATTCTAATAATTCTTACACATAGCATGCAACAATATGTCTCGCATGTAAGACAAGCGTTCTTGTGTAAGAGAATATACAAAATTATTTAAAAATTATAATAGAATATGATGCAAAATCAAAATTTAATTTGAATAAAAAATAAAATCACATTTGCATAAAAAAATTAAAAAAAACTAATTTATTATTCTCTGCAATTAAATATAAAAATTATAATAATCAAAACTAAATTATATATTTGTATATTAAAGACGTAACGAATATAATATAACAATACAGGTAATTAACACAGATGATTATAAACAAAATATTTAACAAAAATGATGTGATAAAACACACACACACACACATAAAAATTATGATAAACATATTTAAAATAGTCTAAATAACAGCACAAATTAATTTATATTGTTCACAAAGAACAGCAATAAAAATATATCATTTATAACAATATTGATATCTTTCTATATTCTCATGAAAAACTCAATTTTGAAAGTACTTAAAAAATATATAGTTATGTGTGAAAATACATCATATTTAGTCACTCTTCTTAATAGATTCAATCTAGATTATATGTATATGTGTTTGAAATGATTTTCGAAAAAGAGAAGGAAAAAAGAAGGAAAAAGAAAAAATGAAAAGAGATATCATCGAATAGGAAAGAAAGAAAAATCATAAAAAAGATGAGAAAAAAAAGAGAGTATATAGAAAATTTAATTTAACATTTTTATATTTGTTTTTAAATCCGAAAAATATATATATTCTAAAAAATAATAGGACTCGAAGGGAAAGAGGAGGATATGATTCGATGAAGCGATGAGAATAAAACGATCCATGTATAATCGATCCATCAAAAGAGACAAATTCAAATATTGCAATTTATATGTGACGAAGAGAAATTATTATAAATAATTATTATGTTGTGATATTTAAGTATGCTATGAGTATAAATATGCAATCGCAATAATAAAAATCGTAATTAAACATTATCGATTTATTTTTTAAGCAGAAAATAAATTTGTAATCTGTTTACATTTATATTATATTAGTTTGATTATTATAGAATAACGTTTAAAATGGAAAGTTAATGAAATTATTATGTAATGCCACACAATAACATTTGTGATAATATTTTAATAATTTTTCTGCTAAAAAATTCTTGGCTGTTATTGGTTTTTACCTCTACAGTAAGTATTTTCAATCTTATTGAATAATAACTTGTAAAAATCACAGTTTTTTTCTCTTTCTCTCGAAAATAATAAGCAAAGAGTAATTTTCATTAATATACTTGTGATTTTCCTACCCTAAAAATGATTATTTTCTTTCTCTTATTTTCCTACCCTAAATTATTACGCAATAATATAATAAAAATGAAATCTTTACGATTGTTCTGTTATAACAATTGCCTTTTTTCTCTTGCTCCTCTTCCGTTCCTTTTTTTATTCTGTTCTCCTTCCTTCTTTCTGTCACTCTTTACAGACTGTGTAGGTACAAAATGTTTTATGCTGGATATTAGCAATATCAATCAAATTTAATTAGGAGATTATATAATATAATACCTTTGGAGCAATCTGTCAAAGTGTTGGACATTATGGTCTCTTCTTGGTCTTATCATGGACAAAACATATCAATAATATCTGAAGCAAAATCAACAGAGCATTGTATAATAACTTAAAGCGTATAAAAAGCTTTTTAATGCTAATGTACGTTTTAAACATTTGAAACATTTTACGTTAAAATTTTTTAATATCCATACATTTTGATTATTGCTCTGTAGTATATCACTCAATTATTAGTTAAAATGCATTTTTAATTCATTACTCGTGTGATATGATAACAATAATTCACTAAAAAAACATAAGAACAGAATTAATTAATTTGAAAACCTCATAAATAGATTTAATGTCAAAAAAAGTACTGTATTAAAAAATGACTAGTTTTATTCTTATTAGATTATTTTGTTCTAAAAAAACACGTTCTTTCCTATTTAACTGTATAATCATGTTCCTCAATTCAAAGCTGTATGGACGTATATAAGTGTGTATATACATGTGTCAATGTGTGTATATAAGTGGGATTGAATTTTAAAAACAAGCAACTCTATTAAAATTCAGTTCTCTCTCTCTCTCTCTCTCTCTCTCTCTCTCTCTCTCTCCTCTCTCTCTCTCTCTCCTCTCTCTCTCTCTCTCTCTCTCTCTTTCTAGCTTTGATGCTCCATATTAATAAGAAACCTCTTACTTTCATAATTTCTCTGCTTTGTCGTTATCAATGTTAAAAATACTATGTGTCACGAATGTAAAAATCGCTATATCTTTTTTTCAAATTGAAATCTATAAATTTTTCACTATAATTATGTTTTATCTCTGACTGAAACTTTCTGTCTAATAAAATCATCAATAAATGAACCTAATATTGACTTTCCAATAGCTATTTTATACGTCATTAATTAATTATAAAAAAATAATTTAAAGATAAATGCTTTCATAAAATAATTTTAAAGTGTATAGATTTAATATATGTTTTTCTTTCATTATTTTATTATCATTGTTGTTTTTTTCATCTTTCTTTCTTATTTACTTTCTTTTCAATTATTATTTTCTTAGTAAATAGTGTAAATGTTATATTAATATTATTGGTTCTTTCTATAATTAAACACTATGCCTCATTGCAAGCATTGTCTCTGCACTATTAAATTCTACATGCCTGAAAAGATTATTATAATTTAAAGAAATGAAATTTAAAAAAATCTCTTTTTATCTCTCTCTCTCTCTCTCTCTCTCTGTCTCTCTCTTTCTTTCTTTATTTTATTTATTAGTTCTCATTTCTATAATTTTGTGTATGAGAATAATATTATAGCGCAAATTATTCAAGAGTAATAACTGAAATATGTATTTTGTACTAATTCCATACGATAACAACCTAAAATGCATATAATTTCTCGAGCTTTTTCAAGTACCCACTCTCAAATTACTCTACCTAGGACTTTTAATCTGCTGCCTTGCAATGCCATTTCGACACGACTTGACCCTTTGATACGATGACGTTTTGTATATCTTTCTCTCTCTCTCTCCTCTCTCCTTCTCGCTTTCTCTTTCTCTCTTTCTCTCTCCCTCCTTTCTCCCTTTCTAACATTCTATCTCGTGCCTCCCTTTTTCGAAGATATACCTCCGTCGATAGAGGTAGCGGTGCCTCTCGTCGTGCAATGACTCGCGATGACTATTAGTAAAGCGACTCGTCGATGATTAACGCTTGCACGGACATCGCGGTCGGTTCCTCTCCGAGACGAGCCTGCGAGCTCCATCGCTGCGTGCTTCCCGGGGTCGATCTGGGCGGAAATGAGAGCGACCGGGCCCTGGGGCCCGGCGCTGCTCAAGGCACGAGCACGACGTCGTTAAATTTGGCACACACACACGGGCAGCTTCGTATGCACGTCGATAAAAATAGCACGATAGAAAAGTGATATTCTAAACGCCAAGAGCGTTTTGCTCCGACACAACACGACACTGTTAACAGGGACTATGCACGCCGGCCGGCCGATGTGCATACACTGAAGTACTGGCTCCGAACGAGCGCCGAGTGAAGAGAGAACGCGCGTGTAAAGAGAGAGAGAAAGAGGGAGCGAGAGAGAGACAGAGACGCGTTCGGTCGACGTTCGCGACCTCGGTTATGTTCGGCTACATCGGAGCTGTCAGCTTCGGCACTGCTCGCCGCGCAGCCACGCTGCTTCCCGGCGATTTTCTCTCCCTCTTAGCCGCTCGCGATCGCTATATATTACGTGACAAGGGCTGCCAACGAGAGAGAGACTCTCACTATGTCGCGAGCTCTCGCCGCGGAAAGCTGGTAGCTGCTATTCGATGCGTTACCATCGCATCGCGTGGAGGGAGAGCACCGGCGCGTGAGGAAGCGCAGGATCAATAACAGATCTCTCCCTACTCTCGTAAAGCACGATGCGAGGCGAACGAGGCGAACGCGCACGCATTTACACGCACACACACGTACACACGGGACGCAGACTTGCTCCACAAATTTTTACAACCCATAAGCGGTCTCGCCTCTTGAATGTAATTTTGCGATCATAAGGCACGCGTTATGCTATCTCGAATCAATTTTATGGAAGCGTGAGAATGAGCTGTCATCGCCACATTAATCATTGACATGTTGTAAATTATAACTCTATGGTGGATGATGAGTTTTTATTTTTGTTGACACTTTGGAGCGAGTCACACAAATATTACTTGTGATATTTTTCATCGTTTATGACAGTTTTAATCGTTTATATTTTATAATTCTATACTAAAAAGAATTCAATCCAGAATAAGAAATCTTTTCTATATTTTACGTTCTTCTTTCGAACGATTCATAATATCAGTTACTTTATTATTTTTATGATCTTTAATTTATTAAAATTATCGTGAATTGTTTATAATTTTTTAATTGAATATATTGCACGCACATTATTTGCCCTTTGAGCTGTTCTTTTACATATTTTGAGTATAATTTATATTAAATTCATGTGCAAAGAATTTTAAAATAATATAAATTATAATAAATTAAAATAAATATTTTTTTCTAAATAAAGATAATTATTTAACAGTTTTTATAGAAATATTTATACAAGATATAAGGATATACTTATAAAAAAACAAATGAATGAATGGAATCGATACTAAATAGAAAAATTATTTGATGGGTCAAAATATTCTTAATGTTACAGTATGCTTAAAGTCTTAGATTGTGGCAGTTTTTTTTTATTTGTAGTGACTTTGAAGAATTTTGTTAAGCAAAAATGCATATAAAACATATTGAAACAGTTATCGGTTCTTTGCAGGCCAATGGCCAGGCTGAGGCTGAGCGCGTTAATCGTGTGATAGCTCCGCTTATCATCAAGCTCATTGTCAGTGACCGTATGAACAAAACACAGTGGTATAAAAGACACTCGGAGAAATAGAATATTGTTTTATAATAATATTATTAATAAATCGATCGGAAGAATCTTAGTTAATTAGTTTTTGGCATGCGAGATTTATGCATTGACCTTATTAAAAAATTCATTGTATTCAATATAAACTATGTGACTCGCAATGTCGAAGGTATTCATAATAATCAATTGATTGTACATTGCAATCATAGTGGAAGCAAAAAGCCATTTTAATAAAAAACATAAAACTTCTGGAAACTGTAACGTGAACAATCGGGAACTTTGACAGCACTCCCATAAAATGAATATCATAATTTCGTGATTTATATGAAATAAAAAAGATATTAGGAAATAACCGTTATTTATTAATCAATTTTCCCGATTTTCAAAGTATCCAAAAACTGTATACAATACTTGGACTGCTAATATAATAATATGCGCTCTTGATTAGATTTAAAAAGTGACAATAATGCTTAAAATGCATTCTTGTCTACTTATTTTTATTTTATGTACCATATATATTGTGTATATAAAATAAAAGTGAAAATGTAATTTAATATCAGTTTATAGTCACGGAATGCATTATTCGTATGATTTTAGTAATTTTTTATATAATCTATAAAATATTTTTTAAATACATTCTTATTTAGCATTTAATTATGTTCTCAATATTTTTTCGTATAATAGGATTTCGCTTATATATGAAATAAAATAGACTCAGCATTAATACATCTGATGTTTCAATTCGGCATTCTTATGACAAGTTATATATCAGCAGAACAGCTGATGATAGGAATTTGACACATCCAATCGATATCATGATTAACCTGCAAATAAAAATAATTAATAGCATATGTAAAAATATAATTAATTTAATATTTTTGAAATAAATATATTTAGCATCTAATGTACCGAATTTCCAGTTTGCTTATGATAAGCAAGTTTATATAAATATATACGAAAATATTTCACTTTGATAGAGAGAGAAGTTAAAATATCCTTTGCTTGATAGAAAAAGAAATCACAATAGATTTTCTAATGATAATGTAATAAGAACAATTATAATCAATATTCAAGTTTTTAAAATCAAATGTCGTGTTTAGCAAATAATGCTATTTTTGTATCAATCACCAAAGAGAGATTTATTGAATTATTAATTATTCAATTATTCAATATATTATCGTGAATTAAACGTACAATCATACATTCAATATAAAGAATACTTTTACGTTTGAAATTTACTATTATGACATCAAAATCTCTCTTAAAATTTTTACTCTCGTGACATCCACTGAAATTTTTCGTAGTATTTAATATAATGTATGACATCACCAAGTATTTTGCATTTTAAATTTTTTCTTTTTAATTATGTTAATCGTTTTTATTGATATATAACCAAATGTTTTATTTTAAATATTTTAAAAATAAAATATTTTTTCGATAAGTATTTTAGACAATTATTAATTTCGAAGGAAATAAAAAGGAAATATTTAATTTCGAAGGAAATAAAATGTAAATCAAAATAATCGGTGAAGTATAATCTTTTTGTAATTTTACCAAAATAATCTTGAGTATATACATATAAAGATGTTAAAACCATATTAAGACTTTACTCTGAAACTTTTGAATTGGAATATATTTTTATTGCATATTCTTACTATAGTTTTTTACTATTTATTCATTTATATTTTTATTATTCTTATGACTTATTAGTCATCGAAATGTTTTCGAAATGATGATTATATATTTTTTATGTCATGTAATTAAAAAGATTTGAATATTAAAAATTAAAGTATTGCTTTTATAATATTATATGTGCGTAGTATAGATAGTATAGTTTATATAATATAAAATTATTACAAGTATACAATATATGTCAAAGGTTCTTTGACAAGTGTGTTATGTATGTATATGTGCATGTAAGTATGCGTATATGTGTGTGTACGCGCGCACCCATACATAGAAGTCAATCTTCGATCGTTACTGGCTTTATTACCTTCGTTATTTATGGCTAAAATTTATTTTTTTAGTTTGTGCATCTATGAATGAGTGATATATAATATAATGTATATATATATATATATATAAAGTTCATGTTAAATAAACGCCTCGAATACTTTTGACCATGTCATTGAATCTGGGCAATAATCGAAAATATAATTGTTCGTACGTACATGCACATAGAGATACATGTACACACACGTATATACATACATACATGCACAATTATCAAGGAATTTTTAAAATAAATGCAATGATTTTATGTTATGTAGAGATATAGTGTGTAATCTTTAATTTCTAAGATGCATTTCAAAACTATGTTGATGTATATGCGATAAAAAAATGAATATTCATCAAAAATTTTTAAATAATCTTAATATAATTTTAACACTTTCCTCCTTCCTTTAACACTTTCCTAAAGTATAAGATCATCGTTTTATGTCTTCCTTGAAACGAAATTTTATCTACAATATTATGTTGCTTAATTTTTTTTATATTTTATATTTTTCTTAGAATTAGTTTTTATAATAATTATTTATTACTTACAGTGTGCTAGATTAAATTTTAATAAAATGTATAATTATATTAATGGTATTTTTTTGCTTGTGTGTACATATTTAATTAAAATGATTTTTTGCCATTATAGCCAAATCATTAGTGTGCGTTAAAAGAAGCTAATGCAAATAATAAAAAATGTAGAGAGAGAGAGAGAGAAATGTATCTTTAAAATAATTATTTATACGTTTATATACATATTTCTGCATATTCCTCATATTATGTTACATTAATTTTCCTTATTGTAGCTATATTAATGGAGAATGATTTGCTGCTTAAGATTTTCTTAAATATTAAAAGAAGATGTATCCATTGTTTCTGCAATCGCTATTACTCCTTCGATCATTGCTGCCGCTATTCTTGCAGTTACCACTGTTCTATATCTGCTCTTCTTATTATTTTTCATCTCGTTCCTTCTGCCATTATTACTATTCTTGATTGAATCGTTTCCTCTCATGCTGTTCTTTTTGTCATTGTCATTTTTGCTTCCGTTCTTATTCCTGTTGCTATTCTTGTAACTCCTATCGCTCATCTTGATGTATTCATATATCTGCCGATAATGCTTCAAATAATATGTTTTTTTGATATAATTAAAAATATTTTTTATTGGATTTCTGTTCTTTAGAGAATGCAATAGTCCCATATTTTCCTACGTATTGTAAAAATTTATATTCTTTGTACTAACTAGTTTTAAAGAGATATAAATTCCATTTTAAATATAATCTTAATCTATAAGATGGCATATAAATCAGGCTCCAACTCGAATCTATTGATTATCAGGCGATCGCTTTATCTACCGACAATGAGAGAGAGAGAGAGAGTAACTCAGTTCTCTTATTTTTTCTAAAAATAATTTTATTTTATATAAAATAATTTTATTTTTTGACAATTACAAATTGGAAGTAGAAAAGAAGTAGGTTAGCATTCGATGTCAAGAAAAAGAGATATGTAAAGTTTTCGTAAGACCTTTTCTTACTACTATTGGGAGCATCGACAGAGCGGTAGAAAAAGATCAATTAATTAAATAATAATCTAATAATTATATGTATAATAATGTAATAAAATATAATATATAAAATTTACAAGAGAAAAGAATTAATAATCTATTATTTATCACATATACACGCGTAAAATATATTATATATGTAATATATGTATATGTATTTAATTATATAATAATTATATAATTTTAATTATATAATGCCTCATGTATAATTAGTAAACATAATATTAAATAGAATCCAAATATTTCGACGAATGAGAACACTGTCACATTTTTAATATGTTGAAAATTTATAGCATTTCCATCTCTGAAAATTTTCAAAATGACTATAAAGAGGGAAATTCACAAGCAACCGATGTTGTTTTTTGTGCTACAGTACATACAGTCTATTTGCAACTGTACTGATATATTTATCGCATTTTTTTCATGTATACTTTCGATTTGATTTAATACACACAGTTTTGTGGAAATTACATTATTCGCGTCATGCAATCTCGCTATTGATTCTATTGAAAATTGTGTCAAGAAGAAAATTGCTAATTTTTTAAAAATTGTATGGCGCATCTAAATTATTTTCTCAAAATTTTAACTACTATAATAGATTAATTTATTTAATAGTAATTAACTTGGTCTTTCGTCATATATTTAAAATTGTATATAGGGGGTAAGATAACGAAATTAATTGTTTTTAAAAAACCTGAATTTTCCTGAGTTTTATAAAATTCTAATTTATCAATTTTTCAACTTTTACATATGATAAGCAAGACTTTAATAAATCCGAAAAAATAGGTTCTTATTTTTATGTAGAAATTAAAAAAAGATTAACGTCATTTTACCACCTTTTTCTTACTCCTTAATATTAATATTCTCTTATTGTTAGATCATAGCTCTATTACTTTATTTAGATATTTTCTCAATGATTGGATGCTTACGTATTTTATATCTTTGAAAAATATTGATAATCGATAATCGAATATATGTAAATTTTTTGAATTTAAAATCATTTGAAAATCATATTAATTTAAATTACCAAATTCATCATAATGTTGGCAACTGTATAAAAAAATAAATCATGATAAAACAATACCAATGATTTTAAAATTTTTAATTAAAAACATTCTACCAATCATGTTTTTTTGAATTGAATAATTTTGTCTCCAGATATTTTATCCTATTTTTATAAACAACGGAAATATGCAAGTGAAAACATAAATTATTATGTTTCATTATATGTTCCCTACCAGCACACATATCCAAAAGACGTTTAGAGGACATCTAGAGGACAGTCAAAGGATTTTATGTCCTCTGGATGTCTTCCCAATGATTTCTGGACGTCTATGTGTATTCTGTTGGGGTATTATCTGTTGAGTTATATCTATATCAATATTATCTATATCGATAAATATTCGATTCTGTTTTATTAAATATAAAATAAAAAATTTAAAATATCTTACAAAATTTTTATTTTTTAATTTATATAATCATACATACATATATATTTTTATAGAAAAATTGATTCGTGCAAATCACAGAGTGAATGAATTCATTTAAAAGAGATACAATAGTATTTTTCTGCAATATTGTACTTAAGAAAAAAAATAATGTTAAAAAGTTACAAAATCATCATTATGCTATTTAATTTTTTCTTTTATTATTTTCTTTTTATTGTATACAACCATTCTGAAAAAATAAATAATACCATCTTTGACATCACCACACTGTGGACCATTCTATACGTATGCATATTTATACACACACACACACACACACACACACACACACACACACACATATATATATATATATATATATATATATATATATATATATATATATTTATAATGTACGAAAAAAACCACTCAACATCTCTCAATTTTTTAAAATCCAGACTTGCTTTATTTTTTTTAATGGAATCAAAGCAATTATAACAAATAAATTTTTACAAACAACATAAAAATATAAGCTATTCAAAAAGTAAAAACTTTGCAAGATATTTTAAATTTTTCATTTAAAAAGATATTAAAATCATTCATCGAATTCTGTAGAAAATGCGATGAAAGCATATTTATAACACGTGTATTCTTACTGAGCACAGTTTATGTCTGTAAATGCCTTATGAATAGCAATATAGGCTTGTATATATGTACGTTTGAGTGCTTATGTTTGCATGATACTTAACGACTCACCGAGTAGAAAGAGACTTCATCATATAGAACTACCCAGCCACGGGCGTCGCGACGACCACCGAAAGACAAGCACGTGGTGTACGGGATCATGATGGCCAAGAAAAAAAGAGAAGGAGAGAGAGGGAGGAAATGAAAATGAGGAAAGATAAAAAGGTAGAGAAGAAACAAGGGAAAGACAAAGAGAAAATAGCGGCTGCTTCAGCCACTGTTGCTGTGGATAGGGATGTAACGTCACACTTCTTTAATTTAGTTTAAACGATGATAACAACAATGACAATAATGACAGTGACGGCGAAAGCGGCAATGATACTGTCAAGTACGATGATGACAATCGCGACGATATTCCGTCAACAGTAATCGCGCTAAATCGAAATTTCAATTAAATTATTTATGAAGAGAAATAAGGATGAATTGTAACGCCGGTAACAACAAATCACCATGAGACTCGGCGCAACCAGAGAATCGCAACCATGTATTGTACTATTATTACACGGTCACATGTCGACGCGCAAACGCGTCCTGGAGATCAATGAAAATAGCCGAAGACGCGCGACGAATGCAGTGCAACGCACCGACGATAACCGAATGAAGGGGGGAATAAACGAGAACTCAATTGAATCGAAATTTATAAAAATATAGTTGTCTGCCTATTGCCTATTAATTATAGCTCGATTTTGTGCAATAGAGTTAGTTTAATTCAACAATTTGAAAAAATACAAAAACCCATTGAAACAATATTATAAATCATGCATAATTATTAATTTATATTATTTGTGTTAAAAAAATAAAAGAATTTATGAAAATATTTATTTTAATCATTTTAGCAAGATTTTAACAATTTTTGTTTCTAAAAAGTTTAGTATTTTTTGTTATAAGTACAAGATGTACCGAATTAAAATTTTGGAAGCATGGGTGATCGATAAACCAAGAAAAAAATTCTTTAGAGATCTGCTTCTTCTGAGAAAAATCACAAAAAAAAAAACAAGAAAAAGCTTTCATTTTTATTACTTTTTATTACTTTTATTTCATTTATTTGTTACTCTTCTTCAATTCTTTTTTGTTCTACTCTTATTTATTCACTCTTATTTGTTTTTACTTTCTTAATGAAAATATTATTCAAAATATAATTGCATAAATGCATAAACATAAACCAACTAAAAATAAAATAATAATTATAATTCGAAATATAATATGATATATAATATAATAATAATGCTGCGTTATCATGTATTTACTTATAATCCTTTAATTTTACTCCAGAAAGATTTTAATTCATTCTTTTCTCTTAATTTCGTACTTTAAAATTTTTCTCATAGTATTTTCCAATAAGCTTAATAATTTTAGTGTCGTTTTACATATTTTTGGTGAATATTTTTTTTGTGATTTTCTTCAAAATGAAATAAAAAACGAGCAAATCTCTAAAGGATCTTTTCCCTGTGTATAATTGATAATAATTTATATATTTATCATGAGACAATGTAATGTAAATATAAGTTGTAATAATCCCAAAACTATTTGAGATGTAGATCTAAACATGTAAGAAGAAAGATACTGATATCAAGAAAGAATAGTATTCTTACTTCATTGAGCTCTATTATGAAGCAAATCTTCTCAATACTATTTTATAGAAAGTCAGAGCCAGAATTAGAAAGATATATATTCTTGGATGAATCTGTCTTTTTCATTTATCATTTTCTTGGACAAATCTATTGCTCAATTGTGATATCATATGTTGGAAATTTAGCCAAATGTGGTTGTTGTACATCTAACAGAAAATATATAACACCAGCAAGACCTGTAAATATGAATAATACATAAATATTATCATAGTAATATTTCTGATTGATAATACATGACACATATAAAATCTTATCATCTTTAAGAAATTTTTTCTTCGAATTTATTTTGCAAAGTCACATTAAAATAGGCAATACTCAATTAAAACACAATTAAAAATATGTTAGAATACAGAATTTAAACATATATTAAAATAATCAAAATAATCAAATTTAATAAAACACAATTATATCACAATTATATCACAATTTATTGTATGTAATAAATCTTTAATATCAAAATATAGTAAACAAAGTACATACTTCTAATATGCATAATATTTTAATTAATCAACATAATTCTCAAATATCAACAAAAACAAAAACCTTTGATAAAAAGATAATATCTTAATAATAATCTTTGATCAAAAGATAGTAATAATAAAATTAAAAATTTAAACTTGCACCAAGTTAAAAGAACATAACAAGATGGATTATGTATTTATATGAAAATCGCCTAATCGAAAGAAAATATGAAATTATCGAATCTCAGGGACAACTAAATTTGGTAACCTAAGATGCTTTTAAAATGGGTCATAAGGGTTCATTTTAATGATATTTTTGACTATATTTTGCTACAAAAATTATGACTATATCTTTTGATTATGTATAATTGCATTATATAAAATATTAGTGACATAATGTAAATTTAATTTATATTATTGAGTTACCTTCAAACAAAGAAAAAGGTCTATCAGGACATCGATTTTGATGTGAACCATAATGAAAACACCATTCAGCAAACTTGCAGGCCCGATATAAATACTTAACATCCTAAAATAATCAAAATAATTGATATTAATTTTTTAACTGGTTATGAATTATTTTAATGATTTCTATATTCTCATTTTTTTATAATACAAATAGATATGTAATATGAATAAAAATATCGAAAAACTTCAAATAGAATAATTTTAATACATTATAACAATGTTAAACTTTTGTTGTATCGATATATCTAGATATGATAAATTGGATATAAATGAATTGAATTGATTTCTCTTAAATATTTATATATCATATTTTATCTATCTTCAAGAAATGAACCAAACCTTTGTTTGTTGAAATAAATATATAAAAGTATAACCGTTTCCAGCAACACCATGACAGATGCTATATCCCTTTTTTAATAATCCTCTTTCCCATGTCACTTCTCCACACCGTATTGCAGTCTCTAAAAATGTATTATCCTCAAATACCTAATTATAATAATGATAATATAAGTTATTTGAATAATTATTAATTTATTAAACTTTGTATAGAATTAATGACCTTATAAGCCAAACAAAATAATATAGATATTCCAGGTGCTCCATGACACCATTGTATTAATTTGTCAGAAGGATTTCCTGTTGAAGAAGGGAAATTTCCAGAAGAAAATTGTAATCTTTGAAGATAGTATAATGAGGGTTTCAAATAATTATCAATTTGTACTTGTGTTAAATAATGTCGTGCCTAAGAGGAAAAAATACATAATAATAATAATACTACTAATTTTATGTATTTTAAAGTAGTAATCTAAGATGATAAAATAGCAAACAGTAAACAATAAAATAATGCAAACAGAATAATTCAACAAATAATCTGCAAATTAAATAATATATCATATTCCAAATTACATAATTTTTGTAATATAATACCTGCAATAATAAATATAGTACACCAGCTAATCCATGAGCACCACCAATATATTCTTTATCATGCCAAGAATACATTAAAGGTGATTGACAGTGATTTGATGAAGAATATGATACACCACTTTTTATTATATAAGAAATAACCTATGGATACAATTTTAATGTAAAAATTTTATATTTTAATAGATATAAATAATATATAAAATTATATTTATAAAAATAATGATACCTTTTTGATGAGATCTGCTTCTATAGGAGCTGGAGATATATTTGCATTTACATAAAGCAAACTAGCTAAATATCCAGCTCTTCCATATAGTAATTCATCAGGAACATCATTATGTTTGTCCAAAACATTAGTAGATAAAGATTTTAATCTGTAAATTTTTAAATTAAATTGTTTCTATTTTTTATATATAAATTTTAAAGAAAAATTTATTAAAATTTTTATTAAAACTTAACTTATTACTTTATTCAAACATTGAGATATTTTTCTATAAAAAAAAGAATTAATCTAAATTTAATAAACAGAATTCTTCTAAATTTAAATTTTATTTCTTTAATAAAAAAATTATTTTATTTTATTATTTTTCAATCCTACATTTATTAATATTTTACTTCTGCTATATTTACATATTACTACTAATTTACTACTGATTTATATATGATTATATTATGATTTTTTTTCCTCTTTTTCTCACTAAAGTCTACTTAAATAAAACTTTACTAGATGTAAATAAACTCTCTATGTGTAGTCTTAATTAAATAAATAAAAATTCATAATTTCAAAATGTATTTTTAATTTAAATATTTAAAAAAATATATACTTAAAAATTAATTGTTCCATTTCTTCTTTCTTTCCTTGAGAATATAATATTACAGCTGCCAATGCTAATGGACCTACAACTCCAGTCAAAAATGTTACTTTATGCTTGCTTTTGAAATTTGTAGCACATTTTTTTAATATATCTGTTGCTGTCTAGAAAATTAATTGTGTTAATTATAAAATCACATTTAATTTTTAATTGGAAAATAGTATCTAAATTTTCATAAATACCTTGATATATGCAGAATCATTATAATATTTTCCATAGTAATATAATGTAAATGCAATTCCTGCTGATCCAGTGTATACAGAATAATCATCATTGTTATACCATTTTTTTTCATTTTCTTTTAATGTTTTCATTAACTTTTTTATTTCTAATGTCAATAATGATTTAAATTCATCATGAATCTGAAAGATATTTTTTTTTGTATAAAACTATAAAATAATTTTGGATATTTATATACATTATACAGAATATTACATTATCTAAAATTTTGGATTTCATAATAACATGTAATACATACCATACAATTATTCTCAATTATATTATGACTGACAGAAGTGGAATAATCTTCAAAATGATTTTTATAATGCCTCGTGGTGTCCATGATTTTCCACAAATTTTATTTCTTTCCAAGATGTTATAAAACTATAGACATAATAAACCCTAGATACTCTAAGCTTTATTGATAGAAATGGAAAAGAGCCTGTCAGCGGCCATATTGTTTGTTTTCGTAAACGATGCATCGATGCGTCCTCTGTCAACATTAAAAACGTAGATATGAACTACGAAGCCAAGTCCATGAATGTTCTCAGAGGGTAAGGGCTCCTGCACACAGGACGCGGCAACACTTGCCGCGCGGCGGAAGCCGACGCGATAGCCAATCAGCAGATTACGTAACATCTACCGCGCGTCAAAGTTGAATTCAATCCAACTTTTGTATTGGATTATCGCGTCGGTTTCCGCCGCGCGGCAAGTGTTGCCGCGTCCTGGAGCCCTATTCTTGAAATCGTGCGAAAAATTATCGTATGCGAAAGTGACGCTGCGCGATCTTTAATTGGTGTATATTTTTAGATCTAAGAGTATACACCAATCAAAGATCGCGCAGCGTCACTTTCGCATACGATAATTTTTCGCACGATTTCAAGAATAGGGCCCCTGGACTGCGTTCGGAAACATCACCCGAATGCCCCCGGGTATCATTTTATCCTTGTGGTTCACCGAATGTTAAACAAGGATAAAATGATACCCGAGTACACTCGAATGATGTTTCCGAATGCAGCTCTATGTGCAGGAGCCTTAGATATAGGGTCTGTTCGTTTTAGTTGCACTGCTGCACTAGTGCAATAAGTTAGAAAAAGACATTAGGTTTGTTTTTTATTCCTGCACTGGCTGCACTAGTTCAAAAAGTGTACACTAAAGCGTTCGTTATTCCAGAACTGGTGTAACCGATACCGTTCGTTATTCCAGTGCAGGAAAACTTAGTGCACGAGTTCACTGAACTGGCTGCACTAGGTCTGGAGGTAGTGCAAGCAGTGTAGAGCAACCAAGGAGGTGTTTTTTATTCCTGCACTGAATATAGCCGGCAATTTCAAAACTTAAAGGTTAATGTAAGTATAAAAATAGAAGTTTTTTAGATCAAAAAAAATTTTACAAAATTTATATTTCAATATATATATATATGTATATATATAATGTTCACAATTTATAAAGTAAAAATCGTTACCAGTTACTGTTGAGTAAAATATAAAATTTGTAAGGTTAGAAAATCTTAATCTGTGAAATCTAATAAGAGTAATTTTAATAATTTTATTTGAAATATATGTATGTATAATATTATGTATAACATTATGTATAATGTGACGCGCCATATTTTTGCACTGCTTTACACTAGTTTACACTGTATCGTTTTCTATTCCCGTCTGCACTCTCAGTTCTCGCTTGCACTGGCTCAGTTCTAGTGCAGAACTAGTTCAATTCAGTGTAGGAATAAAAAACAAACCTAAACATACTTTCTTTCACTCTACTAATTGCACTAGTGCAGCAGTGCAGCTAAAACGAACAGACCCATAATGTGCACAATTTTTGGTTTTGTTCCGTGCTATGTGCATGAAATATAGTTCATGTTTTATGAACACGAGGGCGTCTCAAATATGATTAGGTTAAGTTAGATTTAACCTAAATCGAGAATGGTTGTTTTAATCATTTCTCTACTATATAACAAATCTAGATTATTTGAATTCTAGTATCGTAAATACAAGACTTTAGAGAGAGAGAGAGATACAAAACAAAAAATTAGATATTTTGATTATTATGATGTATACTATTTCGACGGAGGAAGAAAAAAAGATTTTTCACTTTTTAAAATCGCAAGGCTGCTGTTTAAGATGTTGTTTACGATTTATTGGATATCGTACATCAGAATGTTATTGCAAGCCTTTTGAATTTGCAGTACGAGTAAGTTTGTTTTTAATTTAAAAAAAGATAAATAATGTATACATCGTATATATATATTGATATTGTTATCAGTTATCTCAATAAAAATAATTTAATTTGTAATATCAATTTTCTTATCATATGGAGATACTTGCATTTGGAGAAATTATTTTGTAAGAATATAAGGGAGGGTGGATCAACAACATGTGAATTTATGTGAAGCATTGATATAAAAAATAATCTTTTTACATATAGATTTAATTTAATTATAGATGAACTGTTTTGACACAAAAGATTATATTTCTTCCAAAGAAACACCTTGTATTGTATGTTTAGGAGTGCTTCAAGATAAGACACAAGAAGAAGTAATTAAAAAGGTAAAATATAACAATAAATATATATTTGACTTGATATCTAACATCTTTTAATTATGCAGGTAATAGAGGAAGTAAATAAAAAAGGTTACGATTGTACAACTTTTACTTGTGCATTGACTGTTCCTGTATCAGTGAAACTCAGAGAACATATATTGTATGCTCATATCTCTAAAGAATTGGATATTCATAAATCTGTTGTAGATGTTCTTAAAACAAGATTACAAAATATCAAAGATATCTGGAAATTATTTATGATTCCAAAACTTGAACAAGCTATGAAAAAATGTGCAGATCTTTTAACATCCCCTTTTCTCATTGAAGTTTTCTTAACATATACCAATGATGAGGTGATATTTAAAGAATTGTAAGCATCTCTTTTAAAATTTTATGTAATCTAAGACAAGATGAATGTAATTATTAATGATAAAATAAATTTAAATATTAAATTGTTTCTTTGTGTAATAAAGATATCTACAGATATTTTTCTATTTATATTTTCAGAATGAATAAACATAAAGAAGGCAATAATAAACAGAACAAAAGAAAATACAATGATAATACATTTAGTAGGAAAAATATTGAAACTTTACTCCTTGAAACAACAGATGAACAACTTTTGCAACATTTTACAATCCCTCAACTTGTAATAAAAATGTTTGTTTCTGTAGAAAATATTTTGTGTTCTCATAACAGTATTTTTATAGGAGGTATCGACATAATTAAAATATATTAAACTTAATTACTAATATTTGGCATAATACATTTTTTATACAGTTTCACAATTTCAGGATGTTACAACAAATTCTCAAGAAAGCTTAGTCAAACTCCATGGTTTATAAATGGTGAGAAAAAAGTGGATACCTCAGTACAAGACTTGCTGTGCAATCTTATTGCTGAAACTGTGAAGGCAGAATGTACGATTTGGTTGTATTTATATTATTATTGTCTATATTTTATATTTTCAACAAAGCTATAATATATATGTATATGTAACAAAGCTATTATATTTGCACAGCAATAAAATTTTTATCATCAGGAAGAGAAGATGTCGATGTACGAAACATATATAGTGGTCGACCATTTGCGGTTGAGTTGCTAAATCCTCGTATGACAAATATTACAAATGAACTCTTGAGACATTTAGTTGTCAATATCAATCAGTCAACTAAACAAGTTCAAATAACATCAGGCTTAAAAGTTCTCTCAAAGTATGTTTCTTTAAAACAATTCTTTTAAAAAATATTTAAAATAAATCCAATTAATATAATAAATGAAATAGGTGAGTGTTAACAAAAAGAACATATATATACATATATATATGTATGTATGTATAATTTAAATTAAATATATATTATGTATATAATTTAAATTTAACTAAATTCAATTAAATAAGCAATATACATGTTTTCAGACTTGATTTGAAAAAACTTAAAGAAGGTGAAAATGTCAAAACGAAGTTTTATCGAGCGCTCTGCGTTTGTAAAAGCGCGAACAGTTTATCACAATTGGAAACTTTAAATGAATTGAAAAATATCAAAATCATTCAGAAAACACCAATAAGAGTGTTGCATAGACGACCTTTAAGTCCACGAACGCGCACTATTTACGAAATGCGCGTACGCTGGGCAAAACCGCACGAACTGAAGAAATTATTACAAGTCTCCGCCGAAAGTACCGATAAGTTTTTCATTCTTGATGTCAAAACTCAAGCAGGTACATACGTGAAAGAATTCGTACATGGTGATTTTGGTAGGACTAAACCAAGTTTATGTGATTTTCTCAATACTGAAGTAGATATTGTAGCATTAGATGTCACGGGTATTAATTTGCAATGGCCATAACAATGAAGTAATTGATATTTCCAATCTTACATCTGATTAAAAAAATTCAATCAAATATGAAATGTGTATTATAAAATTGAATAAATAATAATAATATATATTATATACGTGTGTGCATGCGATTAAATGACGGCTATATTTACGCACATGCACATCTAGATTTTATAATTGGTTTGCTGATTTTGAACGTTGAAACAAAAATTTTTTAAATTATGTTTTTCTATCTTTCTGTTTTCAAACAATCATGGAAATAAAAATCCATTTACACGCATGCACAAAAAAATCATATATCTATCCATAATCCATCCGTTTATTCAACCACATATTTATATATAACATACATCAAGTACAATTTCAATCATGTTTCTCTTTTCTTAGTCTTTAGTTGTATACCTAGAATAATGATTATATTATACATTATGGATTTTTATTGAAAAAGCTAAAAAAGGCATTGATCATTTTAATTAGCGATTAATAAAAAATCGCGGATTAATTTCTAAAATAATGTATTTTAAGGAAACTAAACTTTTAAATTGATTAAAGTAAAAAAAAACAATGTTTCTGCGTGAGTAATTTAACAGCTTTTTTAATTCATTTTTCGAAATTGCGAAAATAATGCAATCTAGAAGAGTCATTAAGAAGAGAGTTTGATAGTGTTTGGAAGCACTAACATTTTTATTTCTAATTGATACATTTTTTTATATCATTATTTTTATAAAAAATAGGAAAATTAATAATGTATAGCAAGCATATTAAAATTATATTCTGCCCAATTAAAAATGGCTGCCTTTGCATCACGGTTAGTGTTGTTGTCTCAGCTGTCTAATATAATATCTAGAAGCGAAAATGTAGACTTATTTTGGTTTATTATTTAAGTTCGTTTTGCAAGTTCCAAAAATTTTTACTTTTCAACGAGATAAGTATATTCAGATATGACAGTAAGTCTAGTTCCTACAAAAACTCAAATTGCCTCAAAACCATAAAAACTCAAAACCATAAAAATATATTCATTGAAGTCATTGAAAGGATAAAAGACGAAGGATCTAAAAATCTAAATATATAGAAAGTGTAACACAAATAAATTTTACGTTTAATCATTCATTTAAGGAATATTTTAAATATGATTTGAAATATTTTGTCATTGTAACTAAATCTATAATAACATACTATGAATGCAGTTACTCTGATTATAATATTATTTCTTGGAGAATTATGTTGTGCTACTCTATCACCTCCAGTAAAAAGAAATGAAAAAGAGAAAAAAAAGACTAACAATAAGGTAAATATTATAAAAAGAGAATGTATATTTTTTTTCTATAAACATAAATATTTATTTAATAAATATTGTACTTTAAGTTACATCAGGGTCCTGTAAATCGAGATGTTTTTCAAAGAAACTTAGTAGTAGAAAATCCTAAACAGCAAGATATTCTTCATGAATCTGGTCGATATTTTCAAGATACAAAGCATAGAAGATTTAAAAAAGATGTGTTAGGGTATTGTACTCCTGTAAGTAATTGCAATATTATGTATAGCTTTATAGAATTGTAGGAGTTATATATTAATATATTTAATATCTATGCATTGAATATAATCCATTTTTACAGTGGAATACGGATGGATTTAAAGTTTCTAAAACATTTCATGGCAAATTCACAATGATATCACCAGTATGGTTGTCTTTGTCTTTTGGTAACATGTCAACTTATCAATTGGCTACTGATTCTGTACAGACTAAATGGATAAAGGAAATGAGAATTAATAATAATGCTAATCATAGTGTGAAGCGTAAGTAAAAGATCGAAAAAAACCATACAAAATACAACCATATTCTACTCTTTTTTTCAGTGATTAATTATTTATTGAATTATTATTTTCCTTAGTTGTACCTCGAGTATTATTTGAACGTTGGTCAATTGATGATATTATTAGGATATATAATAATACAGAAAGCAAAACACAATTAATAATATCACTTGTGGATGCTGCCCAGGTATAAAACCTTTTTCTTAGAAAAATATAGATATATAATTATATATTTAATTATTGTTTATTCTTATATAAATTTATAATTATTACTTATTCTAAATATCAAAATGTGATAAACAGAAATCTTATCTTGTTTACAGACTTTCCATTTTGATGGATATGTTTTAGAAATATGGAATCAATTCATATTTGCAGGTGCAAACTTATCAATTGTTACTTCTATAGTTAGATTCATTGCACAGAAGTTAAAAAAACATGATTTGGATATTATATTAGCAATACCACCATTTAGAGGGTACTTAATAATAATATTTTTGAAAAGTATTTTTACAAGAAAGCCTTTGTATTAAGTTAAATAACTATGTTATATGACTTATGTTATATGACTATGTTATATGACTTGTATTAAGTTATATGACTAACTATCATGTATTATTTAGTTATGCAAATGTGAAATAGTGAAAATAACAGAAAAAGAGGCATGATAAACAACATGGAATCAGAAAATACAAAGGCTTATCTTTATATGTATATGATATAAATAGTATATTTTCTTATTTATTTCTTTAATTATATTTTTTCAATTTTTTAGTGCACAAGTTGAATTATTTTCGAAACAACAATTTGATGACTTAGCATCATATGTAAATGCCTTTTCTCTAATGACTTATGATTATTCGAGTATTCAAAGACCAGGCCCAAATAGTCCTATAAATTGGGCCAGGCAATGTGTCGAACTATTAGTTCCAAAGAAAGATGATCCGAAACGATCTCAGATTTTATTAGGTATTAATTTCTATGGTTACATTTATACATCAGAAGGTGGTAAAGCAATTCTTGCATCCGAATATTTGGATATATTGAAATCATTTAAAGGAAAAATCCAATGGGATGATAGCAGCAAGGAGCATTTTTTTAAATCAAAGTAAGTTTTTTCTGACTTATCAAGTATTATTTATTGGGTTTATAATTAATAAAAATTAATGGTTTTTAATATTATATAGATATATAAATATATTTATATTTCAGATTATCTGTGGATAATGGGTATGTTTTTTATCCTACATTATATTCGATTAAAGAAAGATTGGATCTCGCTAATGAATTAGGTACAGGGATCTCAATATGGGAATTAGGCCAAGGATTGAATTATTTTTATGATTTACTGTGAATTGTCTATTATTTTCACTTGAATGGAGTTTGTTAAATAAAACATGTGCAGAAATGCATATATGTAAGAGACTAAAAGAATATATATACTTCAATGTTTATAAAAAAATTTGATATTGATAAAAATATAATCTATTTTAGTTTTGTGTAACTTTACTGCTCGCATATATATTTATAATTTGTTATACTATCATCACTTGAGGTCTTCCTTGATTCCCGACCTTTGAATGTCATCATAATTTGTGGTCCTTTTACAATGTGATATATTAATGCCCAGTTCATTTTAACTGGTAATAAACTGAAACATTAAATTTTATGTATTAAGGCTCTTTAGAATTTTTATGTATTAAGATTTTGTAAGTATTATATTTTAATTATATGTATATGGGTGTGTGTGTGAATTTTTTTCTTTTGAAATATATATTGAGATAAATAAATGTTTTTTTAATGCTTATGTTTGATATGAATTGGTAAAATATGCTAAAAACTTTTCTATTATTCTACATCAATAAATTATTGTGTAATTCATCTGCATTTGTTCTATGTTATCAGCGGAAACAGATTTTACAACAAATGATAAAAATTTATTTATTAATTTATAAATCAAAAAGAGTTTCCGATATATACTAATCCATATCGAACACAGTCATATCCACAAACAAATTTACTTATTTTGATATATTTTTTAAGAAAAATTCATAATTTCTTTGCTTTTAACGTTATTTTATTATTTATAAATAAAAGAGATTATTTTTAAAATTTTCTATGTATAGTATGTATTTTCTATGTATTTTGAACTTACTATTTAAATGGCAATAAATATTTTATGATGTTAGGTAACACTATGAACATCTCATTCGTTAATATACCTGCAATCACTCGTTCAGCAACATATTCTGGTTCAAGTATCGGCATAAATCTATTTTGTAAGAATTATTTTTATAAATTTTTATAAATGTATATGTATAGATATATAGACATATTTTTATATGTGTATATGATATCGGCATTTCTGACACTGATCTTATACATAATTTCACAAAATTGTATGTAAATGCGATAATAAGTAAAGATCGCCTAACTCGATTATTAATAGAAAAATATTAGGAATATAGTGTTAAGAATATATATATATATATATATATATATATATATATATATATATATATATAAGTTAAACCGTATAATTTTTACTTTGGCACTTATATTATACTTTTACAAACCTACTAACTGATTTTACTCCATTGAACATTCCCGTATTTATGAGATAAGGACAAACCAAAGTCATGTGAATTCCATCGTATCCATGCACCTTAGAACACATAAAAAAATAATATAATTTAATGAGAAATTAATATATAAAGAAAAGTCATTTTTTTTCTTGTGTTGAAAATAATTTCTAAATATCATATCTTCTAAATATCACATTACAAAAATCTACCTCTATCATCTGATAATTATTTGTTTTAATCAATAATTTTTTACGTACTTTTAGCTCGTTAAAAAGACTTTCGTGGCATCCAATGGCTGCGAATTTTGTCGCAGAATAATCCGTGCATTTATAAGTTCCTACAAATCCGGTGACACTTGCTATTGTTACTATATGACCGTGATTATTTTTCATCATGTCTTTCAAAAATGATTTTGTAATCTGTGATAATATTAAATGAAATGTGATTTGATGAAAATTAATGACTTCCACAAAATGGAAATTTAATTTAGACTCACCCAATAATGCGATAGAATATTTACTTTAAATGTTCGTTCAATTTCGCAATCTGGCAATTCCATAAAAGTTCTTCCATAGACATATCCTGCGTTATTCACTAATATACTTACCTTAAATAATTATGTATAAATTTTAATTTCTTTTTGCTTTGGATTTTTAAAAAATATCTTTTAAAAATAGAATTTAAATTATCTTTTATACATATAATCGAATATTCGTACTTCATAATAAAATAAAAATCAATATAATAAAAACATTATTTGGTCCAAAAATTTAATAATTTCTTTCTCTTTCTCTCTTTCTCTCTTTCTCTTTCTCTTTCTCTCTTTCTCTTTCTCTCTTTCTCTTTCTCTCTTTCTCTTTCTCTCTTTCTCTTTCTCTCTTTCTCACACAATACAAATAATAAATTATAGTTTATAAAATTCATACAAATATATTTATAAATTTATTTATATTTTTACCCACATGTCCGACTTCGATTTGTACTACTTTCGCAATACGATATACTTCTTCTTTGTTAGCGATATCGCAATAATATGTATAACATTTTCCACCGATTTTCCTTATTTCTTCCGCAATTTCTATAAGACCTATATGTCATTTACATATATATAATTATATAGTTACACTTTATTTGTACATATACATATATATATATATATATATATATATATATATATATAATTATACTTTATCGATATTCATATATCTTCAAATTTATATAACTATGTTTGTATGTGATTTAAAGAGTTAAACACAATTAGATACATAAGAATATACATATATTCACATGTTTTTTATTTAGTGCAAGATATACATTTTTAGGTTCGTTAATTAGAAGATATACATTTTTAGATTCATTAATTAGAAAAATAATAATAACATCATTAATTTATATTTGAATTACTTTACATTCTCTCATTTTTTAATAGCTTTTTAATAAACAACAAACTAGAACGTTTTGTAGATTACTATTTGCAACTATTTGACAACTATCTGTTCCATACATTCGAAACATTTCCTTCATGAATATATTTATTGCAAGCATTATGATATATAGGATATTTCAAAATTAAACCTAACTTAAAATATTTAGAACCTGAAAAAAAAATAAGAAGGATTTAAAATAGATGCCCGCAAATGATTTAGTCGAAAAATATGACATCTAATATTTTGAATGTAGAATGTTTTAAAATTATTTATTTACAAGTTACACAATGCATTAATATGTTTCATTTCTATTTTTATTATTAAAAACATGAAAATTCTTGATTTGTATTCTTGAATTGTAAATTTTGTTCAAAACAACAATTTTATAAATAGGCTTGAAATTTTTCTCTCGCAACAATATTCAATATTTAATATTCTTTTACAGCATGCAGAGTCATACTAGACAGCTTTGTTTTACATGTTTGAATTCTTCTATGTAAAAAAATAATGTCATTCACTGGATGCAGTTTTGCAGATTTTTTTATTTAATAACATCTCCTATGTTTGCGTGCAAAAACTTAATAATATTAAATTGGGAAAACATAAATTAACCATAAAGCATTTGCGGGTATACCTTTAAAGAAACTTTTTTGTTTATTTTAAGATTGTAAACTCATATTTTAAAACGTGTTTAATTCTGAAACACCCTGCATAATTTATTTTTAATTTTTTAAATATATATTTAAAACAATTTAAATATGATTTATTTGAATACAAAGAAAAAGAATTATTCATTTAAAATGAAATAATTTCTTACCATTTTTGTTGATATCCCAGACAATTACGTTCGCACCAAGTTTGGCAAGTTTAATTGCGATTAATTTACCAATTCCACTCGCACCACCCGTAACGAGAGCAATTTCATTTTTGATTGACTTCTCTCGATATCGATGAGGAATTAGCGTTAACATTATGGTCTCAGTAACATAAATAATCGTCATACCGATTGATAGAAATAAATTGTAGATCATATATATGCCTTCTTTCAGATTCATCATTTTGCGATCTAAGCAATTCATTGAAAAATATTATAAAATACAAAAAAAATCTTTTATATGTATTTATGTATATATTTGTGTTTGTGTGTGTGTGTAAAATTATATGTGGCTCCAACTGCGATTTATAAACATATTACATGCGCACGCGCATTGTTTTTACAACAATTTTTGAGAGAGATTAAAATAAATTAATGCACGATCTTCAAATTATATATTTTTTTGACTCGTTATACAATTATTTTAACATTATTTATATATTTTTGTAACACATGTGTCACAGTAAGAAATTATTAAAAGTGATATAATATAATGTATAAAGCATTTCATGAGATGTTATATAGACATCAAATATGTCAAGAATTTTTTTGAAAATAAACGTGACGTATTAATTATACAATACAAATTTGAAAATACAAATTTTTATATTTTTTATTGCATTTCTTTTAAATGTGATTTTACTGGAGATTGATTTTTATGCATAAAATAATGTGAAAAATAATATTTCGGAAAATTTTTAATTTATATAAGATAAAAATTTTTATTATTTATCTAATTAAAATGATAAATTATATTGTTGATGTCATTTTAATCGCAAAATTCTTATTAAATTGTTAAAATTAGTTTTCAAAAAGATAAAATCTAAGTTATAGTTCTAGTATTTATATTTATTAAATGTTTACAAAAAAATGTTCGTGAATTGCTATGGATGAAGAAAATTTTTTAAAAGGGAACTTCTTAGATGATAAGTATTTTGCTTGCTTTTTACTTTTTCTTGCTGTTACACTCGACGAAACTCGTGTTAGATAGTTCAGAAAGATAAGCGGCAAATTGAGAGCGAGAAATCACTGAGATGACCTTCATCAAGTTTCGAAGTTTTTCACAATGAACTTTCCCCATGCATAATAAATCACAAATATAAATATCTTATAAAATAAAATTGAAACTTTTATTTTTTATTTTATCCTTTTGGAAGTAATTTTAATGGATTAAAGCTTTTGCAGTTAAAATAATAGGTATAAAACAATATAATTCAAATAATTTTTGTTAAATTGATTTATATCTATGGATTTATATTTGTTTTTAAATACAAAAATTTCATTAATTCAGTAAATTAATTATGTTTAAAAATGAAATAAAAATATAAAGAAATAAAAAATATAAAAATAAAAAAATCTTAGTTTTTACATAAGCAATATTATGTTTATTTTCAAAATAATGTTATGTTACATATCAATTTGCTTTCAAATGGCATATTCTGTAAATTGTCTAAATATATATTATACCATTTTCAATAATTTTTTACTATGACAAATATGTATGACAAAAATATGTAAAATATGTAAAATTATATGTCAAGAAGCTATTTGAGATATATAGCTTATATATAGCTATAATATGATATGTTGTGTGTATCCTTTATATATACATTTACAAGCTTTCATATATACACGAATGTTATAGATTCATATATTTATATATACATATATATCTTAACATGTAAGATAAATTAATGATATATAAATAGAAAATAATTTAAATATTTTTGATTATTATTAAAAATTATTTGTTCTATATGTATATGTGTGTATATACTTATAACACACACACATATCTTTTCGATTGTAACTTGGAATATTTCCAGCAAGGCTTTTTTACCATTGCGGTCGCCGAGAATATCCCGGCACGAGCATACGACATTCATTCAACCCTTTCGTATTTCCAGCTTTTGCCAAAAGAGATGCGTTTCATTTGAAGACAGTTTTATAGGTTTATGAGGGTGCTGATTCCAAATTTATTATTAACATTTAAATTAAAAATGGCAGCCATAAGAAATATTAATATATTTAAAATATAAGCTTGAATTTTATTTTTTTAAATATATATTATGTTTTTTCTAAATATATACACACATGGTCCACTCGCGGCTTTGTTACACTTTTTTTGCAAGTATATAATTAGCGCATCAATGCTATGATTTTTCGACATAATATACAGTTATTCTTCACTATCGAAGAGTTTGATTTTTTGTAAAGTTTAAGTAACAATATTTTATTGCAAACATTGCATTTCGAAATGCGTAATTTTTTACATGTAGCTTGAACTTTTTTCCTTAAAAAAATCAAAGTAAAATTCGATAGAATTATTTGTTTAAAAGTTATGATTTTTTTTATAGGTGATACACATATGTGCCGAAGGTACGAAGTGTTATGCAATGAAACTACCTTGCTTATTTTATCACACTACACATAAAATCAAATACCAAGATAATAAAAAAAAGCTTAAAATATACTTAGTTTAAATAAATTTATATAATAAAATTTATATATATTTTAGACAATAATTGACAGAGCGATCACGTGATTTAAAAGTAATTTTCAGTCGCGACATCCATGTCTACATAAAAATTCGATTGGAAAGATATATATATATATATATATATATATATATATATATAAAAGTATGTATATACGCATAACACACATATACAGGGAATAGACAAAATAATGTGAACATCTAAAAAATAAACATTATATTTGTTTATTAATAAGATATTGTACTATTTGCCTTTAATATAGTTTCGATTCTCCTTGGAATAGAATCATACAATTTTTGAATAATTTCCAATGGAATATTGTTTCATTCTTCTATTAAATATATATTTAATTTTTCAAGATGTGTAAACACTCATACACACAGCTAGAAAAATTAAATCTTGATTTGAAGCATCAAAATGAACTTTAACATCTTTTCTGACCAATGCTTATCCGATTTAAATATAATCGAACCACTATAGGCAGTTTTGGAAAAGAAAGTGAGAAGCAGATTTTTTTCTCTAAAGCAGTTAACAGATATTTTGATAAAAGAATGAAACAATATGCCACTGGAGATTATTCAAAAATTATATAGTTCTATTCCAAAGAAACTTGAAACTGTATTAAAGGCAAATGGTGGCACAACATCTTATTAATAAACAAATATAGTATATTTTTCAGGTATTCACATTATTTTGTCTACCTCTTGTATATATACGCACACACGCACACACACATACACACCAGATATTTATCTAGATCATGTTTTATTTATTTATTTTAAATTTATTTTATGTTTTTAATTTTTTACTTGTATGTATTATATATATATATATATATATATATATATATATATATTTATATTCTATTTATTTTAATTATTTATCAATTTCATAATTTTTGTTACCTTTCGTTTCTCGAAAAATTCCGTGCTTGATTTATCAGCGATTTGCAAAGTTTTTAAGAAATTACACAGTTTACACTTTAAACAGAATTTAATACCAAAATTGTAAAGGAATATAAATATCCTGCAGTGTAGTCGCAGTGTGCACAAGATGATCAGCAAATGTTGACTGTACAACTACTTCCAGTTCGCTCGGTAATTCGAGCGTACTATAGAAGTGTTGGATGCAGTCTTCACCATAGTATAAGTAGTCCGCTAGGATTATGAACACAAGAAGATAAGTCATAGAGTGAAAGGTCCCATTTTGATTAAGAAAGTAGAGAATGAAAATTCGCAAAGAGAAAGAAAAGACGACATAATATAAATTTGATTAGCTTTGTTATAATTATGTCGTAATTTTTGAATGAATTATGATATACTTTAGCCTTACATAAATAAAATATGTCAAAATATATTTTTGTAAAATATTTATTGTGTTGTTTTTGTATGTAGAAACATCAGCTATGTTAAAACAAAATATTATAGCAAGAAATATTACAAGAGATATTTTAATGATCATATATAATAACATACTTTATATAAGCTTTTATTACTATTTATATAAACTTTATATTTCTCCAATTATATCTTCATGGTCAGGGTCAACAAGATATATTATGTTACCAATTTCGTATACTATTCCTAAGGATCATTAGTTTTAAGAATTATTAGGGACAGAAAGAGAGAGAGAGAGAGAGAGAGAGAGAGAGAGAGAGAGAGAGAGAGAGAGAGAGAGAGAGAAAGAGAGAGAGATTTACTTCTTGTTTAATACCATGCACACACACACAGTTAAGTTTTTCTTTCTATTTAAAATATAGAGACATATGTGTATTATTCTATATAGTTTTATTTCAAATACAGATAGTGTAAGAAAATGCGGTTAAAACGAGTAAAGTGAAACTCTGTTCCGGTGTATGACCTGTGATTACATTGCACGCAATAACGGCAATATATATACGTTATAAACTTTCTTCCACGACAAATCTTTTAAACTGCATTTTCTTGAAAGAATGGAACGTTTTAAAAATTATTCTCAACGTTTGCATTCCTTTTCTTGATTTAATAAATTAAACGCTTTTTATTTCAAATTTACTATAGGTAGAGTTTGATTGAATATTAAAAAAAAGTATATAAATTATTAAAATATATTACATTATATATTTATAATGTAATACATAGTAAAATTTTATTATTGAGTTACACAGCATTATATTAAATCCGATAAGATTAAGAGTGAACGTTAAATCTAGTCATTGCTTCCGTTATAATCGCGTTGAAATTTTTGCATAAATACCGCAAGAAATTATCTCTAAAGTGATAAAAGCTATTAATTTTTTTGGTAAGCTGTTAATTGTTTTGTACATAAGTTCCGACTATTTTTAAATACTTTATACATACACACAAACACACGCCTACACTTCTCAACACGTGCGCGTTCACAAAAGAAAATATGTGTAAAACTAAAATATATGTATTTGTACAAGTAGCAAGTGTGTCTGTGTGTGTGTGTGTGTGTGTGTGTCTTATAATTCAAGAAGAAAATCTAATTAAAAACGAAAGAAATAGATAGCTTTTCTATCATTAGAAGTATGTCTAATTGAAATAACAGCCTAATAAATTTATGTAAAATTTGAATAAAATTTAAATCTTTTTATTATTTCTTATCGATTTTTTAAAGCAGAAATATTAATAAAATTTATTCAACTTTATGTATTTTTTTTAAATAATTCTGCAATCTTAATAATTTTTTCTTTGCTCTCATTAGTTAGTGTTATTTATTTAACTAAAGTTTTTATTTTTATTACATTAGTTAAAAATAGTGTGTTAAGGATGCTTTAAACTTTAAACAATCTATAATTCAGGATTAAATTTAAGACAAAATTCTATATATCTTCTTTTAATACATATATATTTATTGTATGCATTGTAACATATGTATATGACAGATGTATATATATTTTGATCTATATGCATTTTATATATTTAATAATTTGTAATAATTTTAAAAATTTGTAATAATTTTTGTAATGTGTATATTCTTGTTATGTGTATATTTTAAATCGTTTATATAAAAGGCTTTTATAACAGTACATTACACACATATAATAAAAAGATAAAATATATTTTCAAAAAACATTGCACAAGTTTCTATCAGCTAAATTTTTTATCATAATAATTTTACATTATTTTTTGTCATTTGATATTACGCTAAGTTAAGCTGTTTTTGGTGAATATTGAGTGTATGGTTAATAATCTCTTCCCTAGAAAACTAGTCTTCTAATTAAATACGAAAAATACATTGACCACCTTCTCCACAAATTATGATAGACTAAATTATATTTCATATATTTTTATGTTTGAACATACATATATTAAATTTGCTGAAAGGAATATTATCTATGAGATGTTTTGAAAAATAATATATTTTTTCAAGATAAATCGAAGAATTATTGAAATTAATTTTAATATGTAACATTTTATAATTTCATCTTAAACATTGAAAAAGTACGTAAATTGAAAATAGAAATATTCCTTTGCCTGAAATTGGTGAAAGGATTGCCAAACGAGGTCACAATTGATTCAAGAAGAGAAGACAAAAGTATAAGAACAATGTTATATTAATGTTATGAAAATATATGCAATATTATGTTGTCATATACAATGAGCTTAAAGAATATGAAATAAAGAAAAGAAGGAGGGAACCTTCATTTACACGATAAACTTTTTGTCACGTAGTCGTTAATTATTTCAAAACACTATAATGAGCAAGCCTGCCATGAATACATATGACATAATTATGGAGAACGATACGAACAATATCAAAATCTTTATTGCGTATGTTAAAAAAAATTGTACAACAGAGAATTATATTTACTATATATACTTTGGCACGCTTGTTCGATATCTTTTTTTAAGAATTAAATATCAAGCTAATCAAAAGGTTAAAAACTATAATTCTTATGTATTAAATTTTAATATGAGTTACGTGATGAGAATAATAATATCCTATCCTTAGAAATATGACAATATTGGATGTTACATTTACATATATATGCTTTTTTATATATGCTGGGAAAAACATTGCTATTATTTTATATAAATATTCGTTTAATAAATATTTTCAGCAAAACTATCAGTAAAATAACAAAACTCACTAAGATTTATAACTATAACAATTTATTTACTTTATAATTCATATATACATTATAACGTTTTTTATAATTACATATAAAGCAAATAAATTAAATAAAATATTATACATATATATGCATGATTTTATACATGCATGATTTGTTGTGTCTGTGTGTATACAGAAATCAATAAAAAAAAAGAAAAGTAAAAAAATTAAATTAGCATCTTTAATATTTTAGAAACTATAAGAATTAGAGAAAAATTTCTTGAAAAGTTGCATAATAGAAAATATTGTATTTTATATAATAATTTTTCTATAGACACATTTAAAGTAAAAAAAATTAAGATCTCACTACGATCCTGAATTTAACAAAAATGAAGATAGCTTCATTATAGTATATCAAACCCCTGCATAGTGTGCTATTTCACTACATGACTTGAATAATTCAATTATTTAATTCATAAAACAAAATTAATCTACTAAACATTTTTATTTGGAATCATTTTTATTTGGAATTTTTATTTGGAAAGTTTACTTACAAAGAAATAAAAAATTTATTTATTAATTTTTTCTTTGAAATAATAGTTGAAATAATAGTTTTTGAGTTATAACCCTAACAGCATATGATATCATTCGAATATTCTATACTCATATTATAAATATACGTTACAGATGTAATATACTGAGAATAATCCTATAACATCTCTTGTTGTGTATTATTTTTCATATATTCTCAGAATATACTTTGAATATCTCGTATTAATATATTCTTTCTCGTATATTTTCAAGATATTCTATAATATTGCATGTGTTTTCTCATTTTGCCGTTACGCGCGCTACCAAACTCGTATTTAATTTTTGGTGAAATAGAAATAAAGGACTGGTACTAACATGAGTTACAAAGTTTCTTCTTTTTTCTCTTTTAGTCAATTTAATTTATAATAAACTGACTTAATTTAAAATTGTTTAGAAGTTTAGTTGTTCTGGATTCCTGGTTGGGATTCAGAATATTAAAAAGATTATTTAGTATATCCGTAGAATGTCTTGAGTATATTATACGTATATTATACATATATCATATGTGTACTAATAACATACTTAAAATATTCTGTGGATATACTTCTTATGTACTAAAAGATTATCCTCAGTATGTACTAAGAAGTAAGAAAATTTGGACATAGTCAGTAGTATTCTTAGTACGTACTTAATATATCGCAGTACATATTTCGAATATTCCTAGAATATACGCAATATATTTTTTTGTTATTCTTAGAATATTCTCAGAATCTACATGTGCTGTGTGGGAAACGTTTAAAGCCAATTATAAACTATATTTAGACGATAATTTATTTATGAGTCGTGTGTTAATAATGATGCACGAAAGCATAAACAAGAGATTGTATGTATTCTATGAAATTAATTAATTTTAAATTTTTATATCTCAAGTACAGCTACTTGGAGTAAAAAATCTCTTGGAAATAACTCTTGTATTTAATTTTCAAGGACTTTGCTATAATATCTTTAGTTGCGAATTTTAGGACACTCTATATGTGTACGTATACATGGTGTCTCATTTTAATGAAAATGGTTATATCTTTTAAACTTAATCGTACAAAAATTTTGAGACAAAATTTAATTAAGATTTTGAGAGGAAAAAAGTTATGAGCTTGAATTTTAACTAAAGCCATTTTCAAGATCAACCTAATTTTTTTATATATTAACCTTAACTTTGTCATATACTATAAATAAATTTCTTGCAATATTCGACGCAAAAAGTTATAAAGATATGATGATCAAAAATTATATTTTATCAGATATTTTATATATGTATTTACTTTAATTTTACACACATATATATATATACTTTAATTTTACATATGTACATGTATATACTTTAATTTTACATAATTTTACATAACCATGACATATTTTGTAAAATTATTTATTTTCGAATAATTTTACTTCAATGCACAAAATAAAGAAAAGAATCAATTGGTGTAAAAAAATACATATTTGGTTAAAAAAAATGTGTAGTTTTTGCAACTACATATGTACACAAAAATATAAAATTTAAGACTTTAAAGTCAATTATAAATTATTTTAGATAATCGTTTATTCACGTCGCATGTATAGAATAACAACGCACATACATCGTAGCATAAATGTATTTTATAATATATATATATATTTTATAATATATTTTATATCGAAACACAAAAATATAAAATATTTTATATTTATTCCGTTTGATTATCTTATTTTAACATTTTAATATGCAGGATAACTTGAGACAACAATATAAAAATTTATATGACTATATTATATAAAAATTTATATATGATATATTACATAGTTCTCATAGGCAACTAATATCCTTTATTTTAAAACTACGAGTAATTTCGCGACATTAATTCTTTTTTTTATTATAACTCAAGAGTATAACTCACTTTATTATATCTCAAGGTTGTATATATTGCTGTTATTTATTTTTATGTAACATTTATTTTTATTCTTTTAATACTAATAAATTTTTTATTGATATTAAAATCAATACGAACATACAAAAAGACTACTTTCTTGTGCATTTTATTTTATGTATTAGTTATTGTGTAGCAATACAATAATGACACACACATATCTTGCTATCACTAGGGTACGGGGGTACGCATAATACACATACATATACACGCACACGATTTGCAATGAGATACGTTCTCGTTGGCTCGGCGATCAGTCCAAAGTGAAGGCGCAACCGAAGCAACACGTTCCATTTAGTATACCAACGACCGTTGGACGACGTACCGGGAAGACTCGCTATCTTTTACGTCTTGTATCGTGTAAATATGTTCATATACATGCGTACGAATTAACATTATTTTGATGGTTCTATTTTAATGTGATTTTGCATATGTGGTTATTATCAATAGGTGAGAATATGTACCATTAGAATTATTAATTTGAATTAAATCATTAAATTTTTTACGTAATCTTATTTTTTACATTTAATTCTTGTAATCATTATTGTAATTCTTATTTTCAATATGAAGCAGATAATAATTTCTTTTATCCGGACAAAGTTAGTTATAATTTAAAATTATATATGCAATATGTACATATTAAATATAATATATAAATGAATCTCGTTATATATATATAATTAAAAATTATATATATATATATATATATATATATATATATATATAAAATTATGCGATATACAATCATTGCACATTTATTACTTTAAATTGCAACTCCTTTTATCTATTTTTACAATATGATTATGAATATAATTATAGAAATTAATGTTATAAGTAAAATTAGTTAATAGTTAGTAAATCTCACTTCATCATTAATCTATAACTAAGAAAACATAATGCAGAAAATATTGTAGCATCGAAAATAAGGAATTTATATAATGAAAATCAATTAAGTATATATAATAAAACTTAAACAATTATCATTTGATATTTCAATAAGTAAAAAGATTTATTTATTTACTATTCACAGCAGGTGTAGAATGTGAATATGCTCTGTATACGTGATTCAAAATATTTAATTTATACAAATCAATTATAGCAAATCAATTTGCTCTAATCTTTTCTATATTTATAATTTGCAAAAGAAAAATTCTTAGTAATTTTGATTTATTGTGCATTTGATTTTACGCAATATTATAAAAAATATTACATATTTTTTTAGTTATTAATTATATATTAATTAATATAATGGTTAATTAAACTTTGAAGTTCTAAGCCTATTTGAAGAAATTAATTTTAAAGTTAAAAAATTAATTTTAAAGTCAAAAAATTTTATATAAAAAAGATATGATTCTAAATGCTATCTATATAATATAATATAATAATGATCAATAAAAAAAATACGTAGCGGAAAATAAATAAAAATGTGTTATGTCAATAAGATAAGGAAAAAATTGCTGTAGGCGATATAATAATTTTTATACATACACACACATATGTCTTGTCGTATTTCTATCATTATCATTATTCATTAATCATTATTTTTTTATTATACTATTCAACACTAATGACGTGAATGATAATGATATGTTTATTAGAATGTTTTGAGTGTTTTGTATGTTACGTAATCTGAAATTTTTTTGAGTACGTATTGCTAATGTATTGCTTGATATCACATTAAGCATTAATATATTATTAATTTGCATTTGCAATTATTATCATTTGGACTTGTATATGTTAAAATTAAAAAATTAAAATACAATCAAAATAAAAAATAATTTTTTTTAATTTGCATTTTTTTTGTAGAAGAAACATACTGTTTATTTCTACTCAGTTTTTGTGATATTTAAAATTATTTGATATTTTCAAATTCTATATACCATTTTAAAAAGAATTTTTAGTGAATAGAAAAAATATTCTTTTATCAATAAAAACATATATTTTTTAATATGTATAGCGAGAAATGTTTTTTCTCTGGAAAATGACTTATATTAAATTGTGTATCTTAAAAAGATGTGATTATGATATGTATATTTTATATAACTATAAAATAATATGTATATATATTATACATTGTAGATAAAAAAATTAATTTTGTTTTACAATGTTAATCAATATTAATAATTAAATTCTTTTAATAGTTTAATATTATTTTCATACTCTTCTTGATTTATTAGCAAAACGCTCATCATAATTAGTTTAATAATTCATTTTTTTTAGACTATATAATGCTGGATTTACATAATAGATAAAAAGATGAAACTGTTCATAACTATTTGATTAGTTCAATGTCGAGGAAGTTATATAAAGTGTTCAAAATTATTACGATTAATGATATGAGTGTGTATGTTAAAATTTAAATAAAATATTACATATATTAATTTTCCCTAAATTAATATATGTATTAAAAAAATATTTTTTTCCTATATACTATATAAATTATAATTATAAAATATAAAATATAAAAAATATAAAAAGCTATTTTAGGATAATTAATAATCTGTTAGATATCATTTATCATTCCAAAACATAATAATAATGTCATAACATAATAATGTCGAATTTTAATTGTTTAATGTTTTAATGTAATGTAATGTTTAGTTTTTAATGTTTTTAATATTAATGTAATGTTTTTTAGATATCATTTTACTATCTGAGATTATTCAAATATCATATTGAATATCATGAATATAAATGAGGATTTAATTTAGTTTTTTGTTGTAATTATCTTAAAGAAATTATCATAAAGATTATATGTTTTTATGTTTCAGATATGTGCTTCTCAATAAATCAGCATGATTATCGGTGGTTATTGCGTAAACTCTAAATCGATCTCTATATAAAAATATCAGTTTGAGAAATGTGTCCTGAGTGATCAGTCGTTCACAGAAAAGCTGCGTCAAAAATTCGATAAGTTCACTATTCAAGTCGGATTTACGCGACTCTATACACGCGCATAGGATACACGTATACAGCATCATTATGACGTATTTACGTTCAATCGGGGAAGTGATTGTTTTCTTAGTATTGTCTGGTATTGCAATATTGGAGGGTATTATTAGGTCATTTATACCCAAAAGATACAAGATGAAAAGCATAGATGGCGAAATCGCTCTTGTGACAGGGGGTGGTGGTGGATTAGGCAGGCTTCTCTCTCTCAGGCTGGCCAACCTCGGTGCTATTGTCATCGTTTGGGATATAAATAAAAGCGGTGAGATTAAAAAACAAATTAGTAAATCGAAAAAAATTCTAAAATTTTAAATATTTAATTTATAGAACATGAGAATTCTATATATTTCAAATTCTATATATTTGATTCGAGATTCTTGAAAAGTTCAATGAAATATATATTTAATTATGTGCACGCCACATTATAAATAATATTTAAGCCAATGAAATTTTAGTCTTTTAATTATATAAAATTAAAATATATTTCTTATTTAATAATAATTATACACATATGCGTATGCATGCGTGTGTGTGTATGTGTGTGTGTTCCTTAAAAAATTTGATGCAATAAGATAAAAATCTGTCTGTATATTATTATGAGATATATGATCGAGTGTATTGAGAAAATTTACACGCAATTTTAATAATTCCACAAAGAAAATATATTTGAACTGAATGATATAGTATGTGATGTCAATACAGATATACAATGAATAACAAGAATATTGCTTCTATTATGACAAAAAGTTAAGTAAAATTAATAATATAACACGTAAACACTTTTTTACTTTAATATTATGTAATAATATTATATTATATATTATATAAAAAATTTAATCAATATATATCATGAATTAACAATGAAAATTATGAATATTTAATATATCTATTTTCAATTTTTTGTAAAGAACAAATTCTTTTGTTACAAGCTTTTTTATGCCATATTATAAAAAATATGATTTAGTAAGTATAAGTAATCGATGTTCTAAATCTTATCAGTTTCTAAAGTCTCATATCTTTTTTAAAAATAATACTTTTAAATGTTCAATAAAATCAACATTTAAAATGTTAAAAGCTGTAGAAACATTACTGAGCAATACACTTCAAATAATGTTGTAATAAATCAAATATGTATTTAAGTAAAATAAATTGTTAATACGAAACTTATAAGTTATTATTGATAATATTGCTTGATATAAAAAATCATTTCACGTATACGTACGCATAATGACGAAATCATAATGAAGGCCACAAAATTGAAAGTATTCAGGAAGTATTGATGATCAATAAAAACTGAACAGTGAAGATGTGACCGAAGGCCTCACTATAAATGCAAGGCCCATTGAGCTTCCGAATTTCATGGTCACTGTGAAACGCGAGCAGATTATTAATATCACTTACATGTTTCTCAGATTATAGTTTATAAAATTATTATTTTCGAAGCATACGATTTTAAAAATATATACATGAAAGGAATATAAGAAGTAGTAGATAAATATGCATACAGAATAATCCCTAATAAGTCCTAATATTGATTTTAACATATACTATCAAAATCATTATTTTGAGTAATCTCCAAATCAATAGAAATGTGCGTATGTGCATCTTGTATATGTATGCGTGTAAATTGTCACGTGTTTAATTGCCGAGTTTTTATATTTTTATCACATTAATTATAAATATTACATTATTCATATAATATTAATAAAAATTAATAATTATTTATAATATTAATGACACGAGTACATTCATAAATGTGTTCGTGTTGTTATGTAAAAAAATATTTTTAATATTTTTATATTTATTAATAAAGTTTGTAGAATAGTGATACAATCGAAAATTTCAATACAAAAATATTAAAATTATAAAAGCTTTATAATTTTAAAAATAATTAATCGTTATTAAAATTAATCGTTATTATATAAGAAAGATACCTGTTGTTAATATTCTCAATTTGCGTTCTATGATTTCTTTATGCATATCGATCAATCATATATTATTAATTTTTATCAATCTTTATCAATTTCACTTTTAAATCATAGTATAGTATTAATTATATTTTTTGATTATATGACTAACGCGCGTAAAAAATTGAAAGTTATAATTTTGTATGATTACATGTTATATGATTACATGTATATCATTTCTATTACATTATACAAAGTTTAAAACATACATTTCATGAAGCATCAAACAATCAAGCAGAAAATTTATGTCGCTTAAATCCAAAAGCCAATCCTAATAATTTGGTACATATTATTATATAATGTGTCATCAAAAAAATTAATGTAATTCGTCTATAACTAATAGAAACATTCACATAGTTAAATAAAATTAAAAAGCAGAAGTATCTTTATCGATGTATAAAAATATAATCGTATGCCGATATATATATATATATATATATATATATATATATATATATATACATAAACATGACATTTCATTTAGTCTACGGAATTACAAAATTAAATTTAAGGCAATCATTAAAAATAAGCGTGTTATGATGTTTTTTATCCCTCAAAATTTGATATAAAAATTTATAGTTAAGAAACACAAAATCTGGAATTATTTACTTAGAATTATTTATACTAAGACTCTGAATATTTGAGCAGTCAACAATAACAGCCATTGTTATTGTTAATGCAGTAATATGTTGATGTAAACATGATAAGAATATATTAAAAGCATACGATACGAAAATTAAAAGCATATGATAAGAATATATTAAAAGCATTTTCTTTGTTTGTTAAAATTAAATTAAGGGGTTTACTAAATTCACGTTAAATGAATAAAATATATTTACTCTACTTTTAAATACTTTAAATTGTTAAATATATACTGCTTTGACAGAGAGTTATTCATGAATAAATATAATGAAATAATCAGTTACTAGCGAAAGTGACAGAAACTTTGATACTTTCAATAATTGATTTTACATGCCATTTTTAAAAGTGAGTGCTTTGAAAATGCATAGGAATAACATTTTTGTGCAATTAATTAAATGCGCAATATATTAACAGAATTTTTAAAGTAGAAAAATTATGTGTGTATATTACATTTTTGATATTAATATTCATGGAGCTTTTTATTTGGAAACAATTAATTAATATATACATATACATATACATACATATATATATATATATATATATATATATATATATAAAATTACTAATTATGTTGACTAATTATTTACTACTAGGTATATTCATCAAATATATACGTGAATCTGTACTAATTATAAATAACTATTTAATATAATAATTATAGTTATATTGTACTTGAAATATGTATTCGCTTTATTATAATAAGATGCAATTGTGTATTTGATACTATTATATTTAACTTCCATATTTAATTTTAAGCGTTCCTATTTATCAATTAAGTTGCCTTAAACAAAATTAAATTTTCATTTTTTAACATCTGTTTTAATAAAAAACTATGTAAAGGATAGTACAATTCTGTTTCCTGTTTCGATAATAAAAGTGGCATAATATTCAAGGTCTACAGGTATACCTGATCTGCTGAATTAAATTTGCAAACTGGTTAACCGTCACAAACATCAAATATCAAATGAGTATGCCCTATGTAACACAATATTATTTCAGATTTATCACGAATTTTGGATATATTTATATACATAGCAAATGCAAATTTAACTTTCTCTTCATTTATCTTCGTTATTTTGAAAGCAGATATATTGCAAATTTATTTATTAACGCAGATAATCATTTTTATCCTTTTTTACCTTTATATTTTAGATATAAACAAAATGTCTCTTAGTGTAAATGCTCATATATTTTAAATATTATTAAGAGAAATCGATTGTATAGGAGTGAAAGTATCAGTGGCAAATGATTGCATTAGCATTTTTTATCTAACAGATGTGTGTGAAGAGAGCAGTTGCTATTTAGGCGAGCAATCAGACGAAAAAGAAGCTATAAGGACAGTACTTTCTATCTAGAAATTTTTGCATATATATATATATATATATATATATATATATTTAAAAAAAGTCAAATTATATTCAAATTTTATATATACTATATTTTAAAAAGAATATTGATATGCTCTTTGATGAGCTTTTATTGTAATAATTATTTAATTATAAAAAGTCTTAATATCAATATATATTATAGTTTAAAGAAATGTTTTAAATTTTATAATTAAATAATTATTATATTTTTATATATTTTTTTAGAACAATTGCAAAAATTATGAATCCTCACAAAATTCCATAAATAATTATTATTATGAGTTTTACAATCTTGTGGATATTTGTAGGATATCATTATTTTTTAATGTAAGAGATATAATTGCATTTATGCAATATATAATTAAAAATGTTTTGAAAAGATCGTAATGAGATGTATTGCTATTTTTTGTAAAATAAGATAATGTTAATGAAGTCACGCTTGTGTATTATGTATATAATAATAGAACACAGATCTAAATTAAGAAAGTAATGATTTCGCGAGAGATAAAAATGCCTTTCTCTTTTTCTTCTGCATATATAACTTGCAAGTGCAGAAGAAAAGTCTTAATATTTTATTTATATTTCACAATATAAATTTTTTTTTCTAAGCACAGTACATACAATGTATAATCGTTGTTGAAATATATCAAACAAAAAGTGTAAGATCGCAGTATTAAAAATTTCTATTTTGTTACAGGCATCGAGGAAACTATTAAACTCGTGCGGGCGGTCGGAGGTACGTGTTACGGTTATGTCTGCGACTTATGCGATCGAGAGGATGTATATAAAAAAGCCAAAATTATCGAGGAAGAAATTGGCAAGGTAATAACATAATTAAAAAAAAAGAATTTTTCATAATCTTTTTGATGCTGAATAGAAATACAAAGATAGATTCAGTATGCTGCGCATTATGTATGTATATATGTATGTATGTATAGATGTATGTATGTGTGTGTACATATATTTATCAATCCCTTACTAATGCAATAGTTTAATAATTGTTTTGTATATATACATACACATGTGCGCGCACGCGCGCGCGTGCGCGTGTGTGTGTAATACATAAGAAATTGAAACTAATATAATTTTGTTGAATTTAGATGTAAATGTGTGCATCAAAAATATATGAAAATGGATATCTTCATATATATTTACAAATAAATAATAAAAATTGATATTTTTTTCATTTATATACAATCTTGACGAAAATAAAACTCACTGAAATTATTATTATTTTAAACTAAGGTAGTAAGAAAGATCAATGTGTAAGAATCTAAAATTCTTTTTGTCTAAAATTCGCCTATTATTGTAATTTTATATAATTTAGAGAGCATTTTCTTTTCATGTATTTTTTAATTCTTAATGCGAAGTATAGGATTTGTACTTATACATATATTAACCTTGGCAATCTAAATAGATCGCAAATACTTGACGAAACGCAAAAAAAGATTCTTAAAAGTCAAATAGTGCATGATTCAACGAAGCACTCACAACAAGTATTTCTCTGTGGATGATATTATGAAAGTTTATATTACTTCATAACGTTGTGATATGTTAGGCCGATATATGGATTTTAAAAATTGCGAGAAAAAAAATTTTATTCGTTCTCTCTGTTCAATGATAAAATATAATATTATATATATATGATTATTTATTTTCCGTTTTTACACTAACTTTTATTGTGAAATGCAAAATGATAATTACTTTGTTTTAGGTAAGAATAAATAATTTTTGTGCTTTTATTTTTAGGTAACGATACTAATTAATAATGCAGGCATTGTTACGGGAATGAAATTTCTGGACACTCCGGACAAACTTATTATTAGAACAATGGATGTTAACATCATGAGCCATTTTTGGGTAAATAAAAATATTAATTTAAAATTAATCCATCACTAAAAGTTTAAATAATATATTATATTGTTTATATTTCAAAATATTAAAAATATTACATCTTATTAACGTATATTATTTCATCTTTAGAAACTTTTATACACACAGAAATGCATTAACTGTTTAAAAGATATTGATAATTTGAAAATCTTTTTACGATGAAAAGAGACATATCGAATCGAAATATCGTTTAGAAATGAAATTCGTGAAAAGAAGTCTCGCATGTCTTAATTCCCTTGTTCATAGATTTTGTAATATGATTTTGCAATTCATTTCGAAATGATGTGACTCAACCGTGATATCATAAGCGATGATGTTTTGAATTATCCAACTTGCTGCAAATTTGAGATTTTGGTTTAAATTGAAGAATCTTGAATATAATTCAAAGACAAATTGTTTCATCCACATACATACATAAACGCACACACACAGAAATATATTTGTATACACACACATACATACATATTGAAACATGTGTGTGTGTGTGTTTTTCAATGTGTGTATATATATTGCGGAGAATTGGCGGTGAGAGGCATTCCATTTCGTCCCTCCTATTTGTTGCCGCTGGTCAGGTGCAAGAACCGGTCAGATAGGTGCAAGCCATGTTGTAGTCTCTGTATGTTATAGTCTCTTGCAACATACACCAGTTAATGATATGCTTGCCAAATAATTTAAATTCCTTAATATTTGATACGCTTACAAATTTTTATTTGCTTCGAAATTTTAGCAGAAAGGAATTCCATTGATTTTATTCCTATATATTTTATTAGAATATCTTATTGTTGCCTATTCGAATTAGTAGAATAAAATAATTTTGTCAAGATAACATATTTCTCTCTCTCTCTCTCTCTTTCTCTCTCTCTCTCTCTCTCTCTCTCTCTCTCTCTATATATATATATATATATATATATATATATGTATGTATATATATGACATAATAATATGAGATAATAATTTGTTTGTTTTCAAGATTTGTTTCAAGATAATTAGTTTTTTTCAGGATAATTAGTTTATTTTAAGATTTTTAATGAGAGCTTCGTAAAGCTGCATAATAATATGAAAACATAAAAACATTTATAAATAATAGCGCTATTATGTTCACAACCTGCATGTTATTAAGAGATTTTAATGTGTATACATATATATGTATATATATATATCCATGTATGTATGTATGTATGTATATGTGCATTTGTATACGTACATATACATATATATAGATATCTCGGTTTAATATGTAAATTATTTGATAAGATTAAAAAAAATGTATATCTGTGTTGATAATTCATTCGTAATAATATTTGTTATATCTTTGTATTATAATCTTAATGTTAGATCAATGATGATTAAATATGAGATTTACCTGCAGCGTCAGAAACAAAATAGCTTATCATGTTGTTAGATGATGTTAAAAAAAAATTTAATTTATAAAGTCATATGAATTAATGTTTAATCTGTTTATAATAAAAAAAAAGAAGATGACCGTGACTTTTAATGCAAGTATTTTTCCTAGTTTTTTATGTAAAAAAATAGAAAATGATATAGCAAATTGTGTTTTTATTCCTCATATTATTTTCTAAACTTCATCATTTTACATTTTAATGTAGGTCAGAATGCTTGAAGTCCCATTTATGAATTTTAATTTCTAACTTAAATCTCAAATTATGTTGTATAATTTTAGATATTTTTTAACAATTTTAGCAAATAATTAAAGAAAATAATTATACTGTCAAAGAATTTACTAATTAATAGCGATATTATTACTTTTTAAAAATCTCAGTTCTCTTAAGAAATTTTATAATCAATGATAAAATTATATTTTTTTATTTCCATTATTGTAATAAAATATTAATATAAATAGACAATATTCAGAAATTTGATTTCTAATTTCTTTTATGGATTTCTAATCCGGTTTAATTCTCAAGATTGACAAGAGAAAGAAATTAAAATAAATATTTATATTAAATAAATAAAAAATAAATAAAATTAAGATGTGAACAAAAATTAATACTGAATAAAGGCATGACATATTCGGCATAATAAAGCAAACGTAAAAGTGGGTTAACAACATCGTGAAGGAAACTCCGCGCGGCAGTTATAGTAGACTTTTACATCTCGATGTCATGGTCATTTCTGTTGGATCTTGCCATCCACTTTCCAATGCTCTTCCCTACTTCACTGGCGATTCCATTCGCTTGTATGTCATATTATCGTGCAAATTTCAATGAATTCATATATTACTAGTTTTATCTCTTTTTCTCTCACTTAACCAAATAATGAAAAACTATATTAGTGATCTGAGAACTCAATTTTTAACTAAAATTTTTTATTTTTTATGAAAATAAATTTTGCAACTTAGAAACACTATTTAAAACACAAAGGAAAAAATTAAACATACTTATATTCTGATATTCCTCTACAAATTTTATATAGAAAGAAGGCATTTCTGTCTCCATCTGTACGTTTGGTTCTAATATTAATGTTAGTACTATACTTGATGTTATTTCTTTGATTAGAGAATCTGGATAATTTAAAAATATATGTTTTTTATCTTTTATCAGTTTGTCGTTGATCATTTTCATTTGATTTCCACATTGTGATTTTCACATATTTGCATTTTTTAATTTAAGTTAATAATATAAAAATTTCCATAATCTTTGAATCACATTTAAAATGTTTACTTAAATAATCGCAACATGTTATTTTTATTTTCCTTTTAAAATCTTAAACTTAAATTTAAAGAAAATAATTTTTATAAGTTTCAAATTTATATATCAAAAGTCATGGTAAATGTCATGGACAATAAAGTTAATAAAAAGTTAATAAAGTTAATAAATGCTGTGAAAATTATTAATTATAATAACAATATTTTTTCATAATGCAATTTTAGACTGTAAAGGCCTTTCTTCCAACAATGTTAAAGAATAATAAAGGGCATATCGTGAGCGTGGCGAGTTTGGCTGGGCAATGTGGAGTTCCTAAATTGGTAGATTATTGTACATCAAAATTTGCGGCTATGGGATTTGACGAGGCTCTTCGAATGGAACTTGAGGTAGACATAATTTGTCTATTGATAATGAGTCGAACTCAAGCCTATTATGTAACTGTTAACACATGAGTTATAATTGTAATGCATAGATTAAGACTTTAGCTATATAATTATGTAAAAAAATACTTTATTTATAATTTTAAATAACTAATCAATTATTTATATTCTTTTAGTATGAAGGATACGATATCAATACAACAGTCATTTGTCCTTATTTCATTCGTAGTACCGGTATGTTCGAAGATGTTCAATCAAGGTAAATAATATATTATGATTTTTTATGATTTAATGCAAGGGCTCACAAATTAAGTGCTTTGACAATTTCGGAAATTTATTTAAAAATTATATTTTATAAAAATATATTATTTTTTTACACACACATGTACAGAATATCTCTCTGTATAACATTTTAACATTATATTCCAAAAATAAAATAGAATCAAAAATCCTAATACAAAAATTTCAAAGTTGTAATACAATAGTTTTCGAATTATCATTGATAAAAGTATGTCAATGATATCGCGTAGAACGCGTGCTCTCGGATCTATAACTACATTTACATGCATAACAATGCATAAATCGATTTCTGATTTAGTATTAATTTTTATAAATCAGATAGTGATATTTATTGCAGCTAATTTTATCATTTTTTGTCTGTGTTTACTGTATATGGTAGTTAGTTAATATTAAGTTATAAATGTTATATGCAAAATATTTAATTCTTTTTTAATAACAATTTAGTTAGTTGATTAATTATTATATTTAAATAAAATTATATTTTTGCACACTAGAAAAACAAGGTTCATTTTTGTTATGCTGCCAGAAATTAAATTTAATAAATACGCAGCATATCAAAATCATAGTCATAATTGAATTTGCTAGCATTTTGATATTTATAATGTATATACTTTTTCTTTTCTCTTTATATTTAAATACATTATGGAATATTTTATATATTTTTTAATTATTTTTAATCGAATAAATGTATTTTTCGCGCATAAATATATTTGACGTAATTAGTTTAAAAAGATTGTTATATTTGAAATATAATGTAGATATGTTCCAACTCTGAGCCCAAACGTCGTAGCTGACAAAATTATAACTGCAATGAGATGCAATGAGAAATATGTCATTATTCCAAGCTACTTACAAGTTCTGCTAGCTTTAAAATGGTAAGTAGTTTATTACATATTATTGCGCACATATGGATCAAATTGTATAATTTCAAACACAGGCTATTTCCGTGGTCTTGTTCTGCTATGCTGCTTCGTGGATTGGTCAAAGATGCTTCACCGAACCATGTTGATAGCGAACCATGTGTATCTACAGATACAATTATAACAGAAAAACCGTGTGCTGTTTCATCATCGAAAGATCAAAATGGTAAAACCATCCATCAACAATTAGCCAGACGTATCTCCAGCGAAAGAAAACCTTAAACTTTTTCGGTCTGTTTGATTTTAATATTAGTTTAAAATATTTTTTGTCAAATTCATTTCTGCTTTATGAAGTATTAGTGTATTGGCCTTTAGTTTTATCTTTTCTGATCTTACAAGTTATATTTTAGCGGTCAGAAAATAAATATTGTGAGATCGATTGATTTAATCATTTAATGCAAATGTAGAAAAGCTTCCATATATACGATGATTTCGTATCGATTATATCGGTAAATTATTTCAAAATCGTGTCTATCTATCTTGGAACGTTTTGTTTAATATTTGCACAAAATTAAAATGTCATTAGACAATTGCGATAGATTCGTTATAATTCTGTTAAAGATTCGTCATTAGATAATTGCGATAGATTCATTATAATTCTGTTAAAAATTTGGACAATACAATATATATGTTCATTTCCTAGCAATTCTACATTATATCTATGAAATTTTATAATAATTTCGTATTCTGAATGTGATTTTAGTAAAAAAATCGATGACTAAATTTAAAATTATTTGTGGGATTCTTGTCATGCATTGTTATTGTATGACATCCTTTTTTACTTCTATTTTTTCATTGTAAAATATAGTAAGAAAAATAGGTGAATATATTCTTAAAAAAATGTGATACTGAATCTAGTAACATCAGTAGTAGATATATAAGAATAATATAGTCGAATGTTCGTTTTCTTAACTCAATACTTTAATATTTTTTTCTGTGCCACTTTGTCACTACTTCACTGGTTATTTGGTACATTTGTGATTACGTGACCATGACATCATCAAATAAGTGAGTAAAATTGTTCTTAATTTTACATATGCAATTAATGCATAATACATATTCGTCCTATATACATCATTAAGTCTATTTGTTTTGTTCGCACTCTCTATAATTTTTTGCCACAAAATATATATACATATATATATATATATATATATATATATATATATATATTAGAGAAAGAGAGAGAGAAAGAGCGAACGAAGAATCTAAATGTAGAAAGTATAAATAAAATAAATAGACTTAATGCAGAGTAAATTAGGGGTAAAAAATAAGCAAATGCATTGAAAGGAAATTGGCATATTAAGGATATGTAAGTTCGACTATATTAGAGCGAGAATATCTAATTTGATACTATGTATAGAATTGCAGAAGCGTACTTGTACCATAACTATAATACAAATGTTTGACAATTCTACATAATTTGTAAAGATCACTACTCTTATTATTGTCCTATGTATGTAGAAAATATTTACATATATAAGAATGAATGGTATTATTGTATGCCAAATTTAACGAACGATATATAATAAAGATTGCACGCGGCTTTATGCTTCAATTCTCCAAAGTATAGTTTTAAATAATAAACTAATCGTAATATAATATGTTACATTGATATAAAGGCATTAGGAAAATGTGACATTAGTAATATATATAAATGTACATTTTTTATAGCAAATATTTAGAATATATAATTTCTAATAGAGGGAAATTTTCAGATAAATATTTATATTATATATTATATATATATATATATATATGTATTTGTGTTTGTAAACGAAACTATATAAAAACTACGTACAATCTCACTTCATTTTTAATATCAATTAAGGACACATATTGAGAAATATTTTTAAACAATAGTTTTATCATATGGAATAATATAGAAATATTTGTTCTTTTATAGTAATCGTAACAATTTTAAGTAAGTAGTGATCAACGAATTTTTTTGTGTATATAATCCTTATTCTTTTAAATAACGTTTTTTTTTAAACAACAGAGGATTTGGAGATAAACTTTTATTAGAAAAAATTAATCTAGCTTTTATACAGTGTGCCATAACTTATATTTGCAAAAAAATATGAAAGAGCAATTAAAATTACACATTATGTTATATTGTATAACATTTTTTGTATTTTATAACATGAAACATGTAATAAACTGTGCATTTAGTCTATTAAATTTTTCTGATATATTATATGTGATTTAAGAAAAATTTGAGAAAATATTTCGTTAAGAAACAATTTTGCTTTTTATCAGAATTATTAAAATTAATTCTTTTTCTGTATATACTTTTTGTCTTTTTTTCTATTATATATGATACTTTCCTATTGTACACACATGTAGTTTCTTCTTATGACAATTAATTAAATCTCTCACATTATGATTTAATAACTTTTAAAAATAGAAATTCTTTGAGTATTTGTACACACATAGCATAATTTTTCATGCGTGAACATCAACGATATAAAAAGACTAGAATAATACAAAGCTACAATACTTGCGAAAATCGATTTAACATGTCTTTTTAAAGAGCAGATTAATTTTTACTTTGATCGTTTTTTGTTTCGCGATATATTAAAAAAAGCTTCATATTTCTTGAAAAAATTTTCATATAATATACTTTTTAAGATAAGAGAAATAATAACTAATATTATTATAGTATAATAATATTTTTGGTAAAACTACTGTTTAGGGAACTCATATTTTTATATATATGATATGAATTGATATGTACAAAAAAAAGTTTTTACATAAAATATGTACAAAAAAAAAGTTTTTACATAAAATAAAATAATAAAAGAAAGAAAAAGAGAAATCCTTAAAATATGAAAGATTCAAGTGAAATTTCTAAAGCTGAGTCGAACGTAAGAATCGGTATTGCAAAATTTACTTTTGAAAATGGGGACAACTACGAAGGAAAATATCAAGTGGATTTTGACAAATGTACCTTAGTTAAACAAGGTTATAACATTTCTGGTATATATTTAATAATTATGAATATATATTATCTAAATAGAAAAATGATCATCAGTATTTGTATTTATATTTGTTATTTAATTTAGATCAAGGAGTATATGTAACCGATAACTTTGATGTATATAATGGTACATGGCACGACGATAAGTTTGCCGGTAAATTTCACATTCGGTAAATAATACGTTATATTATATATAACATATATTATAGATGATATCTCATGAAATACTATTTAATAACTCTAAGAATACCTTCATGTTAATTTTTTAAAAGATACAACAATAATGCGCAATATAAGGGTAACATTGATAGAAACGGAGCGATGAATGGTATAGGAACATATATATTTCCCGATGATTCCTCCTTGATGGCTTTATGGTCGCAAAATAAACCTATTTCAGATGTCATTTATCAAAAACCACTTGGATATAAATGGAAAACTGAATCAGTTTCAAATAATGTTTGTATATCAACTTGTAATATAAAATTACAAATTGATTAGTTAGATGAGATTATATTTTGTTATATAAATTTATAATTTTGTTAAAATTACATTCCTATTATCTGTAACATAGCAAATTTTATTTACAACTGGAAATCATTTTTGGAATGAAATATGTCAAAGATCTTTCAAAGAAGAAAGTTCGCGTCATCTTCCTAATATTAATAAAGTATAAATGTGAAATATAATTATAATTACATCACTATAAAATACTTATAAATTAATGTATACATGCGTTACTTTATTATAAATATTCATAAATTTTAAATATAATTGTGATTAACAGCAAAATAAAATGATTAGCCGTAATTTAATATGATTAATAGTACCAATTCACATAGCATATAAAAATCAAATCTTTATTTTCTGAGTGAACTTTATCAAGATTGACAAGGACTTCGACAATATCACTTGGAATCAAAACTTCTATTATTATATCTAGGTCGTTAACATCCATGTAACAATTATTGGGCATAGGTTGGGTTAATATGTTAACTTATATATTTTGATACAGAGTCATATTTCAATCATATTTTTTCGGCAATTATTAAAATATAAGCTATTTTTATGTATAGAAAGTATTTATTGATATTTTATCTATTAATACAGTAATTATATTCTGCCAATTGTAAATGATTATATTATCATGAATAACATCACGGTAAATTTCATATTCGGTAAATAATATATTTGTTTATATTATATATACATACATATATATATATATATATATATATATATATATATATACACAGTAATCTGAGCTCGCAAGAGTTCGTCATCAATAAATATTTTAACAATTAAATTTATCTATGTAAATATATTATGACTGTATTAAATGATGACTAGATCTCAAAGGCTAATCGGGATTTAGAATTATTTAAATTAATTTGACTTTATGTATGTATATGTGTGTGTGTGTGTGTGTGTGTGTGTGTGTGTAAAGATGTATGACATTCGTCGTTGAATTACGAAACTAATGCTTTCGAGGAATTGTTCGTTTGCATTATTATTAACAGTTTAAATGCATTTAAATTGAAAAAGGAGAGACTTTTTTGCCATCTAATCACCGTCATCAATAAATACTTCACGCTTATTAACGTGTGATTTTATGTTTAGATGTTCATTTGAGTGTAACTTTATTTTAACTTTTAACTTTAACTGAAATAAAGCCAAGCCATCAATTAAAATCGATTAATTAAAATTGGTATATATAGTAATATATTTATAATAAAAAAATTATGTGTAACATTTATATTTATATTTCATATTACAGGTAATTTCATTAATTAATCATTTGGTTTTATATTAGTTAAAGCAGAGTTTAAAATCTATGTTTACAAACAAATTTTACAATATGGATGAGCTATGTCAAAAATTAGAATAAGATCGGTATGTATTATAAGAATAAGATAGCATCATTTTACCCGTCATTAATTTATCAATATAATTGATAAAATTACTAATTCTTTAATCAATAAATTAGATAAAATTTATACAAATTAAAAAAATCTTTTCTATAATCTTCCTTCTCTAGTTAATATTTCATTTAGTTCATAATTTAGTTAATAATTTATTCTTGCAATAGATACAATACATATCAAAATAATTTATTTAACTTAAAAGTTATTTAACTTAATTTGTTCTAGCTCATCCATTTTAAGGCAACGGATCTATCTACAATTTACAATCTATCGTCTCTACAAATCCGTTACCTTAAGATTAAATAAAAGTTTTTATCACTCACCGATGCGTAACAGTGAAGTTGTTGAAGCTGCACATTGTCTGTAACATACAAAAATAAAATTCACAAATTATAGAAACATTCAAAATTTTATTCAATCAAAGATTTCATCAAAATAAAATTAATATTTCAAAAAATTATTATTTTATCAATTTTTATATCCAACGTGTAAAATAAAAAGCAGATATATATACATATGAAAAAAATTTAAATTTTAAAACTATTTTTTAGATAGATACTTTTATACGATTTTTTAAACAATTTTCTTTTCTAATGTTTTCTGCATTATTTCATTTAAATAATCAAATCAAATTATTATGCATACGATTTATAACTAATATACAAATAATAAATATTCACCTTAAAGTTGCACCGATACAGGATACCTCTTCTGGATCTCCTCCTTCTCCTCATTTCAGATTGTCAGGACCATCGGTTACATAGATCTGTAAAATACGAAGAAAATCCAAATTGTAGTTATATTAAAAAAAAACAACATTTCAAAAAATTATTGTATACATTTAATTTTATATTATTCAACGTATATAATAAGCAAATTAATGAAGCAATTTTTTTAAATTTAAAAAAGTTCTATTAACAATTGTCTAGTAAGTTTATTAAAATCTATAAAAATAGAAATTTTTACAGGATTATAATTTTTATGTAAACCTTTTGCTCTAATTTTTTCTTGTTAAGTTATAAAAATAAAAAATCAATTACACGATTAATTAAACTTAATTTAAATCGCGCGTACAAATTAATAAATAATTATACATGAATAATGAATTATTTACTATAGGATTGCTCCAGTGCCCGATGTCTGTCCTAGGTCCTAGGTCTCTTTCTCTTCTCAGATTGTTAAAGTCATCTGTTGTTTCACACGCGGGATACTTTTATGACACTCCCGTACTTGTAAGTGCGATATTTTTATTGCCATTTGCGCACTTACGCGCGATACTTTAAACGGCACTCCCGATTTCGGTGCAAGCGAAAATCTTATTTCATTTGGACATGTTCGAGTTTGGACATGTTCGATTTGAACATGTTCAACAAATCGGGAATTCGACGTTACTTTCGTACAAAGATTAAACTAAAAATGCTACAACGCGAAAACGAAACACTGTCATCCGCGGCACGTAGACGGCACTGACGACGGAAAGTCGATGGGTACTTAGCTTCTCCTTCAGGCTCTTTAAGATTTATTTTAAATAAAAAAATTTAAAATAAACCTCAAAGCACCATCCAGGTACTAAGCCCTCCCACCTCGTCAAGGTGTACCCATGGGGGGGAGAGTTATATTATATATAATTTTATAATATAATATAATATATAATTTAAAAAATATATATTTATTTGAAAATTAAGAGATTATATACTGTATTCCTCTTTTTCCTCGACTAAAAAAAATGCAATGTATATACATTTTTAACAACAAGCATCAAGTACTGATCAATTTGCTTCTTTAATCAAAGAATAAATTGAGTCTTGAAGAATTAAAGAATAATTGAGAATTGAGAATTAAAGAATAATTAAGATACATTATAAAATTATATAATATAAATGTTAAACACTTGAAGCATTCCAAGAAATATAAGTATTATAAGAAATTAATTGTCATTCGATCGATTGTTACTCGCAGTGAGAGATTATATTCGAATATAGGAAATATACACAAGAATCATTAAAAAAATAATTATTATTTGTAAATATATACGTTAAAGTACAAGCGTTAAATAAAATCGTGTATTAATTTTATTATCGTTGTAATCCTATATTTTATTACACATATATTTTACTTTTTAAGGTATTTGTATTATATTGTGATCTTATGCAGAATATTTTAGAAATAATTTTTAAACTTGAAAAAAATGTGGTGAATAAAACATATATTTATTCTAATTTTTATATATAGTATATCTGAATAATTATATTATTAAGAAACATTTTATAAATAAAATATTAATTAATATAAAAATATTCTGTTATAAATATTTTAAAATATTTTTATATTTTATATTTGAGTATTTTAAAATATAGATCAATTTTATTTATTAAATGATTTTGAGATGTATTACGGAGCTTTTCGTTAGTTAATTATTTTTTGGATCTACGATTCAATTGTTTTATTGCGCCTTTTTCTATCATAATCCAAATTATATTTAGATCAATTGTCGAATAGAACAATAAAACAACGTAGATAAAATTTAATATATTCAACATTCAAGTATCAATAAAACAATAATTATCCGTAAAGATCGCAACGAAACGATTCTTTATTATGTTAGATTTCCGTTATTTCGAATCTTAGTTATTGTATGTATTAATTGTACACATCTCACGAAACACGCGCTTTGAGTTCTGTTGACGCGATATAAAAAAATTTTACGTATTACTTAACATAAAGATAAATTTTAAGTATCAAGTATTAATTATATCAAATTATTTTCCCATATATTTGTCGCAATCGCATTTAGAGAAGGAATTTGACGGAGCGGCTCGCGTTACTATTTTACTGTTCGAATGTTGATGTGTGAATGATAATAAGATTATGGCATGTTAATAATAGTGTGCTATTATTTACATCGCCAAGGGCAAATACTATGACATTGACAATTCGTTGGAGAAATATTTTATATCCCTTAAAAAAATGATCAATATATTGAAACAGTCTCAGTTACTCATGCAAAAACTCATCAATTGACCAGTGGTATATATACCAGTGGTATGTATAAAATGTTTCCATATACTGATTATTTTTTTTAAGAGGTACTATGCGAAAAATATCAAATTATAGAAATATTTTAATTTACAGATTAATACATTAAAAGATTATTTATTAAATAATTGATATTGAAGTCTTTTGTTTCGTATTTAACTCGATTTATTCGATTATTTTACTGCGTTTTTAATTCGAACATATATATATATATATTTATATTTATTGATTTTTTTTTTCGAATATATATAATATTTTTTATTTAAAAACAAGGTTATTTTACATACATTTACATAACTTATTTAAATATATTTAACATTTGTGCTTCTTTTCTATATATATATATATATATATATATATATATATATATATATATATATAAAAGTTATGTAAATGTATGTAAAATAATCTTGTTTTTAAATAAAAAATATTACATGTCTTTTATCAATAAAATATCACAATTATATAAATCTTAATAATTAATTGTACAATAATTATAAATTAATTATATTAATATTAAATGTGTAAAATTAATATGTGACATTACCTATTTTCTTTCTCTCTTTTTCATTCCTTTTTTCTACTATTAATATTACATATTAATCACACATCATCTCCATCATTACCGCCACTGTGAGCAATCGATCTCGGTCGAAATATAGTCAATTAATGTGCTGCTTTTAAGGAAAAGCGACAATTTTATTAGCTTACCCAACTTATTCTGTCGAATTGAAAATGGTCCTTGCTTCATTTTTTATCGAAGTTAGCAGTCTGTATATAATATCCTTTTATTATTTAATCTTTTATTTAATTTTTAGTCATTAAACTCTGATGTCACTCATCCTTTCTGAATACAGGCGATTTATATTTACAATCACAGATTATAGAGCTCAATAAGACAATTTGCTTACAACAAATTTTGAAATAATAAAAATAATTCTGAATTTATAGATATATTATATATTGGTGTTTTCGAGTGGTCAGATTTAATCGCTCCGGGATAGTTTACTAGATGTTATTAACCAATCGCAGCTATTTTTCTGAAGAATGTATAGTTACATTTTTCTAAAGAATGGCTATGATTGGTCAATAATATCTAGTAAACTATCCCGGAGCGATTAAATCATTAAAACCCGACCACTTGGAAACGCCATATGAGTCTGGACTCCATTCGGAAATTATTCGCATTTGGAGTTCATCCTATCCCCACCGATTCATACATTCATATTTTCAGGGTAGTGTTTCTGAACACAGCCTTGTAAAAAACCACGTGACCTTGCTGACGACCTCTGGTTTGGTATTTAATATCGTCCGTCATTTGGTCATCTGTTCTTGCGATTTCACGTTAAACTTAGGTTGTTGACGAACGGAGTATCATTTTTAGAATAATTCGTGAAATTTTTCGACTGTCACGTGCGTCAAGAATTTTAGATTAATTCGTTTAGAATTCTGACAGATATGATACGAACCATATCGAGCATACGATTAGCCCGTTCTATCGTCCGTGGTTCCATACGAACCAACACCGTGAGATCCATAGTTATCCGCTATCTTCACAGAAAACATCAACAGAGGTATTTCGCCTGAGATCTAGAATCATTCTCTTATTTAAATCTTACACTGATTATTTATATTTTGTGATTAGAAACAATCTTTAAGGTTATTTCACATTAACTTCAATGTAATGTAGCACAAAGAATCCAAACTTTTATAATATAGTCATTTGCATATTAATCTCTTGTCAAAATAGTAAAGTCAAAGACATAAGAAAAGTCTTATATAACCATTATTCATTACATATAAATGAATATATGCAAAAGATATTTGTTTTTATTCAGGGTTTTTATTCAACATCACACTGTTTTACATTGTAAATTAACACCATGGCAGCAACAACTCAGGTTTTATGCGGATTATCCGGATCATATCAAAGTTCCACTGCCAGCATTATCTCCTACCATGGAGACGGGAACAATAATTAGTTGGCAAAAAAAAGAAGGTAAAAGAAATTCTTGTCCCTTGATATTATAATATAACATGTATAGGATCATGATTTTGACAAAAGAGTACAGAATTAAAAATTCCTAAATTTAAATCTTTTATGTTTAATTTCCTAGGTGATAAGTTAAATGAAGGTGATTTACTAGCAGAGATTGAAACAGATAAAGCCACAATGGGATTTGAAACTCCTGAAGAAGGTTATTTGGCTAAAATCTTGGTACCTGCAGGAACAAAAAATGTACCCATAGGCAAACTGGTTTGCATTATTGTACAAGATGAATCGAGTGTAGTTGCATTTAAAGACTTTAAAGATGATGCAGTGGCTGCTCCTCCTCCTGCTACACCTCCTTCGCCAGCAGTTTCAACATCACCTGCACCGACACCGGCACCACCACCTGCACCAACTGTGACGAAAGCTCCTTCTATTCCACCGCCTTCCGGAGAAAGGATATATGCTAGTCCATTAGCGAAAAGATTAGCAACTGAGAAAGGACTCAGTTTACAGGTGCTATAAAATTGTTATTTTATGAATTAAATTAAAGGAATGAAGACAGGTGTAAGCCAATTTGTCTTTATTCTTTCAATGTTCTGCATAAATATATTTAATTAATGTATTTTTATGGATAATTTACAAATATACATATGACATTCTTAATTTTTTTAAATACTTTCTTTATAGGGTTTACAAGGAACAGGATTATATGGCTCTATAACATCTAAAGATCTAGAAGGTGCTGTTGCAATAAAACCAGGGGTAACAGTTGGAGCACCTGGAGCAGCTGGAATAGATATTCCTATATCAAATATACGTGCTATTATTGCTAAACGTTTATTGGAGAGTAAGCAGACAATTCCACATTATTATCTTTCAATGGACATAAAAATGGATGCTGCATTAGCAATGCGAGAACAATTTAATAAATTGTTAGAAAAAGATAAAATAAAATTGAGCGTAAACGATATTATCATCAAAGGAATGGCTATGGCTTGTAAAAAAATACCAGAAGGCAACAGTTCCTGGTTAGGAAATGTAATCAGACAGTAAGTATATTATATTTGTTATCAATATAATAACAATTTAATATATTGAAATATATTTTATATCAAACACATAAATTGTGCATCTTTTTTTAGATACAATAATGTAGATGTTAGTGTAGCAGTAAGCACAGATAGTGGTCTAATTACTCCCATAGTGTTTAGTGCCGATACAAAAGGTATGGTTCAAATTAGTAAAGAAGTAAAGGCATTAGCCGCGAAAGCGAGAGAAGGAAAATTACAACCGCAAGAATTTCAAGGAGGAACAATTACTGTGTCTAACTTAGGCATGTTTGGAATTAAGAATTTTGCTGCTGTAATAAATCCTCCGCAATCTATTATTCTTGCTGTAGGTGGCACAGAAACTAGACTGATACCTGCCAAAAATGAGAAAGGGTAAATTTTTGTAATATTTCATAATATTTCCACCAAAAATCTGTTTTATGATATGCAATTATATTACAAATATTATAAATATGCTTTTACAGATTCACCACTGCCCAATATATGTCTGTAACTGCCAGTTGTGATCACCGTACCATTGATGGTGCGGTAGGTGCACAATGGTTAGTTGCTTTTAAGGATTTCATAGAGAATCCATCAACAATGCTTCTGTAATATGTTGAATCATCAATCATTTCAACTGAGCGATTTGAGCGGCACAAATAATATGTAAATATCATTTTTTTAATTTAATATTATTATTTAATGTTTATTTATTAATGGTTATTTAACAAGTAATATCTGATTGAATATCTGATTGCCCATGAAATGTCTTGATTAATTAATCTAATAAAAATTTAAGCATTAGTCAATGATTGTGAACAATCGCAATGGGCAAACAGAATGTTTACTATTTAATAATAACATAATATTGTTTGTATTTTTATATAATTCTTAATCTTTTAATTCGTAGGTTAAAATTCAATTTTTGAGATATATCTCATTTTTTGTTTCAGAAATATTAAATAGAAATATGATATATTTCAAAAGATATTAAAGAGATATTTATTTGTTTTACTGAGATTATGTTTTAATGTTGATATAAATTAAAAATGTTATGCCATCATTATATGAAACTGTTGAAAGAGTTATATAAAAACATTTTGTTAAATATAAGTAAGAAGACTAACGCATCAATTAGCAAAATTAAAATTGACAGATAATTCAGATCATTTTATTTGATAGGATTGGGAAATTTTTTCGAACAAATTGATTCTAATCTAAATTTATAACACTTGCCTCTTAACGGTTATGTGTACATATGTATATTTATAATAAATAAATATGACTGCACTATGTCGCAGAAAATATGAAAGTCATGTTTAAGGAACTACAAAAGTTGTCAAAAATATTTATAGTAAATACATATACACATATATATATATATGTATATCATATTTAATAAATTATCTCACGATATTGTGCAGATATTTTTATTTTAACTATTACGGACAAAACTTTAGGTTAGAATAACATTAGAGTTTCTTATACGATCAATCGATTTCTTTTTATGCAAAAACAAAGATTTGGAAAATAAAAATTATCATTCGAACGTGACACTTTCAAAGATTAGGATTAAGTTAAAATCTACGTTATACCAACAAAATACTGGTGACAAAGCATCAAAAATGGATCCAATGGATGCAAACAGCACATTTACAGCGTGTAAGGGAAGGGAGATACGCACACTACAATAAAACACGCACTACATCCATAGTTCGACGATCTCGATATTGACGCAATTCGACGTTCGACGCAGTTCGACGCCATCATGCAGCGCACAGGGACATGAGCGCATGCGCGTATCTCACCGAGAGTATCAGCGTAGATTAAATTTGCGTATATATCACATAAGATATATATCATATATAAGATGAATAAAATTAGTTCTTAATTTTCTATCAATTATTTTTATAAGAGAAACGTTTAAACAATAAATAATATATTAGAACGATGTTAAAACTTTTTTGTATAACGAGAAAGACATTTAAAAATTTTAAAAGTTTCTGATTCCTAAAATTTATAATTTCTTTCCAATTGAATCAACTCAACCTTTTTAATTTTTAAAATCATTTATATTTTTTTTAAGACTCCGGACTTCTATCTCTCATGAGAATATATAAATTTCCGTGTGAATTATTTTAGAGAATAAAATAAAAAAATCAAATCTTAATCGTATAATTCATATAAATGCTATCGTTATCTAGAACTAGATAACGATATCGCTTTTTTCTTCAATTACTTCACAAACATACCAACTCTCGAAGTTCTCATATAATTCTGGACATTGGTGGAGTTATAAAGTATAAGTATAATAATGGATGGAATTATACCACAAGTAAGAAAGAATTTAAATTATGTACTTCTATTCTAATTATGTAGATATTATATAAATATTTTGCACAAATATATATTTATTTTTACATGTGCAAACTGGCAATCAATTTTATCTTAATTTTTTACAATTATAATAAAATAATTTACATTGAAAACAATATAAAAAAAGATTTGTAATAAAAATATATATAAACATTAATGTAACAGAAATATAAAAATAATATAATTCTAAGTAATTGTTTTTAGAAAATAGTTATAACATGTAATATAGATTGTGTGTTTATATAAAAATAAATTTTTAATTTAATTTAATTTTATGTATATTGAAATAAAGACTGAACTGACTTGTCAAAAACTATGGGGAGGTCGATTTACTGAAGATATTGATTCGGATTTTCATAATTTTAATATGTCAATTGATATCGATAAGCGATTGTATGCCGAGGATATACAGGTAAACATATATAATATAATTATGAATTTAAAAAATAAATAATAAATTGTATAATATTAAATTACACAATTAAATATAATTTCATAGTTTTTAATTAATAGTTTTAATAATTATAAATTCATTAATCCGCATTCTTATTTTAATAATATCTATCTAATTGTTTCTAGGGAAGCATAGCTTATGCACATGCTCTTTACAAAGTAAAACTTATCTCATATGAAGAGATGCAAGCTATAAATACAGCTTTGAAACAAGTACAATTATTTATATTATTTACAATTTTACTGTACAAAATCTAATTTTGTTAATATGTTGTGTATATACATACACATACACATGTATATATTTTATATATATATATATATATATATATATATATATGCATATACATACTAAATATCTCATAATCTCTATATAATAATTTAATAGCGTATATTCTAAAAATAAAATAGAATACAAAATTCGAATATACAAATATCGAAGTTATAATAGCTTTTCAGTTATAAGTAATAAAAATAAGACAAAATAAAAAAATATATTTTTAATTAGGTGCAAAATGAATGGGAAAATAACAAATTTGTCATAAATCATGAAGATGAGGATATACATAGTGCCAATGAACGAAGACTTTCGGTACGTTTGCAATAGTAGAATCTTATTGATTTGCTATGCTTGTATAAAATTAATCAGTTAATTATTACATTATTTTTGCTATTTATGTATAGTTAATGAATTAATAAGACAATATTTCCAGCAAATACAAATATATAATTATCACTATCATAATATGTTTTACCATAGTTGTTTCTTTAAATCATACACACACACATATACACAGTGTTATTTTTTAATATTAATCTCTCCAAAACAATAAAATTATAAACAACAAAAATATTTATGTGAATTCTTAAAGATATTAATAAAAGATAATTAACATCATTACAAATATTTTAATATTACAGGAATTAATTGGTGATATAGCAAAGAAATTACATACGGGGAGGAGTCGCAATGATCAAACTGTGACCGATACCAAATTATGGCTTCGAAAATCGATTGATAAACTTCTGATAAGGCTAAAGAAATTCATCGAGGTAAATAAAATAATACATATATTTTATATTTATATCATCTTATATGTAATAGCATTAGATTAATAAAATTTTAATAATTTTATCTATTGTTTATTTAATATCTATGATTTACTATAGTTTTCATATTCTTTTCAAAAAATAGTTTAATTTATTATTACATATTTTAAAATAATGTACGAGCTATAATATAAGAAAAAAATGCTAAATACTAATTCATTATTAATTCTGAAATATAGATTCTTATAACTCGAGCGGAAGAAGATATAGACATACTTATGCCTGGATATACACATATGCAACGGGCACAACCTATTAGATGGAGTCAGTGGTTACTTAGGTGACAAATAATTCATTTTATAAATTTTCAATAGAAACAAATAATAAGAAAATAAAATATTTTTAAAAATATTCTAATTTAAAATAGTTATTATATTAAAAATTTTATATTAAAAATTCTTTAATATGAACACCGACGAAATATTGTTAAAAACAACCAATCTTGGACAAGTTTTATTAATGTTGTGTTCTATATTGAAATGCATTGTTACGAAGTTTTATAAATGTAAATTATATAATTTAATTTATCCTTAATTCCATTATCAGTTCCATTATATTTGAATTCGAATCAATAAAAAAGCAATTCGAGACTTTGATTTGAAAGTCTAATATCATCCATATTATTTCAATTAATTCTAATTTTATTATTGATTTTTTAAATTTCGTAGTTATGCTTGGTACGCGAAGCAAGATTTGGAGAGACTACTAGAAGTACGTAAACATGTAAACATCTTACCGCTTGGTAGTGGTGCGATAGCAGGAAATCCTTTTGCTATTGATCGTCAATTCTTAGCTATGGAACTTGGTTTCGATGAAATTACCGATAATAGTATGCATACTGTTGGAGATCGAGATTTTGTCGGTATGTTTTAGTAAAAATAAATACATTTCTGTGGCATGTGCATATATATATATATATATATATATATATATATATATATATATAAAATATATTTCGTAAACTTATTCTATATATATATATAGAATAAGTTTACGAAATATATTTTTGATACTATTGAATAAAAATAATTTTAAATTATATTATTCTCAAATGCAAATATGATAATAATATAAACAACTTTTTATTCTTTTCGAATTTTTTAAATTACAAACATATTATATATATATGTATATATTAACGCATCATTTTGGTAACATTAAAAATCGACATTTTGTTAGAAAATTTAAAAAAACATATTATAACTATAAACAATTTAATAACATTTTCGACATAGAAAATATTAAGTGTAGATTTCTTTATATTTATTTAATCATCCTTTAAATTGAGGATTTTTTAATTAATATTAAATTTATTTTTTTAATAAAATTTTTTATCAAAAGATCAATATTTGTTGTACAATTTTCTATAATTTTTTATAATATTATTTATCTTTGCAACCCAGTTTTGAATTAAAGTAAAATATATCTGAAATTAGGTGAAAAATGTAATTTTAATATTTTTTTTAAATTTTTTTTCTTAAATTTAAACTTAGTTTACAAAAAAACTTTTCTTTTTTAATATATTAACATTTTTAACAGATTAACTCAAAAACAATGTTTCGCATTCTTATAAAAAAATTAATTTAAAACATCCAACAATACAAATTTCGAATAAAATTAATAAGATTTTCCTTTTATATCACATCTATAGTGGATTTTAAAATATTTTTACATATTATTTTAAATATTTTTATATATTACTTGTCTTTAATTTGACTTTTTAAGCTGAATTTCTATTTTGGTCATCATTATCATCGATGCATTTGAGTCGCTTCTGCGAAGATTTGATCATCTATAGCACTCAGGAATTTAATTTTATTCAACTTGCTGATAAATATTCCACTGGTAGCAGTCTAATGCCCCAAAAACGTAATCCGGATTGCATAGAATTAATACGTGGAAAAACTGGCACTATATTTGGAAAGGTCTGTTTAAATATATTTAAATCACTGACAATTAGATTAGATTATAATGTTAAAATTAAGAATTAATATTAATCTTCAAAATTTCACATTTCACTATAAAACAACATATATAATAACTTTTTATCTATATTCTGAAATTTATTATAGATAATTTCTAGGAAATTTATTATAGATAAAAACTATAAGAAAAATAGTTTGAAAAATATATTATTTGTAAAATTGTTTTAATTTTAGTGTATTGGCTTTATGGTGACATTGAAAGGAATTCCATCGACATACAATAAAGATCTTCAGGAAGACAAAGAATCGATATTTTACACATATGATACGTTATATCAGATGTTCCATATCGCTGAAAAAGCATTAGCCACATTAAAAGTAAACAGGGAAAGTTGTAAGAAAGCTTTAACATCCGACATGCTCGCAACCGATATGGCATATTATCTTGTTAGAAAAGGCGCAAGTATTTTTTCTATTTCTAGATGTTCAATTTTATTTAATAATTTTTAGAGCAATTGATTCACTAATTTAATTTCTTTAAATTTTATTTAAATGTTAATCGAATTATCTTAATATTTGCGTAAAAATTGTACACAAATATTATTAAATTAAATATTATTAATTTTTTATTTGAGCCAAATGTTTAAATAATCCCGAGTTTGAGATTTATTTTAAATTTTCCCTGTAATATTAATTTAAATAGTAATTTAAATATAATATTTAATAAATACATAAAGTTGGGATTTTTTATATACATTTATTAATAATAATAAATTTGGATCACAAATTATAGATATCGTTTAGAGAAAGTCATCATCTGGCTGGGAAAGCTGTCGCTTTGGCTGAATCAAAAGGAATACCATTATCAGAGTTATCTGTGCAACAATTAAAAACGATAAGGTATAATTAAAATATTTTTAAAGATGAAATAGTTGTATTTGAAGAAAATTCTAACTGTTTTAGCGAGCCGTTTGAAGAAAATGTATCGTGCATTTGGAACTTTAATTCCAGCGTAGATCAATACAAGGTTGCCGGTGGAACTAGTTTTGAAGCAGTACAACAACAGATTAATAATTTGCGATGTTGGCTGCAAAAGTATTCATTTAAAGAATAATTATATATGAAATTATATATTATATCTCTAAGCGAGATATATGTATCTCTTAATATTAATTATTGATAATAAAATTTACTATATGTCTTTTAGATGACAACCATAATACAATAAAATACCTTATTGCATCATGATAACAAATACATAAAAAATCGAAGATAATAAAACATGATAAATAAAACAATAGCTGTGGATGAACTAAATTTTTCGCGTGATTTAAATTTTAAATAACTCGTGTAAAATCTTCATGCAATTAATCTGTCGGTAACATCATCAATTTCTTTCATTCTTAATTATCTTCGGGATATCGGATCTCCTTGATAACTTCGTCGGAAATCTAGAGTACCTCTAGTCGGTGCATCGAAAAGTAAATGTGGTTATATAATTCCCTCGGTTTTAAAATGGACATGAAGTCGCTGTTGAGCTAACATTTAAGCGACTTACGAAAAGAGAAACTCGATAGCCACTCTCAGACTTGTCTCTGCTTATTCTGTGACGATGTATTATATATTACAATAGTTTTTGACACGATAGAAATGGATCCTAAGTGCATTTCTACGTGACGTATGTTTAGTCCGATTCAATCTAATTTCGGTGAAACGCGACGCGTGATAAGGATACGTAGTTATCTATAGTTCGTTTTATAGATTTCATCTTGGATAGTGATTTATTAATTCTACTTGCCGCTTTCTGATCCGAGGAAAGCAGACAAAAACGGAATCCCCAAGCGTGACGGCTAGTGAAAGCGATTGAGTGTCGACGACATGTGACTGCAACATTTTTAAGATTACATACGATTGGAATACATCACTATCATGTAATATGATGACGTATAAACATCAAGATCATACGAAGTACTTATTTTTTTTCAACTATTATCATGGGATCTCGATTAAGGCAAGCCTCCTTCATCATTTCTTCTTTGTATAATAGAACTGCTGAATTTTTTTTTCGAGTAAAATGCAACGAAAGCATATTCCGCCCTTATGCTTCATTTGGGCAACTTTATACAATGTTCCCATTTTGATTAACAGAATATATTTTATATTTTTTATACACATGGATTAATGAGTATAATCTTAATAATTGCAAAATATACAATTGTAGTTTACTTGAATTATATAAACATTAGTTTGTCTATTATTTTCTTCAGAGAAAATGTCAAACAACTGTTTGAATGCTTCTGCGAGATAGCTGCACCAGTAGGGGAGAAGCCAGCTTGGATACTCCAAAAGTATCCTAACTCTTTTTCAGACGAAGAGATACTTAAATCTGTTCCTAAATTTACATATCCTTGTGAATTTGAAAAGTACGTTGATATCAAGTACAGCATATTGTATGGTTATAAGTTTTTATACCTTCTTTTTATTACAATATTTTTCTATTATATGTTATCATTTTAGTTTGTTGGTGCAACATTTCTCATTTGTGCTCACTAGTATAGATTCAAAATGGACTTTTGGCTTTTGCCGTCACGATCCCAAAACAGAAACAGCTTTAGTGGTCTTGAGTGCACTTCCATGGCACGAAACATTTTACAAGTTAGTAAAAATATGTTAATTAAATACTCAAATGTATTCAGAATCAAAATATTAAATTATATTTGCATCATAGGTTATTGAATCATATTGCGTCTTTGACCAGCAATGCCAGTGGAGAGGATTTATGGAAATTTCTTGAAAATATATATACCTGTGGAGTTCCAATTCCTGGAAATTCTATATCTATCTCTTTGCCAAATTCTACAGCAGTAAATTAATTGTTCTTATAATTTCTAAAATATGTGTGTATGGGTGTATGAAAGAAAGATAAATGTGCACATATGTGCACATATACAGAATATCCTTATCTATACCATTATATTTTATGGATGGAAATAAGAAAAAAATATTATACAGAGTGATTTAATATAACTGTCACAGGTATCTAAAAAACATATGCATTGTATTAAAAAATGTTTCAGAAATAGAAGTTAACAAAAGTTAACAAAAGTTAAAGAATTTCAAAAAGGAATAATGATGTTTACAGTGATGTTTATTTGATTTTAAGTGAAAGAATTAAAATCATATTATTAAGCTTGAGATTTTTAAAGTTTTCATTATAAATTTTATAGCTTATTGAGTTGTTTTCAAAATGCTGTAATTAAACTTTTCCATTAAAAATTTCTTCAGTTAATTTCAATCATATGTGAGGATTTAAAATCAAATGTTAAAAATAAACCAAAGCGTTTCTGTATATACACTTGTAAATTCGGTCAAGCAATTTTTATATTTTGAATTACTAATGTTATAATTTTTATAATACAGAAATTATTAATAAAAAAAAGTTCATACTATTTTAAAAATATCAACATAAATAAGAATTTTTAATGAAATATGAAGATTTTCAATTAAAATTTTTTTAATTTTGATATAATTTTGACCTAAGATTGAACAAATATCATTATATTTCTTTTAAAATCTTTTAATTTTTGTCTGAAAAGTTTCTTAATATAACACGTACTTTTTAAGAGATTGCAACAATCACATCATTAAATAGTATATAAGCATATGTTTTCAGAAAGACATTTTGATAAATTATATTATTAAAACACGTACATAATTTTGACATATTATTAGAATATAATCTTGAGTAACTTTCAAAATCTTTTAGCTACTTCCAAAAAGAAATCACAAACAAATTAATTTTTAATAATAAAAAGTTTTTGCATTAAATAATTTATAGTAAACTTATTTTAATTCTTTTTAAAAAAACTATTAATAGAGAGAAGACAAGGAGAATCTCAAACAGTGACTTTAGGAGAGCAAATAGAAAAGAAGGAAAATGAGATTAAAGGTAATAAATGTAAAGAAAGATGAAAATAATGATGAGTACTCTTCAATAATGATGAATCTCTTAATAGCGCGCGCTTCAGGACTTTGAACGCTTCCGTAAAATTCTGAGAAATTCATCGTAGCGGTCACACGAAACAAACACGTTTTTTCAAATACACCGTCAGCAAAGGATATTGTGCCTACAAATATACGCGTCGCTGCGCGACTGAATTATTACTCTCATTCATACACACAACTATCTAATACGTATGAAAGGGACATTTTTCATTATTTTAAAGTATACTATTATGAGACTTCAATGTAAATATACAATTGGATGACTAGCATGTTATGGAAGAGTGATTTCACGAATTTAAAGAAAAGTCGAGGACGAACATTATTTGCCTTTCAAGATTCTTAGAAAATGCTATTAGATATTTATCTAATAGCTTATTGAATAACGAAGTGTATAGAATGATAATACATATTCATCAATTTAAAAATTTAAAATATTGTATTTACTATATTGAATAATGTGAAATAAAACAAAAAATTAATGATGATTAATTAGATTATTTTAATAATAACTTTCACACATTGTGTGTGTAAAAGAACGAAAGCTTTTGAGACAATTTTAGAACATTAATAGTTAATAAAATAGTATTGTACTGTATTAACAATGAAAACAAATTCTTTATTATTTCCATCATATTCGTATTTTTATTCTTTTATTATAATTTTTAAATAAAACTTAAATAAAACTTCTTTAGATTTATGTTTATATGATATTTTTTTTATTTCCATTCATAATGTACTGAATTTGAATAAAGATCAAAAGTATAAAAATTTGGGACATTCTGTATAAAAAAAATTATATATATATATATATATATATATATATTTGTGTATGAGTATGAAATAAATTTAAAAACACGCATTTTTCTTGTATGTATAAATTGCTTTTTAATATATATTTAATTATATATTTAATATATATTTATATTTATTATATATTTAATATATATTTATATTTATTATATATTTAATATATATTTAATTTTTAATATATATTAAATTATTTTTTATATACACTTTAATATATATAAAACATTTCAATCTTTTCAGAATTTTATTTGTCAAAGTCCAAAACAGTTTCAACTACCTAGTATTCCAGAAAATGTAAGCAATAATATTAAGAATATAATTTTATTAAAATAATTTATTATAAAAAAATTTGTTTACACACACACACACACACACACACACAGTAAAAAAATTATTGTCAAGTATTTCCCTAAATATCGATTTTACTATTTCAGAGAAACTTGACTGAATATTATAGTGCTATTGATTCAAATAATATGATGGTGATATTTGCATCTATGTTATACGAACGCCGTATTATTTTTATTTCAAAACGTTTATCGAGATTAAGTGCATGTGTACAAGCATGTAATGCCTTAATTTATCCAATGATTTGGCAACATATATATATCCCCGTCCTGCCTTTATCATTAATAGATTATTTATTAGCGCCTATGCCATTTCTTATCGGGGTACCCACATCAACGCTTCAGGTATTTATAATAAAAATTTTATTTTGATAATATATGTTAGTATATTGTGAATGGATATACGAGTGTGTATTGGAATACATATTTTATAATATTCTTTGCAGAAAGTACCCAAAAGTGATTTAGGAGAAGTTGTTATTTTGGATGCTGATAATAATACAATTGAGTCACCATTTCAAGATCTGGAGTCTTTACCTCAAGATGTAGTATGTAGAGCATTAGATATTGCTATGACAATATATATTATACATATCATATTAAATAATGTATACATTTTAAATAATGAAATAAAAAATTCTTGCAGGTGACAAATTTGAAGAAAGCTTTACGTAATAGATCAACTCTTCTTGGAGATGGCGTATCAAGAGCGTTTTTGCGTGCATTAGTACAGTTAACTGCTGGTTATAGAGAAGCATTAACTTTACAACAGGGTGAACGTATTACATTTAATCAAAATGCCTTTGTCGAAAGTAGACCATCTTCCATGCAACCCTTTTTACGAAAAATGTTGGAATTACAAATTTTTCAACAAGTAAGTCTCTCATATATAGCAAAATTATAGCTACTTTGATACTATATAAATATTCTGGATATTTCCAGTTTATAGAAGAAAGATTGAATATGCTTAATTCAGGACTTGGTTTCTCAGACGAATTTGAAATGGAAGCCTGCAGTTATTCAGCCAAATCAAGTAGTAAATTTATGCAACAGTATAGAGAATGGACTTACACTATGCGAAAGGAAAGCTCTGCATTTTTTCGTAGTGTGAAAGATAAGGTATATTAACAACTTTTAAGTCGTTTGAATTAGTTTTAATTAATTAGTATTATATAGCTTATTCCAAAATTAATCTCACATAGATATATTTTACATATATATGCTTTTAGTACAAAAAAGAAAAATGAGAATATTTTATTTTTTTTTATTTTGCAGGCCAATCCAGCAGTAAAGTATGCTGTTAAATCAGTAAGTTTTAAGTTAAAATATATTATGTTGAATATATATTTTTATATTTATATGTACTCTTTTCTCTTAATATGTTTGAACATTATTTATAACTTTTTGTATTATTTTTTATCAATTATAACATGATAATAGTTAATAACAATGAAAAAAAGTGAATCATAAAGATTAGTATCAACAGGTGAAAGATAAAGGGAAAGATATGAAAACGGCATATAAAGGACTAAAATGGAAAGGTGCGTTTCTTTTTGATATTGATAACTTTATCATTTCACGTTAAATGTTATTGATTGATAAATAATTATTTATGTGGACAGGGCGTCCTAATAGAAGTGAAACGAATATGAGATTTCATCAACCGCGATCAGCTCCTAGTTCACCCACTTTAGATAGAAGACCTATTGGATTCACATCTCCATCAAAATCTCCAAATGGAGTATCAGCAACAACTAGTTATCGAAAGGAATTGCGTTTGCGGAATACTAATTTTGATGCAAGGTATATATAATTGTTTATATATATAGATGTCTATGTGTTATTAATATATATATATATATATATATATATATATATATATATATCATCTGATAATATTACAATTAACGTATAATAAAATTGCGAGTAAACCGACATTTTAATAGTGTATTTTAAAAATATTTGTCTACAACAAAATCATATATAAATAAAATTTGATTTTGTTATTAAATTAGAAGTATATATTATTGTATGTATCAAAATAAAAATATTATGAATATTGCTTTAATATTTTTTTTACTTTCATTAATTTTTCATTATACATTATCAAAATAACATCACTTTAAGTACTAATTAAAACATCAATCTTGTGTCAAGCATGCTATTGTTCTATTTATTCAGACCTTATTACATATCATATTACATTAAGTTACTTACGTTCATTTCGTAAAATAAATGATATTTGTAAAAATAATATTTTGATAATTTATAGTCAAAACAATATATGTGATAATGTTATTTTAATACATAATATACTTTTTAACTTGATAATGAATGAGCTAAATAAATATAAATTGATTTTTATATTGATAATTCTAGATTACACTGTTGAAATTTGTCAGTTTTCTCATGGAATATTTATATACATGTATGAAAGCATAGCACATGTACATATGTATTGCAGTAAGAAACAATACTCACCTTTAAACCCGAGTTCTCCCGAAGAATCCGATTCTCCACCAGAGCGCATAAATATAGACCTTATGCACGAACTTCAAGATGTAATATTTCCAAAAATACCAGCAGTGGATAGGACGGTAAGTTTTATATAGTTTATTTTATTATTTATAATTTATTATTATATTTATTAGTAATTATATGTAATATATTATATGTATAATATTTATACATTATTGTTTTTTTTTATAATTTCTCTAAAAGTAGTACAAAAAAGAGAAATTATTAATTGTCAATTAAGATAAATATATTCTCTAAATGATGAGATATGATTATCATGTCTTTGTTTTTAATAATTGCATATATATCATTTCCTGCAAGCTAAATATATATTGATGAGAGAGCTTAGCTCGAATCATTTTAATTTTAATAATGTATATTAAGATAAATCGAGCTAAATTTCCATTATTGATTTATCTTCTGCAAATTTTAATTGCAGTAAAAATTATAACATGATATAAACAGATGATAAATGCTAACTTTTTTTTAAATAAATTGTTTATTAATTGTTTATTATGCATTAATCTTGTAAATTTCTGTTGCTTTTTATCAATTGTTCTTTGTCCTTTAAGTAATGAATTTTGTTTCAAATTCTATATTATATATATATATATATATATATATATATATATATATATATATATATATATAATATAGGATTTGAAACAAAATTCATTACTAAAAATAATTATGTGCAGAGCATGCTTTTCTGAATTACATGTAATGCGTTATTATATGTATACATAAGGACGTGTCTAAAAAAATATTTTGCATGTGCTTGCATTAAAATCATTTAAATTGACAGTAATTTTTAGCATTCTTAAATTTTTTAATCATTTTATAGCTTTCTTTAAAAATATATAAATTGTTTTTTTAAATGTTTATCTGACTAGAAAAGTACTTGAAGAAAAATTAAAAATATTAATTTTATAATATTCTGCACATTATTTTTGTATTGTTAAAATATAATAATGCATTGGAATTTTATGTTAAGCGAGTCACTATTTTTTTATCGATACCGGCAAATTTAACAAGTTTATTACAAGAAATAGTATTTAATGACAAATTATGCATTATGTTAAGCTTGTTGTTTGATTGAGCTATCGGAGAGATATCAAATAGTATGAATTTATAGTAGTTGAGAACATATAGTAGCATAAACCTGTTTGCCTCATACATGTTATTTGTGTTGGATGTGTTAATACAAATAATGATAATAAAATAAATTGTAATATAATGAATAAGTAAATTTATGATTATTATACGCATGTGATATATTAAAGATCGGTATGTGTGTATTGTTACTATAATGTATCAATAGAATTTATTAGGTATTTCATAATTCATATTAGTTAATTTATTATATAAAAGAAAAGTAAAAATTTGTCATGCATCACTTTCAGTTGAAACCAGTACGCAGTTTAGACAACTTGAGACCTGCATGGAGTGGGCATTTACGGCACAGTCCTTCGCCTAGTACTGTCATTACAAATCCATGTGAAATTTCCTCGAAAAAATCAATTTTAACTTCTTCTCCTTATCCTCTTCCTTCAGATACTTCATTCAATCAATCGAAAATGTTTTCTTCTAATTTGCTAGCTTCAAAGACAAACAGAACTGTGAAAGAAGTAGATAAAACATCACTTTTACCTGCATCTGCATCATATAATCAAAACACTGAACCAAACCGATTTTTACATGAATTAAATATACATAATAATTTAATGAAACCTGTAGTTGATTTATCATTATGTGTTCATGAAAAAGAAAATCCTAAAACGGAAGAAAATTTTTCTTCAAATAATAAAAATGTTAATTGTAAAGATAATTTTACAAATGCTAATTCAATATCAAATACATGGACAAGCGAATCTTTTGATAGACCTTTCAAAACGTCAAATTTTCTTCATGAAGTAAATGAAGATGATCCTTTTGATACGAGTAAAGTATTAATGCCTATCTATTTACAAACTGCACCACTTTTTAAATCTAAAATTTCTTCAATGCCCGCTCCATTTCATCCATTATCACATCCATTCAATACTACATCCTGCTCTGCACATGTTAAGGTAAACATAACATCGTCCATTATTTTTTATATCTACGATAGTCCGATCAATTTTTGTATAATTGTTTGATTCGTAAAGTATGTCCAATATAGTTAGAATGTTCTAGATTTACCGAATTATTTTTCAATTATTAGAATAAGCAAATATTAAAAGACGGATTAAAAAGAATATTTGCATTATTTCAATATTCAGATATCAAAATAATATTATATATAGATTTAAATTTATTATCATAAATCCGAAAGTTTTGGTAAATTAAATTACGAGAATATTAAATAATAAAAATTTTGTTTTTTTCGGCAAGAAAATTTAACTATCAACCATTTTAAGTTACAAAAATAAACTCGGTAAATCTATCTCTGTAAATTTTGTTTCTCTTATTTCTGTTGTTATGTCCAAGTTCTCAATTTTTGAATGTAGTAAATTATTGTAATTCACGTATAAGTGTATGGAATGAAATTGTCAAATAATGTTCGATAATTAGATGCATATATCAAATTTCAATAAATATTCTAACTTAAAATATAAATTTAGGATCTCGAAATAAATCTTTACAAAAACTTGCACAACATGGATTTTATCTTACAATTAATCTATATATAATATAGATTTAATTATATTAATAATCTAGCTCATATGTTTACGTATTAAATATATTTCAAAAGTTTCGATTCCCGTTGTTTATTTGGAAGTATTTTTTAATAGTGAGGTTCTTCATTTCTAAATTATAAAATTTAAAACTATAACAATCATTTCGTCCACATATTATTTCTTTTTTTTACATCTGTTGTTGTTCCGTTGCTGATGCCGTGAAAGAAAAGCTTGTCTCTATTTATATATCTTAATTATCTTAGAGAACTCTAGATTTATATTTTAAGTTAGAACATTTAATCCTGAAACACTGCATATGAAATTTACTTATAATTTTCACATAAAATCGCAAGCATCATCATTAAACGAAAACAAAACAACATTTTTATATATTCTAAGTTAAAACTTAAGTTATAATTCTCATACATTGCTTCACTGATTAAAATTTATTTATTATCATTATATATTTCTTTGCAGGATTCTCCTGAAGTCCCGGATTTAATACGCTTAGATTCAACGAATAGTAATGAGGATTTTGATCCACTTCTCTCTAAAGTTCCCGAGCTTTCAAGCACAAAACAAATGAGTCAATCGTTACATTTACCCGAAATGAATGAAGGTCTTAGTAATCCTTTATATCCTTATTTTCAACAATCGTCGCATAAAAACAATGACAAACCGAAGGCCTCGGATAACGTAGGTGATATGGATTTATTACAAGCGTATGGTATAGATTTTAGTAAATTTAGTTTAACCAATAGTGATAATCCATCTACAAAGACTACTACTGTATGTAATCGAAGTGTACCAGACAACAAAATTAATAATGTTGATACAATGGATACATTCAATTTAACACTAAATACATCTGCTATTAAATCACCAAATAATTGGACAAAGTTTGAATAAATATTAGTATAATTTCACATATATACATGCATATTATTTATCATATTTGTAAATATATCATTAGTATTGTTTTTGTTATATATTTAAATATCTTTACTATCAATTATTCGCATTAATACTCTGTTATAAAATCATTGTGAGAATTAGCCAATAATTATCTTGTTATATACGCATAATAGTCATCCATGCTATGTTTTGCGCGATAAATTTTATATACTTTTTTGGCTCATAAAAGCATACTTTTGTATAATTCCTCTCTGTATATTTTTTGTATTAAAAATTAATAATATTTGTTGTATATACTTTGTTACAAATTTTTCTATTTCTATTATCAATATTTTCCATTCATTTTTATCAAATGGATTATGTAATGCGAAAATAAAACTTTTATTAGAAAACAATAACATAATAAAAGAACTCAAAGAGATAATAAATCTGAGAAAAACCACAAATATTAAAATTTAATTTAATAGTTTAATATTTTGTTTAAAATATATAATTAAAATGTTGAAAAAAGTCCGCGAGAAAATATATTGTAATCATAAAAGAATAACAGTATTATATTGTATAATGCTATTACCTAAGCAAGAGAATGATATCAGAAAATGTCATAATGTAACAGGTTTACTGATGTCACTCTTTCATTTTGACCTCATTTCACGTTAAATACACTATCAGGGTATTTTTTCTTGTAAACTGTAAAATATAATTTGATATTGATTTTATTTTTTTTAATCTAAATTTTTAATAAATATTCAGTTACCGAGTTTTAATATATTTGTATAGAACATCGGATGTCCATTTAAAACAAATTATAATGAGAATGATTGAAAATAGTGTGCAAAGAGTAAAGTAAAACAAATATATCGTACAATTTTACAGTTTATAAATCATTATTAGAAATTGATTACATCAATTTTAATAACTGTTGCACATTTATATTGCAATGCTTTATAATAAATTAATGTAAAAACATAAGATGCCTTTTTCAGACAAAAAATCCCTTTTATTCATTCACACAAGATATTATCCAATATTTTTATTCTATATATCCTACTATTATATCCTATATATTATGCTGAAATATTACTTCTAATATATGAAATATGTATAATTCATGCATATGCGTCGCCTTCCATAAATTATATAATTAATTTATAATTAATACTAAAAGGCTTCCTTGTTTCTCTTTTATATTACAATACATTCAGTAAAAATTCCTGGAAGCTTTAATTATAATTTATATAGTTTGCATTTTTAGAGTATATTCTACATGATTTTTTTCTCTACGTATACAAAAATTTTTTTTTGTATTTTTCTTTTTTTCTTTTTTTATGTTTTTACACAAACGAATTTGTGTTTTATCAAATTTTATATAAATATTTCTTAACTATATCTAGACTTCTTAACATTCTCACTCTTTCAAATTATTTTGTGAATATAATTTTAAACAAAAAAACCGAAAAATATAATTATAATTTTTTGATCTATTACTTTTTACTATTAAATAGGTCAATAAATTACTTACTATAAAGTAACTCAATAAATAAATCGTATATCTATATTAAGTGTAGAATTTATAAAATTTTCTATTTTATATGCTTTTACATTGTTTGTAAAACTATTAGTGCATCAATTATTCGTTGTAATTCGCCTTTACTATTTGTCAATTTTTCCTTATTATTTTTTTGAATATCGAGTGGTACTTTTGTATCATAATTAGGTGTAGCTAAATCTTGTTTTAATTTTTGTATAACTTCAATCAATTGTCCTTCTTTTTTTTTCAATTTTTCTAATTCTTTCTTTGGATCAATTAAACCCTAAAATATATTTATATTAATGTAATAAATATATATTTATAATAATAATTAATATGACATATATAATAGATATGATGTGTTAATTACCTTAAGTAAGAGATGCACTTGAATTTTATCGCTTATAGTGATGATAGCACATCCCTCTGGAGGGTTTTCTGTGCTAAGAATAGAATATGCAAGAGTTTCTATGAATGACTTGTATTGAACAATTATCTCTTTTAAAACTGAATTGTTACATATGATATATGCTTCGGTTTTTGTTTTATTAGGTAAATTGTAAGTTGCACGGGTAGATCTAATGTTCTTAATTATTTTTTGCACAAAGTCAACGTTTTTCTCAATCTCTTGATTTCTCCAACAACACTGAAATGTATCACATGTATATCAAATATATATATCCACATTTTGATGTGTTATAACTATGAAATTAATATTTTAATTATTATTATTACTAATATTTATTATTATTATTATTATTAATATTGTAAGTAATAATTACTTCGGAACTGTCCGGATATGGACTTATGCATATACTTGAATATATTAGTTTCTTCTGATGTAAACGTTGATAGAGTTCTTCTGTTATAAACGGCATAAACGGACTCAATAAACGTAATCCTACATCTAATGTTTTAAATAATACTTTTTGTGCCACCAACTTTGCCTCTTTATTTTCACTTTGAAATATAGGTTTAAGATACTCCTAAAAATATGAATTGTTTACTATTATTAAATTGTACATAAAAATATACTTTTATTATATATATATATATATATATATATATATATATATATATATATACATATCTAAAAAATGTTACTTACCAAATAAATATCGCACAGATCATATAACCATAAATTATAACAGATAGTAGTAGCTAATGCAAAATCATATTGTGCTAATGCTTCGTCACAAGTTTTGGCAGCATAACTGAGTCGTGATAGCATCCATAAATCTACGTTTGTCTCATGTCCAGTCAGCTATAATACAAAATAATATAAATGTCAACCAATTTGAATTGTTTTTTTTTGGTAGTCATAAGAGATTATTTATATATTAAACAAGATTTTACCATAAACGTATCATCATTACTTTTTTTACATGTATATGTAAGTTGTGGTATTATTTCATTTTGTTCTGCACGGAATATAGTTTTTTCTTCATCCGTAAATGTTGCAATATGATTATACCAACGTTTAAGATGCAAATAATTTGCAAAATTAATATTCAATTTCTTTAATGTTTGATAAACTTTTGAATCAAGTTGTGAGGGTGTATAACCATCAAGATATGAATAAGTTGCTAAATAATTATCTAGTGCCTCCTGTACACAGGATTCATTCAAAGCTTGCTGATACCACTTGCCATCACCAATTATGTCAATAGTAGTACCATTGTATTTCTAAAAATTCAGTTTTAAGCCTTTAAATTTTTTTATGACTAGATTATGAATAACTTTTTTAAAAAAATATTAAAATTTACCACATCATTTGATTCATGTTCAAATTTAGATCCAAGATAAGTAAGTGCAAATTTAGTAGCATTCCATATCTTGTTACAGAAAAATCTATACCCTTGTACACGAAATATATCCAAATTTATATCTCGTCCTTGAGTGGTATAAGCACAGAGAGCGAATCGCAAAGCATCTGTACCACATTCAGGAATGCCTTGTGGATAATCCCGTCGTTGACCTTCTTGAGCTCGTTCCAATTCTTTTGGATCTAAATTCGAATCTAGCAATTGTTTTTGGAGATCCTGAAATATTTTAACAATAAGAAAATTCGAATAAAATAAAATAACTAATAAAATAAAATGATTTCATACATACTTCTAAAGATATTCCTTTAATTACATCCATAGGATCTATTACATTTCCCAAAGATTTACTCATTTTTCTTCCATGTGCATCTCTCACCATTGCATGTAGATATACTTCTCTGTATAATATTTTGATTTTATTTTCACATGCACAAAATATGTATTTTACTTATATACATCCGCACGCACGTATGCATATGTATTTTTTTTCTCTTTCTTTTCTTTTACAAAAAACAAGTATGTAGAAAATGCATTGTAACATACCTGAAAGGTAACTGCCCTAATAATTTTTGGCCCATAAAGACCATTCTGGCTACCCAAAAGAAAAGTATATCATGACCAGTTTCTAATAGTGTACCTGGATAGAATGTCTTGAGCTCAGGAGTCTGAAAAATATATCCTAGCTAATATATTGAAACTATGTATATACAAAGTGTTTCACATAAAGTGTTACAAGGTTCTCCTTCTCAAAACCTATAAATTTTGTCTGAAACATTTTTTTTATGTCAAATTTCGGAGAAAATGCCTTGCGATACTTTATGTAAAACACTTTGTATTATTTACTTTTACAGATATTTAGATATATAGACTTTCATAGGTTAATCCATATATAGCGTAATTTTGTTTCTTAAAAGAAAGTTCAATCTATAAATAGTTTACACATACTTCATCTGGCCAGCCAAAAATGGAGAATGGAAACAGAGCAGAAGAGAACCAAGTGTCTAATACATCAGGATCTTGTTCCGCAATAATATTATCTATGTTAATGCCTAATTTCTTGGCTGCCTTTTCTTTTGCTTCTGCTTCAGAATGTGCACTCACCCAATATTCATCTGCCTATATAAAATTTTCATCTGTGACTAAGACTTGATACATACAAATTTAAAGTCATTTATGATTCCCAAGTTATATATTTCTTCAAAATTACCTCGTTTTTATTCACGTGAGAATTAATACATTTAATTGCATAAGCAGGAATGCGATGACCCCACCAGAGCTGACGTGAAATACACCAATCTCGGATACCATCCATCCAAATATTCCAAGTCTTTTTAAACTGTTCTGGAATTATTTTCAGGGCACCTGTGCTTACTGCTTCCTTAGCTTGAGCAGCCATTTCATTACACTTGATATACCTAAATAAGAAAAATGTTAGATGCTTCTAAAAATTTGACTACTATAGTATATAATGTGTTATGTTACTTACCATTGCGGTTTCACAAGAGGTTCAACGACATCTTTTGATCGACTGCATATAGGTATTACCATTGGATTATCTTTTATAGTAATCACGCGACCCTTTTCTGTCAATTCCTTAATGATAGCCACCCTAGCGTCAAATCTTTTCATTCCCTATAATTAAAATTTAATTTATATATATTTATGTACACTTATTTCATTATGCATAATAAAATTTCAAAACAAAGTTGTTATTATGTAATATGTATATGAGGACGTGTTCAAAATCACAGACCAAGAAAGAAATAATTTTTTTATGCGAAAATAAATTAAAAATACAAAATAAAATATTTTTATGTGAGGTATTATTTTCTAATAAACTTAAATTAATGTAATTTAAAAAATTTGAAAATTATAACATTTTGAAAATTAAAACATATTTACAATTTTTAAAGCTTAATTTTAATGACATTATATCATCAAATTAATCTAAACTATGATTATTAATATATAAAAAGTATGCTTTATTTAGTAAAAAAGTTTTTAATTTAAATTATACTTAAAAAAGATATAAAAAATCATGATTATTTTTACTCTGAATGGAATATTATATTCTTGACATATATTTTGATACTAGTGAAGCTAAAGTATGTATATATAATCAAAAATATATAATTAAATTTGTACTTCGATTTAGGAAGAGGAGAATGTAATCTAAGCATATATAAAGAAAGATATGATACCGTAAATTTTCCACAGTTTGCAGTAATATTTCCATCATCATCAAAAATATTTATGAATGGTAGATTATGTCTTTTTCCTACTTCATAATCATTTGGATCATGAGCTGGTGTAATTTTTACACAACCTAAATAATCAGATTAGACATACTTTCACACTCGCTCCATTTTTTCACGAAATTTATTAAGAAATATTTACCAGTGCCAAAGTTTATGTCGACAAATTCATCTGCTACAATGGGTATACGTCTATCACAAAACGGATGCTGCACATATTTTCCTATGTATTGTGCATATCTACTATCGTTTGGATGCACAGCAATAGCAGTATCTCCTAACATAGTTTCGATACGAGTAGTTGCTACAATTATTTGGTCTTCCGAATCAAAGAGCTGATAAGCAAAAAATACTAAAACCCCAAATTCTATTTTCTTTTCATAGCCAGGTATTGATAATAGAGTTCGACCACTTAATTCCACTTTATCAACCTATATTTTTAACATATTTTTAATAAAAATTTCCATATTAATCTTAAATATAAACTAAAAATTTAGAAAAGATAAATTTAAAAAAAAATATTTGAATATAGCACTCACTTCAATATCTGATATTGCACTTTTTAGAGCACATGACCAATTAACTAAACGATTGCTGCGATAAATAATGCCTTCATCATGCAAGCGCACAAACGCTTCTGTTACAGCTTTACATAATTTAGGATCCATTGTAAAACAAGCACGACTCCAATCAAAGGAACCACCTATTTTCCTTAATTGTAAATAAATTCTATCTCCCTTTCTGGAAAATATTTCAGATGAAGAAATATCATGATTAGATATTATTATGTCAAACATTACATTTGTTGTAATTTCTATATAAAAATTATTTAATATTTTGTTTAAATTTTATACTTACTCATGCTTCCACTGCCATATTCTTTTGATAAATTCTTCTCTTCCAATATCATGACGAGTTTTCTTTTCTTCTTTCCAAAGCTGTTTCTCTACAACTACTTGAGTAGCAATACCTGCATGATCACAACCTGGATTCCAAAGAGTCATACGGCCTTTCATACGATTCCTAAATAAATACAGCAATTTTAATAGTTTATTCATACAAAAAAAAATTTCAGAAAAATCATATCCCAAACATATATAATATTTACCATCTAGTAATAGTATCTTCCACAGCATTAGTTAGAGCATGTCCAAGATGTAAAAAACCAGTTACATTAGGTGGTGGTATTATCATTACAAATTTTTCTTTCGTATCTTCTTTAAATATATCTTTCCTCTAAAATAAATACATTTTAATAAATAAACTTGTTTTTTATGTATTTATATAAATATAAAAAAATAAAATACATATAATATAAAAAACATATATTTATATAAATCTAAATAATTTTTTTAATCTTCCATATATTTACATACTCCATATTCTGGTTTAAAAAAGCCTTCTTTTTCCCACCAAGCATACCATGCGGCTTCTACATATTGTGGGCTATACGTCTCTGGCATTGGACATGAAATATCTTTCTTCTCCCCAGGTACTACGTTAATAGTATAGATTGATGTGATCTCTTTCTTCTTATCATTTTTCTAAAATATATTAAATTAATATGTTAGATACTACATACAAATATACAAATATTATGTTTTCCATTTGATTATAAATTTAATCAACCTTAGATTTGTTGGTTTTATTTCATACTTTTTATGTTCAGATTATTCGCTTTCTCTTTCTTCCATGCTCAAATATACATATATATATATATATTTTATCTCATTTCAAATACAGAAAATTGTAGAGAATGCAAACAGAACAAACAGATATTTTGCTTTTCTTGAATCTCTTAGTAATTGTTAATAAATGTTATGTATATGTATATTTATTGTGATGTGAACCAAATAATCCAAGACATGAAAAATAACTAATTAAAATAATTAAATCAGATTTATAAAAATTGTCTAATGAATGGTGAAGGAATCCATATGGTTAATTAAAATACCAGATTTATGTGCATGCTTTCTGTACTATTAGGGCCAGAGAATTTAACATATTTTAGGATATATACTTACATCTTGCTTTTCTTTCACCTTTGTTGGCTTTTCACTTTCCTTTTTCTCCTGTTTTTGTTTAAATTTCTCCAACTTTGCCAATTTTTTGGCCTCCTTTTGCAGTTGCTTTGCTGTTTTCTGAGGACCATTTTCCGCAACCACATCCGTAGTTTCATCATTTTTTATGTTAACCATTTTCTTTTTTTCAATAAAAGAAACTCAACATTTGTCTATTTCCTGTTTTATATTCAAACCAGAGAGCCTCTTTGGACAAGTGACTGATGAAACGTTCAAATGATTGCAAAACCACGAAAGTGTCATCCAGCACGTGGGATTGCGTGGGATTCGTGCTTCGCAACTGAATTTTCTATATTAATGTATACGAAAAATGAGATAGCTAATCATTTGGAAGTTGAAGAGAAAGAGAGGAAGAACAAAAAAGTGCAAGAAGTTCAGCTACAAAGAACAAACGTTAAGGCCGCAGCACACACTTTTGCATAAGCGCATAACCATAAGCATAAGGAAATTGATTGGTCCCCAAGTATATGCATAAGAAAATGAACCATTGAGAGAATGGCCTTTAGAGAGTCCCATTTTGAATTGGCCAATTGGCAACGTGGTCAATCGGGTGCCACCCATATTACGTGTATCGTACAAATTTGGACGTAGCGATTAACTATCGAATAAAAAATTTCTAGAGTTTCCACTAGAAATTCTCTATTTGACAACCAATCGATATGTTTGACAAACTTATCGTGTGTGAACTTATCAGCCTTCACAATTTCTTTTAAGCGGCGTCTACAATGGGTGCTTTCCATTTAGCGACACAAGTCGGCACAAGTGTCATTCTATCTTTTTTCAATAAATAACAATAAACAAAGATAGAATGACACTTGTGTCGACTTGTGTCGCTAAATGGAAAGCACCCAATGAGATTTTAAGGCGTAAGACTTAGGCCCGGTTCCACAACTCGAGTTAATCCGAGTTTAATACGTTAAACTGGGTCCTGATTGGTCCATTTGCTACTTAAACTCGGATTAATTGGATTGTGGAACTGGGGCTTAAGAGATTGACCAATCACAGTCAATTATTAAGACAAGACTCGACTGTGATTGGTCAATTTCTTAAATCTTACGCCTTAAGTCTCCTTAAAATCTCATTGGCCGCATTCAGCGGATATAACCGCTAAGTAGCAATCGAATATGATTGGTTTCTACTTTTAGGTCCGACCAATCAGCGTCGAATTACGTTGGAAAATCTAGTAATGTTGCCCAACTGTTGAGTCCGCTGAATGCGGCCATTATAGACGCCGTATTAGATCACATGATCATTAAATTCTATAGTTATAGAGTTTATAATAATGAACCATTCTTGATATTTTTGTTCCAAGAATTAAAAAAAAAGACAAAGTAATTTATTGCAATTATCTTTTTCATTATATTAAATCTACATATATATAACGTATATAAAGCCAATCAATTTACAGTTTGTCCGTAAGAGCGAAGATTTGATTAGCTAGCATATCGCTTCTTGCCACGTGTGACGCATTGACGTCTGTATGCAAAAGTTTTTATTGTGTAGCGGTTTAGTCCAAATATATATATCAGCTGTGTATATTGTGTATATTATATATTGATCTTTATTTATTAGTAATTAACAATAAACACAGTAAGATAATATGTATTGATATATTTATAAATTTTTAGGTGGAAACTTGGAAATAAATTTACAATCTATATTTATATTTGTATGAAAAATAAAAATCGTCAATAATAAATCGCGATTTTCTACAAATTTGCGAAAAATGTATGGTAAATTGTAATAAGATATAATGATTTGTGAAAAATATTTACAAATTTTTACAAGTTTCTACCACTTTATGCGAATTATTGTAATAAGTTATATAAATTGTAAATTATATATATATAACTAAACTACACACATGCTATAATTGTAGAAAAATCACAACTTTCTACGTAAATTTTTGGAAAACTGCATAATTTATGAAAAACATATGGTTCAAATCGTGTACTTTTTTTACGTAAGTTACCTCCTAAAAAATTGTAGTTTTCGCATAATTTTCGCGCGAAGAGCTGTAAAATTATTTCCATCATAGGTTATATTATTTTCTATTTAATTTTGTAATTTTTCAGGAGTGTGTATATTTATTTGACACGTGTCTTTTTTTTACATCTTTCAGAAATATATATCAGATATATATATATATATATATATATATATATATATATATATATATTTTATATTTTTTTTTCTCTCAGTGATAATTTCTAAAATTTATGGATAATATATGGAGCTCGTGTTAATTATTCTTTGAAGCTGACAAATTTAAAATGACAAATGCCTGTTGCGATGATATTCTATTAAAATTGTATTATTTTTTTTGCGGCACATGGTCAAATGACTGATGGTCACGTGACTGTTCCCCGTTCTACGATCCTCTCCATCCCCCGTTCTACGATCCTCTCCATCCCCCGTTCTAGTCCATCTGTTTCGCCTCGGGCAAGTTCGGGAAATTGGTTAGGGAGGTTACTAAACGGCAATAATCTCATGTCAGATGTGGAGAAATCGCTGCCACTTGCTGTCAATTAAGTCTTGTTGACCGTAGTTAATGCACCGAAACATAAAGAATCGGAATAATCGTGTTGAAAAATCAATTGAAAAGAAAAAACGAGGAGCAGACAATTTCGTTTGTTCGAAGAACGTGAAGCGGAAAATCTTGTGTATTTTGCGTAACAAAACAAAAAACTTTCAACAAACTGACTGCGTCTACATCATCTGACCTTGATAAAAATACGCAATTATGTCCCTATTGCCTGTTATTTATCTCTTCTGATAACAGTTTGTTCTACACACTTTTCTCATCGCTCATCAATTCAGTTTTAATTGTTTTTGATAACTTTGCGATATAATGAATAGTTTATAAAGAGATTCACTGATTTTTAAGTCCGCGATCTCTAATGAAAGAATTACGGTTCTTTTTGTGATTGCATAATAAATGCATTTTACCACCTGGCAAACAGCGATAAATCCATGGAACACGTAAATTTCATAAAGTTATGCAATGTGATGTGTGTCATCGATTTGAGAAAAAATATCTCATGTACAAGGAACAATTTAGTATAAAAAAAACAAGTGGAAAATTCTTAAAAACTCATATGATATACTTTTGGTTCATACTTTCGATACGACGATGAAATTGTTGAAATGAGATGGATTAATTGGGAAAAATTTTGGTGGACCATGTGTACTGCTACAAGTATGAAATCTTGACAAAAAGGGGACATATTTTTTTAGCGAACAATGGCTTGTGATGCTCTTATTTGGGGGCTATTGTTTGTAGGATGCGTACAGATATTATGGGCTATGTCTGAAGATGATCCATTAGAATATATGAGCAAGGAAGAAAGAGAAGCTTTAAAGTTTGTATTATCTACTATATGATTAGATCTCTGCATCAATCCTTTTATAATTGTGCTATTATATTTTATAGAGAAGAAGCAAGGGATATGTTTTATCATGCATACAATGCCTATATGGTAAATAACATTTGACGGTCTTTTAACTTTTATTTGTATTGCATTGATATTTTTAAAATAAAAGTAATATGTCTTAGATTTATTAATATAAGTCAAAAAGAGATAACACCTTAGCATATTAAATAAAAGAGAAAATAAAAATTAAGCGAGAATATATAGCAATTATGAAAATTAAATACAAGAGGCTAATCATTATAAATCATAAATAATTAATATTTTTTACTGTTTGTATATTAGAAGAGAAGAACATCATTTTAATATAGATTTATATAAGTTTAACATTTTATAAAATTATTAATAAAATATTTCCTCTAATCTTTGTACAAGGAAAATGCATATCCTGCTGATGAATTGATGCCATTAAGCTGTAAAGGGCGATATAGAGGCTCAGAACCAAACAGGGGTGATATAGATTCTACATTGGGAAAGTAAGAAACTAAATATACATAGAATTATATGAAATAAATTATATATCCCAATAATAGTTATGTTTTATTGATTGTATTATTTTTGATCAACTAATCTTGATATCAACATATAAAAATATTGACAGCTTGGCTATAATTATATTCATTCAGGAACAATTATTTTATAAAAGTAATTTGTTATTATTACTCAATTTTTAATAACTCATTACTCTCATGAACATTGAATAGTTAAAAAACTAATATTCATAAACAAGTATATAATCAACACAATTTACGAAGTAATTATACATTATCATTTATCAATTTATGTTTTTGAATTTGTATAGACAATAAATTGTCTTTTAAGCTATAGATATAAAAATAAAATATATAAAATGCGCTTTTTATATATATGGATTTAAAAAGCTACAAATCATAGTTAATACTGATTATAAATTAATAATATATAATCAATTATTGAATACTTACACTACTTGTTTTTGAACATATTAATATTTAATTGTTTAATAGTTTTTATTTTTATAATTGTTATTTATTATCTATGCAAGTTTGGAAATTTAGTTGAATTTTTATTTTATGTATTTGATACACATACTTTTTTTTTAGAAAGATTTTATTTAGATATATTTATTGTTTTAGGCAAATTATATAATCATAATTTACTCTAATTTATGTATTGTATTTGCTACAGTTTTTCACTTACTTTGGTGGATACACTAGATACATTAGTGGTAAGTTTAATAATAAATAATTTAATAAACTATATTATAACATGTATTACAACATCACAATTCCTATATATATATAAATATCTCATATATGTCAGGTATTAGGAGATTTGGAAGAATTTGAGAATGCAGTCAAACTTGTTGCTAGAAATGTAAGCTTTGATACAGATGTTATTGTTTCATTGTTTGAAACAAATATTAGAATGCTTGGGTAAGTAAAATTATTATAATTATAATCAAAACTTTTACATATGTGCACACGCACGCACACTCACACACACACACATTTAATAATGTCTATTTAGAAATATATTTGATTGTAAGTTATTTAATTTATATTAAATTTATATTTATATTAAATGTTATAATAGTATTTACTTTTTATAGAGGTCTTCTTAGTGGTCACATATTAGCCGAATATCTACAACAAAGGGCTGATATAATGCCATGGTATAGAGGAGAACTTTTGGATTTAGCTAAAGATTTAGGATTTAGATTTTTACCTGCATTTAACACAACTACTGGAATACCTTATGGCAGAGTAAGTTTATTTTTATGCAATGATTTAATTACATCATATAGATTTTAAATAAAATTTTGTATGAAAATCTCTTTTTTTACATCTATATTAAACCAAAGATAATTCAATGTCAAATTTAATATTAATCAAATATATTATATATTTGATATGAATAAGAATGTTTTCTAAAAATATCTTCAGATAAATTTAAAACATGGCATGAAAGGAGTTCCTATGGAAGTATCAAAAGAGACATGCACTGCTTGTGCAGGTAGTATGATATTAGAAATGGCTGCTTTATCTCGATTAACGGGCGAACCAATATTCGAGGTAAAATATTCTAGATATGCAAGTAATGTATACAATAATATAATAAATAACATAATAAAATAATAAAATAGTATTAATTAGATATTACTATATATATATATATATATATATATATATATATATATATATATAGTAATATCTAATTAATATTAAATGCTAGAACTATTTCTTTAGGAAAAGGCGCAGAAAGCTATGGATGTTTTGTGGCGAATGAGACATCGTGGTACAGACTTAATGGGATCTGTATTGAATGTAAACTCTGGGGATTGGGTACGAAGAGATTCTGGTGTCGGCGCTGGCATAGATTCTTATTATGAATACTGTCTTAAGGCATATATTTTACTTGGTAATTATATACACATTCATATATATGTATATGTATAATTTTTAAGCTAAATTATCATATATAATATATTTCGCATTTTTTATGCAGGTGATGAAAAATATTTAGGACGTTTCAACAAACATTATCAAGCTGTAATGAAGTATGTTAGTCAAGGACCTATGTTGTTAGATGTCCACATGCATAGACCAAACACCAACTCTAAAAATTTCATGGATGCTTTATTAGCCTTTTGGCCAGGTCTGCAGGTATATATTATTAATTGCCATATTTAAAAAAAATTTGTTTATTTGACATTTCTTATTTATTTGACTATATTTCTTTATAAGGTTCTTAAAGGTGACATCAAACCTGCTGTAGAAACACATGAAATGCTGTATCAAGTTATACAGAGACATAATTTTATACCAGAAGCATTTACTACTGATTTTCAGGTACATATTATTTACATAATTGATAAAATATATAGAATTATCATTTTTATATAATGAGTTTTTTATGTTATATAATAACATTCGGAAAAATAGGTACATTGGGGACATCATCCACTGAGACCAGAATTTTTAGAATCAACATACTTCTTATATCGAGCCACAGGCGATCATTATTATTTAGGAGTCGGGCGTAAAGTACTCAAAAGTCTGCAAACATATGCAAGAGTACCATGTGGTTATGCAGCTGTATCAGATGTTAGAACTAACAAACATGATGATACAATGGATAGCTTTGTATTGTCAGAGACATTTAAATATTTATTTTTATTATTTGCGGAACCAGGAGAATTAATTTTAGAATTGGATGAATTTATTTTTACTACTGAAGGCCATTTATTACCACTCACACTTGCTTCCATAAGAACGAATATTTCATCTGTAAGTGAACGAATATTTTTGAAAAATATAATTGATATAAGTAATGTAGACATGATTGAATTTTACATTTTATATTTTGAATTATATGATAGGACTTCGAACGAGATATCGTGTATGTGGACGAATTTGATCGAACTTGCCCAAATAGTTTACATTTGTTTCCTGCGTCAGTAAGACAACCTTTGAGAAATATGGTTGAGGATGTTTGCCCGAGACGATCGATTAAACGACGATTAAGCGCATCACAATTTCAAGTTTGTTTAAATTATATATTCACGTATCTATTAGTAAAGAAATATATCTAGAAATTTATCTCTTTTTTTCTGTAGGCAAATAATTTGGAACATTTGAAAATATTGAGTGATATGGGGATAACGACTTTAACATTAGCAGATGGGCGGATTCAGCTTTTGCACACATTTTCTAATGTAATTTATTCTTTATACATACATACATACATACATACATACATATATATATATATATATATATATATATATATGTATATATATATATATATATATATATATATATATAGACATATATAAAATTTTATTTATATATTTTATCATGATCTATATTACATGATCAATTATAATTGGATTAAATAGGCGAAGACGACGCAAGATTCAGAGGAAGGATTATTATTCATGCAAGAAATGGTAGAACTGAGTAAGATGCAAATGCAACAACCAGAAACTAAACCGCAAACAGTAACATTCATAAGACCCAATACAGATCCATTGGAAAAAGTTACACTATTAGCTGGACCGGCGCAATTCGGGCCTGATTTACAAAATTTCGATAAGATTTCTGGAAAAGTGATATTTACATATCCACCCGCAGCTTGTACTGATCTGCACAATGCAGACAAATTGGCAGGCAAAATAGCAATTGTGAATCGCGGAAATTGCATGTTCATAGAAAAAGTATATATCATTGCAAGACTTTTTTGGTTTTCTCAAACCAACTTTCTATCTCGATTTTCGTATTTTAGGCACGCAGAATTCAAAAAGCTGGTGCGCTTGCTGGAATAGTATTGGATAATATTGCCGGTTCGAGTGCGGCAACATCGCCCATGTTTGCTATGTCCGGTGATGGAAAAGAGATAGATGACGTTACAATACCTGTTGTATTTCTGTTTTTCACAGAAGCAGCCGAGTTAATGAAGGCTATTAATGCAGCAGATGGAGATCTTACTGTTACGCTTGGTAATAATAATTAAATATACATATCAGACACATAGACGCACAAAGTGAAATATATAAATCCCACTTCTCGGGCATTATTTTATAAGAAAACTTTACTGCAGTTTTTAATATTTCTTTGGTCAATTTAGAATCGATTTCTTTTTAAAGATATTAAGAAATCAGTTATTTTCAAGTTATAGATAAATTAAAGAAATTTTTCTCAAATTAAATTTTATAGAGCTAGACAAGCTAACAAAAGAGCTATATTTTTAACTCATTTTAGTTATGAAGATTTATTTACAGAAATATGTACAGAAGGCTAGAAATTGAAATGTTGAAATAATGAAGATCTTATTAAGAATAACAAATTAATAAATAGATAAAGAATAAATATATAGAATAAATAGAATAAATATATAAATATCAAGAATAAATTATGTATTTTTTGTAAAGGATAAAAGTTTTAAAAAATTGTTAAAAATCTGGATATCATTTTCGCTATAGAGATATACTTCAATCAATTAGAAGAATCGATTAGTAGGATCGATTTTTCTTGAATAAGATATCTATATTGAAAAAGATATTAAAAACTATATATAATAATAAAAATAAAAACTATATAATATATAATATATGTAACTATATGTACTATATAATATATGTAATTATATATTTATTTTATTATGTGTTTTTTACACATGATTATAGGAATATATTCTTCTAAAGAAGAGATTCAACTTAAAGCGCCTACTGATTTATCATTATTTGAACGTGTAAAAGGATCGTTAAAATCATTTCTCAGCCGACATGTAACTCCACAGGTCTGTTGAATTATTATATAAGATTTATTTTATATTTTATATAAAATTTATATTTTACATATTTTATATCAAATTTTAAGTTATATATCTTTTTATAGGCGACAACTATTGGATCTAGTTTGGATATAACAATTCCTGTAATTGAATCACAAGAAGATCAAGAGGATGTAGTCGATTTTCATTATTTTCACGCAGAAATCATCAAAGATTCATTAAATGGTGAAGTCAAAATTACTGCCACATCTGAAGCTGCAATTATCATCTTAAGACCAGTTTCTACACCAACAGAAATTTTATGGCATCAGTTGAAAGAAGTGTTTGTCAATCAGATATTCCTTAATAGGAAACAAAATAAAGGTATAAGAATCAGAAGTTTTATTTTAGAGAGCTATTACAATTGGGTAAACAAAGAGCGTGGACTGCTTACGAAAACATCACTGTCTTATAAAGTTCGATGGTTCTTAAGTGAACTATTAGTAGTTGCACCAAACTCATCTATTAAAAAGATGGGACAGTTATTAGAATTAAATAAACAAAAGTTATTAAAACAATATTTACTCACAAATATGGATACTATGGTGTTAAATTTAAAAACGGTAGCTACAAAATTGAAGAGTATAAAATCAGTAAGACCCAAAATGGAGCAATTATTAAAAATTTCAGAATCTGGCATTACACAGGTTGAATATTACTCGTTCTTACGTCATTTATTAGTTGATTTGTTCGATGAAGAAGATGAGATCATTAATCGACATATTGCTCTTTTGGATCATATTCATGCGGAGGTACACTCTATATATCAAGAAATATTAATTGATGGAGTACACAGGCACCTTGAAAAGTTAGGAGAAGAAGATCATTCATATTATGATATATTGATTGCTGATTTACAGAAGAATTTAAAAAATGTAGATAAAGAAGAAAATTTACTTGGAAAAATTAAAGAGAATGATTTGGCAGTTGCTGAATTTATAAGTGATAGTAATGGAGGTAAAGGAGATATTGAAACTAAAAATATTAACATTTTAAAGAAGGATAAGAAATCAAGCACTAATGAAATAAAGGATTTCGAATATTTCATATTGACAGAAATAGAAAAAGCTGTGAAATACTCTGAGCAAAATACCTTAGAAAAGTATGATGATGTAAATAGTGAATTGAAAAATGTTGTTATACAAGATAAGAAAAATAAGGATGCTGTTAAATCTGATGATATTATTCTGTTCTCTAAAAATCAAAGCGAAGGTGATGATAGAAAGAATGAAGTTCAAAGTTTACAGAAAAAATTAGGCTTACAAGCAACAAAAGCAGTAGATGTGAAATTTGAGAAAGTAACTATTCAGGAAAAACAAGAGGAAAAATCTTCTACTGACTCTATATCCGATACTAACAGTATAATACACAAATATCATGCCTCTGATATACCTACAACACTAGATACTAATGTAGAGACAGCTTTTTCCAATAAAAAGCATACTTTATTGCAAGCAATACAGAAAGATATTAATGACATACAACATTCTTATAAAACTATTTTAAAAGAAAAAACGTTTAATAAGAAAGATTTGATTGCAAATAAAATCATATTTACTGATCCATTAGAAGAATTTAAAAAATTTATATCGACTATCAATGAGGGAAAAGTATTTCCAAAAAAGTTACACATTGCAGATGCACAATATAATACCATAAAATTAAATGAATTGAAATATGAAAAAAAATATGTAAGCAAAAACAAAGATAAAGAAACTAAACCAAAATTATATATAGCTAAACATATCGATGATGAATTATAACAATAGCTTTTAAGATTTAGGCTAAATTATAGTTATAAAAATGACAGAGAATCAATTCCCAACGGCCATAAGGCTATCTGCATAAGGCTGCATTGCAAATGATATTTTTGCACTGTGATCTAAATGTGTGTGTGCAATGAATTTTAATTGATTTCTATATACACAAGATAATCTAAAAAAATTCCAATTATTCGATAAAAAAAAAATAAACTAAAAACTGTCAGATTATAACAATGCTATAATATAAATTCATAGAAAAACTTTCTCTGTAGATTTTAAATCAATGCTTATAAGAAAATCTATTTCCATTTGTTATCTAAGGGATGATATTACTATAGCATCCATAATATATACTATGAACATAACATGTGTGATACATATATGTTAAAGTGGTTGTGAAGGCATATTCTGAACAGATGGTTAACTGATACATGTACATATATTTCGTGTATTATAGTAGAATCTTCTACATACACTCTCACTAACGTACGATAGCAGATTCTTTTTCTCTTCCATGAAAGCAAATTTGTGTCCTGATAAATCTATTCTATGATTTGTATTATATAATTGTATTATATAATTATATATGTATATAATTATATATGTATATTATAAATTTAGAAAATGAAAATAGCACTTTAAAATATAATGTAAGAATATAAGTAATATCACAAATCAGAATAGATGCAATATTTTCTTTTTATTAATATTTTGTATCAATTCATTTAAAGATGTGCCATGATTATTGATAATATGTTTATGCAATTTAAGATAACATTTAGTATAAAAATAAAAATGCTCAAAGCATAATTTTTAATTTTTTGCAAAAACTAATATTAATCTTCTTTGATTGTATTAATGTAATTAAAAATCTATTTACAAAACAGTATTTTATAACAAGAAATTATGTACTTCAAATTTTATATCAGTCATATATTTTTGTAAACTTTTATTTACATAAGAATTTTGTTAAAACTTTGTCAATTTAAAAATTAAATTTTTTGTTAAAATTTTCGAGTATATTTTTAATTTTAGAGTAATAAGAATATATTTATATTTTATCAGCTAAACTAAATAATGAAAAAAAAAACATAATATATAATATATATATATATATATATATATATATATATATATGTATGTATATATATAACAAATATGACAATTCCAAAAACTTTATGTTACAATTTATGAATTAAAATATGTCTTAAATGTACATAATATGTACAAAAATATATATATCTCAGTGTGTGTATATAATATGTAAGAAATATTATGTTACATAAAGTAAACTTTATTATGGTGTTATAAATAATTGAAATAAGTTTGGTCTTTTGATAACTTTCCGCTCTACATATTCTTTTTATTTATTAATTTTGCACACTATTTATACATGAATATATTCTATAAAAATACATTAAAAGCATTAATATTTCTTAAGTATAAATCGCTTATAATGATAATGTCATATAATATCCATATCATACAATTATTTATTATTGATTTCATGCAATCAGTTTCAATTAAATCACATTATGTTATATACTATTATAGATACAAGATATCCAGCAATAATCGTATCACATCTCGTGTACAAGTAAAGTGAATTAAAAACAGATAAAGCACAATACATAATTAAATGCTTGATTGTTAATTCTAACTTCGTCGTTAATCGCAGCAATCATATTTATGAAGCATTGAAAAATATTTTTATAAAATTTAATATTTGATAAAATTATTTTTTAGAGAACTTTAAATTATTATCTGCTACGCTTTTTAAAATTCTTTTATATTATTTGTTTAATTATCTTTTATATTTTTATTATTAGTTAAAAATAAATATAAAATAATTGGAGAAAGTATAGCTAGTGATTTGAATTTCGCACGTAAATTGCGAAAGTCAAATGGCAGTCATAGCATCGTATTATCTATGGACAGATTGTGGACTCTAGTGGCCGATCACATATTAGAATAATCCATGCCATATGTATTGGCGCGCGCATGACGTTTATAACCGTTTTGAAATCTTTTCTTGACAATAACTCATCAATGAAAAATAAATAAATAAATTGCATGCAATTACACGTTTCTCGATCTGTATATTTAGTTTCGTCGATCGATAATTTTTCAATTCTTCATAAAATGAATCGCGTAGAAAATGTCAGGTCCAGTGGTATAATGTATACACCGCGAACACCGCAAATGCGAGAACGACAACGATTTAATTTAACTATTAGACCAGATAACGAAGAGGACGATGTTTCAGGACTGGAAGGTACGTAGAATGTTTTATTTTATGTTTGGAAAAAAAAGATTTGGAATTTTAAATATATATAAGTCAATAAAATTGCGATTTAATATATCACAAGAATTTCTCCTATCTTTAATAATTAATCTCCAAAATATCTCGTTTAAATGTATAGATCAAAAATTTCCCTTGTGCTTGAAATATATATTCTGTCACAAATATTTACAATATTTGTTTATATATTTAAATATTACTATATTTTACATTGTTTTTTTATATTTTTTTATATATTATAAATATATAATATAAATATATATAAACTTTTTACAGATTTAGTAGGCCAAACATGGAATGTTTACGCTGTATCTGCTTTATTTGGTTTTCAACAGGATGATATCCATTTTAAATTATATTCAAAAAGACTAAGAGAAGAAATTGCAAGTACTTTATCACATGAAGATGTAACTTACGATGCAAAGTTTTCTATTATGGAAAATGTTGTGCTTAAACCAAATCATGAAAATCATCCAGCAATTAAGGTTAATAGAGAAATATCAATATTTTTCTTATTTAATGACATTTTTATTAAATATCTTAATTAAATATACTTTATATGAAGAATAATAAAATTTGAGAGAGTTTATTTGAAATTTATTTTTTAGATTGAAGTTCTAGCTAAAAATAATGATACTGAGAAAGAAAAATCTCTTTATCAAGGGATATTGTTATCCTGGGATATAACACAATCTGAACAAAGTAAAGAAAATCTCATACGATTACCTCTTCTGTTATGCCGTGGTACTAGTACTGGTATAGATGCAGTACATGCTACAATTATTCGCATGTTTGATTGCTCAATAATTGTGCTACCAGCCAAAGAGTGTGATTTAAGCTGGCTTGTTCCTATTATAATTATGACTAACAAAGAAGAACCTGTAGTTTCTGGTGAAATTCAAATGGTATATACAGTACCAGAATTACCAATTACAGATACTATTACAGTTAAATTTCAAACTGGAGATTTAAGAAAGATATTATCAGCGTACGTATAGTATTAATATTCAATTATGTAAAAATACTTCTAAGATTATTATGGATATACATATTCTATACAATTTTATATTATTTATTAATTTACAGCATTATCACAAATCAAAATGATGAAAATGTATTCCTTAATCGTGAACACATAGAAATCTTTTTTGAAGCCTTACATAAGCAAATGTTAATACTGGGAGGTTTGAAATTAGGATTATGTACATTGCATAGAATTAATCTGCCTGGAATAACTATAATGGAGAACAGAGTGAGTTTGTCTATATTTATATATATCTTTTTTTCTTATTTTATATTAAAATCATTTTATTTTCTTGAAACATATTTGCTATACTTGATATATATTTATAGTCTAATACATCCTTTTTGTATTTTTATTTCTAGATGAAGATAGTGAATGTAGAAATTATGAATAATGTATTATTATATTTAAATGAAAAAGCTCGTGATATATTTCATACAGTACATATTGATATATGAATTTCCTATTTTATATTGTTTTGTAACATATAACTAGTTCTCTAATATATAACTTAAATGCAGTAATTATCATGATTATTACATTAACTACTTAAATTCCACTTATAGTTATTGCTTATTAGTTAAAAAATATCACATTGGTTTTCAACATAAAACATCTATGGCTATTTATTTATTTTATGCATCACATTTATATATTATACATCATTTCATACATCATTTTATTAGAAAAAAAAATATTTGCATATATTCATACATTTGTTAACGTTATTTCTAAAAATTAAATCAAATTTAAGATCATTCTCGTATTTACTTCTATCTTAATTATATTTCTGCCTTAAGTAATTCTATATCCATCTGTAAAAGTAAAAAAAACTTATAAAGAAATATTACAAATAATCAAATTCAATATTCATTACATAACAATATAAAAACTTACGATATTTTTGGTATTCCTTTCTTTATTTTTTTTTTCTATTGTTCTTTTTTTATTTTGTTGCATATAATGTTCAAAATTTAGGTAGTTATCTGGTTTTTCATCAAATGGCGAAGGTACAAATATTCCAAGCACTTCAGGTAACATAAAAGATTTTAACCATGTCACAAGTGGAGTATATCCAAAATAATAATGTGCATTACGATGATAAAATAAAAACCCATCTATAGATTTTAATTCAAGATCAAGTTGTGTCAAAGCAAAACTTAAATCTGAATCACAATTAATATTTTGTAGAGGTAAAATAGGATATTTATTTATATCGGTATCACATTCTTTGAATTCTTTTGTCTCACAGATTTTGTTATTTATCCAATATAACCTCATTTGGGCCTAAAATTTATTTAATTATCATTTTTTGATTAGATAGTTGATATAAACTTCTAAAATATATAAACAGTATCTATATATGTACATTACCTCACAGAATGTGAATGGTAATTGACACCAATACAATACATCCAATATGTAATAAATTTGTTGATCCTTTACCCATATACAATCTACAATCGCAGAATGACGCATATCTGCATCAGAATTTCCACCTGGAAGTGCTGAAGGGAAAGTTTTACGTAGCGCACCATTTCTAGAATATGCCTTTGTTATACCCTAATTTAAATTAAAATCATTATTATTTCATATTTAATAACTAAAGATTTGTTTCAAATAAACACAAGTAGATAAAGATCAATACCTGTCTTGAAATCAATCTAGTTCGTTGCCCTATAGGACATGGAACCATGATCCAATTCTCAGAAAAATCTTGTGGTACATCAAACATCCATTCTGACAGCATCATTCGATTAAATTTTTTATATTTTCGTGGATATCTGGATTGTGAAGAATATTCTTCTACATCCATAGAGTTCTCATTTTCTAATTCAGAGGAATATGTCTCTTCAAATATACCACGTGCAATATTGAATGCTTCATGCCTCTGTCTATAAGTAGAATAGTATATTATGCAATAAAAATAGAAGCTGATAAAAATTTAAATGTAATTATAGCAATTATGTGCAATTAATTATAATAATTGTTAATATGACTAAAAATATGGTTAAAAAACATTGAAATTTGTTTAATTCAGATTAACTTCTTTCAATGATTAAAAAGATTAAATTAGCTATTAAATCCTATTGATCTTTATTGTACTTTATGTGTATCTTTTGCAGGATTTTATAAAATATTTTATATATAATATAAACATTAATCTTTTTCTACATTAACAAAACCTATAGAAATATATAAAATTTTATAAATTATGCAGTATATTATACTCTTTTTGATGTTTCAACAACAGTTGACGTCTTTCTTCTTGATGTGAATTTTCATCAAGTTCCAACTTAGTATTATCTTTTCTGATGCGGTTTTTATAAAATGTCCTACGTACAACTTCTTTCGTATCACAATCAGTCTTGTTATTCAATACTTCTGTTGCCATTTTCTTGTAATCTGTTAAATAGATATAATAAGAATAATTTCTTATTTTGATAGCACAAATAAGTAACATAGGACACAAATTTGTATTTATTTAATTTTTAGAAAAAAGCCATTTTAATATATTTTGTCTCAGAAAATTTATATATTTAATAGAAACAAGATATTAAATAAATAAAGCTATGATCATTTGATATTATTTTACAATATTATTTTACAATAAATTAAAAATTATATTAAAATTGATCACAAGTGCAAATACCTAAAATATTAATCATGTACTACTTTTCAATTTTCATCAATAACGTGTATTGTAAATTTAAAAAAATTTTTTTTTCTTGTTGCAAAAATTCTTATTTTCAAATTACCGTTTTTATCGTATATATGTGATATTTCTTTTTTATATAATTATTTGTATAATTATTATCTCAATCAACGCAACCAATGCATCTTGTGCATCACATACGGATATACAGGTACTTTCCGATTGATGCGCATGAAGCATGAAGTAACAGAAAATGTATAGTTCATGTCACGCATATTATACATTTTCTGTCACTTCATGCGCATCATGCGTGAATCGGAAAGTATCCGTAGATGTGTAGATTGTATAAATATACCATAGACTTACATAGTAAATAAGAACATGAATAAATCGTATAATTTTAACCAATCAAATAGCTGCGTAGCATTTGAAGCTCGAACTTAAGACGATCTCAAACATGGACGTAAGAAATACTGGACAGAGTGTATTGCTGCGTGAGTGAAGCTCAAAGGGTGAGGGGAAAGAAATGTCTACTGCAACGGAATATGAGGCATGTAAGATGGCGACGGATATTAATTTCACGGAGTGTGATATTTTTGAATTTCTTAATATTCAAAAATGATTCGGAATAACACAGCAATTTCAGATGATAGATGATTTCACGGAATCTCTCATATTTTATTCGATTTACGTCCGTGCGACGTGAAAATAGACGCTAAATCTGATGCATCTAAGATGGCCGCGACAATAAACCCCTTACCCCTCAGATTTCACTCCCCTCGTCTAAAAGAGTACTTTATACTCTGTCCAGTATTTCTTACGTCCATGATTTATATAGATTCAAAATACATATACAAAAAAATATTAATTAATCACATCAGCGGTTGAGTCCTTCGAATGCGACCATATTATTTGTACTAGACGAATTATTGATTGATTTTTCCATGCGTATATACTTTACGAATTTTTCGTATATACGACTCACGTGGTGGCCAATCAATTTCCTGCTTCGGCCAAAATAAAATAGCGAGAGATGATTGGCTGGAGGCATTAAAGGTACCTTTATATGGCAGCATCGGAGCGTCCCATTTGACGTTGCAATTGATCAATTAAGGTGCAATTTCATTGACGCTAGAAACCAGCGGCAAATTAAAATAGACTTTCTCTAGATTTGGCATCAATAAAATAAAGTTCAACAGTTTCAACTTTTTCAGTGTGTAAAGCGGCCTTTTCATTGACGCTACTTTTTAGCGTCAATGAAATTGCACCTTAAAGGTGCGGCCTCATTGACGCTAAAAAGTAGCGTCAACCATTGGTTGAACAATGAAGCAACTATACTTACCTCCTTGTTCAACCAATGGTTGACGCTACTTTTTAGCGTCAATGAGGCCGCATCTTAACAGTTGGCAGCCCTACGAGATAGGCTGTGCAGCACTGCGCGTATATAAAATAAATTTGAAATCGCTTCTAGCCTAACCATCTTCACGCGATCGACTTTATTTGAATTGCACGGCATTGCATCGAATTATGATGCGGCGCCGATTTGTTCGAACGTAATTCGGGACATCGCGATACTGTATAAGCGTCGAATGAGCACGAATTGTCACGCAAATATGATAAATCACATTTACTCACCGTTCACCGGCTGTTCCACAGGCCGCACCACTCGCTCGCCTCGGGACGTCCCATTCCGATCTTGATGCACACAAACTCACACGATATCATCAACGCGAACGCGCGACACTTTATTCGGCACTCCCGATATTCGCTCGCATCCGATAATCATCATCAACGGTGCGAATAATGCGACGCAACTTCGCTCCATCTTCGCGATGACGCCATCACTGAATATCGTCAAAAATCGCTGTCGCGCGTTTCCATCGATACATTATGAAAGTCGCGCGATCATCCTTGGACACTTTCGACGCTCGTTCACTCGCGATATTCGTTTAAAAACGGTTAAAAGATGCGAAAAATGCGGACGTACGACGATCCGTGTAACTGCGTATGACTCCGATTCACGTATGACGCGTATGACGTAGAGTCACGCGCTAACATGGCGGCCGAACCAGTGCGCATTCTTTTTCTGCGCACTGGTTCGGCCGCCATGTTGGCGCGTGACTGCTACGTCACTGCTACGTCATACGCGTCATACGTGAATCGGAGTCATACGCAGTTACACGGATCGTCGTACGTCCGCATTTTTCGCATCTTTTAACCGTTTTTAAACGAATATCGCGAGTGAACGAGCGTCGAAAGTGTCCAAGGATGATCGCGCGACTTTCATAATGTATCGATGGAAACGCGCGACAGCGATTTTTGACGATATTCAGTGATGGCGTCATCGCGAAGATGGAGCGAAGTTGCGTCGCATTATTCGCACCGTTGATGATGATTATCGGATGCGAGCGAATATCGGGAGTGCCGAATAAAGTGTCGCGCGTTCGCGTTGATGATATCGTGTGAGTTTGTGTGCATCAAGATCGGAATGGGACGTCCCGAGGCGAGCGAGTGGTGCGGCCTGTGGAACAGCCGGTGAACGGTGAGTAAATGTGATTTATCATATTTGCGTGACAATTCGTGCTCATTCGACGCTTATACAGTATCGCGATGTCCTGAATTACGTTCGAACAAATCGGCGCCGCATCATAATTCGATGCGATGCCGTGCAATTCAAATAAAGTCGATCGCGTGAAGATGGTTAGGCTAGAAGCGATTTCAAATTTATTTTATATACGCGCAGTGCTGCACAGCCTATCTCGTAGGGCTGCCAACTGTTAAATTTTTTCGATCTAACCTAACCTAACCTCTCAGTGCTTTGGATGTCGATGTAAACATAAGCGTATGCTGCTTGGATTTTATTATGCTTTCAAAAATAATATTTAATTATTTCATTAGTGTATTACATTTTATTACGTAGTATATTAATCGTATTAAATGTGCGATGTACAGTTTTACACATTTTAATGAGAAGCATGGACGTAAGAAATACTGGACAGAGTGTATTGCTGCGTGAGTGAAGCTCAAAGGGTGAGGGTAGAGAACCTCTAGGAGAGAGAATGGACAACTGATCATGTGACATGTGATCAAGCTTTTTCATGATTGGCTGGCAGAAAATGTATCAATTTTAGCTATTGCGACGCCAATGCAAAATATGATGCACACAAATAGGTTAATATATGTGTGTCCTATTTGTGTGTCATCATATTTTGCATTGGCGTCGCAATAGCTAAAATTGATACATTTTCTGCCAGCCAATCATGAAAAAGCTTGATCAGTTGTCCATTCTCTCTCCTAGAGGTTCTCTAGGTGAGGGGAAAGAAATGTACTGCAACGGAATATGAGGCATGTAAGATGGCGACGGATATTAATTTCACGGAGTGTGATATTTCTTAATATTCAAAAATGATTCGGAATAACACAGCAATTTCAGATGATAGATGATTTCACGGAATCTCTCATATTTTATTCGATTTACGTCCGTGCGACGTGAAAATAGACGCTAAATTTGATGCATTTAAGATGGTCGCGACAATAAACCGCTTACCCCTCAGATTTCATTCCCCTCGTCTAAAAGAGTACTTTCTTACGTCCATGATCTCAAATATAAGATCGGACTATGAATACCGGCCTTTCACAACTGTATTGTCTAATTACATGCGAATATCTGAGATGTGAATGAGGAAGAAGGAAGAGAAGACTTTCGGTTGCGGTTGGAATTGACCAATGAGAATAGCCAAGCGTCAAATTGCTTTGCTCTGATTGGTCAATTCCAATCGCAACCTATAGTATGATTACGGCTTGGTATCGATACTATTTTGTGCATCTACATATTATATTTCCAATGGTTATTTTATTCCATTGATTATGGGTCTGTTCTTTTCAGCTGCACTGCTGCACTAGTGCAATTAGTTATAGTGAAATAAAATATGTTTGTCTCTTTTTAACTTATTGCACTAGTGCAGCAGTGCAGCTGAAAGAAACAGATTATTGATACTTATTTATATTTTTTCTTTCAAGGAGAAATATTGAATTGTTCGCAAATAGTGAAGTTATATTATTATTATTATTATTAATTTTTTTACTTATTTGAAAATTGTACTTGTGCGCGCGTGTGTGAAGTGACAAATATGCCAACATATGAAATGCCGCTGTTATTACGCATCATGAAAAAGGTATATTTTGTACTGTAATATATGTTAGGTTATGTTTTACAAAATTGCGTTAATTGCATTTATAATCTAATTGATTATTTTATTCATGCGAATAATAGCATACGGATTTTTTTATATAACTTTTCTATTAGAAAATTATTATTATGAATTTGATATATTTTATAGCCCGAACTGGTAGCAACTTTAAAGAGAGCAACCTCAACGATATTCAATACTGGGGGCTTTATTAGAAAAATTGAGAATTGGGGAGTAAAACCACTTCCATGCAAAGCCGTAGCTCATGGACAAGTTCATAGAGAAGCAAAGTAAGATTACACTTATAACACCATTAAATAGAATTTAAAGAAAGTGTAGCTTAATATAGTTTTGTATTTAAACTAGGACCAAGTGCAATTGATCATTTTCTTATTATGTGTTTAACTGGGAAAATATATACATGTATTTTTTGATTTTATATTTTCAGCCATTTTCTTATATATTTTGATGTACCACCAAGAGAACTAGATAAAATTGTAGATGAATGCAACAGAGATATTGATATTGTTAAATTACAAGTATTTAAACAAATGGAACCAAAGAAATGGAATTGTACATTTCATGAGGAAATGTTACCACCACCATACAGGTATATATTTGTTTTTCATAATTTTTATAATATAATTTATATATATATATATATATATATATATATATATATATACACATACATACACATATATTTTAATCACTCTATTTTATTTACATAGACCTGGTGTTCAGAAATTGATGGAATTGGCAAAGAGGCGCAATAATAATAAATATCAATTTAAATATAATAGTGGGTTAAACTATTATCCTTTTAATAAATAATTATAGATTTTTTATTTGTGTATATAGTATTACTTGTTTCAAAATAAAATATATAAAAAAAAATTGAATATACTTAAAATACTATAAACGTCCTATTTAAAAAGAGAATTAGTCGATTTAGGGTAGAACAATTAAAAATGCAACATTCAATTGTGTTTCATCATAAGTAACATTTAATGTAAAAATCACTTATTGATGCATTGTTTATTAACTCAATCAGCACTTATGAAAAATTATTATTTCTCTTAACCATCAATATATATTTGTACAAAATATATACTTAATATATAGTCATTCATCATTATATAATAATTATAATAATTATTATAATTATAATAATTATTATTATCTCACGTGCAACATGAATTTGTAAAATAATTTGGTTAGATTGTGAAAAATGTTCAACTGCAATGACAACACAGTTAGCCAAGTCTGTGGCTTCTCTCGTTGTACAATATACTTTGCAATATTTAACAAATATTATAGTAGTTGTCTGAATTAATGCTAACATGATATCTTTGTTCTTTTGTAATGTGTAGAATATTTATGTATTTTCTATCCTGAGAGTTACACAGTCGCGTTATAAACCAATAACTTACACATTGATAGCATACATATTATACACATATAAAAGGTTTCACTTTAAGTTGTCATATAATCAGGAAACGGGATATAAACTACATGCTATTTCTCTCTTGGAGTACTCACTTTTATCATACGTATATTCAATAACTATGACATTATATATCGATTCGGAATCATTAACGCGATACAATCGACATAAAAGTGACATAAGATAACAACAAAATTAAATAATTCATATTGATGCAAAACTTATATATATAATTTATTATACTTTTGGATATGCATAGATTCTTAATGAAAATTTAAATGGCAAAAAAATAAATTTAATATATATAACCTCACGTGTTGTATGAGTGTGAGTATTGTTGAAGGTAGTTTAAAAAGAAAAAGATATATCAATAATATTAGAAATATCATAAAAAAGTAAATACAGTCTCAAAAATGCCACTTGCGCATCCAAAAGTTAAATTATTTTTTTTCTCAAATTACTTTTATTTGAAAATTTTTAAATCTTTTTATCTGTGTCTTCTCTCCTATTGCGCGTACAAGGAATATCTTGTGCACCATTTGATATATTTTGGACCTCGATGAACATGTATTATGCTATATCTAAAGGAATACTTGCGTGTTGCGGGAACACAGTCAAGGGTAAGAGATAGAGCGATTTTGCTTTTCAGCGAAAATACGAAAGTAGTGGTTTACATATGTCTGGTGTTTCCGAAATTGATACCGCTTTGATTAGCACCCTTATTGCTACCGTATTGTAAACTTATTACGCCCTGTCCGGCCCTGAGCTGTTCCTCCGTGAAATTGCGTACATTCTTATCCGCTTCTTTAGGACCGATACTTGGTTTACCATAATTACCCGCCTGTAAAAATATATCTTATAAAATATTCGAATATTTTTTACGGTATACTATTATGAATTAAATAATATTCTTCTGATATACTCGTATGTGAAATTAAAATTTAATTCGCGAAGAGATTTTTTTACAGTTTTTGAATCGGAAATAATTGGTGTTTTAACAATTTTATAAAAAGAGTGGCTCTCTCCCTACAGATTGGTAAAGAAATATACATGAAGTTTTCAGTCATTATATCCATGTTTATGAAATGGTGTTGTACCTTTCTTCCAAGGGATTGTAAGCAAATGACAACGGAATTTAAATTTTGTCTTTCCCAGAGATCTACGGTCTGAAAGGTCTCCTGCGGTGGAACACCTAATATCTTCGCAGCCTCTAGAAAGGCGTTTATATTCTCCATGCATTTGAAAGCTAGCGACGTCCTATTAATTTTCTTCACCGAGCCTTCCTTGATGTCATTCACTAAGCTGGTGAAAAACAGAAAAAATGCGATTATCATAAATATTTTTGCCTCGCCGACGATCCTTAAGTCGATCGGCATTTTTCGTTAATTTTTCGAGTCTTTAAATACACGCAAAGTAAGACGCCGTCCTTGAGGGTTTCGAAAAAGTTGTCCATGTCCCCGTTGGTGTTTATATTTTCGCCGGTGATGGTTTTGATCCATTCCAGACATTCCTGTGCCAGTTCCTCGCTGTACTTGCTATTGATCTGTAACATAAGTCAATTACCATGTTATCCTCTTAAGAGTGATACGCAATAGAAGATGTTATTATATTTTCGAGTTCTCGGTCATAGGGCACAATGTTGGCTTTGATATTATGTGGAGGGCCGCTTATTAATTATGCGATGTTCTAGTATGAACCAAGTAATGCATCCTGTAGGGGTCACAACCATACTCGAGTCACTGACCTATAACCCGTTACAACATCAGTTTATTTCTTTCAGTAAATACAACACATACGTCTCTTTCTTGTGCTAGTCTTATTTTAAGAAAAGCGTAATTTTTTTCACGCATATACATTTGTCCCTTTTAAATGTACAATAATTTTTAATAATATAATGATTCAATTTATCGGATTTTATTGTTAAATTCTAATATACTGAGAGATGGAATTAAATAATTTATTTTGTGTAAAAGAAATCACACACACATAAATACGCATTTCTATTCAGATGAACGATTTCTACCTGCCTATATGCGTGATTGCCTAAAAAGGAAAGGTTTCCAAGCATGGACCGTTGGCATTCATCATCCTGTAGCATGCATATTCCGTTAGATATACGGTGTCTCGGATCGTGATGCATTTTGCAGAGACCCGGCTATGTAAAGGGTATTTCCTGTCACATTTCCTTTGTCAAATTCTGAGTTGAGTCTGAATTGCTTGGAAAAGATTTTGTCCTATTTAATATTCAATATCTTAATTTTTTATATCTTGATTATCAAGTTTCGCCATGAAATTCTGAGAAAATCTATTAGCGAAATAGAAGAGCTATAATTTTAATCACCTGCATTTCTCTTTCTTTCCAAAAAATTTAATTTTTAAAAGCCCTCGAGTTTAGTCATTTCCAAATTATAGTACATTAGTTCGACAATTTTAAGATGAAGTCGATATCGAATTAATTATACTGTACAAATATATCATGTCTGGTATCCGCGTCAGAGTTTTTATAGCGGATGCAGTTTCAGATTTTCGGTGAGTCATTTTAAAGCGATTCGATGCCAGCACGAAACTATTTCTGCGGCATGTTTCTTCTAAAAACACTTTCATCCATAAAGAGCATAAATGAATGCGTGTGTAGAATACAGATATATTGCATATATATCAGTTGGAGGTGCATTTCAAGAGTTTCCTTTACAAAGACATTCGAATTAAATTGCAATAATATTAATTTTTCACATAAACATTTCAAATTGCACTTAATATTTTATGGAAAATAATTTATGACCAAACTTTCATTTTGTTTTCACATTTTAAAACCATTTTTTATTATCTTGTTTTTTATAAAAATTAAAATATCCTATAAAATAAGCTATTTTTGCAATTTCAACAATTTTACTGATAGCTCAGATCGGAAGGATAAGGAATCGCGAATAAGAATATTAAAAGGATTGCGAATAAGGATATTACAAAATATTGAATAATGCCGTTGCATGTCAATAAGTTGTGCAATATATATCTTCTTATAATGGAAATTCCTTATGAACGATTTACGTGAATTCCAATAAATTTTATTATATAATGTGAAAAATAATTTCCCGTGCTATAAATATGACAAATTTATTACTATTTATTGAAAATTAAAATTCTATAATTTATAATTTTATTTTTCTTTAAATTGAATATAATTATATTTAATAAATATAAATTTTAATTGTATTCTATGTAATTATAAATTTGCCGAGGCAATTTTTACTTCTAGTATTCTTAAAATTTTTGCAGTGTTTGTAATATTATATGTGCAAAAAACATAAATATTTTACAATATAAAGCTAAATAAAAATTATCAGACCAGTGCTAACTTCAAAAATTATGGAAAGTGAAAAGTTTGATATAATTATAATAAGGTTTTAAATTCATAAAAAAATGTTATGTATGTTTTGAATAATGTCCGAGCTTGGTCATTTACTTTTGTTCCGCATAGTTGCACATTTCTCGATGATATCGCGTTCTCTTTTAAAGAATACACAAGATACCGTGACCACCGTCGTTAGTAATATAGAACGCGATTGCTTCTATATTTAGACATTAAGTAAGCGCACAATAATTTTATTAACGTGAGAAGAGTGACAAATTTTAGCATAAACGCGAAAAAGGCACGTAACACTTATTTATCGCTTTTTCTCACATGAAGCATAAATTTTGGCATAAATTTTGAAAACTTTATGTATTTAAATATCTCATCATCGTTAAAAATATTTTATATGGTTTTATCATTAAGATAATATGAAATAGATTAATAAGATATATAATTATAATCCTTAATATGATGTTAAACATTTCTTTGATAAATAGAAATAGATTTTTTAATACTAGATAACTTTGTGTTATTAATTTTGTATTATTAATTTCGTTGTAACATTATTAATAACATTTTTAGTAAATATATAAAAATAACATAATATATGGAGCCAGTATATTATAGAAGAGTAGAATTTTAATTGTAATTTCACATATTCCCTCTATAAATGTGATATCACCGGATAACTGTCTATCTTATCAATATCAAGGTTAAAGCTGGTACAAATAATCAGCATTATAAATATATTGCACATCAGAATAAACAAACCAGGCAATATTCATTTAAATTTAAAAAAAGAAATAAACTTTTTAAAGTAATTTATCAATAATTATATTTTTTATTATTATTGAATTTAATTCAGTGTACAAGTTTTGTTGTTTCTTTTAATATGTGTATGTAAGTACTCTGATTAATTTTTAGCCTATTATAATATATTAAAATTTGGAAGAACTTTATATTTTTATAGAAAATTATATATATTTGGAGCTGCATATGAGAAAGAAAATATTTTAAATAAAAAGATCTGAATAGAATTTTAAATGTAAACATTAACAAGAAAAGAATTTCTAAATAGTTCAATCTACAAGGGAACTTTTATCTCTAGAGAGAGTATTGTACAAATAATTCGATTGAACAGTACGATCAGCAATGGTTATCTCGTATCGAATTTCAAGAGGTAAGAGGGTTTGTCGTAGCTCCAAGATGAGAGAAAAGGAGAGAAGCGCAAGTAAAGATACGAAGATATCTCTTTGGTATACCATGTGAACCTCGAAGCCTTTCGAATAGGCTCTTAAAATATGAAGAGCGCAGAGAGCCTCCTTAGAGAGTTAGAAATTATGCGAGGATCGCACGTCTTCTTCATATAAGCCATATAATACTTGCCACGAAATTTACATCTAATTTCGAAGCTGAGGGAAAAAAAATCTAAGTATGTTATATCATATAAAAAATCCATTCATCATTAAACACCGGAAAAAATACATTCATTAATTTTTGCAATTAGCGGTTGTTGATCTTCAAAAAAGAGCCTCATACATTTATATGTCTAATTTCATCAAAAGTTATAAGTTGTAAAAATTATATCGCAGCTAGACACGTATTAATTAATAAGATTTATCGATATTATATCTTATATGATAGATTAGAATTACTTTTGTACGAAATGAAAGAAAACTATTGGTTGCTTTATATCATGATTAAAAGTACTAGTGTATAAATTGTTAGAATCCAAGAATCGCGCGATAGCTTCGATTTTTTTTTAAATTTTACTTGTAATATTATTCTGATATGAAGCTTTTATATTGATAAATTATTAAATTTTGAATTATTAGAATAACGAAATAATAAGTAGCGTTAAGAATGCAAAAGGCCGAGTTGGAAAATAGTTTTCACAAAAGGAATTGTAATTGAAGAATTACGATGCATTTTCATCATGCTTCTAGAGACGACATTGATGCTTATATCGTGTAATATTCACGTTCATGGTCGCAAGAATTAGGTCAGAGGTCTGCTGCCTTCAATGAAGTACAAGCCAGATTGAATTGCTCGAATGTCGCGATGAGCAGAGTCATTTTGTTTATTGACTAGGGTGATCGTAATTTCGCAGGCGAAATCAGACATTAGGCATCTTAGTTGTGACCAATGTAAATATGCCAATGTTATGTAAATTATTATTAATCATATATATAATCCTGAAATTTTTATATATTTTAATTTATTTACACATAGAGAGATATATATCAATAATAGATAATATATACTGCTAAAAAATATAACGAAATTGTAAGCAATTATCCCGTGATCTATTTTTACATTTTCGAACGTGAAAAAATTGCGTAGATTTACTTTGGTTCTTCAAGGATGTGCTAATATGCAAGACCTTAAGAACTTGATTGATTTGCATGCTAGTATGGTGCACTTCTTGGTCGATGAATAGAGGATCTCCTTTCTAAAGGAAGTTCGCAATCGTGCTTAACGACTGCCCTTAAGAGGTATACGCTCGTTACGAAGGTTTAAGCTTATATTATACAACACGTATATGTATTATATCGTCAAAATCGTTGACCTACTTTGTAAAACCGATCCATTGCATAATCTCCTTATGCGACTTGTTCGATTATACGCGTTTCTCGAAGAGTTAAATGCATGTGTGAGCAAAGGTTGTCTGGTTGCTCTTGACCGTATAAGGACCTCTAAACGAGAAGAGAACGGTCAGCTCGAAAGAGTCATAATATCTTCATACGTATTGGAACATGATGAAAAGAATACAACATTCAAGGAGCTACAATTCTCTTATTTAAAATACAAATTGTATATCTCTTTGGATAGATCTTTTCTTTAAAATTCTAAGAGATTCTGAGAGACCTCGGGTTATTTTGAAAAATATATATTCAAAATATATAATAAAATATATATAAAATATAATAATAAAATAACAAAATATATATAATAAAAAAACTGATTAAAATCCATCATTAAATAAGAAAATCGTTAAAATTAATCAAGTCTCAATTTAAGTCGTAATTTAAGTTTCTTGAATAAGACATTGAAATATTCTTGGCTTTGTTTGCATGTAATATATCTCGTATTTGAATTGTAATGAAAAGAATAATATTAGAATATTCTGTTGAGCAAAAAACGGATGAATTTAAATATTCAATTGAGTTTGTGAAATGTTTTAGTTTCTC